GTAGAATTTTCTGCACTGTGCATAAACCCGAAAAAGCATTTTGCACTGTGCATTCACCCGAAAACACATTTTGCACTGTGCAATTTTGTTGATTTTGCCTTATTGTCGCGCGCGATTCCCGTTTTTCGCAGCGACAAATCAACATTTCGGAGCGCGACGGAATTTGGGGGCCGCGAAAAATTCTACGGACTTTATGTCGCGACTAGTACAAGCTTTGAGATTTTTGCGATTTTTCGACTAAAGTTTTTTTTACGCGAATCCCATTTTTTGCAGCTACAAATCATTTCTAATATTTTAGATTTTTCGACGGAATTCGGGGCCGCACAGCATTCCGAACTTTTTTCGCCGCCGATCGGTGTCCAAAAAAATGAAAAATTAAAAAGTGCACATTACATTTTCATGTGTGTAAGGGTAGCCAGAAGAGATACCGGCAAAAACAAAAACTCTTTATGTAGAGTAATCAATTTCCTTTCAGAGTATGTAAGTTTTGTCTTCAGGTTGTCCGCTACCTTTGAGAAAATCGTCACTAAAAAAATGGAAATTTCGATTTTGAATGCCAAAAAAATGTACTTTCTTGGGGCCACCAAAAAAGATGTTGGAGTCTATCGTAAAGAGAATTTCAAGGGCTACAACATATTAAAATTTCAAGATTTTTGTGGGGGTTTAAGCCAAGTTAGAGTGAAAAAACCCCTGATTTTGCACTTTTTCTCGATTTGTTTGCACTTTTAGTGCAAAAATAAAAAACCATCCGTGGGCGATGGAATCTGTGTGTCATGTCGGATATTCATGCCAAATTTGAAGCTTCGCCGACGCTCCGGAGTCGCTGAATATCCGTTTAAATACGAAGCCTTAGAGTACTATTTCTATTGTTTGAAGTCGCTTTATCTGCTCCAAGATACCTTTTGATCAAAAGTATATTGTCTATATACAGTGTATAACAACATCTTATCATTTACTCACGATATATTTTTTTCATTTTGAAAATTGAATTTGGCAGATAATCCTTCACAGAGCCAATTTTTTGTTGCAACAACCAATTAAATTAACCGCCAAGCTGAGTTAGACTTTTGCAATTAAGTCGTTATGCAGTTGTTATACACTGTATACAGGCAATATATTTTTGATCAAAAGGGATCTTGGAGCACATAAAGCGATTTCAAACGACAGAAATAGTACTCTAAGGCTTCGTATTTAAACGGATATTCAGCGACTCCGGAGCGTCGGCGTAGCTTCAAATTTGGCATGAATATCCGACATGACACACAGATTCCATCGCCCACGGATGGTTTTTTATTTTTGCACTAAAAGTGCAAACAAATCGAGAAAAAGTGCAAAATCAGGGGTTTTTTCACTCTAACTTGGCTTAAACCCCCACAAAAATCTTGAAATTTTAATATGTTGTAGCCCTTGAAATTCTCTTTACGATAGACTCCAACATCTTTTTTGGTGGCCCCAAGAAAGTACATTTTTTTGGCATTCAAAATCGAAATTTCCATTTTTTTAGTGACGATTTTCTCAAAGGTAGCGGACAACCTGAAGACAAAACTTACATACTCTGAAAGGAAATTGATTACTCTACATAAAGAGTTTTTGTTTTTGCCGGTATCTCTTCTGGCTACCCTTACACACATGAAAATGTAATGTGCACTTTTTAATTTTTCATTTTTTTGGACACCGATCGGCGGCGAAAAAAGTTCGGAATGCTGTGGGCCGTAATAAATTATCAGGGCTTTCTGCTTTGGCTGGTACCCGATATATATATGACTTAGAGAATGATAAGTCATATCAAGCTTTGTCACAATCAAAGTTTTATTTTGCAGCAAAAAAAAATTTCTCATCATTTTTTCTTTTTACCTACCATTCGCATTTTCATAAAGTGCATGGATTTTTTTCGCTTTCGCACAGTGCATCTTGAGTTTTTGCACAGTGCCAAACCGACAAAATTTGAATGCACGGTGCAAGAAATCGGGGAATTTTGTGCACGGTGCGGGTCGCGGCAAGTGTCCATGCACTTTATGAAAATTCTAACAGTCCGTTTGTAAAGTCGCTGGAACGGCTTTCGCAACATGCACTGTGCAAAGACAAAGGTTTTCTTTGCACTGTGCAATTTATTGCTTTTTGCACGGTGCAATAGGTTTTTTGGGCTGTCGCTTGCACTTTGACTTTTTTCGCACCGTGCAAACGCCAAAAATCGCTTCAGCGACTTTTCCGAGGGGCTAGAAAAAACAAAACTCAACTTTTCCATCTTCCAACTTCCCCTCAAAGCCCCACCTTCGCTTGTAGGCACCTATCTCGCACCTCCTTCGCTTTATGACAACACCCGCAGCCCTTCCTTCCGCGAATTTATGCGACCGTCGTAATGCGAGCAGACGGAGCTCTTTTTTTCGGTGCGCCTGTTCCTCGCAACACTCACTTGAAGCGCGAGTGCCAAGGGTTGGTGCAACTGGTCAAGGAGGGCGCGGCGGGGAGTCAACAAGTTTTTTTTGGGGTTGATCAGTCAAAATATTTGGTTGGAAATCGAGATTTTTGATTTTTTTGTCGAAATTTTTGCAAAAAAAGATATTTTGGGCATAAAAATTAAGGGTGCCTAAGGCAGAAAAATTTTTTTTTTGAATTTTTTTGAGATTTTTGACCAGAAAAATTTGATTTTTTCCGACTTTTTTTTAAAAAAAAATCATCATTTTCCCCCAAAAAATTAAATTTCTTTGCTGAAAAACACATCTCCCATAAAAATTCAGGCCTAAAAAGTTTAGTCTTTTACTTTGATTAACAAAAAAAATTTTTTTTTGAACTTCTTCGTTCGTATTTTACCCAAAAAATCTCCATTTTTCCTCTTTTTCTCTCTCTGTCTCTTCGATTCTGCGACTTTTCCCCTCACTTTTCCTCCTAATCCTCTCAAACATTCCGAGATCTCGACGTTTTTTGACCTTTCCCTCCCATATGTAATCGTTTTTTGCTAACATTTTCGTTGCGATCGCTCTCCCTCCGCGTTTTTCGATTTTCCCTCTCACTCTCTGTCCGCTCTCCGCACTCGCAATACTCTCAAATGAATCGACATTTGGCGGCAGATGAGGGCCGACATTTATTTTATCCTTCTCCAAAAAAAAAGTTTTTATGAGGCCGAAGCCGGTGGGGGGCGGAGCCTCCGTCTGATCCGAGGCCCCGCTTCTCTAATATCTCTAATCCCCCCGGAATAAAACATCGAATTAAGTGAGAGATTTTGCAGAGATTTCGGGCGCCCAACAGCGGGTTGATGGGCATGTTTTCGAAACCCCGCCGGGCCCAAGGTGTTTTTTCCATGACTCATTTTGCGACCGATTTTGCGGCGATATTCAAAAAGTTGTAATGTCGGCCATATGGCCGAGGGTGTTGGGCATGTTGCGGTCAATATGTTGGTCATGTTTCGGATTTGTTTCGCGGTGAGAAATGGGATTTTTTATGGATTTTTTTGGGTTGGGCCTGAGATCTGGGATTGAACATTTCGCTTGGCATTTTAGCTATATGTAGCGGAATTTTAAGGGAATAAATATCATGGTTCTTTAAAACAGTTTAGTATGTATCTTCTCGGGGATTACTGTTTATTCAAAATAGCGATAAAAAATCGAGTTTTGAAATTTCCGGGGATCAAAGTCATCATGGATAATATATTGATTTTAATGGCTGTTAGCGGTAAGAAATGTTAATTTATGTTACTATTAGAGCTTTGAGGCTTCATTTGCAACATTCTTGCAAATTTTTATTTTACTATTGCAACGTATCTCCAAGTTATTTACCCATCTTGGTGACCCTCTCAATTTTTACTGTAGAGTAAAATAACCCATCGTATTTTACAAATCACCCAAAAATGTCAAATTTAGACCCATCTACAAACCTCTATAAGACAAAACCAATCTTCTGAACCACAAATTCCCTCGTCATTTGGCCCCAAATTCCCTCCGGCGGTCTATTTACATTACACTTCCTATTCCCCGTTTATTTTTATTTACAAGTCCATCAGTGCCATTCCCCCCGCTTTCTCATCCCTCCTTTTGTCTCCGTATTACGAACGCTGAGAGTGTGATCGGATTTCGGCCACTCATAAATCATCTTCGGCCGTTGCGAAGAGCGCTTTCCGAACCTTTTCGCGATAATGAAACTTTGGCAAAACAAAGGCGTCCATAAAGTTTGAGTTATGAGAATTGAGGGCAAAAAGGTTGTTTGAACGTCTGGCCAGAGAGGTTGATCGTACTTTCAGATGATGTAAAGGACAATATCAAATGAATAACGAGAGTTTTTGACAAAAAATCGGAGAATGATGATTTTTGAGCTATGTTTTGCCGAAAAAACGTTAAAGATGAGTCATTTTTCGAAGAGTTTAGGAAATACTCGAACTCCCAGTTTGTTTATTATGATGTCATAAGGCTTGCCAAGTCCCACACACCTCAGTTTCGCCATTGAAGACTAATGTTTTTTGAGGAAAACGGGATTTTTTGCTGATTCTTTGATTTAACGGATTTCTGACCGCAAAATACAGTGTTATTTGCAATAACTAGATATTTTTCTAGATGGTAATGAAATAACAAGTCAGTCAGAGTGATACTTCCCTTATTTGAAATGCATTTTTGACCTGGAAATCAAGATTTTTTGAGGATAGTCATCATTTTTCGATTTTTTTTGGAATATGGCCATATCGTTTACCATTCTTGATAAATCTGGCTGAAAACCCGCACAAATACTTCTCGTTGGACCAGTGTGGCTGTCTAAAAATTTCAAGTTGTTACCTTAAATACCCCTCTACTTATGACCCTTTCAACTTACCCCTCCCACAACCTATCAACCCACTTTTTAACCCAAAACTTTTGACCCAAAATCTTAATAAGATCGAATTGACAATCCCAAGCATTCAAAATATTTTTATTTCCAGACTTTCGCTTTCGAATTTCCGGATCGTTTTTCGAGCGTTTCCTTTTCATTTTGTTAAATTTACAAAAAAGATTTGATCTTTTTTCAGGGATCAAAAAATGATGCTGCGGACGTGTCGAACAGCCCTGTTGATTTGCATAGGAACAGTTTGTGTGTTGCAGTACGGTAAGAGGATAATTTTGAAGACTATTTCAACTGTTTTCACTCAGTATTTGGTCGATTTTTCTCGATTTTTTTGGCGTCTCGACTTTTCGGGCCGATGACAGCTCGGGTCAACGAAAAATCAATTGATACGAGGGGTAGCGCAAGTGGATACCCAAAAATAGGGTGTAGCAAGTGTCTAGAAGGCCTGACAAAGCCGTTGAATGGTTGGCGGATGGTCGGCGGAGACTTGGCGGAGCTCGGCGAAGGCTTGAAATACGTCCACTTTTTATAATTTTAGCTATTACTAATGTTAGTTTTCTTTACTCTGAGTTGTTGTAACATATAAAAAACCAAAATTTGAGGCAAAAAATGAAGATCCGTAACTTTTATCTAGATGATATTTATGTGATTACATGCAAAATACCTCAAAATATGGAGGTAATAAGCTATCCTAGGGCCCGATTAATCTTATTTTTTCTGAAAAATAAGCCTTTTCCTAGCCTCCCCCTTGCCTAAAATGATGATCTGAGGCGACCATAATATCGTTGACTCGAACTGTCGCTGACCCGACAAGTCGTAGCCGTATTTGGCCAATTTTTGATAAATCTTTTTTTTTCAGCCAATGCCAATCCCTGCCTGGTTGCTGACTCTTGCACGGAGTGTATCAAGGCGGGAAGTGAATGTGCGTGGTGTACCGATCCAGTAAGTTGAATTTTGGAGGAGAAAAAAAAATTTTTTTGATATAAAAAAATTGATTTTTTTGTGAATTTTTGGTATTTTTTGATGAAAAATATGATTTTTTTTGTGAATTTTTCAAATTTTTTGTAAGAAAAGGGCTTTTTTTGCTGATTTTAGACTCTAAGTTTAATTTTTTGCTCTTATTCAAATTTAAAAAAATTCAAAAAATTTGAATTTTCAAAGAATTTGCATATTAAAAAAATTTTTTTGTAAACCTATAAAACCCTTGAAAATCAATTTTTCGATCTAAAAATCAATTTTCATCTCCCCGATTACGCAACAACCCCCACAAACCCCCGGATTTCCCGTCCGGATCATATTGACATTTCGTTATAAACAAACCCAACTGTTTTTCCAGATCTACAACGGGTCCCGGTGTAATTTGAGAACACAGCACTCGAATCACTGCAATCTGCGAAACATTTACTCTCCGGTCACCGAACTCCGCATCCCCAAACAACACAACGTGCCGTTGGGCAAGAAACACCAAGACGGGCATACGATCACGCAGCTTGAGCCGCAACAAGTTCAGGTCAAAATTAAGCCAGGTGAGGAAGTTGCGACAAAAAAATTTTTTTTGGAAAATGTTGCGACAAAAAATTATTTTTTGAAAATTAAAAAAAAATTTTTTTTAAAAAGCAAAATTTGCATAAATTTGCATCCTTTCGCACGGTGCGGCACCTTCTCATTTTATTTTTTTGCACTGTGCACGGAGCGCGAAATTTTTCCCTTGCCACTTGCACAGTGCAAAACTTTTTTCGGCTTTTTTGCACTGTGCAAAAAATATCCGGCCTTTGCGCAGTTTTTTTGCACTGTGCAGAGTGATTTTTGAGATGTTCGCACTGTGCAAAAAAAAAAAAAATTGGATCTTTGCACAGTGCAAGAAAAAAAATTTCTGGTCGCACAGTGCGGAAGTTTTTCATTTTTCGCGACAACTTTGTTTTTGATGATTTTTGCACAGTGCGAAAAAGTTTTTTGATGTCGCACTGTGCACGGTGCGAAATTTTCATTTTATTTTTTTTCGCACTGTGCGGCTGAGATTCTTGTGACATTCGCACAGTGCAAACAAATTTTCAATGGTTGCACTGTGCAATGAAAAGATTTCTGGTCGCACAGTGCGGAAGTTTCTCATTTTTTCGCGACAACTTTGTTCTTGCACAGTGCAAAAAATTTTGATGTCGCACTGTGCAAAAAGACCCTTTAGGTTCGCACGGTGCGAGATTTTCATTTTATTTTTTTTCGCACTGTGCGGCTGAAAATCCTGTGATATTCGCACAGTGCAAACAAATTTTCAATGGTTGCACTGTGCAACAAAAAAAATTTGGTCGCACTGTGCGGAATTTTTTCATTTTTTTGCGACAACTTTGTTCTTGCACTGTGCAAAAAAGTTTTTTGATGTCGCACTGTGCAAAAAGACCCTTTACGTTCGCACGGTGCGGGATTTTCATTTTATTTTTTTTTTTTTGCACTGTGCAAAAAAATTCGATCTTTGCACAGTGCAATAAAAAAAATTTTTGGTCGCACAGTGCGGAAGTTTTTCATTTTTCGCGACAACTTTGTTTTTAATGATTTTTGCACAGTGCAAAGAATTTTTTGATGTTGCACAGTGCAGTTGATTTGTTTTATTTCTTCGCACAGTGCAAATTTTTCATAAAAAATTGCACTGTGCAAAAACTTTAAAAACTCGGCAAAATTGCGCAACAACTTGAAACGCAATTTTTTGCAACCTCTCCTCGCTTTTTCGGTCCCACTTTGAGGGCACTTGTTAATTACCCCATCTTTTTTCGGGGGTTTTTATAGGTGGGCCAGAAGCGAGCGTCTGGCCAACAGTTTGGGAATTCCTTTGAGGTCAAAGAGAAGGCTGCGACAAATTTATAGTCCGGGTCCGAGTGGTTTGGCTTTGAGGTCAGGGTTTACGATGTGCAACTTGAGGATGATAAAAAAAAAAAAAAAAATTTTTTTTGAAATTTGTCGTAGATGGTGTATATAGTCTATATATAGGGCTCGGGGTCTTTACTTTTCATCGGCTCTGCGAATTTGTTTTGCAAAAAGGCGTTCAGCACGCCCTGCTGAACGCTTTTTCGCAAAATCGGTTCAGCAGTTTCTTCTGTCGAAATTTCGTGAACGGGAAATGGTAAAAGCCGTTCATTTTGTGAATTTTCGTCCTGTTTTTTCTTTTTTTTTGGTAGATTTCGAAACCGTCTGAATTAGTTCAGAGTCGGCTGAACTAGTGCAAAAAACCGAGGTCTTTGAACACGTTAACCTGTTAATTTTCCTTTGAAAATTTTATAACCAGTGAATTGGTTCAATGTTTTGTTAACCAATTCAAACATTGAACCCCCTTTCCAATCGGCTCTGAACGGGTTGGACACCAGTTCAAACCGCACGATTTGAACTGATTTTGCAAAAAGGCGTTCAGCGGAAATTCTGAACGCCTTTTTGCAAAACAAATTCGCAGAGCTGATGAAAAGTAAAGACCCCGAGCCCTATATCGATTACACAATTCAAAAAAATCGAAAAAAATGGAAAAATAAAAAAAAACAAAAGTTTTTTAATTTTTTTCAAAAAAAATTCTGGTTTACCGACGTATAAAATTCAGGAGATTTCGTGGAAGTGATGATTTTTTAAACCATAAAAAATTTAAAAAATGAAAATTTTAAAAAAAAATATTTTTTTTCCTTTTTTAAGAGCAAAAAAATATATTTCAATGGCTATTACCTACAACGTATTTTAACAAAAATTTTTTTTTCAGGAGATTTCGTGGAAGCGATGATTTTTTTAAACCATAAAAAAATAAAAAAATTTAAATTAAAAAAAAATATTTTTTTCCTTTCTTAAAAGCAAAAAATATACTTTAGTATACTTATGACGTATTTTACCAAAAAAATCAGGAGATTTCGTGGAAGCGATGATTTTTTTAATTTAAAAAAAATTAAAATTAAAAAAAAATATTTTTTTTTTCATTTTTTAAAAGCAAAAAATATATTTCAATGGCTATTACATACGACGTATTTTACCAAAAAAAATTCAGGAGATTTCGTGGAAGTGATGATTTTTTTAGACTAAAAAAATTTACAAAAAATTAAAATTTTAAAAAAATATTTTTTTCCCTTTTTTAAAAGCAAAAAATATATATTTCAGCCATTACAAATAACGTATTTTAACAAAAAAAATTTTTTCAGGAGATTTCGTCGAAGTACCGTTCAAGTACGAGCACAGAGGTCGGCCCGGTTTGGAGGTGCGCGACTTCCAATTGATGACCTCCAACATTGAAAACACCGGAGTCAAGGTCGAATTTTTCATCGAATGCAATGGGTAAGCAATAATGTTAATTAATTTTCGAAAAAATTGAAAAATAAAAAAAAAATTTAATTTTTTTTAATTTTTTATTCGTATTTTAGCGAACGCATCCAAGCTCTCCGCTGTCCAGGGATCACCGAAGGCCAGCACATCAATTTCTACGTGAAAGTCTCGCTCACCGACTGCAAGGATGTGGCGCTTTCCGTCTCGGTTTATGGATACAACACCGTCTCGGCGCTGTTCGTCACTCCATTGTGCTCTTGTGAATGCGAAAGCTTCCGATTCCATGTAAATTTTATTTGAAATTTTTTCTTGGACTAATTTGAGCAGCCGAGGGCCAGATTTTCGGATAGGCGACATTTTATACGATAAAAAGTTTTAGCTAGGACGTTTTATACGATAAAAACTTTTGGCTAAGGAAAAGAGATTTTGTGAAAACTTTTTGAGACGTATTTTAAACTGAAATTTTGATTTCCGCTAGCATGAAATCAAATTTTTGACATGGCGACATCTTATACGATTTAAACTTTGTGGCTATAAAACCGGATTTCATAACTTTTTTATTGATGTAGCGTAATAATCACAGCATAAAAGGATTATTTACAATCAAATTGTCTCAAATTTAAATATTTTGATATGGGGACATTTTATACGATAAAAACTTTTGGCTAAGGAAAAGAGATTTTGTGAAAACTTTTTGAGACGTATTTTAAACTGAAATTTTGATTTTCGCTGGCATGAAATCAAATTTTTGACATGGCGACATTTTATACGATATAAACTTTGTGGCTATAAAACCGGATTTCATAACTTTTTTATTGATGTAGCGTAATAATCACAGCATAAAAGGGTAATTTACAATCAAATTGTCTCAAATTTACATATTTTGATATGGCGACATTTTATACGAAAGAAAATTTGCAAAAAATTTTTCGATTTTTTTGAAGCTTTTCTCTTAAATTTTCCAAAAATCTGTCGTATTTTAGTCCCTAAATAAAACCCACATTGTCTAAAATTTACGCAATTTTTATTTGGCGACATTTTATACGAAAAAAATTGCGAAATTTTTAGATTTTTTTTAAGCTTTTCTCTTAAATTTTCCAAAAAATCTGTCGTATTTTAGCCCCAAATAAAATTTTTCCAATTTCAGGACCGTCGCTCCGCGCACTGCCGAGGCTTCGGCGACCTGATCTGCGGTGTTTGCCAATGCGGCGCGGGCCGCGGCGGGCGCGCCTGCGAGTGCGATTTGAACCAGCACGGCGTCGCGACAGCAGCCGACTTGGAGAACAAATGCCGAGCGTAAGTCATCCGTCTTCCTCATTAATTATGCGATTTCCTGTTGATGACAAATCGCAGTTCGAAGAGGGCGGAAAACTTGTCAAATCGGAGTGGGAAGTGGATTTAGGGACGGAAGAATGGGGTCGAAATTGAGTAATTGAAGGGGATACTGTAGTTTGCGATCGTTTTAGAGGGTTTGAAAATGATTTTTTGAGCTTTGACTACCTTTTTATGGGACTAAGATTTTTGAAACAAAGGTTTTTGCTTTTTCCATATTTTATTTTAATATTCCGCATCTTTTGGATAGCTATATAAAGCAAAAGTAAAATAGCAAGAAAATTTTATGGCACTCTGTCCGAATTTTTCCTGAAAAATTACTTTTTTGGCGCATGATTGCCATATTAGTCATCATGGAAAATATAGGCCCGGAATAGGTTTAAAATCTGTAAAATACGGAGTAGAATTAAACTGTGTGTACCTATATAGCCTCTTCTACCACAGTAGTCAACTTACTGCCCGTCGTTTTAACCTAAATTTGCATAATGAAATGAATTTCTTTACCTTCCGACACCTGATGTTGATGTTTAATATTAGAGCAAAAATTGATGTCCAAGACATTAGTAAGGGACAGAATCGAACTGAGAGTACCTATATAGGCTCGTCTACCGTGGTAAACGTCTAACTGCCTGTCACTCTAACCGAAATTTGCATAATGAAGTGAATTTCTCCACCTTCCGACACCTGATGTTGATGTTTAATATCAGGGCAAAAAGTGATGTCCAAGACATTAATAAAGGACAGAATTGAACCTGGTGATCCAGCATAGGCTCTTTTACCATAGAAAATGTCTCACTACCCATTATTTTAACCGAAATTTGCATAATGAAGTGAATTTCTTCACCTTCCGACACCTGATGTTGATGTTTAATATTAGGTTGAAGGTTGATGTCAAGATATTAATAGGGGCTTTTAATACAAATATAGATAGCAGAGACCTAGTAGAACAGCTCTATATTCATTATGCCGCAAGCGATTTGCGTCAACAACCAATAATCTTCGATTTTCAGCGAGCCAGGGAAAGCCGTTTGCTCAGCCGCCGGAACTTGCGAATGTGGCCGCTGTAAATGCAATAACCCCGCGGTAAGTCCGAAAATTGAATTCATACATACTCAGTGTTGTCTACAACAAATCCTATAACATTTGAAAAAGGCTTTTTTACTTTGCGATGCCTTTTAACATTTAAAAATGAATTTTTTGTTTTTCCCCCAAAAATGATGATTTTATATTGGAAAAATCGTATTTTATCCATAAATTTGGTCGTATACGGACCTTTAGATGTGTTTATGATGTTCTCAAACTCATCCTCAAGAAAAGTGGATATGATTCCCTCGAGATTTGAGTGTTTTACTGGCCGTAAAACACATTTCTCGACAAGTCGCCAGATGCACCGAGAAAAGTTCGAAGCCATAAATCGCGGGAGGCAAAGAACAGATGTTTTTACACTGGATTTTAGAGAGATTTCGACTTGAATTTTTTCGGGGTTTAAACGAATTGCGAAAATAGAAAAAAACGATTAATTTTAGAAAAAAAAAATTTTTGAAATTTTAAAAAAAGATCAAAAAATAAGATTGAAAAAACGCTAAAATCTCAAGAAAACAATTTTCAGACCCAAGGCCAATTCTGCGAATGCGACAGCTCAGCGTGCCCGGTCGGCTCGAACGGCCAACTTTGCTCGGGCCAAGGAGACTGTTTGTGCGGGAAATGCCAATGTTTGGCCGGATTCCAGGGCCCCGACTGCTCTTGCAAGGAGGATCCAGAGCCCTGTACTGAGAATGGAGTAAGTAAAAATTAGTTTTGAAAGGTTTTTCTTGGAAAATTTTGAGATTTTTATATTATCCATCACAAAAAGTGATTATTTTTGAGAATTAGGCTGATAAATAGGGAGAATTGATATTGTCCAGGCTTTATAAAGGATCAATGATTAATTTTAAGCCATGTTTTGCTTGTTGGCATCATTTTTGAAAAAAAAAATTTTTTATTTTTATATTATCCATGACAAAAAAGATGATTTTTGGGAATTTTTAGTTGTTTTTGGGAAAAATTGATATAACATAGTGCTTTTAAGGCCTCGTAGATTATTTCTGAGGCTTTTTGTACTTTTCCGACATTAATATCGTATAGTACCACACAATTTTTCGAGAAATTTTTGGAATTTTTATATTACCCATGACAAAAAAGATGATTTTTTGGAAATTTTTAGTTGTGTGAAGGGAAAATTGATGTTTCATAGTATTTTTAAGACCTTGTAGATTATTCCAGAAGCTTTTTATAATTTCCTGACGTCAATTTCATATAGCACCACACGATATTTTGAGAAATTTTTGGAATTTTTACATTATTCATGGCAAAATTGAGGTTTTTCCAAAAAATTTTGATTGATTAATAGTCAGTCAATAATCATTTTCTCTTTTATTACTAGCTACTACATAGACAATCTAATTCAAAACAAAAAGAATTTTTCGATTTTTTTCACCTCTCACCTACTACAATATAACCTTGTTTCAGGTGGTGTGTTCCGGCAACGGAGTCTGCGAATGTGGTCGATGCGCCTGCTCTGCGGGCTACACTGGCTCCAATTGCGCCATTTCCACCTCCGCCGAGCACGACCAGCGAGTAATTGGAGCGGATGACGGCGTCGGGCAGATTTTGCCCTCCGGCGATTCGGACGAGGACAAGGCCGAATTCGCGCCTCCAGAGCCGGAGGCAGTCGCCGCCGGACGAACACTACACGCCGCCGTGATGCTGGTCTTGTTCAGTTTTTTGCTCATGCGTCTTTGAAATTTTTTATATTACTTTAAGTTGTAGATGTACAGGAAGTGGAAAAATGGTTGGTTTTGAGCTGAAAAACGGTTGGATTTGGAATCAACAAGATGTAGTTGATTCCTAAGGCCCTTAGCTACAATGTAGAGGCAATCTCCGTTTTTTGGAAAGGTCAAAAAGTACTGTAATTTCGATTTTTTGGAGAAAAACAAGATTTTTTGATGACCAAGTCCAATTTCCCTCAAAAAATGTTAAAATTCAAGGAAAAAATCAAAATTTTTTATGTTTAAATTATGAACAAGTCTCTGAAAAATAATTCTTTATTAAAATTTGTCCCAACAACTTTCGTTTTCATGATGAAAATTAAGATTTTTTGACTGAAAACTCAAAAAATTTTGGTTTTCGCTCAAAAAATCGCCAAAAAAGGCCTTCAAAAGTATACTAATGCCTGTAAAAATCGCAAACAATCTTAAAGCCAGCCACTTTCCACTTTTTCGATAGCATTTTGTCGCCTATTTTACTCTTAGCTTTATTCTCCAGGTCTATTTCCAATTTTTTTTCGTTTTTTTTTTGCAAAAACAATATTGTAATCACTTTCTAGCAACCCATATATTGCCCAAATACAATTTTGTCTTTTTGTCCTGCCATTGGAAAGGTTTTTGAGTACAAAAGTACTGAGAGATTTTTCCAAATTTAATCTTTTTTCCAGATTCTCAATTTGCACTGCTCATTTCTATTTTTCGATTCTAAAGATTTTATACGACGTTTTCGAATGATTTTGTAATATTTGGCTTGTGTTCAATATTAATAAAGATAAATACGTAAATTTGGGGAGGAAAAAAATTATGCAAATTTTCGAAAAGTTTAAAAAATGCAAATTTTTGGGAATTTTAAAAAAATATGCAAATGTTTAAAGTTGATAAAAAAATTTGCATATTTTTTAAAATTTATAAAAATATGCAAATTTTTTAAAATTTATAAAAAAATGCAAATTTTTGAGAATTTATAAAAATTATGCAAATTTTTGAAAATTCAAAAAAATATGCAAATTTTTGAAAATTCATAAAAATATGCAAATTTTTGAAAATTCATAAAAATATGCAAATTTTTGAAAAACACAAAAAAAAACAAATTTTTGGACCCAAAACTATGCAAATTTTATTTTCCAAAATCAAAAAATTTCCTCTAAAGGTCAGTTGCATTTCCAACCCACTCCGAGACCGGTTGACTTCGGGAAATATGGCTGAAAACAAGCCACAAACAGCGCTTAAGGGCGCCCCAACCGAAACGCGCGGCAACACAACCATTGGTGCAGCGACTACGCAGCCTCAGGTAGGTCAATTTGGCAAAAAAAAATTTTGAAAAACTTTGTTTTTTGGCTTTCTCAAAAAATTTCAAAAAAATTAATTTTCCGAGCTGCGCCCGAGCCCTGGCTTGGAAATTATTTTTAGCTGTCCTTAGGGGATTTTTATACCTCTCTAGGATCTTAAAAGTCATGAATGCTGCAGTAGATGGTCTCAAAAAATTATCAGCCAAGGCTCGGACGCGGCTTGGGAAAAAAAAATTTTTTTGAAATTGACCAAAAAATCAGCCAATTCCACTCAGAATTGATACTTTTAGAAGAAATACGATAAATTGGTGAGTTTAATCGTGATTTTTTGAACAAAAAAGTCAGTTTTTAACCGAAAAAACGGGTAAAATTCTAATTTTTTAGCCAAAAATCTCAAAAAATGCTAAATTACTGCTTTTTGTTTCAAAATTCAGGCGATATTTTAATTGAGGGCCCAGCAATGTGATTTTCATTTCATTTTCAGCCCACTTTCTCCGTTGGCCCCATCAAAAACACGTCCAAAGCCAAGCCCACTATTGCGCCGGCCCCTCCCACTATTGCACCAAAATCCGCAGTTCCGACCGTTGTACCGGTCAAACCGGCTACTCCAACCGTTCCAGTGGCCGGTCCAGTCCCTCAGAATCCGCCGAAAACCGTTGCGGCACCGAAACCCGCTGTTCCGGAGGGTCAGAAAACGGTGATCCCGCAAAAACCTTCGTCCAATCACACGGCCAGAGGAGCGGATCCGCTGCAGGCGGTGAAGAACGAGACGGTCCGCCCGGTCGGCGTCGCCCCACCGACCATTCGGCCGGCCGGACCCGCGGTTCCGACGATTCGACCGGTCGGACCGGCTGTTCCGACTCTTCGACCCGCCGCACAGGCCACACTCAGCGTTAGTGCGGCCGTCTCGGCCGATCCGGGAAGAACCACCATGGCGAGTGAGGCTACGGTCACTACGAACAGACCGGAAACTACGATCAGAACCGCGACCGGAGCAAAGGTCCCGGCCAGAAGTTTTGAGGAGACCAAGACTATGGGACGGTTTGAGTACTCCATCTCGATCAAACCGGAGAAACCGGTGGTGAGGAGGGCTGTAGAAGGGTTTTGGGGGAAATATATGGATTTTTGGTATTTTTGAGGGGAAAAAATTTATTTTTTTTGAGGCGAAATTTTGCTTTTTTTGGTTGAAGATGTTGTTTTTGGGGGAACTTTTGATTTTTTTGTTGAAAAAATTGATTTTTTGAAAGGAAATTTTTGCTTTTTTGGTCGAAAGGATTGTTTTTTTGTGGAAAATTTTGATTTTTTTGATTGAAAAAATATTTTTTCTGGTCGAAAAATTTAATTTTTTGTGGTCGAAAATTTTGATTTTTTGAGAGATGTTTTGAAAATTGATTTCTTATAATTTTTTTTGATTTTTTATCCAAAAAATTCTTGATTTTTACACTAAAATTTTCAGTTCTACAAAGGTCAGACGTGGCTGACTTTGTTCATCTTCAACACTTCCAAATTCCGTCTCTGCTTCCGGATCGTCCCTCCAGACCCGCATTATTTCACGGTGTATCCACTCAGCGGCTTTATCGATGTCGGCAAGTCGACGTATGTCGCGATTCAGAGATTGGTAAGTCAATTTTTACTAAAAAAAAAAAAATTTTTATTTTATATTTTTTTATTTTTTTCAATTTTCAAATTTTTTTTTATTTTTTTTTTTTATTTTTTTATATTTTTTTTCAATTTTCAATTTATTTTTATTTTTTTTAAATTTTTTTTCAATTTTCAAATTTATTTTTATTTTTTTTTCAAAATTTTTTTTTCAGCAGCCCACCATAGAATGTCTCGACTGTTTGGATATTGAATTTGGCCCCGACACCGGAGTACAGCAGGCCTCAATTTTGTTTGAAGATGCGTATTGCGATTATGACAGAATTCAGGTCCCGATTCGTTGTACCGGCGAGGTAGAACCCAAGAAAACCAAGGCCTAATCGACAGAAGAGGCCCTATAAATTGCAGGCCGAGATTTCTCACATAAAGTATTTTTGTCTCGAATTAAAAAAAGGTAAATTTTGTCGAAAAATAGAGATTTTTCTTTCAAAAACTCCGATTTAAACCTCCCTTCAAAGCGGAGTTTTTTTCACTTGAAGAGTGAAGAATTTTTCCACATTTTTGATCCTTCCCGGATGCAAAATGGTACGCTTTTTGCCACTGGATCAGGTCCCTCACTGTATACAGGGTGGTTCAGCTAAGTTCGCGGATGTAAAATGCTTATAACTTTTTATAGGGTTGTTCAATTTTTATGAGCAATACCTCATTTTATTCCTTAGTAGTTACCATTTTGTTTAAAAAAAAGATCATTTGTTTAAAAAAAGAAGAAAGAAAATGATCAGTCCTACGTCGAGTTATGACCCTTCAAAGTCAAACATGCTTTTTCACGTAAATTTTAAAAAAATTTACGGATTTTTTCGGATTTTCGGATTTTTTTGATTCCATCGTATTCTACGCAAAATTCTATGACTTCTGAAGCCCACTTACAATTTACAATTATCGACCGGTCGAAAGTTATAAGAGATTTTCGAGATTTTTCGGAAATTTTCAGATTGAAGCGTGAAAAGGCAAGTTTGACTTTGAAATTGACTTTGGTCATAACTCGACGTAGGATTGATCATTTTTAATGATCTTTTTTTTAAACAAAATGGCAACTACTAAGGAATAAAATGAGCTATTGCTCATAAAAATTGAACAATTCCATAAAAAGTTATAAGCATTTTACATCCGCGAACTTAGCTGAACCACCCTGTACTTGATGAAGATATAGGACTCATTCAATTTTTTTACCATCTTTATTTTTACTCAAAATTCACTCCATGACATCAAACTTCATCGTATGATACAAACACGCGGCGTACTCATCCCGAGGCGCGCACAATTGGCCAATCGTTTTTTGAAGGGTATTTCTATAGGACGTGGAGGAACCCCCATTCTCGGCTGTGTCGCACATTTTCCCGCATTTTTGCAGCACTCGTGGCGTAGGCTGCGCCCGGTCCGTCACATGGACCACAATCGTAAAGACCCCTTGCTTCAGGTAGTCCCAATATTTCTCCAGCTCTCGGTCGCCCTCCTCGTTCGCCTCGTGCATGCTTTTGCGGTCGGGCGTGCAGATCTTGAACTGCAACGTCTGCCGCTGATTCTCCGTCGAGCATTCGGCCGTGCGGCCCTCGGGATTGACGTATTTGGAGAGAGAGGCGGAACGATCTTGCTTCAGTTCGGAGGCTTGTTTGCAGAGATTACAGAAGCGACTGAAAAAAGAAAATAAAAAAAATTGCGTTTTTTTTTGAATTTTTAAAATTTTTTTTGGAATTTGTTTACATTTCACCAAATGACTCCATATTTTTATACTTGAACTTTTTTCCCACGCTTGTCGCCAACGCACAGTGCATTTCGAACTTTTTTCTCATGCTTGTCGCCAACGCACAGTGCATTTTGAACATTTTCCCACGCTTGTCGCTAACGCACAGTGCAAACCACAAAAAGGCCGTTTGCACAGTGCGAATTCATCAGCGAGTGCGGGTGTTCTGGAGAAGTGTTTGGAAAAGGGGAAAGCTCGCCTGCAACCAGTCGCCGCGACAATCTTCAAAACGGCCTTTGTCGCGCGATATTTTGAATGCACAGTGCAAAAGGTCAAAGGCACGGTGCAAAATGAGGGTTTTTGCACGGTGCGGTGCATATGGTATTGCACAGTGCATTTTTCGCCTTTTCTGCACCGTGCAAAAAACCTCAATTTTGTGCGAAAGGGAAGAAATGTCCATGCACTTTATGAAAATACTAGTATTAGTCTGTCGGGAAAATAATGTGGCTCTGCCGCGCTTTGAAATTTCATCGTTTTGCGACTGCTAGTCGCGGCTGGAGATTTGATCCGCGACTGCGACGAATCCACATTATTTTCCCGACAGACTGATAGTATTTTCCCGACAAGGTAATATAACTTGTAGGCATCAAAAAATGATGACTTTGAGAAATTTTAAAAATATGATAAGAAACTTCCTTACCAAACATCCTTTCCCCGATTCATATTCCTCAATCGCTGATTGCTGGAGCTGGGACACCAATCCACCGCGTTCGTAATGTTCGTACAAACATTCCCAATGATGTCGCTCTTCATTTCGCTGACCTTGTGACACGGCAATGAGGCCGAGCCCATCTGCATGAACGTCTCGATGTACGGGTCTTTCAGCGGTTTGGTCAGCTCGAACGACATTTTCACCCGATAGCATCCCGGAAACCGCAGCTGGGTCTGTTTGTTGGAGCGGTCGGTGATGTGAAGAGTGTCGTGAGTGAACGATTGCGGGGCTGGGAGCTCGACAAAATCGAATTTTATATTATCCTTGCGGATGAGGTTGGAGGGAACTGAAAATTTGGGAATTGTGGAAGAAGCGGTTAATGGATTTTTTAGCAATTTTGCATACATACTCTGAGTAGGCTGTACAACAATGTACGTAAATTTTAGCTTTTGCTTTGCACGTGCAGTCGAGATATTGAACGATTTTTGCGAGTCCTTGAAATTCATGGTTACCCTCAAAAAATTCAAATTTTTTCTCACATTCTGGCTTGGCCTATGGCCAAAGGGGGTGGAAATTAATAGAAGATCTGGGTTTCGAACTTTAGGCACGTCTTTCTTAATTCACCTTTAGCCCCTCCTTTCCCTTTATCACCTCTTTTTTATCAACGATTCCGCTCTTTTGCGGGCCTCCCGCATTGCCGCCGATATAAACGAGAGACTCGTCTTCAATTTTCACTCGATAAAACCCGGTGGCGCAACTAAAAATGTGCGGGTGGTCCGAGAATTCGAGCAGTCCGTTTGGGGAAGAGAGAGAAAGCAAAAGGGAGCAAAAACTTTGGAAGGGCAATCGCCGCGATAGCCTGATTTTGATTCAAATTGGAGAAAAATTAAGGCAACTGCTTGGTAAAGCTTGGTCAAAAATGCTATTATTCTCTCATTCTGTCGGGAAAATAGTGAGTACTCGGCCACATCTAAAATCGTGTCGCCGCCGCGAAAAGAAAATGAATTTTGTCGCTGCAAAATCAAGTTGCTTTTCACTTCAGCGATGCGATTGGGGCAACGAGACTGAGTTATTTTTTTCCCGACAGACTTAGCGTATCTGACCGAAGGTATCAGTCTGTCGGGAAAATAACGGCGGATCGTCGCGCCTTGGAGTCGCACATTATCGCTTTGCGACTGCAAGCCGCGGCTTGGGATTTGGTGCGCGATAGCGGCGAGGCGAGGGATTTTGCTGCGACGACCCGCCATTATTTTCCCGACAGACTGATATACCAGTCTGTCGGAAAAAAAGTGACGGTTTCGTCCCGCCTTGGAATCATCGCTTTGCGGCGGCTAGTGGAGAGGTATTATTCTACTAGTCGGGACAAAAAGTCCTGATAATTTTGCACTGTGCGGATTTTGCGCGGTTTCTGTCGCACTCTAAAAAAACGATTTGTCGCTTCGAAAAATGGGAATCGCGCGCGACAATAAGGCAAAAACAAACGAAATGCACTGTGCAAATGCACTTTTCGGGTCAAATGCACCGTGCAAAACACTTTTTTTCGCGATTTTCGCAGCGACAACCCAAAACGTTCAAATCCGCACGGTGCAAAATTATCAGGACTTTTTGTCCCGACTAGTACTGAATTTCACCTTTTCGTCCCATATTTTTGTAACGTTCAAAAGACCATCATTTTTTGGCTGTTGTGTTTTTTTACAAAAGAGCGTGGGACACAAAAAAACCCCATTTTCTAAACTGCAACTAAAACCTGAAGAAAGTCAAACAGACGATCTTTACAAATCTCGAACGATAAGAGACAAACCATGAAAAAAGAATAAATATTCGAAAAAACGGTAGACAGAAAACAAAACACCTCGGATTTTTCGCACAAAATAACTCACCATTCGGACAGGCCAACGTGATGTTTTCGCGGAGAAACACTCGGATCTCCTTGCACTGCACAGTGCCCAACAAACAGCCCAAGACAACAATGCGAAGTGCCCACATTTCCAACAGATTTCGGGAGGAAAATCGGGGTTACTGAGTAGCGTGTTACTCAATCAAATTTCCTTTTATAGACGAGGGAAAGTCGGCAAATTACCCGACCAAGTTACTTTAATTTTTGGGGTCAGTGTTCGCCGTTCGCAAGTCAGCGACGAAAAAATGGAGGATATTGTAATTGGCGGCGCTTAACCCGGATCTTACGAATCGAGGAACGGAGGGGAATTTTGGTGTTATTGTTGCGGAAAACGGGGGAAAATTGAAAAAAATGTTGAAAAAATTTAAAATAGACAAAAAAATTTGGTCGAAAAATTGTTACTATCAGTCTGTCGGGAAAATAATGAGCAGTCTGTCGCATCAAAAATCACATCGCCGCCGAGAAAATGAATTGTGTCGCGGCAAAATCAAATTGCCCTATTTTTGACCTCAGCGGCGCGATCGGCGCAGCGACATTGCGCTCATTATTTTCCCGACAGACTGATAGTCCGTTCGTAAAGCCGCCCGAGTTATTTTTTGTAAAAAGCAGTGTGCAGAAAATCTCAAAGAAAGTCAGGGTGCGAGTAACAGCCCGAAAAAGCCTATCGCACCGTGTATGAGGCATAAATGTCGGTCCGGAAGTCACCCGGCTGATCCCGGCGACATGCACTGTGCGAAAACTAAAGTTCACTTCGCACTATGCAATTCTTGGCTTTTTGCACCGTGCAATGGGTTTTTCCGGGTTTTCGCTCGCATCCTGGCTTTTCTTGCAGAGTGCGAATCTCAAAAATCTGTCCGGCGACTTTATGAACGGGCCATCAGTCTGTCTGCATATTGCACCGAAAATTCAAGAAATTGCACGGTGCAAGTGAACTTGTGTTTTCACAGATTTCAGTTCAGGCGTTTTCCGGAAGGCCTAGTATTCAAAGTGCGACTCTCAGATTTCCTTTAAATTTTTGCATACGTTTTGGCCACACGCCAGTTATCAATCTCTGAATGTTTTAGCTCGCGTTTTTTCGGAGCAGCCGACTCAACGTCCTCTGCCGACCAGAGAATTCCCAAAACACGGAGAACGGTCAGAGAGAAAAACACCTCTTTGCCGTATTTTGGCCCTGTCAGCACCATTTGCAAAACAAAATTTTTATATTGCTGACGCAAATAAAACATCAGGCTGATTCAGATTCCCTTTATCACTTTTAGGAAACATGCTGTAATAACGGATATAAAATGCATCCAAAATCAATCAAATAGAACTTTAACGCTGCGTTTTTTGCAAAACATGACGCGTAGAGCTTTCTTCGCACAGTGGATATAAGAGTCCTGCTGGAAAGTTGTTGGACTGATTTTGGCGACTAGGCGATAAAGGTCAGGGTGCAAGCGACAGCCCAAAAAGAGCCTATTTCACGGTGCAAAGAAAACTTTTGTTTTCGCACAGTGCATGTCGCCGATTACAGTTCGGCGACTTTCCAGAAGGACTAGTATTGAGGCTGGGCTATTGGTAAATAATGATTGTTTTATTTTTGCCAGCTCCATCACTTCCAATACTCTAGTTTGTAGTTTCTGTTGAAGCTTCATGCCCTTCCCTCAGAAAGACATTTTAAGTTCTGTTTTGTGCACCAGGGTTGGGAACTACCATCCATTACGGTTTTTACAGCAGTTCTAATCCTGTTGACGATACAAACAATATTCTAATTTTTGTTTCAGCTGGTTTATTTTGTATTCACATTCTACCCTATTTGTATAACACAAACCCGCATTAGAGTCCTTAACCTGTATTTTCTACTCAAAGTCGGCGAACTCCAAACTCTAAACTACAAGCCAATCTTTGGAATAAGGCCGAAGAGGCCAACTGAAGAAACCGGGTTAAAAAATAAATAAAAAATCAATATGCCATTCACCATCTCAAGATTTTTTTGAGATGGTGACTTTTTTCCTCGTATAACATGTCACCTTTCATTTTGGATCATTTTGAAAAGAAATTTTTGAAATTTCTTGATAAAAGCGGGACTCTTCGGTATGGCGGGACTTTTCGTTTTTTTTGTCTGACCAGACATGGCTACAGGGCCGCGCTTTTGACATTTCTGGGCCTTCGGCATAGCCCTCGTCAAGGTCGGCCCCCTTTGAAATTTTCGAAGCTCGTGGGAGTCTTCAAAATTTCCGAAGCCCGGCCTGGTCCCTCCCATGTGTGTGTAGAATTCCTCAAAAAGCGGGCCTCTTCGGTTGGCGGGCCTCTTCGAAGAAGAGGGCCTCTTCGGCTGCAAAGCCATTCTTTGAACGAAGAGCCAGCAGAAGTCGAGCAAAGGCGGGCACATGAAACAAGTTACATCTTCGCCCGTAAACAACTACAAACTAGACCCTCACAATTAATGCAAAAACCTCCGGGTTCAAGCCCTAGAAATACAGGCTCTAAGGCCATTTGTTTCACGAAGAATTGCTGCAGCATAAAAGTGGCTTAGCAGTAAATTAAAGGTAAATTAAAGGTATCGATTTACAGCGGAAGTGCCTCAAGTGCGACGCAAAATTTTCAAAAGAAATCTTTGTGATTTTTGGATCGCGTTTTACAGAAATTATCGGCCAGAAACTAAAGTTTCAAAAGTTTTTTAATTCGCGTTCTACAGAAACCACTGATATTTTGTGGCCAGAAAATATTTATGGCCCTCTTAAACACGACTATTTTTTGCAGATTCAACCTTTTTCGCAAAATGGGACCTCTCTCCAGACCCCAAATTTTCGGCGCGGATTCGAAGCCCACCTTCGTACAATGCGCAAAAACCCCGTGGAAATCGATCTACATCAGCGGAATTGTGGCCTTCTTCACAATTACCCAGTACGCCATGTTCTTCAGCTCCATGTGGCCGTATTTGCAGACGGTGAGTGATTTTGTTTTTGTGCGGGTTTATGGGGATAAATTGTGAGTTTTAACTTGACTAAAAGACCCTGCAACCCTCAAATTTCCTTTAAGTTTTGCATGCATCTCGGACATGGATCATATATCAATTACTGAAAATTTTAGTTCGCGTTTTGCAGGCGCAGCCGATATATTCAACGATCTTTGGCGACGAGAGAGTGGCCAAAATGGAGAGAACGGGAAGAGAAAAACACTGGCCATATATTTATTGGTTTAGCACGGAAACATGATTTTTTGTAGAAACATTACACTCTACAGTAAAAATAAGTATGAAACTTTTCATGCCAAAATTCGCAAAAAAGGTGTTACATTTTTTCCAACTTTTGATCCAAAAATCACGGTCATTTTTGCAAAGCGTGAGGTGACAGTAAGAGCGAAGGAATAAGAATTTTTTCTCGAGCTCGAGAATGTTTGCTGGATTCGCTACCAATTTCAAAAAGTAGCGAAACGATCGATTTGCGACGTGGTCTCGGTAGCGAATCCTTTTTTTCGCGACCTCCGAAAAAAGTCGGTCGCGAATCGGCGTTTTCGCTACCTCCGCGAGAGAGGAGGTAGCAAAACGAGTTTTTGCGACGGCGCGGAATTGGTAGGTAGCAAATCCGTGGATTTGCGACCTCCCAAATTGACTCCGCCCACTCCGGCGGAAATCTTTTTCCAGCTCTCCTGTTTACCGTTTTGAATATATTTCGAGTGTATAAAGCACTATTCACAACTCCCATACATTTTTCTTGACAATAACAATTTATTAAAACAAATAATCCGAAAAATAACAAGACGTAAGAGAGGAAACAGATATTTTACATTTAAATCGATATAAAATAATTCTTGCACGACTAAATAGACAAAAATACAGCCTCTTGGAAACACAAAGGTAAACAATAATAAAGCTTAACATATGGCCAATAGAAAGACTAACAAAATCTCTAATAAATACGACCTGGCCATATCGCGATATGGCCAGGGATGAAATAGACAATCTTGCAAGTCCTTGTGGAGACACGGACCTGGAACCGCCGGGGAGGTCCTGGATCTGCTGGGGACTTCCCGGATCTGATGTGCGGCTAGGACAGAAGTAGCCGCGGCTTTTGATTGGGCCCGTCATGTTTCTCCTAAAGCAATAAAATCAAATAAAAATCTTCCTTACAATCTTGTAGACCCACAACCATTTCGTGCACATCTTCGATATATCCTCATGTGGTCTCCAATATATGGCCTTCTGTGTCGGATATAGTGGACAATTCTGTCTTCAAGGAATTTCTCGTCAACGCATCGATCCCACACTCCATTCTTTTTAAATTTGACCAAGAGACTTCTCCATTTTGGCGCATCTTGCTCGAACCATATCTTATTGATGAAACCGACACATTCTGATCCTTGTCTTCATACTAAAAAACAATATACAAACAGTAAAGCTTACATAAACAATGGCCAAACACAGAAATCGGAGAAACCTGCTTCAACAACTCTTTCAAACGGTTCGACTGGCCAAAAACGGTAGGATGTTTGATTGATACGGCCGAAGACATCCTTGTTACTCTGCTAAAACAATAAAATACCAAGAAAAAAAGCTTACCTAAATGTCCAACCATGAATTCGGCCCTCGGTTGCCTTCAATTCGGATTGAATGAACAGAAATCCCATGAAAATTCGACCTAAAATCCGTGGCATTTCGTTTTCACGGGCGGCTTCGTGGAAACTGGACAGAGTGAAATTGGACAGAGTGAAATTGGACAGAAATAATTTGGACAGAGCGTGGAAATTGGACAGGGTGAAATTGGACAGAGTGAAATTGGACAGAGTGAAATTGGACAGATTTTCGCTGCAATCGTACGAAATGTCAATATTGAATCATCAAATAATTATTTTTTGCAGTGAAAAAAATCTGTCGAGTTTCACTCTGTCCAATTTCACTCTGTCCAATTTCCACGCTCTGTCCAAATTATTTCTGTCCAATTTCACTCTGTCGAATTTCACTCTGTCCAATTTCCACGAAGCCTCACGGGCCGCGAAAATATTCGCCACTTCATAAATTCTTTTTTCTTCTTTTCTTATGTTTCCTTCTGTTGAAGTTGGCCAATTGATCAGAGAAGCTGAATGTGAAGATAAAACGACTCGGGGACGAAATTGGCTGGAAAACAAGGCTTTTTGACTCCATGGTAAGCTGATTTGTTATTATTTTTTGATTTTGGACGAGATTTCCAATTTTTTCTACATTATTACTGGCAAGAGCGTTATAGATCGTTTTCAGGAGGCCGAAACAATGAAATCGGACAAAGGACAAGTCGTGTGGTAGTTGCTAAAGGAGGTAAGATTTGATTTAAGTATTATTACTTTGTTTTTAGGTAATTTAGAGATTGAAATTGTTACCTGGAAACAATTTCACTCTCGTCGGTCGTATTTTTGCCCAAGACTATGTCCATTTCGATGGTCGGATTAGACACATGCACTATGAGGTAAATATGAAGGTCTTTTTTTCTAAAAATTAGAAGGAAATGTTATATTGCTTTTGATTTCCAGGAAGATCCATATGCGGCCATGTTCATCAACCCCAGCCATTGACTCTTGGGCCATCTCTGGAGAATATTGTGGAAAAACAAATGTTCTTCAGCCCCATCCATTGACTCTCCGGCCATATTTGGACAAAATTGTGGAAAAAATAAAATATATTCTTCATGAAATGTACGTCATTTTACAATAAATGTTTTAATGAATCGAGGGACGTTTTTTCTTTCATAGTATCGTAAATGTACGATTTATAAGCTAAAATTTTCACCTTGAACGGTGTTTTTCCGTCAAAAAAGAAAAAAAGTGATGGCTGAAAAACTGAGGGGGCGGAGCTTATTTTGGGACGTCGCAAATCCATGGATTTGCTACCTCCCAATTTTGCGCCGTCGCGAAATGGCCGATTTGCTACCTCCCAATTTTGCGCCGTCGCAAAATGGCCGATTTGCTTCCGACGCCTTTTTTGGAGGTTGCAAATTGAGATTTCCGCTACTTTTTGAAATTGGTAGCGAATCCAGCAAACATTCTCGAGCTCGAGAAAAAATTCTTATTCCTTCGCTCTTCAGTCACGTATATGCCTTCTAAAATTTTTCTCTCAATTTTTGTCAAGCAGATTTCATCAAAATTATCGGCCAAAGAAACGTTATTATTTGCCCGAAAATTACGAAAAAATAATTTTTCAGTCAAAAAATAGCCCAATAAAATAAAAATCTGGTCAAAACCGCAATTTGACATAAGCAGACCTCGTTTTTTTACTATTGAAAACACATAATTTTGGCCATTTTTCAGTTGGACCCCGAGATCACCGAGCCCTTCTACGGTTACATCGTCGGCGCCTACAGTATCGGAAGTATCGTAACTTCACAACTATTCAGCCGATGGAGTAGTAAGACAAGGACAGTGCGAGGACCTCTAATCGCGTGCATGACATGCATGGCAATTGGGAATATCATCTACTTCTTGGTTCCCATGGCTTCGGTTCCGCTGAGAAAGTGGATGATGCTGATTGGACGGCTGATCCTCGGCGCTGGCGATAGTAAGTTTATAATTGGATTTGGAATGTTATTTGTCATACTAGAGTTTTCCCAAAAAAAAACTTTATTCGGCGAAAAAATTTGTAAACAATCGGTGTTTTGCAAAAAATCCAATTTTAAAATGTCTTTCAAAACAAATGTAATATCGTTGTAAGGCATGATCTAATTTTCTTCAAATTTTGCATACATTGCGGCTATAGGCTGCATATCAATCCCTGAAAATATTAGCTGAGGCCTTGGAAGAGTAGCCGAGATATTGAACGATCATTACAGCCGAGTGGGACGCGAAAGGCGGAGAGTGGTCAGACAGAAAAAAGCGTTTTGGCCATATCTCTGCCAATCGTGCGCGGAAAAAATTGATTTTTTGTGGAAACATTACTCTTTACAGTACAAATAAGTACAGAACTTTTCATGTCAAAGTTTGCAAAAAAAACAGTGATTTTCTCCCAACTTTCGACCTAAAAGTCTCGATCCGGTTTCAGCAAAATGCCAGCTAGAATTCACGCATACATCTATAGAAAAATTTTTCCAAATTCCTCCCAGGTTTCATCAAAATCAGTACGCCGTGCTTTGAGCGCTTCCCTTGTAAACTTTTCTTGTCCCAATTTCTCCCACCTTTCAGACAGTCTAGCCCTTCTTCAAGGCTACGCCTCCACCGCCTCAACGCCCAAAGACCGTCCCAAGGCCGTCGCCGTGATGACTTGCGGTCTCTCGGTGGGCTTTGCCGTCGCTCCCGCCCTCCAAATCTGTTTCTCGCCAATCGGCAGAGGATTTCGAATCTTTGGCGAGGTCGGGTTGGACATGTATTCTGCGCCGGCAGCGGCTGCATTGGTCTCTTCTATCTGCGCCATTCTTCTCATGAGATTCGTGTTTGTGGAGGAGTACGCGGGTATCAGTTCCAAAACCGAGGAAAAGTCGGTCAATCTCCCACCGCCGGATCGGCTGGCGTTGGCGTTGTGCTGTTTAGGAAGGTACATCCAGTTCTTTACGTTCGTCAATTTGGAAGCCATCGGCGCCGCCTATGTTGAGACGTATTTCGGGGAGCAACGAGAGGATGTGGTTGTGTTCATCTCCGCCTCTCATATTGCGTGCGGATTGATGTCGTTGGCGTTGTATGTCTTGTACATCTTTATGCAGCTGGGAAAGAAGTAGGTGCCATCTTTTTATGCAAGTAGCTGAACTGATTCCTTCTTCAGAGTGAACGCACGGTTAATGGTGATCTCATCGTTCCTGACGTTCTGCCTCTTCTACGTGGTCACATTCCAATGGCCCTTCGCTGACGGAAATATTCAGACATACACAGAAGTTGGTAAGTGGAATGGAGGTCTAACCATGTAAAACTTGATTACATCGAGTCTTAGAAACTAGTGCATGTTTAACACGGGAGACGCCTAATACACAAGTTTATCACCATTACTCTTCGCAAAGGCTTATTTAGAAGAGTCCGAGCCAACTTTCTGGCCAAACATTTCGCTGTACATTGTATAAAAAGTCATCGCCAATCCAACTTCTGCCACAACTTAGAACTATAGATCGAGATGAGAGGGGGCCTTATTTTACCCTTTCCGATTGCAACACCCTAATAAAAACCACGCAAAATACATAGATATCAGTGTGTCGGGAAAATAATGAACACAATTTTACTACGCCAATCGCATCATTAAAGCCACAAGCTAACTTTGCCGCGACACGATTCATTTTCTCGGCGGCAATGCGGCTTTTGATGCGACAAAATCCTTAGGCGCTAGACGACCATGACAATATTTGAACTCACAATGTTAAACGCCGGGGGTAACGGGTATGTACTGAACTTGACCATACAACACGATAGACACAGTAGACAAACAGAAATACACTTCATTGATCCAAACACAACAACAGCTCCCTCCAAGTTTAAATTCTTTCAGAATTCCGCGGATTCCTCAACGGGACCTCCGGAGAGGAGCCGTTGGGCTGTAATGTCGATCGCTACAGTTGGTGCGAGCCGATGGCCCCAACAAGTAAATGGCTGTATTTCGTAGCATTTGCGATTCTCATCGGGTTCGGCTGGCCCAACATCAACATCTGTTTGTTGACCATCTATTCGACCGTGATTGGACCGAGACATCAAGCGTATTATCACGGCATCTATCAGATGTGCGCCAGTGCAGCGAGACTGACCGGCCCGATTTTGATGAGGTAATTTGCCGTTCCAAATGTTTGTTACAACAAACTTTTCAGCGCTCTCTACCGCTCGGCCGGACCTCGCTACGTGTGGGGCGTTGCGATTGTGGTCTTGTCGGTATACTCACTACTATTGTCGGTGTTCTACAAACGTTTGGTGCCGCTGGAAACGGCTCAAGAAAAGAGACGCTCCAAAGCCGCGGTGGCCGTTGTTGAAGAGCCGTCGACGTGACTGCGAAGCATTAAAGATAATTTTTTATTTTATTGTACATGGGTTGTGCATCGACTTGAATTTGTTTCGACATCGATACGGTCTCTAGTCTCCTACGAACGAGTATATGTGATAAATTTAATAAATTAAAAATTTTAAAATAATTTTTTTTAGTTTAAATTTCGTTGATACCCCACCCTCCTCCCTAAGCCGGGCAGGAAGAAAAAAGGATCGTAGACCAAGGTAACTTTAATTGAATCCAATCTTCATATGATCATATTTCACTAATCACATGTAAAAATCATAGAGTGAATCAGTATGGTTTTTATTGGCCAGTCAATGAAAAATTCGTCAGAGTTGGCTATAGTGCTTTGGTCCTTCTTATCGCGGGGCGTCCCCGAGCGGTTGTATGTAGGAGGTGTCCCGAGATTAGCTCCACCGTTTCCTTTTTCCAAATATTTCTCGAACTGCTCCAATTTCCCCTCGCTTCGAATTGATCAACATTGACTGTACGAACTCGAAATCCAATACGATTGATGGCTAATGTCCCAGCAAAGCCCTTTGCAAAAGCTAATGTCCCAGCAAAGCCCTTTGGAAATCAATTGGGTTCTGCCCGCACAGGTTCGAATCCTGTCGACTGCGCCAATTGTTGTATCCTTAGCGCCAGCTGTTGTATGTTGACTGGTGGAGGTGAAGGTACGGAGTCAGCCAGATGTAGAGGGATAATAAGTATAAGTTTATTATCAGAATAGAGCAACAATACGTAGCATCACACCAAACATTCACTGAATGAATATAACAACTGAGATCCTATTTCTCTTCCAAGCTTCGAGAAGCTTCGAATGAAACGGAATGCCAATACAGTAATCTATTCCTGTTTCGGGACACAACACTTTGTGTTCGCGACAGCATGGCTGGACAGGAAAAACCGACCGCTCTCCGAGGAGGAACAATCTTTCAGGTAATTAAAAAAAAAAAAAAAGAATTTTGCATGGTGGCCCCCCTGAAGACTGAACTTTTAGACAGCTACACCCCTGCTGCGTAGTTTTGAAACATCATGATATTTATTATCAATTCTGGTGAAACACCGCTGACAATGATCGAAACAAAATCCTTGTTTAAGCCCTGAGTCATGTTGATGCAATATGTATCACTGTCGGGAAAATAACGTCGGGTCGTCGCATCTTGGAATCGCCCATCACCGGTTTGCGACGGCTGCTGGAAATTTGGTGCGCGGCCCTTTTTTCGAAACTTTTTGCTGCGACAAACCGCCCTTATTTCCCCGACAGACCGATATTTCCACTACTATTTTAGCTCCCCACGTTTTGGCTGATCAGTGAAGTTTCTGACAAGCCACAATTTTCTTGTTGATATATGCAGATCCTGAAAGCGGCTGCAATGTTCTCCCTCTATACTTTTCCAACTACTCTGCTGTTACTCTAGTCTGTGCGCGCAATGTGCACTTCACAATTCTTGTGAATCTTTTTTTTTGTTGTTTTTTGAACCTTTCGTTTGTAAAGGCCTCAAGAGAAAGAGGATCAATTTTAGGTCAAAATAAGCCTTTGTAAAGTCAAGCCCGTCTATAACGAATATCCTTTTTTGGCCACTTTTTTTTGGCTTGTAATGACAGTGGAAGTGCTCCAAGTGCGACGGTCAGATTTTAATAAAAACCGGGACAAATTTGGAATTAGTTTATATAAGACATATGCAAGACTTCTACGGAGTTGGACGATTGGGGAAAAAGACGATTGGGGAAAGGGACGATTGGGGAAACCGAAAAGTATTATTTTTCTTCTATGCAAATGTCGAAATTAGGATAATCGAGGATGTTGATTTCGAAAATCATGTTAATTTTTTCTGAACTTTCCTAGTCTTCCTTAAGTAGTAGCGTTAAAAAGTAGCTTTTTGAAATTTTTCTAAAAATACTGGATAAAGGGGTTTTCGAGGGTGCTGATTTCGAAAATGACGTTCATTTTTTGATTCTTACTTTTTTCCTTAAGTAGTACTGTTAAGTAGTAATATTTTGAAAAATTTCCAAAAATACTGGATTTAGGGGTTTTCGAAGGTGCTCCGAAAAAGTGAAAACTGTCTGATACTATATCACAGAAACGCCCGAGATTTTTCGATCAAAAGCTGGAGAAAAAACAAAAGTTTTTTTTTTGCATTTTGGCATGGAAAGTTTCGTAGTTATTTCTACTGTAAAGAGTAATGTTTCCACAAAAAATCAATCTTTTCCAGACAAAAATGGCCAAGATATAGCAAAACAAATTTCCCTGTGTTCTCCATGTTTTGTGTACTCTCAAAGATCGCTGAATATCTCACCCGCCCCTGCAAACCGCAAGCTAAGATTTTCAGTAGTTGATATTCCCTATATATCGAAACAGTTTACCGAAAAAATATGATTTTGTATCAAAAAGTATCAAAAAGTCTCAATTTCAAGTCAATAAGGAGACAAAAGCAAACTCGAAGTTCTTGAAACCGTTGAAAAAGTGACGTCTTTGCACGTCAAAAACTACAAACTTGACCCTCGAAATTAATGCAAACACCCCGAGTTCAAAACCCTAGAAATACAAGTCCCGAGGCCATTCGTTTTCCAAAAATTCATAGTGGAGAGGTGGGCTTAACGGTTCCGAGACAGATTTCGCTGAATTTTTTTTTTTCAATTTTGACGATTCAAAGTTGCCATCGTACGATTAGTTGGGTTTCTAGGTCGCGCTTTGCAGAAATGAATGGGATCTTTTGGGATTTTTCGGTCGAAAATTGAAAGTTTGCGTCTAAAATGGTCGAAAATTTTTTTGAAAATTTATTTGTTGTGAAATTTGAATCATTTTTAAATCGCGTTTTGCAGAAATAACTGCAGTCCTTGAGTTGAAAAATTCCAAAAAAATCATTAAATTTTCAAAAAATCTTTTGTAGGTTTCGAATTTCAAAAATTTCAACAAAAAAACAAATTTTAGATCGCATTTTGGGGAAATTAATTTTAAAAATAGCTTAAAAAATGCTTTTTTTTTATTAAAATTTGATTTTTTTTCAAAAATTCAAAAAATTTTTTAACCGCGTTTTGCAGAAACCTCCAACATTTTTGGCCAAAAAATATTTATGGCCTTCTAAAACTCAATTACTTTTTCAGATTCAACCTTTTTCGCAAAATGGGACTTCTCTCCCGATCCCAGATTTTCACCGTAAATTCGGCGCCCACCTTCGTGCGATGCGCAAAAACCCCGTGGAAATCGATCTACATCACCGGCATTATGGCCTTCCTTACAATCACCCAGTTCGCAATGTTCTTCAGCTCCATGTGGCCGTATTTGCAGACGGTAAGCGGAGCGACATTTTTGCTTCTTATTTAGAAAATTGACCTTACATTTTCAATGTTTTTGTATTCTTTTCTTGATTTCTGAAGCTTACAAGAGTCCCAAGTGGGACGCTCAGATTTTCTTCAATTTTTTCATACACGGCTCGTATACAGGGGGGCCTGATCCAGTGGCAAAAACCCTACCATTTTGCGCACAGAAAGTATCAAAAAATGTGGCAAAATACCTCCCTCTCCAAGTGAAAAAACTCCGATTTCAAAAGCGCGCCGGCTTATTTTGTAATGTAATGGGCGCGGCGCCCTTCAAACCGAAGTTTTTTTCACTTGGAGACGGAAGCATTTTGCCACATTTTTGACACTTCCCGGATGCAAAATGGCACGTTTTTTGTCACTGGATCAGATCCCTCACTGTATCAATTCCTGAAAGTTTTAGCCCGCGTTTTACAGGAGCAGCCAGGATATTCAACGATATTTGGGGCCCAGAGAGTACGCAGAGGGCGGAGAGCGGTCAAAGAAAAATTTTTTTGGACCGTATCTTTGCCAGTTTTACAAGGGAAAAATTGATTTTTCGTGGAAACATTACTCTCTGCGGTAGAAATAACTACGAAACTTTTCATGCCAAAATTGGCAAAAAACTGTCATTTTTTCGCCAACTTTCCATCTAAAAATCTCGGGGTTTCCTTGCAAAAATATGAGCTAGGAGCCTTTTACAGACGTCAGAAAAATATTATTCTAAACTTGTGCCAAATATCATCAAAATCTGGGCATTGCCCTTGAAGCATTTCCCATGCTGACATTTTAATAAAAATTGTTTTCAGTTGGACCCCGAGATCACCGAGCCCTTCTACGGTTACATCGTCGGCGCCTACAGTATCGGAAGTATCGTAACTTCGCAACTATTCAGCCGATGGAGTAGTAAGACAAGGACAGTTCGAGGGCCTCTAATCGCGTGCATGACATGCATGGCGGTGGGGAATATCATCTACTTCTTGGTTCCCATGGCTTCGGTTCCGCTGAGAAAGTGGATGATGCTGATTGGACGGCTGATCCTCGGAGCTGGCGACAGTAGGTTGAAAATTGAATTTGGAATATGATTTATGATACTACATAGAATTCTCTGCTTTTTAAAAAGAACTTTTGAGGGCAAAGAGATGTGTAAAGGATCGGTTTTTTGCAAAAAAAAAATCCAATTTTTACAAGGAAAGTACTTTTATGGGGGCTCCTACTTTTTGACGGGACATATCTCAAAAAATCAGAAAAAATGTGCTGATCAAGGATGTATAAATCCTAGCTGCCCATTTTAGGTTTTTAGGGGTGAAAACTCAATCGGAAGTTGACTTAAAGTCCTATATAAACCCCTTTTCGCTTAATTTTTCACAGGTTTACAATTTTTATTTTGGCTTAAAATGATGTTTATTGAATTTCTAAGGCATAATAAATCAGTCTTGGCACAAAAATTTATTTTTCCAACCTTCATCTTCAAAAAAAGTTGATTCAGCCCAAAAGGGAAATCGAACCCATGCGGCGTTCCCCCTCTTGATTCCCAAACTACGGCACTAGCCACTCGGCCACATCGCTCTCTTCCGAAGGAAGAGACGGACTGCGCTTTTTATCGTTTTGAATGCCTGCGCCTTTTGTAGGGAAATTAAAGTACGTGTCTCACCAAGCCAGAGAATGTTTTTCCCTCCAACAGCTAAGTTTTTCGCGGCGGGACGCGCGCCCAATGGGCGTGCCACTGAAAATAAAAATATTTTTCCAAATAAAATTGATGTTGAACTGTAAAACTGATGTTTGAATGGAGTTTCCACCAGGTAAGCAAGATTTTATACCTATTTGAGCTTGAAAATACTATAATTGTTCTTAGTTGTCCAATTTTTTCTTAGTTTTCGCAATATTACGTTATTTTGCGGACAGATCAAGATTGGCAACGGAGAATTTCAGTTTTTCTTGGATATAATTTCAGGAATACACGCAAAATGGGCCATCCCAACACCGGAATCTCCTCCAATGCCATGAATATCACGAACTCCTTCTCCAAAGGTGATTTTTGAACGCATTGGTATGTTGTTTTAGTTTATTATTCCATTTTTATTTAGATTTTAGGTAAATCTCTTCGTATTTATCGATGCTGAAGCCTCACGTCTCGTCCGGTACAACAATCGCCCCACCTTCTCTTCTGGCGAGATTCGGAGAATTGATCATGAACGATGGTTCAACGCTCCCACTTCAGCCATTACTGATCCCATACGGCCCTCTTTAGGGCCACATATTACGCTTATATTATTTTACTTTTATAAATAACTATTTTTGTTCGACTTTATCGTATTTATGGTGGTTTACATTTTGTTTTATAGACAGTTTCAGGTCTAAACCTTCATAAAAACCCTTCCTTCAGAAAGGATTTACATGCTCTGAAAATCTTGTATTGCAATCTACAAAAAAATCTTTATTTACATCCAAAGGTTCAATATCAGAGAAATGTGGCCCTAAAGAGGGCCGTATGGGATCAGTAATGGGTGAAGTGGGAGCGTTGAACCATCGTTCATGATCAATTCTCCGGGTAGAATCACGGAACGAAATCCGGATTTCGCCCGAAGAGAAGGTAGGGCGATTGTTGTACCGGACGAGGCGTGAGGCTTCAGCATCGATAAATACGAAGAGATTTACCTAAAATCTAAATAAATAATGGAATAATAAACTAAAACAACATACCAAAAAATCACCTTTGGAGAATGAGTTCGTGATGTTCATGGCATTGGAGGAGATTCCGGTGTTGGGATGGCCCATTTTGCGTGTATTCCTGAAATTATATCCAAAAAAACTGAAATTCTCCGTTGGCAATCTTGATCTGTCCGCAAAATAACGTAATATTGCGAAAACTAAGAAAAAATTGGACAACTAAGAACAATTATAGTATTTTCAAGCTCAAATAGGTATAAAATCTTACTTACCTGGTGGAAACTCCATTCAAACATCACTTTTACAGTTCAACATCAATTTTATTAGGTTGATTCAAAAGTTTTTCCACATGTCTTTAAAAAATTTAAAAAAATTTAGACCAAAGCCAGTGGGCCTGATATATATCTTGTTAGAAAGAGGGCTGTTTGTAGATTATAGCAGATTAATAACTTTTTACAACTTAGCAATTTGTAGTAGTAGCGCCGTGTTAAACCTTAACTACTCGAAGGAAGAAAAAGTAAACCGCCGGCGTTACGTCTAGAGTGGCTGTATCTTCTTAATATTCTAGAATATGGTATGCCTGTATGTAATCTCTATGGCATCGAGGACAATTTGCTATAGGGCTAGTCGAAAAATTTTTGCTGCGAAAAATCAAAAATTAGGGTCTGGCAAAAGTAGACCCTGTAGACGCAGCTATTAGAAGCACTAAGTGATAACGCTTTCTGTTATTGTAGTGTATGAGTAGCACTACAACGCCAATGCTAAACATTCGCGCTAGCTTTAGCTATGCGGCAGAAAAATCGAATCTTTTTAATCTACCAATATTTTACGTAATTTAGGGGATTTTTACAAAAACGTTTTCTGTTCATTACTCTCGCCCGGTATCCTAGTTATTTAATAAATAATGGATCCTACTTGACATACACTATCAGTTGCTAGACGCGTTAAGCTGAAGGTCCTCTTGAAATACCATTAAAAAAATTACAAAAATTCGCCTAAAAGTGCAGTTTATGCTACTTTTCTACCTTATAAGGCAATTTCAGTTGGTGACTTTTTGAATGTATCATCAGCATACTGTCTTTGTACAATCTGAATGGCAGCCGAGTCAAAAAAATCTAACTCCTTTCAAAAAATTTTTAAAAATCTGCTTTTGATCGGTAGCTCGGCTCTCCGGCCAACTTTATGGGATGCTACAAAAAACGTCAGTGTAGATATAAGTAGAGCAATAAATTCAGAAGAAACTACAGCCATCCCCAGTACGAATAACCCAAAACCCGAGACTTTTTAGTGGGCTGGAAAATTGCTAGGGCCCAGGATATTCACGATGACACAAACGGAGAAATTTTTAGCATTTTTGAAATATTCTGAAAGGAAGCTTGTAGAAAATAAAACGCCACGAATCAAAAAATTTGCAATGTTCTGCCCCATACATCTATGCTTTCAGTTTTAACGTACATTCAATCAGGCTCCAGGAATTTTATTTTGAAGTGTCTCAAAAAAATGTGTAAAAACTTTTGTATCAACCTAATATTTGGAAAAATATTTTTATTTTTAGTGGCACGCCCATTGGGCGCGCGTCCCGCCGCGAAAAACTTAGCTGTTGGAGGAAAAAACATTCTCTGGCTTGGTGAGACACGTACTTTAAGCCAGTTTTTGGGCATTTTCACCCCTAAAAACCTAAAATGGGCAGCTAAGATTTATATATCCTTGATCAGCACATTTTTTCTGATTTTTTGAGATATGTCCCGTCAAAAAGTAGGAGCCCCCATAAAAGTACTTTCCTTGTTAAAGTTTTTTGGCGATAGCAGGTTGAAGGTTCTCAGAATTGCTTTCACAATGGCTATAAATACCCCTAAATCTGTGTTTCAAAGTCTTGAAATCTATTTTTATACCGTCCGCATACTCATGTCAACTGATGTTAAATCTCATCGTTTTTTCAGACAGTCTGGCCCTTCTTCAAGGCTACGCCTCCACAGCCTCGACGCCCAAAGACCGTCCCAAGGCCGTCGCCGTGATGACCTGTGGGCTGTCGGTGGGCTTTGCCGTCGCACCCGCCCTCCAAATCTGTTTCTCGCCAATCGGCAGAGGATTTCGAATCTTTGGCGAGGTCGGATTGGACATGTATTCTGCGCCGGCGGCAGCTGCCTTGGTCTCTTCCATCTGCGCCATTCTTCTCATGAGATTCGTGTTTGTGGAGGAGTACGCGGGAATCAGTTCCAAAACCGAGGAAAAGTCGGTCAATCTCCCACCGCCGGACCGGCTGGCGTTGGCGTTGTGCTGTTTAGGAAGGTACATCCAGTTCTTTACGTTCGTCAATTTGGAAGCCATCGGCGCCGCCTACGTTGAGACGTATTTCGGGGAGCAACGAGAGGATGTGGTTGTGTTTATCTCCGCCTCTCATATTGCATGTGGATTGATGTCGATGATCCTGTACTTCTCGTACATCTTCATGCATCTGGGAAAGAAGTGAGTGACCTTTTTCGGCCGCTGAGCCAATGTTGTTTTCAGAGTGAACGCTCGTTTGGTGGTGATTGGATCGTTCCTGGCGTTCTGCTTCTTCTACTTGGTCACATTCCAATGGCCATTCATTGGCGGGAATATTAAGACCTACACTGAAGCTGGTAAGGGGAAGTTTTGGGGTTAGAAATGAGGATCTGAGCTCGTGGTTTGCCACAGATTCTTGACATGTTTTCGCCGGGTGCGGTCAGGAAAAGCGATCCCGTGATGAAAATTGTTTGATTCCGGGGTGATTTTTTTTTTTGATTTTTTCCGGGAAAAACTTGTTTTAGGGGTTTTCGAGGGTACTGATTTCGAAAATCGTGTTCATTTTTTCAAAAAACTTTAACAGGCTCCCTATCTAGGTTGTGACGTAGGTCAAGGGGGTCGCTCAAAGAACACCGGAAATAGACTCAATGTTTGATTATGATGGTCAAGAGTTTTTTAGATTAATCAAGTTCAGAAAAAATGAAGACAATTTTCGAAATCAGCACCCTCGAAAACCCCCTAAACCAAGTTTTTCCCGAAAAAATCAAAAAATTTTCTCCGCGGAGTCACTTTACCCCATTTTGGGTCGTCGGATCGCCGCCGCAAAGCGATTACGGGCGATTTTCAGGCGCCACGAATCCACATTATTTTCCCGACAGAATAATATCAGTCTGTCGGGAAAATAATGAGCACTCTTTCGCATCGAAAATCGCCTCGCCGCCGAGAAAATGAACTGTGTCGCGGTGAAAATCAAATTGCTTTGCACTTCAGCGCTCGGTGTACCGGCATTGTGCTCATTATTTTCCCGACAGACTGATAGTCAAATGCTTTCAGAATTCCGCGGATTCCTCAACGGCACCTCCGAAGAGGAGCCGTTGGGCTGTAATATCGACCGCTACAGTTGGTGCGAGCCGATGGCGCCCTCAAGTAAATGGCTGTATTTCGTGGCATTCGCGTTTTGCATCGGCCTTGGTTGGCCGAACATTAACGTCTGTCTGTTGACCATCTATTCGACGGTGATTGGGCCAAGACATCAGGCCTATTACCAAGGGATCCTGCAGATTTGCGCCAGTGCCGCGAGACTGACCGGCCCGATTTTTATGAGGTAATTTGTAGCTCCGAATACTAGTTATTATCAAATTTTCAGCGCTCTCTTCCGTTCGGCCGGACCTCGCTACGTGTGGGGCGTGGAGATTGTGGCGCTGTCGATCTACTCAATACTATTATCGGTCTTCTACAAACGTCTGGTGCCGCTGGAGACGGCTCAAGAAAGGAAGCGTTCAAAGGCCACAGTTACCGTTGTTGAAGAGCCGTCGGTGTGACTGTGAATGTCTATTTTTTTATTTCATTGTTAGTATATTCTCATTGTCAGTTCTGTAACACATTCTCCATACTACGCCCTTTCAAAAGTCCGTCACTTTTTGTCAGTTTCGTCGCTGTCGCGCACCTAATCTCCAGCTAGCCCTCGCACGGCGATGATTGGCATTTCCAACGCGAATCCACGTTATTTTCCAGACAGACTGATATATCAGTATGGGACCTGATTTAGTGGCAAAAAACGTACCATCTTGTGCCGAGGAAGTATCAAAAAATGTGGTAAAATACCTCCTTTCCAACTAAAAAATCAGATTTCAAAAGCCCGCTCTTTTGTGAGGAACCCTTCAAAACGAAGTCTTTTCACTTGGAGAGGGAAGCATTTTGCTACATTTTTTATACTTTCCGCATGCAAAACGGTACGTTTTTTGCCACTGGATCAGGTCCCTCTGTCATTATCATCCATTTTTTATTACTATAATAGTAATCAAAACACAATCTTTTTTCAGCCCTATAGTCATGTTGATGCAATATTTACACTACTATTTTTGCTCTCCACGTTTTCGCTGATCAGTTTGTACAAGCCATATTCTCCTTCTTGATATATGCAGATCCCTCAAAGGGACTGCAATGTTCTCCATTTATACCCTTATTTCTCTTATAACTCTCGTAGTTTGTGCTCAAAATCCCAGTGAATCTTTTTTTTGAATTTTGTGCTTGTAAAGATGCAATAAACTTTTAATCGGTATATGTACATCATACGTTACTTTACATTTAATTGTAATATAAAAATAAGGATAGAGCGTGGGCGCAGCTTATGGTGAGAGAGTGCTGTAAATTTTGACGTTCGGCCCAAGAACAAAGAAGTTATAGCCAATCCAATCGGACCACAAAGATACACCACCTGAATGAGGCCGAGCTTTGAAAGTCTTTCCAAAGGGCGACAACTTTATTCTATCAAGAAGTACCCAAAAACCTCAATTTCAAGTCGCTCCGGAGACAACAACTATCAGAACAATTGCGCCCGTACTGGCCTGAAAACTTTGATATTACACTAGGCACCGGTTTAAAAAAAAGTGAATTGGAAATGTCGGAGTGAACCAACGTGACCTACACCATTTGAAACGTAACAGAATGGAACTTCAACACCGCAAGTCTCACCTTTTTTGGAGCCAAATTGCGCCCGTACCGGGCCAAATACTTTGATATTACACATGGCACCGGTTTAAAAAAAAGTGAATTGGAAATGTCGGAGTGAACCGACAAGACCTACAGCATTCGAAACGTTACAGAATGAAATTTCAACACTGCAAGTTTCACCTTTTTTGGAGCTAAACTGCGCCCGTACCGGGCCAAACACTTTGATATTATACTAGGCACCGGTTTAAAAAAAAAGTGAATTGGAAATGTCGGAGTGAACCGACGGGACCTACAGCATTCGAAACGTTACAGAATGAAATTTCAACACTGCAAGTTTCACCTTTTTTGGAGCTAAACTGCGTCCGTACCGGGCCGAACACTTTGATATTATACTAGGCACCGGTTTAAAAAAAAGTGAATTGGAAATGTCGGAGTGAACCGACGGCACCTACAGCATTCGAAACGTTACAGAATGAAATTTCAACACTGCAAGTTTCACCTTTTTTGGAGCTAAACTGCGTCCGTACCGGGCCGAACACTTTGATATTATACTAGGCACCGGTTTAAAAAAAAGTGAATTGGAAATGTCGGAGTGAATCGCCGAGACCTACACCACATGAAACGTTACAGAATGAAATTTCAACACTGCAAGTTTCACCTTTTTTGGAGCTAAACTGCGTCCGTACCGGGCCGAACACTTTGATATTATACTAGGCACCGGTTTAAAAAAAGTGAATTGGAAATGTCGGAGTGAATCGCCGAGACCTACACCACATGAAACGTTACAGAATGAAATTTCAACACTGCAAGTTTCACCTTTTTTGAAGCCAAACTGCGCACGTACCGGGCCGAACACTTTGATATTACACTAGGCACCGGTTTAAAAAAAAGTGAATTGGAAATGTCGGAGTGAACCGACGTGACCTACAGCGTTCGAAACGATACAGAATGAAATTTCAACACTGCAAGTTTCACCTTTTTTGAAGCCAAACTGCGCACGTACCGGGCCGAACACTTTGATATTACACTAGGCACCGGTTTAAAAAAAAGTGAATTGGAAATGTCGGAGTGAACCGACGTGACCTACAGCGTTCGAAACGATACAGAATGAAATTTCAACACTGCAAGTTTCACCTTTTTTGGAGCTAAACTGCGTCCGTACCGGGCCGAACACTTTGATATCATACTAGGCACCGGTTTAAAAAAAAGTAAATTGGAAATATCGGAGTGAACCGACGGGACCTACAGCGTTCGAAACGATACAGAATGAAATTTCAACACTGCAAGTTTCACCTTTTTTGGAGCTAAACTGCGTCCGTACCGGGCCGAACACTTTGATATCATACTAGGCACCGGTTTAAAAAAAAGTGAATTGGAAATGTCGGAGTGAACCGACGGGACCTACAGCATTCGAAACGTTACAGAATGAAATTTCAACACTGCAAGTTTCACCTTTTTTGGAGCTAAACTGCGCCCGTACCGGGCCGAACACTTTGGTATTATACTAGGCACCGGTTTAAAAAAAAAGTTAATTGGAAATGTCGGAGTGAACCGACGGGACCTACAGCATTCGAAACGTTACAGAATGAAATTTCAACACTGCAAGTTTCACCTTTTTTGGAGCTAAACTGCGCCCGTACCGGGCCGAACACTTTGGTATTATACTAGGCACCGGTTTAAAAAAAAAGTGAATTGGAAATGTCGGAGTGAACCGACGGGACCTACAGCATTCGAAACGTTACAGAATGAAATTTCAACACTGCAAGTTTCACCTTTTTTGGAGCTAAACTGCGCCCGTACCGGGCCGAACACTTTCATATTATACTAGGCACCTGTTTAAAAAAAAGTGAATTGGAAATGTCGGAGTGAACCGAAGGGACCTACAGCATTCGAAACGTTACAGAATGAAATTTCAACACTGCAAGTTTCACCTTTTTTGGAGCTAAACTGCGCCCGTACCGGGCCGAACACTTTGATATTATACTAGGCACCGGTTTAAAAAAAAGTGAATTGGAAATGTCGGAGTGAACCGACGGGACCTACAGCATTCGAAACGTTACAGAATGAAATTTCAACACTGCAAGTTTCACCTTTTTTGGAGCTAAACTGCGCCCGTACCGGGCCGAACACTTTGATATTATACTAGGCACCGGTTTAAAAAAAAGTGAATTGGAAATGTCGGAGTGAACCGACAAGACCTACAGCATTCGAAACGTTACAGAATGAAATTTCAACACTGCAAGTTTCACCTTTTTGGAGCTAAACTGCGCCCGTACCGGGCCAAACACTTTGATATTATACTAGGCACCGGTTTAAAAAAAAGTGAATTGGAAATGTCGGAGTGAACCGACGGGACCTACAGCATTCGAAACGTTACAGAATGAAATTTCAACACTGCAAGTTTCACCTTTTTTGGAGCTAAACTGCGCCCGTACCGGGCCAAACACTTTGATATTATACTAGGCACCGGTTTAAAAAAAAGTGAATTGGAAATGTCGGAGTGAACCGACGGGACCTACAGCATTCGAAACGTTACAGAATGAAATTTCAACACTGCAAGTTTCACCTTTTTTGGAGCTAAACTGCGCCCGTACCGGGCCAAACACTTTGATATTATACTAGGCACCGGTTTAAAAAAAAGTGAATTGGAAATGTCGGAGTGAACCGACGGGACCTACAGCATTCGAAACGTTACAGAATGAAATTTCAACACTGCAAGTTTCACCTTTTTTGGAGCTAAACTGCGCCCGTACCGGGCCAAACACTTTGATATTATACTAGGCACCGGTTTAAAAAAAGTGAATTGGAAATGTCAGAGTGAACCGACGGGACCTACAGCATTCGAAACGTTACAGAATGAAATTTCAACACTGCAAGTTTCACCTTTTTTGGAGCTAAACTGCGCCCGTACCGGGCCAAACACTTTGATATTATATTAGGTTGGACGGAAAGTTCGTACGATTTTTTACCCAGATTTCAATTTAATTTTTTTCGCGCCAAAACCGAGTGCCCACCGTAAATACCTAGCATATACAAGAGTACAGTGTGCTGATTTATGTGCTACGTGCCAACCGTTAGCTCCGCCAAAACGAGCTTAATTATAAGAGATTTTCCGCTTTGCGGCTATTTCGGGTGGGGTCCAGAACGTAAGCTCTAGTTTCCAGATCGTTTTTGATAAAGCTCTGAAACTTTGTACGCAGTGTCCAGTGGTCTTTATGACTACGTTAAACACAATTAGAAATCATAAAAGAGTGTGTCGGATAAAATAATGGCAACACTTTGAACCAAATCTTCAGCAAAGGCCCCTCATGAAAACTTTTTCTTATTATTCCGCGTATTGCTTATGGTCTGCCTCTGTAATAGGGTCCAGTAAGGCAACTGGGTAGGCCTTTACGTGCATCATGAGTATCCCGGATAATAAACGCTTCGGGGTAGCCTTAAAGAGGCAAAATTGCCAAAAATATATAGCTCTACAGAAATGCGTGTGATTTGCTGACAATTAACAATGGTTACCTATTGCTTCATAAAGTAGTAGAACGATATAGAGGCTCCATTTTCCACCCTAGAAAGGGAGGACTCGAAAACTGCTTTGAGCTGTTTTTTGAATTTTACGAATTGCTCCGATAGTTCACCAGCGAGTTTTCGAAAAACAAGTCATTGAGTTCTGTCATGTCACGCAGTAAAACAATTGGCTAAGGACGGGTAGCTTAGTGTCAGGTAGTGTCTTTAGTTTTGGCATATCATAGTTAGACCCATAGGAATGCATCGGCAAAGCGGCTATTGTAATTATATTCAAACTTGGTGGGTATCGCTAAAATCAAGTTTTCTGGCTATGTTTGGATTTATTCCCCGACTACTTCACGCACATTAGGAGCTTCAAAAGGAAGCTTTTTAGCAGTGCTAAAATAGTTTCCTATTAGGCCTTGTTAAAGAAACCAGCCAAGAATCTCTACTTGTAGACCAAAGATGGGTAAATGTCTAAATTAAGTTCTCAGTTGGTAAACGCTTAAGATGGCTGAGGGTTGTACTGTCAGATATGGATGCCTGTCCTCTACCAACACCATATATTTGTGTTTGTCTTTTTACATCGGCTCAAGAAAAAATAGCAGCAGTAAAAAATCGTACGAACTTTCCGTCCAACCTAATACTAGGCACCGGTTTAAAAAAAAAGTGAATTGGAAATGTCGGAGTGAACCGACAAGACCTACAGCATTCGAAACGTTACAGAATGAAATTTCAACACTGCAAGTTTCACCTTTTTTGGAGCTAAACTGCGCCCGTACCGGGCCAAACACTTTGATATTATACTAGGCACCGGTTTAAAAAAAAAGTGAATTGGAAATGTCGGAGTGAACCGACGGGACCTACAGCATTCGAAACGTTACAGAATGAAATTTCAACACTGCAAGTTTCACCTTTTTTGGAGCTAAACTGCGCCCGTACCGGGCCGAACACTTTGATATTATACTAGGCACCGGTTTAAAAAAAGTGAATTGGAAATGTCGGAGTGAACCGACAAGACCTACAGCATTCGAAACGTTACAGAATGAAATTTCAACACTGCAAGTTTCACCTTTTTTGGAGCTAAACTGCGTCCGTACCGGGCCGAACACTTTGATATTATACTAGGCACCGGTTTAAAAAAAGTGAATTGGAAATGTCGGAGTGAACCGACAAGACCTACAGCATTCGAAACGTTACAGAATGAAATTTCAACACTGCAAGTTTCACCTTTTTTGGAGCTAAACTGCGCCCGTACCGGGCCAAACACTTTGATATTATACTAGGCACCGGTTTAAAAAAAAGTGAATTGGAAATGTCGGAGTGAACCGACGGGACCTACAGCATTCGAAACGTTACAGAATGAAATTTCAACACTGCAAGTTTCACCTTTTTTGGAGCTAAACTGCGTCCGTACCGGGCCGAACACTTTCATATTATACTAGGCACCGGTTTAAAAAAAAGTGAATTGGAAATGTCGGAGTGAACCGACGGGACCTACAGCATTCGAAACGTTACAGAATGAAATTTCAACACTGCAAGTTTCACCTTTTTTGGAGCTAAACTGCGCCCGTACCGGGCCGAACACTTTGGTATTATACTAGGCACCGGTTTAAAAAAAAAGTTAATTGGAAATGTCGGAGTGAACCGACGGGACCTACAGCATTCGAAACGTTACAGAATGAAATTTCAACACTGCAAGTTTCACCTTTTTTGGAGCTAAACTGCGTCCGTACCGGGCCGAACACTTTGATATTATACTAGGCACCGGTTTAAAAAAAAGTGAATTGGAAATGTCGGAGTGAACCGACAAGACCTACAGCATTCGAAACGTTACAGAATGAAATTTCAACACTGCAAGTTTCACCTTTTTTGGAGCTAAACTGCGCCCGTACCGGGCCAAACACTTTGATATTATACTAGGCACCGGTTTAAAAAAAAAGTGAATTGGAAATGTCGGAGTGAACCGACGGGACCTACAGCATTCGAAACGTTACAGAATGAAATTTCAACACTGCAAGTTTCACCTTTTTTGGAGCTAAACTGCGTCCGTACCGGGCCGAACACTTTGATATTATACTAGGCACCGGTTTAAAAAAAAGTGAATTGGAAATGTCGGAGTGAACCGACGGCACCTACAGCATTCGAAACGTTACAGAATGAAATTTCAACACTGCAAGTTTCACCTTTTTTGGAGCTAAACTGCGTCCGTACCGGGCCGAACACTTTGATATTATACTAGGCACCGGTTTAAAAAAAGTGAATTGGAAATGTCGGAGTGAATCGCCGAGACCTACACCACATGAAACGTTACAGAATGAAATTTCAACACTGCAAGTTTCACCTTTTTTGGAGCTAAACTGCGTCCGTACCGGGCCGAACACTTTGATATTATACTAGGCACCGGTTTAAAAAAAGTGAATTGGAAATGTCGGAGTGAATCGCCGAGACCTACACCACATGAAACGTTACAGAATGAAATTTCAACACTGCAAGTTTCACCTTTTTTGAAGCCAAACTGCGCACGTACCGGGCCGAACACTTTGATATTACACTAGGCACCGGTTTAAAAAAAAGTGAATTGGAAATGTCGGAGTGAACCGACGTGACCTACAGCGTTCGAAACGATACAGAATGAAATTTCAACACTGCAAGTTTCACCTTTTTTGAAGCCAAACTGCGCACGTACCGGGCCGAACACTTTGATATCATACTAGGCACCGGTTTAAAAAAAAGTGAATTGGAAATGTCGGAGTGAACCGACGTGACCTACAGCGTTCGAAACGATACAGAATGAAATTTCAACACTGCAAGTTTCACCTTTTTTGAAGCCAAACTGCGCACGTACCGGGCCGAACACTTTGATATTACACTAGGCACCGGTTTAAAAAAAAGTGAATTGGAAATGTCGGAGTGAACCGACGTGACCTACAGCGTTCGAAACGATACAGAATGAAATTTCAACACTGCAAGTTTCACCTTTTTTGGAGCTAAACTGCGTCCGTACCGGGCCAAACACTTTGATATTACACTAGGCACCGGTTTAAAAAAAAGTGAATTGGAAATGTCGGAGTGAACCGACGTGACCTACAGCGTTCGAAACGATACAGAATGAAATTTCAACACTGCAAGTTTCACCTTTTTTGGAGCTAAACTGCGTCCGTACCGGGCCGAACACTTTGATATTATACTAGGCACCGGTTTAAAAAAAAAGTGAATTGGAAATGTCGGAGTGAATCGCCGAGACCTACACCACATGAAACGTTACAGAATGAAATTTCAACACTGCAAGTTTCACCTTTTTTGGAGCTAAACTGCGTCCGTACCGGGCCAAACACTTTGATATTACACTAGGCACCGGTTTAAAAAAAAGTGAATTGGAAATGTCGGAGTGAATCGCCGAGACCTACAGCATTCGGAACGTTACCGAATGAAATTTCAACGCCGAAAGTTTCACCTTTTTTGGAGCCAAATTGCGATAATGCACTATGTCGCATCGGAAATTGCATTGTCGCCGAGAATATAAAATCAAGTCGCGGAAAAATCAAATTTCTTCTCATTTCAGCGATGCGACTTTCAATGCGACAGAATGCTCATTATTTTCCCGTCATATACTGTATGCCTCAAAATTTCCCAGCATCAGCCTCCAAAATGAACCTCAATTTATTCGATATTCGGTCTCCTTGCAGGTTATTTTTGTCCTTTTAGATCTTCCAAATTCCGTTGCGGTCAAACGTCTGTGAATCACATCATACGCCTGCTCATTATACACTCATTTTGTATAATAATTCATTTTTCAAATCCTACTTATTTGTTGACTTCCGCAATGTTTCAAACAGAAACGCCATGGAGGTCGATTTATTCGATATCCGTCATCGGGTTTTTGATTATCGCTCAAGTTGTAATGTTTGTCAGTTCAATGTGGCCTTTTATGCAGTCAGTAAGTGGGATTGACATATGTAATAGTATAATAGTACTCGCGGTTGTACTATTATACTATTAGTCTGTCGGGAAAATAATGAGCATTCTGCCGCAGCGAAAATCGCATCGCCGTCAAATCTGCAGCCGCGGTTAGCAAGCGGTGACTGGCGATTTCGAAGCGCGAGAAATCCACATTTTCCCGACAGAATACTAATTTCGGTTTGTCGGGAAAATAATGAGCACTCTGTCGCATCGAAAAATGTCAAATGCACGGTGAAAAATGGGGATTTTTGCGGTCCGTCGGGAAAATAATGTGGATTCTTAAGGCCTTGAAATTGCCTATCACCACTTTGCGACGGCTAGCCGTGACTAGAGATTGCGCGACTATGGCGAGGCGACACATTTTGCCACGGCAAATCCACATTATTTTCCCGACAATATGATATAACAAACCGTATTGTAATTTCTTTTAGGCTGATCCCCAATGCACCGAATCATTTTTTGGCTTCATCGTCGCCGCGTATAGCGTTGGCGGCATTCTTACAACACAATTTTTTAGTCGCTGGAATTTCAAGTCCAGCTCGTTGAGAAGTCCGCTTATCACGGCAGTTGGATGTTCGATAGTCGGGAACAGCGTGTATTTTGCCATTCCATTGTTTCCTCTCGAATTTAGAAAGTGGGCAATGCTGGCTGCGAGATTTGTCGTTGGATTTGGAGACAGTAGGTTTTAATTTCCAACATTTCAATAATACGCTTCGGTACGAACGTATACCCACCTCATGGAAAATTGCAGTATCTAAAGTTTGTAAGAGGTATCAAAAAACGGTTGACGCCATTCCATTCGAAAGATCATGTCGAAAAACCTATTCCCGCATTGGAATCAGCCGGTGCGAAAGCACTACAATGACGGACCTGATTCGTTGGCCAAACACGTACCATTTTGCATCCGGGAAGTACCAAAAATGCAGCAAAATACCTCCGTCTTCAAGTGAGAAACTCCGATTTAAAAGGCGCGCCCACTCATCTTGTAAGACAAAGGGCGCGCAGTTCAAAACGGAGTTTTCTTGGTTGGAGAGGGAGGAATTTTGCCACATTTTGGATACTTTCCGAATGCAAAATGATACGTTTTTTGCCACTGGATCAGGTCCCTCACTGTACGTGAATAATGTGCAATTGAAATGAATTTATAGGTTTTCCGGCCCTTTCAAATGGCATTAGCCGTTTTTTTGATACCTCTTACCAAACCTTAGATACTGCAATTTTCCATGGGGTAGTTCTCGTATACTTCCGCAACGAAGTGTAAATGACATTTCAGACAGTCTCCATCTTCTGCATGGCTATGTCTGTACGGCGCCACGAGCAGAAGACCGACCCAAGGCGTTGGCGATTCTGACCGTTGGCTATGCGTTGGGCATGGTGTTCGGCCCGCTAACTCAATTGGCCGTGAATCCGCTGGGAACAAAGCAAATCAAGATTTTAGGCCAACTGTATTTCAACATGTTCACAGCGCCTGCTGTGGTTGCCGTGGTTATAGGTAAACTGTTTAATTTTATTAGGGTGTCCCATAAGTCTTGCAAATTTTTGGGTCGTCGATTTGTGCGAATTCTTGTAAGCTTTGAAACGCATTATGGAGTATGTTGGATATACTGTTCTGAAGCTCAGATAAAGGGCTTCTAAATTGTATATGACAAAGCCACATAAGGTCTACCTCCTACCCACACTGCCCCGATATTATAGTAGACATTAAGAAAAATTTTGCTTGCTGATTTTAAAATAGATATATGCTTTGTACAAATAGATCTGTTGGCCCACTAAACGTGAAAATAGGACGCGTGAGAGCTTTGGATCTTATTATAGTCCGCGCTGCGATACAGGCATGGGTACTTTTGTGGTGGTTTGACCAACATGAAAACTGTTGCACTCATGTTTTTCTGACCTGGTTTTCCGAAGGTAGAAAGTGTTGGCCGTAGATGTGCATCGTGTGTAGTCTACGCTTACTTGTGAACATAATGCGGCTATATTTACCGCATGTGTCACTCTTTTGCCCTGAGATATACAAAATTTAAAAATTTTCCCGATTATTTTTAAAATTTACGAAAAAATTTCAAAATAGAGTGTTTTTTCAGCACCTAGCACCGCTATTTCAAAATCCTCTTGCTACGGTAAAATACATATGTCACTGTTTAGAACACAGTGCACTACAATGTTATTTGTACTCATGACAACTTTTTTGGTGTTGAGTAAATGCACCTCATTTTTTCAAATTTTCTTGGGTCAGTGGTAATTCAAAACAAGGTAGCCAACGGATCCTTACTTAAAACGCATAAATCTAATGCTATTTTCATTATGGTAACCGCGCGACCTGAGAAACCACCCTCAAAAAAATTTTATACGCAAAAGTGTGTACATCGTGATATTCACCATGACGCCTAATACAAGGAACGTGCAGGACAGCGTCATAAGCACTAATTCAGTGGAAAGCGCCGCTTATTTAGAAACAGAGCACCCAGTAGATTTATTGAAAAGTGTGGTTGCAAAGGTGCAGCCTCACTTACCAAAGAACGGGATCGCTTTACTAACGCTTCCCAAAACTGGATGATTTTAAAGAATGTTAAGTATTTGCCCGGAGGCCACGTGGTTAGTTAAAATTTTTATGCTGTTAACAAGTGTAAAGGATGGTGGTTCTAACAGTACCAAACATTAAGGAGTCAGTTCTCTAGGCCCCCGAAATGAGACGTTCATTCTTAAACCCAAAAATTTGCAAGATTTATGGGACACCCTAATAGATCGAAATACAGGGGAATCGGGAGGTCCGATTAAGTGGCAGCTTTTAGTGCCATCAATAAACTAACTAAATCGTCTTTCTTTTTCCTCTTTCGGTTTGTCTTCCGGGAACTCGCGGAATTCGGTGAATCCGACGTATAAACATTTCTGGAGCAGAATCGTTTCAGGTCTCCTAACCATCGTCATCACTCGCTTTTTCTTCACCGAAATCTACGCTGGAATCGAATCAAAACAATCGGAATCCGCGAAAAATCTAGAGCCTCCGAACAAAATCGCCTTAGCGCTCTGTTTTACCGGTCGTTTCGTCCAGTTTTTTACGTTCGCCTGTCTCGAGGCCATTGGCGCCTCCTATGTTGAGACAATTTTTGCCGAAACGAAGGAAAATGTGGTGCAATTTTTGGCCATCACCAACATTTCAACGGCCTTGGTGGCTATGGCAGTTTATTTTGGCTATATCTTCTGCCAGTTAGGACAAAGGTAAAAATTTTTAGGAAATTTGACTTCCTTTTTCGGCTATTATATTATTTGTAAACCATAAAAAGAACCTCTGATTTCAGAGTGGTCGCTAGAAAGGTTGTGATTCTGGCACTGATCAGCTTTGGGCTGTTTTATACTACCACCTTTTTATGGCCGTTTACCAACGACACGATCAAAATCTATTCAGAAAATGACACAGGCTAGTTTTTTGCTTCGTATTTTACCCAAAAATCCCATTTTCGCTCAATTTGGGCAAAATCAAGTTTTCGTGGCGGGACCCGAAATTTTGAAAAAATCGTTCTATCAAAGATTTGGTGGTTTGTAACACCTTCTATACCAAGTTTTAAATCCACTTTCACCCGATTTCGGACAAAATCAAGTTTTCGTGGCGGGACCCAAAATTTTGAAAAAATCGTTCGTTCAAAAAATTTGTGATTTCTAACGCCTTCTATACCAAATTTTAAAAGAAAAAATACGAATTTCGTTATTAAACCAGTTACCCAACCACTGCAGATCAACTTGGCTGCAATAGAAACCGATTTTCTTGGTGCGACTCGCTTCCCAAGTCCAACAAATGGATCTACTTTTCGGCATTTGTCCTCTTTGTGGGTCTAGGTTGGCCTAACATGGTGGTGTGTCTGGGGAATGTGCTATCGTCAGTGATCGGCCCGAGGAATCAGGCCTATTACCAAGGGATTTTCCAGGCGTGCGCTGGGGCCGGACGCCTTTTAGCGCCGATTATTATGAGGTAAAGTGGTCCAAGATTATTAGACATACTTTTTAGGGTAATTTCCCAAATTACTGACCATCTTTCAGCTCAATCTATCACAATTTTGGACCTCGATTTGTGTGGAGTATTGAAATCGCAATGCCTTTGACAATGGCCTTGATTTTCACCGTATTTTACCGGCATTTAACTCCATTGCAAATCGAAAAAAATCACGAAGAACTCGATGGGACATCAGACACTGCAATCACATCAAAAATAACAACATAGGCTATGAACCGTTACATTTACCTTATTTTATAGATAAAAAATCGTTTATTTAGCAAAAAAATTAAATATAAATCCAGAATAAAATCACAAATACCATTGATAACGACATAATATATTATAAACTATAAGAAAATCACCCGGAACACACAAGTTTTCACCCGTTTTGACATCAAACATCACATTATATTATCCATGAAAGAGCTGATCAGAAATCGCCAAAGTCGAGATCCAAAACAAAAAATTTGGCCATGAATTGATGTCGTTTAGTATCTGGAGCAGGTCTCGCCACAATCGACGGCTTCTCGTTTGACTGGACGATGGATCGAGCCCCATTGTTGGTCCATCCACCACAGGTCTTTCGCCGCGATTTGTGGTCCAATCAGCGGATTTTTTTGGTGCAAAAAGATAATCAACCAAAACATGTAACAGCAGACGGCTGTGAGCATCAATCCAGTCTTTAAAAGTCCTGAAAACATAAAAAATTTATATTATACTTGACATCCAAACGAAAGATGGGATTATATTGAAGAATAGGGACTTACCATGTCGAGGATTCATGTAGTATCCAAACAGAAACACTGCGAGCCAAAATACGTTTATTCCCAGTACAATTAAACGCATTCTCGACCTTAAAATACCTGATATTGTACTAGGAAAAAAGTGTTAAAAGGTAAAATATTGCTGGGAAATCTCAAAAGACTTTTATTTTACAACATACTACATGCCATTTAGTAGCTATTACTTTCCTTTCCACCTCTTCAGACCTTGTTTTACCATTAAAATCAACAAAATTAACTTTAATACCAAGTACAATATAAAAACAAGACAAAATAGACATTGAAGACAGACAAATGGGTTCGACACTCAAAGTGGTTGTAAGAATATGTTTATTACTTAATTTAAACACCGAATTGATCGAATATTTAGAGCATGTTCACATGATCATGGACTTGACGTTTGTTTAGACGGCGGAAGCCGGCTGACGTGCAGATCGCCAGCTCAACATTGTCCTCGGTCATGGCGACGTCGAAGCTTTCGCGCAGCGTCAACAGAGCAGTGTGTATTCCATCGTCGAGCTCGATGGAGTCGGTGAAACGCTTTTCCAGGAAGGTCTTGGTGTTGGCGTCGTTCTTGCCCAAAGCGGTCGCTTTCCAGGCGAAGTACGCGCCGGATGGATCGCATTGGAAGAGAAGAGGACGGTTTTGGATCTTATCCCAACCAGCAATCAGCAAGGAAACTCCGAATGGACGGACACCACTGGAAATTCAAAATTTTGGATAAGATGTCATAGATCATATCAAAAATTATGTTTTATCCATGAATCTCGCATAAAATTATGTTTCTATTTGAAAGACACGTATTTTACCCTAATCTCTCTTCCTTTTACCTCATTTGAACCTAAAAACAAAAAAAAAATAAGGAAAAAAGTCTTACCCAGATTGAGTGTACTCCTGCATAACAACAGCGACCTTTGAAACCAACTGAACTACTGAAATTTCCTCTCCATAGGCCAACTCGTATTCCATGGCGATTTTTCGGGCTTTTCGCACAAGAATCCTAAAAAACAACTCAATTTTTTGATATTATTCTTACCTGTAATCTGGTCCCATTCCAGAGTAAACAAATCCAATGTGATCGGAAATTTTCTCAGTTTTATATTCATCCTCAGCTAAGACACTTCCCTTGTTCTCGGTGGCCAAAACGACGCCATCATTAGCTGAAAATTTTAGATATTATACTTGGGTTGGATAAGTGAAACGCTTTGCTCTGTAGCTTATAAAATACTGGACAGAAAAATCAAAATTATATCTCAAAAGCTTCAAAATTTCATCAAAAAGCTCTGTCGATCATCTTTCCAGAAATAAAAGCAATTTTCAATACGTAAAACCTCGATCTTCTTCATGAGAGCAATTGTTTCTCAAAATTCAAAAAAAATCTCTAAAATTCCAAGAAAAAATAAAAACCTTACCCCTCAATCCAACCGAAGGTTGGCCATTTCGCACAGCGTTCAAGGCATACTCAATCTGCATCAATTTTCCGGATGGAGAGAAGGTTGTAAGTGAGAATCCATAGTGATCACCCATTTTTGGTTAAAAAGATCGCTCAAATTCGATAGAACTGCTAAAATAAAATATTTCAACAATGTCCAACAAAAAATTACGAATAATACACGCTAAACTCATGTGCAATTTGACTCGAAACAAGATTGTCATCAAAAAAATAATTTTTTATTTTTGCGGAACATTTGACCCATTTTCTGCTTTTTGGGTCAAGTGTTGCTCTGGTCCGTGTCTCACCGCGAAAACAAATAGGAATCTTGGCATTGTGTTTGGAGTGGTAAAGTAACAAGTTTGAATGACAAAGGAGGTAAAAAAATCTTGAGAAATCAGCGTCTGATAGAAATTATCGTATTTTATCTTAATATTTTCCAAATATTTCAAAAAAATGTCTTTTTCGTTTAAAAAATTCTGTTTTTGAGTAAAAACCTAAAAGATAAGGTGTCAAAAGTGTAGTAGAATAAGCTTAGAGTTTTTTTTAGAGTTTTTTAATTTGAAATCGACGGTTATTTTTTAAGTTTTAATCATTTTTCCGTTTTATAGAAGATAAGACATGTAGCTTCGTATTTTACACCTTAATCTCTGAAATTTAAAAAACTTGTACCTAATATCTATTTTAAATATCATCAGCAACATTCACTCCAAATTTGATCTTTCCACGACTTCAAATAAACTTTTTATTTTCAGTTCTTCAAATTTCCCCTCTATTTTTGCCCAAATTTCTTATAAAAAGCCCTCTGGCACCGTTTCATGGAACACATTCAATTCGAAAATTTATGTGCACTCTTAGACGTAAATTTTTCGTTCGTATAGTGTTATGATCGAGGGCCAACTGTTGCGTTCCGGGGCGAAATTACGGGCCGAAGATTGAACGTCTCTCCCCTCTGCACTCATCTTTTTTTTATTTCGAATCTTTTTACGTTTATGTTCGATTTGTTAATGGCTAATTGTCTGCTGCAATTGATGTTTATTCGAGATGATAGAGGGCTCAAAACACAAGAATTTTTTGTTATTTTTGGAAATTTTTCGAAATCAAAAATTTTGGATTTTTTTTATTTTTTTTTTATTTTAAATTTTGATTAAAAAAATCAAATTACAGTTTTCTAAGGTCTATGGTATATTTTTATGTTTTTTTCCAGTTTTTATCATGATTTTCAGCTTAAAATTTTCAAAAAAACTTTTTTTTTCTTGATTTTCAAAATCAAAAAAAATTTTTTGTTTGGAATACAGTATTTCTGCAAAACAAATATTTTTCGCGCAAAATTCGCAAAAGAAACGAGTAGAAATCTCTCGAAAAATAGCGAGAAAAAACTTTTCACTCGTATTTTTGTAAAGGTCAAAAAGTTTTTTTTTAATTTTTTTTTCGAAAAGCCACTGGTTTTTAATACCAAAAAAAAGTCGAAAATCAGCTTTTTCTTTCTAAAAATTTCGCTGTAGAAACGATAAATCACACTTCATTTTTTGATTTCGGTCTTTGCAAAAATCATTAAACATCTCGACCGTTGCTTCAAAAAGCAAGCTAAAATTTTCAGAATTTATTTTTTATGCTGCCTAGTTGGAATTTGTATAAAAATTTTGACGAGAAATGGACCATTTCCCGTCCGTCCGTAGAGTCGTTGGAATGAAGCAACATGCACTGTGCAAAAAAAAAAGTTCACTTTGCACTGTGCAATTTTCGGTTTTCTCTGCACTGTGCAATAGGCTTTTTTGAGCTGTCGCTCGCACCCTGACTTTTTTTGCACAGTGCATGTTCGGCCATTGCACTGTGCGAAAAAAGTTCGTTTTGCACTGTGCAATAGGCTTTTTTTCGGTCTTGGCACACTCATTTTTTCGCACAGTGCATATTCGGCGACGTGCACAGTGCGAAAACAAAGGTTCACCTTGCACTGTGCAAACAACTTTTTGGGCTGTCGCGGCACCAAGACTTTTTCGCACAGTGCATGTTCGGCGATATGCACTGTGCGAAAACAAAAGTTCACTTTGCACTGTGCAATTTTTTGCTTTTTGCACCGTGCAAATGGCTTTTTTGGACCGTCGCTCGCACCCTGACTTTTTTTTTGCACAGTGCATATTCGACGACGTGCACAGTGCGAAAATAAAAGTTCACTTTGCACTGTGCATTTTTAGGTTTTCTTTGCACTGTGCAATAAGTTTTTTTGGGCTGTCGCTTGCACCCTGATTTTTTTGCGCAGTGCAGTCCGGTGATTTTCCGGACGGGCTAGTGTGCCTCGGGCAGTCTTTTTCTGAAAAAAAAAATGATTTTTTTTTCAAATTTACAGGGGAAGTACTCCAAGTGCGACGCTCAGATTTTGGTGAAACTTGGCACAAATTTAGAATAATTTTTTCTAAGATATATGCGAGAGAGTCCTAGCTCGCGCTTTGCAGAAACAACCGAGATTTTTAGATCGAAAGTCGGCCAAAATTTAGGACTTTATGCCAATTTTCGGCACGAAAAGTTTCATGCCTATTTCTACCGTAAAGGATAATGTTTCTACTAAAAATCAAATTTTTCCGTACGAAACCGCCAAAGTTATGGCCAAAAAGCGCTCTTCTCTCTGACCGCTCTCCACGTTTAGCGTGCGGCAAAAATCGTTCGATATCTCGGCGGTGCCCGCAAAGCGCGAGCTAAAACTTTCAGAAATTCATATTTAGTCCATAGCCGACGTGTGTCCAAAATTTAAAGAAAATCTGAGCGTCGAACTTGGAGTATTTCCCCTGTAAGCATTTTTTTTTTGATTGAAAAAATCTAATTTTTTCCGTCAAAAAAGTATCAAAAAGTCCTAAAAAATTAAATCTACTATCTCAAAAAAAAGATTCCGCTTTTCAAACTATAAATTACACTTCATTTTCAGCGGCTACATCGCTTCCCCGTCCCACATTTCTTTCGTTTTCCCTTCGCGTTTCATGTGGTTGGATCGGGGAGAAGGAAAGGTCATTCTGTTTGATCGACTAAAACATCTCCCAGATCCACTTTTCGCGGAACACAAAAGTCTTAAGCGAGAAAAGTCAGCGGATTTTCGTTTTGTTTTTTTGTGTTTTCATAACCGAAAACCAGCGGCTAAACACGTCGCGGAGGTTTTATCCACAGGTTTCTGGAACTTTTTTTTGGAGGGGTGTTCGCGGTAGGGGGTTGTGGAAATTGCGATGATTTTTTGGCTTCTGACAGATTAAGAATCGCTTTTGATAAAAAAAAGTTTGTTATACAGAGTTTTTTTTGTACAAAGGTCGATTTAGGAACTTTCAAAGAGCTGAGATTTTGATAAAATTTAGTAAAAATTGCACCTCTTTTATCAGTCTGTCGGGAAAATAATGAGCACAATGTCGCATCGAAAATCGCTGAAATCAAAAGCAACTTGATTTTGATCCATTTTCCTCGGTTTTGATGCGATTTTCAATGCAACAGTGCACTGCAGTGCTCATTATTTTTCCGACAGACTGATAAATACTATCAGCCAAAAAATTCGAGCTCAGTTTTAGCTCTGTTTCATCGGCTCAAGTTTCATCAAAATCTCATGTTTTTTTGTAATCAGCGAAAAATACAGTGACGGACTTGATCCAATGGCAAAAAACGTGCCATTTTGCATCCGGGAAGCATCAAAATTGTGGCAAAATGCTTCCCTCTCCAAGTGAAAAAACTTCGTTTTGAAGGTCCCTCAAAGAAAGAGCGGGCGCGCTTTTGAAATCGGAGTTTTTTCACTTGGAGAGGGAAGCATTTTGCCACATTTTGATGCTTCTTGGATGCAAAATGGCACATTTTTTGCCACTGGATCAGATGCCCCACTGTATGGCACTTCACTTTATTATACATATTTCATAACCTCAATTTAACCCTTTACTTTCTTCGCAACTTCCGTACCATCTTCCTTTATCTTCCTTGAAACCACCGAATCTTCCACCAAACAGCATTTTTTGCGTTGTTATCGCGGAGATCACAACGCTTCTTCGGTGTCATACGTTTCTGTTTTTGTTCCAGCGAAATAAAAAAAAAAAACTTTTTTCTTCTTCACTATATCCGCTTGACATAGTCATCCCCGCGTAAACATTCGATTCCCCACGTTCGGGGGCGATCAAGTTCCTTATTTGGAAGTGGAGGTTTGAATCCTTCAACTTTCGTCTTTGGGTTGGCTTTTGCTACTTTGTAATCGTTCAAAAAAGCGAGGTATATTGCAAAATATTATACATCCTCAGCTGTTCTAGGCTTATCAAATTTATTTTTGCTTTGCTTTATGGACGTGGGAGAGCAAAAAATTCTGTGAAATTTCGCCTTCTCAGTCATTAAAGGGGGGCTTACTATCAAATGTTGTTGTTTTGGTGCTCTTTTGAAAATTGAAAAATAGGGTGTGACATGTTATACGATCGAAAAAATTTTGCAAATTGAAAAATGGGGCGTGACATGTTATACGACGATCCTATACTTTTCAATTTGCAAAAAGTTTTCATCGTATAACACGTCACACCTTATTTTTTCAATTTTTAAAATAGTGCCAAAACAAGTACATTTTGCATTCCGGGAAGTCCCAAAACCGAGAGGGATGCATTTTGCCACATTTTTTGATACTTCTCGGATGCAAAATGGACATTTTTTGGCACTGAATCAAGTCCATCACTATCGGGAAAATGATGTGGATTCATCTGTCGGGAAAATAATGTGGATTCGTCGGGCCTTGGAATCGCTAATTATCGCTTTTCGAGGACTACTCGAGATTTGGTGTGCGACAGCGACAAGGCTAGGCATTTTGATGCGGCAAGTCCACATTATTTTCCCGACATACTGATATTATTCTGTCGGTAAAATAATGTGGATCCGTAGCGTCTTGAAATCGCCCATCATTGCTTTGCGACGGTGATGCGATCTTCCATGCGACAGAATGGTCATTATTTTCCCGACAGACTGATATTATTCTGTCGGTAAAATAATGTGGATCCGTAGCGTCTTGAAATCGCCCATCATTGCCTTGCGACGGTGCTGCGATTTTCCATGCGACCGAGTGGTCATTATTTTCCCGACAGACTGATAATGTAATAGACGAGCCAAAAAAATCTTGACGTGTCTTTGCATCGTGCTGTCGGGAGTTATAAAACAACTACGTTTACTGTCTCAAACACAATTTATTTGCCTCGCTCACATTGTGTTTTTAGCAATGCTGGAGATCCGGCCGTGCATTCTCCATCTTCTGTTGGCAACTGCGATCGCCGCCGAGATTGCGGACTTTGGAACGAAACCAAAGGGAGAAAATCCAACGCTATACGACTACGAACACGATCCAATTGTGCAGTTGGACGAGACAACTTTTAATGACACGATTTATGGAAGTAATCAGACAGAACGCACCGCGTTTATGGTGGAGGTACGTTGGTAGGGGAGGTGCTTGAAATTCGACGCGCAGGTTTTGATGAAAATTGGGGAAATTTTAGAATAATGTTTTTATAAAAAATATGCGAAATTTTCAGCCCGCGTTTTGCAGAAACGACAGAGATTTTTTGGTCGACAGGTGGAAAAATTTTGATATTTTTTTTTTTTGCAAATTTTGGCATGAAAGGTTTCAGGGCTAAAATCAGTTTTTCCGCTCGAAACTGGCAAAGATGTGACCTTAAATTGTTATTTTATATGACCGCTCTCCGCGTTTCGCGTACTCTCTCGGCCGCAAAGATCGTTGAATATCTCGGCTGCGGCTGCAAAGTACAAGCTAAAATTTTCAGGAATTAATTTGTGGGCTAGGTCCTATCCGTGCGCAAAATTTATCCGTCTGTCGGAAAAATAATATGGATTCGTGGCGCCTTGGAATTACTATCGCTTTGCGACGGCCGGCCACGACTGGCGACTTGGTGCGCGGTTGCAACAAGACAAAACATTTTTTCTGCGACAAATCCGCATGATTTTCCCGACAGGATTCAAATACACATTATTTTCCCGACAAAATGTTAACTCCACATTATTTTCATGACAAAATTCAAATACACATTATTTTCCCGACAGGATTCAAATACACATTATTTTCCCGACAAAATGTTAACTCCACATTATTTTCATGACAAAATTCAAATACACATTATTTTCCCGACAGGATTCAAATACACATTATTTTCCCGACAAAATGACATAGAAATTTCGAGCGTCGCACTTCGAACACTTCTCTTGTAAACCAAACAACTTTTCAGTTCTACTCGGACTGGTGCGGCCATTGCCGCGCCTACGCTCCATTGTACAAGAGCTTGGCCAACGATGTGTCCAGATGGAGGAGTGTGGTCCGAATTGGCGCTATCAATTGCGCTGACCCGTTGAATGAAGCCACTTGCCGCGCGAATGGCGTGCAGTTCTTCCCGTTGATCAAAGTGGGTTTTATATATCTTTTTTATTGCCTACTATGATATAATATCATTAGGAGCTTCCGCTGTTACTGTATATCAAAATATGTAATATCAAGTTTTATCCCTAAAAAATTACAGTATTTCCCGCGCAACAGCAGCGGAGACAGCGATGGCCAGAAACTGAAGACCTATCAAAGTGTGGCGTTGATGAGGGATCAGTTGACTCAAGCGATCGTCGCCGAAAATGATCAACATCATTTCCCGGATTGGCCGAATTTCGAGCCATTGAAGCCGTAAGTCAACCCTTTGTGTCAAGTCTCTCCCTGGCCTATTGAGTCAACTGTTTCTGGCCTGTTGGGTCAACTGTTTCTGGCCTTTTGGGTCAACTGTTTCTGGCCTGTTGGGTCAACTGTTTCTGGCCTGTTGAGTCAACTGTTTCTGGCCTGTTGGGTCAACTGTTTCTGGCCTTTTGGGTCAACTGTTTCTGGCCTGTTGAGTCAACTGTTTCTGGCCTGTTGGGTCAACTGTTTCTGGCCTTTTGGGTCAACTGTTTCTGGCCTGTTGTGTCAAGTCTCTCCCTGGCCTGTTGGGTCAACTGTCTCTGGCCTGTTGGGTCAACTGTTTCTGGCCTGTTGTGTCAAGTCTCTCCCTGGCCTGTTGGGTCAACTGTTTCTGGCCTGTTGGGTCATCTGTTTCTGGCCTGTTGTGTCAAGTCTCTCCCTGGCCTGTTGGGTCAACTGTTTCTGGCCTGTTGTGTCAAGTCTCTCCCTGGCCTGTTGGGTCAACTGTTTCTGGCCTGTTGGGTCATCTGTTTCTGGCCTGTTGTGTCAAGTCTCTCCCTGGCCTGTTGGGTCAACTGTCTCTGGCCTGTTGGGTCAACTGTTTCTGGCCTGTTGTGTCAAGTCTCTCCCTGGCCTGTTGGGTCAACTGTTTCTGGCCTGTTGGGTCATCTGTTTCTGGCCTGTTGTGTCAAGTCTCTCCCTGGCCTGTTGGGTCAACTGTTTCTGGCCTGTTGGGTCAACTGTTTCTGGCCTGTTGTGTCAAGTCTCTCCCTGGCCTGTTGGGTCAACCGTCTCTGGCCTGTTGGGTCAACTGTTTCTGGCCTGTTGGGTCAACTGTTTCTGGCCTGTTGGGTCGACTGTTTCTGGCCTGTTGGGTCAACTGTTTCCCTCCGTTAAAAAACGGCCAGATTTTGATGAAACTTGGATCAAATTTATAATAATTTTTTATAAGAAATATGCGAGAGTTTTAGCGCGCGCTTTGCAGAAATAACCGAGATTTTTAGATCGAAAGTTGGAAAAATGTGATTTTTTTGCGAATTTTTGGGATGAAAAGTTTAGTGTTTATTTCCACCGTAGAGAGTGATGTTTCCACAAAAAATCATTTTTTTTCCGAACAAAACTGGCAAAGATACGGCAAATATTTTGTTTTTCCAAGCGCTCTCCGCATTTCGTGCACTCTCTCGCCCGCAAAAAAAGCAAAAAAAAAACTTTTTCTCTTCTGTTTTCAGAATCGCCACCTACAATGAGATTTTCGAAGGCGTCCCAGAGACTATCGATAAAAAGATTTTGGTCTTCGAAGAGAATCCTCAGAGCTTGGTGGCTAATCAACTTATCCTCGACATGCAGCAATACAGCGATAAAATTGCGATTCAAAAATGTCGCAAAGGACATCCCTTGACTGAAGCGCTTCACATCTCCGATTATCCGACGATTGCGGTTTATAAGCGGGGAGAACATGAGCCTATTATGCAAGCGGAGTGAGTTTGGGGGTTTTTTGATTTTTTGGGATTTAAAAAATATTTTTTTTGATTTTTTTTTATTTTTTGGGATTTTTTTATTTTATTTATTTTATTGTTTTTCATTTTTTTCGATATTGCACAATTTTTTCTTGGATTTTTTTTAATTTTTTTTTCGAAAAAAATTTGATTTTTTAAAATTTTTGCAATTTTTTGAAATATTTTTTTTGGATTTCTAGATTTTGTTGTTTTATTTTTTTATTTTTTTCAAAATTGTTTTGTTTTTTTTTTATTGTTTCTAAATTTTTTTTCAATTTTTTAATCCACATTTTTTCACTTTTAGTCATAAAAAACAAAAAAAAAAACAAAAAATATTTCAGACTACGCCGTCTTTTTAAATTTTTGCAATTTTTTGAAATAATTTTTTTTAGAATTTTTTTCTAATTTTTAGATTTTTTATGTGTTTTATTTTTTTATTTTTTTCAAAATTTTTTTTGTTTTTATGTTTTTTCTAAATTTCTAAATTTTTTTCAATTTTTCAACCACATTTTTTCACTTTTTTTATCATAAAATCCCCAATATTCAATATTTCAGACTACGCCGTCTTTTATTCAACGAAATTGAGGAGTACTTGGGCAAAGAAGGCCATATCGCAGGGATGAAATTCTCCAGTCATCCACATAATCGCACCGTGCAAACTGCGTCGGACAGTGGGGAAAGGAATGAAGAAGAAGAGGAAAAAGCCAACAGCACGATCAATGAGTGCGAACGGAATCCTGAAAGGTGAGAGATTCATTTTGAAAAAATAAAAAATAAAATTGGGAAAATTTTTTTTTTATTTTTCTTATTTTTAGCACTGTGCGAAAATGGAGGATTTTTTGCATTAAAAAAAGCACTGTGCAAATTTTTTTTTTTTTTTTTTTTTTTTTTTTTTTTTTTTTTTGAAATTTATTTTGAAAAAATAAGAAATAAAATTGGAATTTTTTTTTTTAATCTTTAGCACTGTGCAAAACCATAGGCTTTTTTCAATTAGAAAATTGCACTGTGCAAAAATATAGGCTAAATTCAATAAAAACTGCACTGTGCAAAAATATAAGCTTTTTTCAATTAGAAAATTGCACTGTGCAAAAAAATTTTTTTTTTGAGATTTATTTTGAAAAAGTAAAAGATAAAATTGGGAAGTTTTTTTTTTATTTTTAGCACTGTGCGAAAATGTACGCTTTTTCAATTAGAAAATTGCACTGTGCAAAATCATAGGCTTTTTTCAATTAGAAAACTGCACTGTGCAAAAGTTTAGGCTTTTTTTAATTAGAAAATTGCACTGTGCAAAAAAAAATTTTTTTAAATAAACACTTTTTGAAATAAAAAAGCGTTTTTTCTTCTAATTTTTTATTTTTCAGCTGCAAAGCCCGTTATTTCGCCTCTGAATTGGACATGTTGAAGGCGATGAGATATGCGTTGCTGAGAGAAGTCACCAGGAATGGTGGAGATCTTAGTGGAGAAAAATTGTCTTCGTTGTATACTTTTACTGACACACTGGCAAATGTAAGTCAAAATGGGAATCTTGAATTTTTTTTTAAAATTTTTTCAATATTTTTAAAATTTTAAAATATCTATTTTTTTTACAAGGGAAGTACTTGAAGTGTGACGCTCAGATTTTCTTTAAATTTTGCACACACATCGGGTATGGACTATATATCAATTCCTGAAAGTTTTAGCTCGCGCTTTGCGGGCACCGCCGAGATATCGAACGATTTTTGCCGCCGAGAGAGCACGCTCAACGTGGAGAGCGGTCAGAGAGAAACCCGTTTTTTGGCCATAACTTTGGCAGTTTCGTGCGGAAAAATTTGATTTTTTGTGGAAACATTACACTTTACAGTTGAAATAGGCATGAAACTTTTCGTGCTGAAATTCGGCAAAAAGTCCTAAATTTTCGCCGACTTTCGATCTAAAAATCTCGGTTGTTTCTGCAAAGCGCGAGATAGGATTCTCGCATATATCTTAGAAAAAATTATTCTAAATTTATGCCAAGTTTCATCAAAATCTGAGCGTCACACTTGGAGTACTTCCCCTGTTAGATTTTTTTATTTAAAAAAATCAAAAAAATCGTTTAAAAAATTTTAAAATATTTTTTTTAAATAAAAAAAATAGGTTTTTTTTATTAAAAACATTTATTTAAAAAATTCAAAAAAATCATTTAAAAAATGTTAAAATATTTTTTTATAAATTAAAAAAATTTTTTAGAATTTTTTTTATTAAAAACATTTATTTAAAGAATTCAAAAAAAAATCATTTAAAAAAGTTTAAAATATTTTTTTTTAATTAAAAAAATTTTAGAATTTTTTTTATTAAAAACATTCTTTCTTTGTCCATTTAAAATTTGTTTTAGTATTTCCCCCACAAAACCTTGGCCAATAATGATAGCGCGGACGAAGAGCTCTTTCTGAACGCCAGCAGCCGAGCAAGAGTCGTTTTCACGCACATGAGAGACTTTATCAAACAAAATGGCCTGGAGAATCCATTGCCATCCGACGTGTGGAAGGCGGAGTTCATCAGAGCTGAGGTGAGTTGGAAATAAAAGTTTAATTAATTATTTTTTTTATTTTTTTTTATTTTTATGTTTTTTTTTTTTTTTTTTTTTTTTTTTGATGAAGCTGGGAAAAATTTAGAGTAAAATTTTCTATGCAATATTAAAAAATTAGTCGTATAAAGCTAAATTTTTGTCAAGTTTTCAGTAAGATCAAGAGTCTTTTTTATTATTTTATTATTATTTTTTTTTGATTTAAATTTCAATTATTTTTTTTTAATTTTTTCATTTATTTATTTTTTTAACTCTTTCTTCCTTTTTTATTGTTTTTTATTTTTATTTTTTTTAGTTCTTATTCATTTTGCTTTTTATTATTTTATTATTTTTTTTATTATTTTTTATTTTTTATTTCAATTTTTAATTTTTTTTTACTTTCAGGAAGACCAAGGCAAGCCTTTTCCCACCAACGCCGACTGGCAACATTGCAAAGGCTCTTCGCCGCAGTATCGCGGTTACACCTGCGGCCTCTGGACAACATTCCACGCACTAACCGTTAGTAATTACAAGAACAAAGGAGCTGAAGCCGATTTCGATCCAAAAGCGGTTCTAAAGTCGATCCGAGGCTGGGTCGGGAGCTTCTTTGGCTGTGAACATTGTAGGCAACACTTTTTGAAGATGACTGGGAAGAGCTTCAACATGGATGATCATGTAAGAAAAAAATTAAAAATTAAAAAAAAGAAAAAAAAAATTTTTAAATAAAAACTAAAATTTTTTTTTTTGTGGTTGATATAATTTTCTTTGTAAAATAATTTTTTTGAAAGCAGAGAATTTTTTACCCCAAGGGCATTTTTATGTAAAATACGGGAGTTTTCTTTTCCAACTGGACTGCACTGTGCAAAAACATAAGCTTTTTTACCCTAAAAAACTGCACTGTGCAAAAGTATAAGCTTTTTTCAACTAGGAAACTGCACTGTGCAAAAAAAATTTTTTTAATACTCAATTTAATACTCAATTTTAAAAAGTGTAAGATAAAAATTCCTCATCTAAATTTGCTCAATTTTCATCAGATCCGCAATAAAAAAAACTTTTTTATTTGTCGAAAAAGAAGTTTTGATTTTTTGACCAAAAAAAATATTTTTTTTTATTTTTGTTTTTTCAGATCCACAAGCCCGAGGACTCATTCCTCTATCTCTGGCGTGCGCACAACATTGTGAACGCGCGACTAAAGGGCCGAGATACGGAGGATCCGAAGTTCCCGAAGATCCAATTCCCCGCCCACTTCCTTTGCAAGGAATGCCAGGTGGGAGGGGATCAACAACGAGACGAACAGATCACCAAGGACTATCTTCTCAACTATTATTCGAATATTCGGCCTTTAATATAGATTTTTTACAATGAAAAGATAGTGTAATATTTCAAAACTTTACTATATTATCATAGTGCTGGTTACTAGGTTGTCTGGTTTTTTTCGTTGGATTGTCAATCTTTCATTCCTATATATCTTGCCTTATATCGTACGGAAATTTCCATTTCAAAAATGTAAATTATAATGACGTCATTTATTGATGAAATGAAAATAAAATTTCTCACAAATCAAAGGGTTTATTAGAAGGCTTAAAACTATGTGGCTCTCCGATAATCAGTTGTAAAGTTGGGCTGGGAATTGCGGCTGGCTTGGGAGGAGCGGCGATACACCAAGTGATGGCGATAGAGCTGAAAATAAATTGAAAAAAAAAGATTTTGGAAAAGGTAAAATTAGACATGATCCTGGGGCCTAGCCAGATCCCCTCCTCGGCCACAAAAAATAGGTAAAATACGTCGCTTGGAAGGCCCTGTATACTATTCCGTCCGTAAACCCAATGGGGTGATTTCGCGGCATGCACTATGCAGAAAAAGTCAGGGTAGAAACGACTGCCGAAAAAGCCTATATTGCACGGTGCGAAAAGCGAAAAATTGCACAGCGCAAAGGAAATCTTTGCATTCACACTTTGCTTTCACACGCAAAAAGAACACCAGCGGTTTTACGTAAGGGCTGCAGGTGCAGATCCTTCGCGTAGCCTAGATATGGGTTAAATACGTAACATTAAAACACGTAATTTTTGAGTCACAATACACTCATTTTTAATTTTGCACATATGGCTTGGCGAGGCCCGTCAAACGTGAAACTGAGATAAGCTAAAATGGCACGGCAGGTGGATTGGCAATCCGCCGAAGAACATATCCTTAGAACTAAGACGATGTATGTATAAGAAACCGATAGCGAGGGGTCGGTTCCGGTCGCCGGACCTTTCAGTTTGACGTGCGACGCATCAATCCTTGAAAGTTTTAGCTCGCGCTTTGCAGGTGCAGCCAAGGTATCCACCAATCATTACGGCCGAGAAAGTATGAGAAATGCGAAGGGTGGTCAGAGAAAAAACACTTTTTGGCTATATCTTTGCCATTTTCGTGCGGAAAAAATTGACTTTTTGTGGAAAAATTACCCTCTACGGTAAAAAAAGTATATGAAACTTTTCATGCCGAAATTTGCAAAAAAGTAGTATGAAATTTTTTCCAACTTTCAACCTACAAATTTCAGTTGTTTCTTGCCAAATACGAGCTAGAAATCTTGAATATGCTTTAAAAAATTATTCTAAATTTGCGCCAAGTTTCATCAAACTTGACCGTTACACTTGGAGACCGCTGAGGTTCACTTACCACATATCCAATGAAGACAAAAGTAATGGCTGCCACCATGGCACCGCCAATTATGACCTGGACGCTGTCGTCATAATCCGGATGGTGATTCATTTTGGGAGGAAACTAAGGGAAGGCAAAAATTTTATTTTCTTTTTCTTATCAGTTCCCCATTTTCTTTTGGGAAACGGAACTTTTTCGCTTTGAACGCGGCATTTCTAAGGGAGAATTGAAATTTTTGGAGTGAAAGTAATGTTTTTTACGCTTAATACGACTAAGCCTAACATTAATGAAAAAAAAAAATTTTTTAAATCGGGATTTTTTGAAAACTTTCATCGTATAAAATGTCACCACATATAAAAATTGTCTTTGTATGGCCTTTCAATGAAATTAGTATTCTATTTTCTCTAAATTCCCAAAAAATAGCACCACAATATCACCCAGACACCTTTCATCGTATAAAATGTCCGAAATATGCCAAAGTCAGCGTAATTTGAAAATTTTTGGTAGTAAAATAACCCTCAAGCCTATAAGCTTCCAAAAATACAATTTTTTTCAAAAATTTCATCATTAAGACAGTCATAATGACAATTTTTAGACAATAAAATAAAATTTATTACAATTTTTGTTCCAACACTGTATAACAAATATTATTTTGAATTCCTGAGAGAATGAGATTGATTTTAGTCATTTCTAGACCCGTTATTGTTACTCGAACTTCCTTGAGGGCTCCATTCCGATATCCAGCCAGCCAAAAACGTAATTATCCCAGAGAACATCCTTGTTTCTGAACTCCATGCACATGTAGGGAGGCAGGGGGATTACTTTGTCCTTGCACTCGAAGAAAATGTGAGGCTCACGAACCTGAAATCAAAATAAAACATATTTTTATATTGTACTTGGCATCTGATGGCAAGTGCTGGAAGATTAAGGAAAAATATAAAAAAAGATAAATTTCCCACCTCAACATAATTGATGATGACTGGCGATCCGACCTCAGGGACCTTCTTCAGCTGCGGGATTGGCCATTTCTCCTGACAAGCGACAAATTTTTCGTTGTATTCGCAGTCCATGACGGTCGCCGCCAGTTGGAAGCCTCGGTTTTTTTCGTAGGAAATGTCTTCTTGTACGATGCCGAGGGTCCTGACGATGGCTGGGCGAGAAATTACCGCCCATTCGCAGGCAAATGCCGATGGAACTGGGATGCCTGAAATTTGAATAATTAATTATTTTTGGGAAATTTGCATAATTTTTAGTTACAAATTTCATATTGAAATTTTTTTGAGTTTGAAAATTTGCATAAATTTTTTTATTCATAAATTTGCATATGCAACTTTTTATTTGAAAATTTGCATACTCATTTTTTTTTTGATTTTGGAAATTTGCATATTAAACTTTTTATTCAGAAATTTGCATATTCAAATTTTTTTTTATTTGAAAATTTGCATATTCAAATTTCCAAAATTTGAATATTAAAATATTTTTTTGGATAATTTGCATATTTATTTCATTACCCCGAAATTTACATACTCAATTTTTTAACCCGTAAATTTGCATATTCAAATTTCAAAAAATTAAAAATTTGAATATTCAAATTTCCAAACCCAAAAAAACTCCCCAACTTACCGGCAAACACAATGTCCTTAATTCCACTGCCCCTGGGAACAATTTCCATCAGTTCGTTTGAATTCCCCAAACCCGTCATCTTGTAATACGCGCTCACTCGCACCGTGCACCCCAAATACATCGATCTCACCGCTTTGTCGGTCCAAAATCCGCCAAATCTGATGATCAAAGGGACCCCGTCAGTTGTATCCTCTTCCTTCTTCACAATCCCGCAGCAATCATGTCGATCCGACCAAATAATCCAGTAATCGACCGGTCGCTCAAAATAAATCGGAGTCCTCGAGGTGAACCGGAAAAGGTGCATCGGAGCCAGAAGGGGATAATATTCGGCTCGAACACGGTCAATGGGAACCATAGACGTCGGTGAGGGCGGCTCTCTTACCCATTCGAGATCATCTGTTATATTGCACTTGGTCTGCAGAAGTTCGGAGGTGGATTCCTCGGAGATGGAGTGGGTCTGGGAGGCGGTTTCGTTCTAAAATTATATCTTATGATAATGTTAAATAAATACGACAAAAATTTTTATAAAAATCCGTCATTATGACCGATTTTATGACATGGCTACTACTAACGGGAAAAAGGTTGTAACTTTTGACAACGCAGTAACGAAACGTTAATATTTGGCATAAAAGAGAATTAGAGTGTAAGAAACATTTTTGTAATTGCAATCACAATCATTGGGGTACTGTAACATAGCCAAATCGAGATTTTTCTTCTGATCACCTCGAAAATTGTAAAATTAAATTGAATTTCTCAAAAATTTGTGAAAAGACTGGTCAATTTTAAGGTCAGAATTAATTTTACACCATCTAAAATCTAAATGATATCTTATATGGGATGTTATGAAAAGAAAACTGCCATTTTTCGATATTATACTAGGGTTTTCGGACAAAAATTATATAAAACTCACATTTTCATTCATTTTCTCAACATTTTCTTTCTCATATTCAATTACAGGCTTCATGTTATCTTCTGGAACCTCGATCTTCTCTACCTTCTTTGCTTTTGCGGAGGATTTTGATCGCCAAAGACTCTTGATCATCATGGAGAATATTGGAAGCTAAAAACCCAGTAGAATTTATCAGGAAATTACGTTGGCAGGTGGGAGAAAATCAACGAATGGGGTGTGTTTTGTATGCTCGGAAAGATAAATGGGCATTTTCCACGCAAAAATAAATAAAATTGCTTTTCCGATAAATTTGTGACATTTCGTCGAATTGGAAAGAATCATGGAATTTGGGCGGGAAAATAGGGCAAATGATTAGGTCGGGTAAAAGATGGTAAAGTAAATTGTTTTTACAAAAAATCCTGCAAAAAAGTACGGAAAATCTTTCACAAATCGAAAAATAAAATAAAATTTTGAAATTTCGGCCAAAAAACTCGGCGAATTTCTAGAAAGCACGGTCGAAAAATCAGGTCAATGCCATTAAAAAACTTTCTTAATCTTTCTTACCTATGTTTTTCCCAGTTTTTAACAAAACCCGAGAATTAAAAAAAAAATTTTTCATTGCCCAGTGCAGGGCCAATTTTACACTAAAAATCAAGATGCACGGTGCAATTTTTTTCTAAAATTTCGATTGAAGTTATTTCAAGGGTTATACAAATAAATTTTTTTCAAACAGAAAAAAGGAGGGAAAAAGTTCCTTATTTTGGCCACAACAAAGGTACTCAGCGAACTGCGCCGCTGCTGTCCGGGCATTGACAACGATGAATTGGGCGTGCATGCTAAATTTGGGCTAATTCCGACCAGTTTCCGCAAAGTTATAAGTTGTGGCCAAAATAAGGAACTTTTACCAAAAGGAGAATTCCAGGACAAAAAATTAATCTTCCGTCGTTTTTGCCGTCCATCTGGCAAAAACCTCAAAAAAAAACAAAAAAAAATTCTCCCTCCAAAAAAAGTGGAGGCAATATCAGTCTGTCGCGGGAATAATGAGCACAATGTCGCTGCGACAGAGGGCTCATTATTTCCCCGAGAGGACTGATAATTCAGAGAGTTCGATGACACTTCCTCATCCTTGACGTTCGGCTCGAATAAAACTTGTCTTTTGTTTTTGAAAACTATTAGATTACAGACAAAAATAAGGCAAAAGTTCACAGAAAAAACAGAAGATCCGAGTGACAGATAATCTCACCTTCTCTGGAAAGAAAGTTGCGCCTTTTGCGGACTAATAAACATAGATAATAACACAGAAAAAAGATCAAAAGAGGGGCAAATGGAAAGATCTCACCTGATTATGCAACTTTTATTATTTTTCATCAAAAATGTTTGATAAAAACAGAAAAATTTAGAGAAAACAGAGAAGTAAACTCTTTCCAACACCTATTCATCAAATTTCGAAGACCGCCTAAGGCAATAGGCATAATTTTTGCCCTAATTTTGACTTTCATTATATTACAAATGGCTTTTTTGTAAAAAATCGGCTAAAATTCTTGGCATTTATTTGGAAATTAAAACTAAAATTCATTTTGAATGCGAGAATAAGGTAAAATACGAGATCAACAAAATAAATTACAAGCCAAAAGTCGATAGAAAGTACCAAAATTTAAATTTTTCGTATAAGATGTCGCCAAAGTTTGAAACGAAAAATATTTCACGTATTTTTTCAAACCTTTCAAATTTAACAAGGAAAGTACTTTTATGGGGGCTCCTCAAAAAATCAGAAAAAATGTGCTGATCAAGGATATATAAATCTTTGCTGCCCATTTTAGGTTTTTAGGGGTGAAAATGCCCAAAAACAGGCTTAATTTCCCTACAAAAGGCGCAGGCATTCGAAACGATAAAAAGCGCAGTCGGTCTCTTCCTTCGGAATAGACTTGGCTCTCGGGCCGGCCCGGGCCGAAAATCGCGGCCCGGCCCGCGGGCCGGAAGAGGTCGGCCCGGCCCGGCCCGTTTCAATTTTTCTTCGGCCCGGCCCGGCCCAGCCCGCGGCCCGGCCCGGGCCGGCCCGAAAATTGAGAAGAAGTAAAACACCTTAATTCGCTATTAGATATGACATATTTTTCTTTACTATAGCAACTAACAGTACATTTTTAAAGCAAAAAATTACTTACCAACGCATTGCCTTTTTAAAATTAATCAAAAAATTCCCGAGATCCGTTTTCAGACTATTAAAAATTGCCCCAAGACCAATTTTACAGATTCAGCAAGGGTAGAACCACGTTTAACAAAGTTTTCAACCTCAAGATGATAGTGTTGCTTCACACGACTTCTTAATTGTGTTTTTAAGGATGTCGGTTACGTTTATTTTGAGTTTTGGTTCAAAAAATTACTACAAACACTAGTATACATTAGTACTTAATAGATTTTACTAGTAAAATTACTTATTATTAGCCATTTTTCAGTACTTCCGTGCTTTATTTTTATAAAATTACCCTTACTGTGAGAAAAATATAAACCCCCTTCTTGGCTTTGCGTTTTAATTTTATTGGCAACCCAACTTTTCGCTTTGAAATTCAGCATTTTAATTTTGCCGGGCCGAAAGTTGCGGCCCGGCCCGCGGGCCGGAAGAGGTCGGCCCGGCCCGGCCCGTTTCAATTTTGCTTTGGCCCGGCCCGGCCCGAACACCGGCCCTGGGAATCAAGAGCGATGACGCCGCACGGGTTCGATTTCCCTTTTGGACTGAATTAACTTTTTTTGAAGTTGAAGGTCGGAAAAATAAATTTTTGTGCCAAGACTGATTTAATAAAAAATTTAATAAAAAATTTTATTATTCCAGAAATCAGAAATACTTCCGCGATGGCACCATGGTAAGATCGAGCCAGGCGAACAAGTATCCCTGCTCAATTCTTGGGCCTGTGTCCATCTCGTCTCTCATGTACGGCGGCAGTAAAATTAGCTTGTCTTTGCACTCGAAGGTGACGTAGGGATCGGTTATCTGCAATTTTTTTGATGACGAAAATCCATTTTCTTATTTTTTCAAACAAAAAATCGACAATCTTTTCAAAAAGCAAATAGTAAAATTTCCAACTAAAAATTTTTTTCCGGGCGCAGCTCGCGAAGATATCGCAAGCTTTTCACGGAGGGAAACGGTTGACCCAAAAGGCCAAGGGAGACACTTGACACGAACTTTTTTGTTTTTTCGTAGAAGAAAATAAATTGGCGTGCCCACCTCAACATAATTGATGATCACTGGACTGCCAGGAGCCGGGATTTTTTTCATCTCCGGGATTGGCCACTTTTCGGGGGAAGCGAAATATTGTTCATCATACTCGACGTCTTTGACCATTCCGCCCAGAAAAAGCCCGCCTTTTTTCTCAAAGCTGTTGTCTTCGAAGACCATCCCAAGACTCCTGATGATTTTTGGCTTCGAAATTACAGCCCATTCAAAGGCGAATGCCGAGGGCGTTGGGATACCTGGAAAATTTACACATCATTTTTTTTATTTGCATAAATTTAAAACATTTGAATAGTTAAATTTAAAAAGTTCTAAATTTGATCATTCACATCTTTGAGTTCAAAAATTTAAATATTCAAATTTATGAAAAATTAAAAATACCCGCAAACAAATTGTTGTTTTTTTTCTGTCCCCTTGTGACAAAAGGACCAAATTCGCGTGCATTTCCAATGGCGGAGACTTTGTAAAATCCCCTGACTCGCACCGTACACCCCAAATACATCGACTTCACGGCTTTGTCCGTCCAGAACCCGCCAAATCTCATGATCAATGGGATCGTCTCGGTGGCATCCTCCACATTCTTCACGAACCCGCAGCAATCATGTTGGTCGAGCCAGGCAATCCAATAATCGACCGGTTCGTCGAAGCAATGGGGTACTCGGTCCGTGAATTGGCTCAAATGCATTGGTGTCAGCAACGGCTGGTATCGTCGACGGAGCTCCTCAATCTGGGCGAATCCAGGCGGAGACGGAGGATCGACCACCCAGTTCAGCGAGTCTTCGGACACATCTTTGGCCGAATTTTCGTCGACAACGGGGTCCTGAGGGTCGGATGTGGCCTGAACAATAAACATTTTGATGAAAATTGGCAATAAACGGCACACGGCAACCCTACGTGCTTAAAGGTCACAAAAGAAGTTTTTCGTGGGGTCTTCGGTTAAGAAATAGCTTTCTCGAACTTATTTTACTTCTTTTGTCAATTGTGACACTTCGTTTGAACGAAACTCCACGCATCAAATAAAATCTTACAATTTCGGTGCCTGGCATGGCTGTGAACTTCAGAATCTGGTCATTTGAGGCAACTCCTTTTTCTTTTTTGGGTTTCTCGCCATGAGATTTTGATCTACCGTACTCTTTTGTCATTGAGGTATTTTTGATCGTCTGGAAGTTTCATTTACAAGAAAACCCTTAAAAACGCGGCTTTTGCGCGAATAAAACCAAACAAAAGAACGCGCATTCTCAAAAACCTTTTTCTTTCTTTCCAAGGTTATCTTGGTGATCTGTTAATCGTAAAAATATTGGTAAAAACCTGTGAAGATCAATCAGCAAATCTTTGTCATTTCGCGATATAACAGATTTATTTCCACGCCAAATAAAAGTGGAGACCTTAGACGCTATTCCAAGATTTGTAATACGTGAAAGAACGCTCCTTTAATAATACTAGTATACAACTAAATTAAAATGTGTTCAAGTGATCATGGAAGTGAGAATAATATTTATTTTTTTTATACAAAAATAGGTTAAACAAAATGTGATCATAGAGGAGATATCGGCAATACTGAGGACAAAATACATTATTTCTTGTAAATAATAAGCATTGTAAATAAATAAAGGAGATGAGTATTCTAATAAGTTAGTCATCAAAAGTCCTAGACGGCTTCATTTCCAAGTCCACCCATCCCAGAACATATCCATTGGTTGGCTCGGAAGTGCGCATATAATGATGAATGTATTCCGGGAGCAAAATACTCTTATGCCGAGTGGGATGCATTATCACTTTTTCACGGATCTACAAGAATCAGGTTTAGCATACCGGTAAATCCCATAAGGTTTGCAAAAATCGATAAATCTCACTTCAAGCCAGTTGATGACAACCGGATATGGTGGACATGGCAGACATTTGATCGACGGCGTGGGCCATTTACTTTGGCATACGGTGAATTCCTCGTTATACTCGACATCTTTTACAATGCCGACCAAATGGAGTTTCTCTCTTTCTTCGTAAGAGATGTCCTCCTTCAGAAGGCCAATACTTCTGATGATAGCTGGTCGTGAGATCACTGCCCATTCTAGGGCAAACGCTGAAGCTTTGGGGATACCTAGAATAGAAAAGTGCAAGGCTAAGTACCTCAACTAATTTAGTTTTAGCTCCATCAAACATAGAGAAGAAATGCTTACCTCCGAAGATAAATCCACTTTTATCAGTGCCCCTAGGGACCACCGGCAAAACTTCGTCATGATAAACATCCGCCTTTAATTCCAAATACCCCTTTACTCGAACTGTGCATCCAATATACATTGATTTCACGGCTTGCAACGACCAAAAGCCGCCAAATCTTACACACAATGGGACAGTATCTGTAGCATCTTCGAACTCCTTGACGAATCCGTAAGCGGCACATTCGTCACTCCAGGAAATCAGGTAATCAATGGGGCGATCAAAGTAATGATGCAGGGTGGATGTGCCTTGTACCAAGTTCATTGGCCACGACAGTGGGAAGATGGCGTCTTTGAATTCACGAAGAGCGGCTCCGTGACCGGGTGAGGGGCGATCGTGGTACCATTTGAGGCCATCGGGTTCCGGTTGAGTTCGGATTACAACCGGTAGAGATGGGTGGTTAGGTTCGGAAATACGGCTTGAAGAAAAACTTTGAGACTGACTGGCATTACTGTGGTTTGTACGAGGTATGGCATTGTCTCTGGAGTATTGCTCATCGTATCCTTTATTAGGCAGCTCTCTGTCGCCTTCGCATTTTGGATAGGACTGAACTCGACACTCACTTTTTGTAAGTATGTCATCTCTGGGTTTGAGACGGTAGTTTTGACCATTTCTTTGACTGTAAAGCTTTAATACATCATTAACTGACTTCCTTTGGTCTACTGAATCTTCACACCGCTCTGTTTTTTCTGCTTTGTGCGTATAAGGTTTCGTATTCTTATCTTGCGTAAAACCGAGCTTTTCTTCGAGCATCTGTTCAAGTGGCACCTTGAAATCATCATGCTCCCCGTATGCCATACATTCGCCTTCGTCCTCTTCTTCTTCTCCGTCGACAACTCTCCTTCTTCCGTTTAATTCTTCATCTTCCCATTCACTCGCCGAAGTCTCTTCCTCTTCATCTGTAATGTCATTTTTGCCGATACGTAGCATCTCCATAAGGCGCTGCGATGCTTCTTTGCAATCCGGCTTATCTTCGTTGTAAACCTCTATTGTTGTCAACATTTCGGCAGATTTTGAACCTGAAGGGGTGATCGTAAAGACCTCACGTGTTTCCATCGATGATTTTGATTTCCTGCTCTGAAAAATCCCTTAATGAGTTATTCTCGGTTGATAAGAAAATAACGGACCTTTTTTACTTCTTTGCTTTCTCCAGATCTCATTTTATAGCTAGCTAGCTCTTCTTTGATCTTATAATCTGGATCCTCGTAGACTATCCGGGACATCTGAAATACGAAACCCAAAATGATTAGAAGTGCACAAAAAACTATCACAAAAAAGTATGTTGAGAGATACTAACTAGCAACTCGCACAAAGCAAAGGCTGAAAATCATTGCTCTTTACAAGTTTATTTACAACGTAACCAGTAACAAAAAAAACAAACAAGAAATAAATACAACCCGAGAAAGAACGACATGCGATCAAGCAAAAGCAAAAAATTCTAAAGTGACAAAACAATACACTTTTTTGTCAAGCCGTTTAAAACAATTATCCTATTTTAATTTCTCAATTTACAGATAGCATCTCGAAGGTTGCATGGTGAGATCAATCCAGCCAAAAAGATACGTTTTGTCTAAAATATCCGTAGTTTTTGCATATTCCACCATATAATTCGGGAAGAGTAATATTTTGTCGCGGCTATGGAAGAGAGTGTGAGGCTCAGTGATCTGAAAACAGTAAAATTTAATTTTTTTCTCATACCAAACAGTTTTGTCATCTTTCATATAACTTATGAAAGGGTTTATAAAATACCTGACAACTCCCAACCTACCTCGACATAATTAATCGCGACGGCCGTTCCGGGCGGGGGGACTTCTCTGATATCTGGGAGTGGCCATTTCTCGGGACAAGCAAATAACTCTTCACCGTATTCGCAGTCTTGGATTACAGCGCGAAGATGTCGGAATTCCTCCGTTTCATAGGAGTGATCTTCTTTTATTATCCCCAAACTTCGGACGATATTAGGTTTGGAAACAACCGCCCATTCCCACGCAAATGCGCTAGGATAAGGGGTGCCTAGAAGCGTCAAAAGAATAAGAATAACCGTCTCCATATAAAAGGGAATCTGTAAACAAAGCAACCTGAACTCACCGGCAAACAGGAATGTGCGAATATCGCTTCCCAAAGGCACAAGTGGGTTCCATTGTGCGCCCTGTTTTAAAGCTTTTACCTTAAGGTATGCTGTCGCGCGCACGGTGCAGCCTACAAACATCGACAAAATAGCGCAGTCCGTCCAATACCCGCCGAATCTCATTACTAACGGCACATTTTCCGTGGCATCCTCAACATTCTTGATGAATCCACAGCAAGTTTGATGATCACACCAAGAAATTAGATAATCAACCGGTTTCGGGAGTGTAATTGGGGTCGAATCTGTGAATTGGCCGAGAAGGATTGGTGGAACTAAAGGCCGCATAGCTTCTCGGTACTCTCTATAACATTTTGGACCAGGCGAAGGGCGTTCTCGATGCCATTTTAGGATGTCGGCTTTCGAACAATCATTCTCAATGACGATTTCGTTTGACGTTGTACTGGGGATATCCGAAGGAAAAATTGGCTGAAAATCGTAAAATCAAGAACTAAAATCGTTGTCTTTTGAAACATCACATGGTATTGTTTCCATTATTGTTTCTCTATGACCCCATAAAACAAAAAAATTTAGTAATTAAAGCCGTCGGATATTTTGAGAAGCAAATTCTTCGGCCTCACCCTATGAAGTAAATACGTCACTTACTTCTATCTTCTTTCCTGCCTCATGAACCGCGTCAATTAAATTTTGCTCTTCATCGACGTTAGATACATCATCTTGATCTAACACACGATTATCCCAATAAATGGTCTCTTCAATCACATCCTCAACCTTTTTCTTCTTGGTACTCTTGCCTCTGAAGATTTTTTTGAGCATTCTAAATTAATTTCAACAAAACCCAATCCACATTATGCTATCTTAGGTAATTTTGACGGGTAAAAAACCAGTTGAAATGAGATTCGACTAAAACTCAGCACGGTTTCAAACTTTATTAAGCATATTACAAAATGAGTGGGTTTAAACGATGTTAACAGAAGAACCACATAGAAATCGGGAATAAATACATCATATACATCAGAAGGTTACATCGCAAAAAAAACGGTTAATTTTCCTTGAAAAAAGAATTCGGAATGTAACAGAAATTAGCTCAACATATAATTTATACAATTTTTTAACAAAAAATCTTACTGCAACAGAACTTTTTCCAACAAATTTAGTCAAATTCCGATATTTTAAGGCATTTTCATGGTATTTTCATTGTAAAATGCATAACCATCTCAAAAAAAAATCGTAAGTTACCCTTAATAAAGTTAAATCAAAATAACAAATTTAAAGACATCAGATATCATCAAATGTTCTTGATGGAGTCATCGAAAGGTCTAACCAGGCAAATAAAAAGGTGTGATCTGATGGATCCGACGTTCGGAAATATGACTCCATGTATTCTGGGGCCAGGAGGTACTTATCTTTGCATTTCACAGTCACATGACGTTCAGTTATCTGAAAATTTTTATTTTATTGACGAAATTACAATCACTATAAAAAATTCGATACTTTTTTGGTTGAAAAAAGTTAAGAATACAAAGATATCTCGCATCTTAGACCCTAAACTACAAACGAGCGTTTTTGAACACCTTTAAGAATATTTTTTTTAAAACTTAGGAAGAAGTACCTAAAATAAGGTAATTTTTGCATTTAAGACCAGCCGAGTTGCTTCCAAAAGTAAAATTAAGGTAATTCCTTCCTTCACCAGTCTGGATTTACATTATTTCATCTAAAAGTTCAAGAAAAAAATAAAAATTCTTACCTCAACATAGTTCAAGATGACTGGCGACGGAACTGGAGGTAATTCCTTGATTTCCGGTATCGGCCATTTCTCCGAACATGCAATGTACTCATCACCGTACTCGCAGTCTTTCACTCGTCCTAGCAACAGCTTTCCTTTATCATTCGGTTGATAAGATTTATCTTCCACCAGAGTACCGAGGGTGCGGACAATTTTGGGACGCGACACCACCGCCCATTCGATGGCGAACGCCGAGGGGGAAGGGATACCCGCGAACAATACGCTGCCTACATCGCAGCCTCTGGTCATGATCGGGGCCACATCTCTTTGGCCTCCTTCTCGATCCTTCATTCGAACATAACCGCGGACGCGCACCGTGCAGCCCACATACATGTTTCGCACCGCAGTACTTGTCCAAAATCCCCCGAATCTCATGACCAATGGGACGTTCTCGGTGGCATCATCGTATTGCTTCACGAATCCGCAGCAATCATGCCCATCCGACCAGGCAATTAAATAATCGATGGGTTGATCAAAGTAGAAATGTTTGCTATCAGTATAATGCGTCAAATGTAAGGGAACAACCAATGGTGCATATGTTTGGATCCATTTGTTGACTTCTACGTGTCCACCAGGCGACGGACGATCTGTATGCCATTTCAGGCCATCCGAAGCGCGTTGAGGGCGAGTTTCAACAATAACGGCTTGAACGTCGGACTGGGCCACGGGCTGTTTCTCGGCCACAGCATTGGTTACAGGGTGCTTGTGAACAATGACACTCTTGATTACCGGCTTGGGGAGGATTTGCTGCTGAAAAATGTTGCAATAAGCACATGAATCAGCAAAATTATATTCTCAAAGATACAATTCTCTTCTTTCACCTAAAATTCAATCAAAAACCCAAAAAAAACTCACAATCAACTTGAGTTTCTCGACATCAGCAAGTCGTTTCTTACTGCGAACTGGAGGTTTACTCTCTTCTTTCTTAATTTCTTCTGACTCGGAATCAGTCAAGTCGGAGGGGCTTTTAATTTTGAGGATCTCCATCAGCCTCTGTGCACTTTCATCCAACTCATCTGTAACTTCGGCCGGTTCCTTTTCACCCTCCTCCTGGCTTGATTGTTTGCGAGATCCAACAGTGTGTTCACCATCAATAGAATCATTGTCACTTTCTGATTGCTCTGAAGCTTCATCATCTGTTTTTGAACTGGATGCGACTGAGGGAGCCTTCACTTCCTCTTGAATTTCTTCACGGACCTCTTCCTGAGGCTTTTCGAGTTCATGCTCCTCGGCTTTACCCTTTAGTTTCTAAAAATATCAATATTTTATATTACACTAGATGTAAAGTATAAATTTGATTAAAAAATAATTCTTTATGGGGCATCACAAATGAGAAATGAGCTGAAACCAAGAGAACACCCCAATAATGCTTTTCAAAAATTTTTAGGGACCTACGAAACCCTGTTTGTACCTAATCGACAAATCTAATCTTAGACATGGCTCCAAACCCAAAAAATTTAACATCAAACCTAAAAAAGAGCCAATTTTCAGTTCAAAAAAATTGTAAAATGGTGCCAATACCCTCCTTTAGCTTCATCTTCAACAATCACTTCCATTTCTGATCTAAAAACCGAACAAAAAATCGAAGACTTACCCCCAATGTCCTTGAAAGGAATCCTTTTTTGGTTTTAGAGGTACTGCCGCTCCGACTTGTTCTGGAGACATTATCATCACACATTGTCCGAGCTATATCTGCTAAAACATCAATTTTAACGTTCGCCATCGAAAAATATCGCGATATTATACATGATACAAACAAAGCCAGGAGAAAACAAAAATAAACGCGACAAACAAGTGAATCTCACAAGCAAAAGGAGTCTTGAAGACATTATGCAGAAAAACTCCGCAATCATTTGCAATTCCATTGAGAAATGAGCAGAAAATAAAGGTTTATATCCAAAGCAAGGAGAAAATTAAATAGGGGGAAAGAAGCCGGACCAAAAACGAAAATTATGGCCAAGAAATCTGCGATCGGAGAGTCGGACAATCGGCCCGCCTCTGTCCATCGTAATATTTCGGTTTTGCCGCCCAGAAATCAGGAATAAACGCTTGTCGGACGTGAAAATATGGTTTTGGGTGGAGAATTCCCCTTCCCCGATAAATTTTTTAGCATTCTCGAATAAAAACAAGGCCGGCTGCGGAGGAAACGCTCTCTTCGTGTTTACAACAGAAAAAACGGGGGAGATCTTGCCCGATGTTCCACTTGACGCGTAAAAATAAATAAATCTTCGAGAAAATCCGTCATAGATGATTCGTTTTCTAAAAATTCCGTCATGCACAAAAAATTGTTGAAAAATTTGTTTGATCTCGAATTCAGAAACAAGTTAGAGGTCTGTTGAATGGTTTTAGTTAGGACTTACCATAGTTTTCTTTGATTTTTTTACAATTATATTGTTTTAGACATCAATCCGACCAAAATTTTAGTTTTTATCACAAAATCGCGCTTATTACCTCAGAAACTGGTAAATAAAGTGATAGCGAACAGATAATTAGATTTATTACGACTTATTAGCTATAATGTTACAGTATACAAGGTAAAAAACTAAGAAAAATTGAAACTTTGACGACCCGTGTCAAGTATAAGGTGAGATGAACAAAGATGCAGTTTAAACGGTGACGGGAGTGTTGCATAGCTGAAAATATACTTTGAAATTCCGTAGACGGTCAAAAGTAATGTTGACTGAGTGAAATTTACCGTTTTTGAGTCCGTTTCGGGGAGGAAATCGCTCGATCTATCGACGAAACTGTGGAATTCGCATCCTCGGTTTGGCTGAAGTTTGCAGTGGCTGATCTTGGGGGTTATGTCCAAGATCTGCGTGGCATTTCGACGGTAGATTGTCTGTAAAGGTTGACATAAAGTTAGCGGCGGCTCAGTTTGCTAGGTTAGTAATTTTGAGAGATTGGATCGATATTAATTTATGTGCTGGAGAAGGCTTAAACTAATATCGGGAAAGCTTGAAATCTTTTCATTGTGCTCTACATGGCTTTAGGTTGTCTTTTGTTCAAGATATTTGGGAGTATTGTTTGAATTTTTGACTTCTTCTGCGAAAAGTATTTTTGGTGTAATGGATAATATAAGGTTGCGTTTCTTCTGAGGAAATCCCCCTAAAACTTATTCACAATCGCTTTTATAGTTGGCTCAGGTCCTCCTCGTTTCTTCTAGCCCAGTTTTAAGCTATCATTTACTCTCTTTCACGTACTTTGAGATAAAATGAGTCGTCTTCCGCATTTTGCCACAATTCCATGAAAATCGATGCGGCCAACTCGGGCGGCTCCTCCCGATCGTAGTCCATCAATCCCAGACCAAAGGTAGACAGCAATCCGGTGAGCGTTACTTCGTGAGCCGACTGCGCATAGTACTTTACTTTGTCTCCACATTTTTCGCTATTCGGACTGCTTTCGCATTCGATTCGATTTTGGAATTCTCGGATTATCCGGTCCAAAAGATTTCCACCCCAAACTCGGCGGAGTTCTAGACTCAGATCGAGGTCGTTGAGGACATCAAGATCGTATCCGAAGGTCAATTTAGAGAAGTCGTTGTAAATTTTGTCGATTTCATCAAAGTGTTCGTCGAGTTTGGGATTGATTTCGCGGTGATGCAGTCGCTCGAGATACATGGGATCCCAGACAGATTGGATTTTTGCGGTGTCCATTTGGGGATAGCCGGTAAGGTGAAGAAGTTTGTGATAGAGTTCCTGAAAGAGGTCATAAGGAAAACGTTATGTTGCAAAAAGATTCCAATGGTAGAGGATTCGTGGAAGCTTATTTTAACCTGGCATCCTCACTGGTGACTTTTTGATGTCTTTCAAGGGTCCCAGTGGCGATTTCAGGGTAAAATGAGCTTCTATTCAACAGAATCCATCTAGAAACCCCATGTTTTGAATGCGGTTTGCTTCACACAAATCTGAGTCTAATATAACAACTTACATGATGACTAGTCTCTAGTAGTCCATATTCCGGAGTCAACGGCAGCAATGCTCTCAGGTCTGTGAGTCTCTGACAACTTTGAGTTGGCAATGCTTCGTAATCGTCGTCATGAGGAACAATGTCGATCGGATATTCGACTGTGGGTTCTCCATACATACCGAATAGGTTGGCTTGGGCACTCTTGATGGTTCGGTTGACTTCAGTCGATCGAACCTGTAAATGCGATATGAGAATAGTAAACGTGGCGATTTTTTGGCACTTTTCTGCAACTTACCTTCAAAATCTCCCCGTCAAATTTGTCGGGCAGGAACTTGAAGTGCTCCACATATCTCCTCCTTATCCATTTCCCCAAGGCGTTCTGCTGTTCGGCGCCCAATGGGGTTAAGAATCCCAACGGAGCAGGCCAATCGGCCTCCTGATTCAGACTAGTAGGGTAGATGAATAGAGGAGAGCGATCTCCATGACGCCATAGAGCCTCGACCATGATTAGTTTGTCGTCTGGATGCCCATCCGGCCCAAGTCCTCGTTCGTGGGATGGGGGTTCATGGGGAATATGCCGAGCGTTAGCTTGCGAAACCAGTAGAATGGCAATTAACCCCAAAATTTGAGTCATTGTGGCCGAGGAGGCTAAAAATTGAAGCTGTTAAAAATAAGGTTGGAAAGAAATTAGTAAAATACGCGTTCTACAGGTACTGCTCAATTCAGAACAATGAAAAAAACGGAAAATAAGTTGAAAGTTTAGTTATTCACGGTTTTACCGCTGGATAGGGAGATAAAACCAATTATTTTGGATGATCCTATATGGTCGTCCATAGAGCGGCTTAGTCCGAGCGGACTGTCCTATGACCAGTTGAACGGTGTAATTTGAAAATATTTGGGTTTATAAAAATTGTCCAGACTGCGGAGCGATCCTTGGGCAACACCCAAATTTCCTTTCATTAGGGCTTACATTCTATAGCTAGAGCAACCCTTTATAAGGTTGCGGTATATATGTTACATAACCTATGACTATATACCTATAATATGTAAAACTGAGCTGCTAAAAGCGCAAAAATGTGCAAGAATACATTTCCTTTGTAAGAGAAAGTATTATAGCATTTTGTTTTATATACCCCCTTTTACTTCCAGTTTTCCGTCACATTGAAACGTCACGGCCTCTATCGAGAACACATTACGATTGCTCTGAATTCTCAGAGAGCTTAGAATGTTTCAAAATGTCGTCTTGACTGAACTCTTTGAGCCTCTAAGCCTAGAGGAAGTGGGAGGCCGATTTCTACGTCCTTTCGACGTCAAATAGTTTGATTGAGTATGGAAGACGTCACACGGGGTAAACAGAAATAAACATTATGAGTAAGCCGGCTTAGAATTTACGGTTGCAAATGCAAAAATGACATTTTTTGTAAAGTAGCTCCGGTTAGGGAAGGTGTTAGTCATCTATGATAAATATTGTATATTTAAGACGAATCGTATGAGAAAAACGTGTAAAACCGAAGTGCTTAAGGGCGAGACAGCTTTATTTTTTGCAGCTAGCCAAAAGCGATGATAGGTGATTCCAAAGCGCGGCAAGTCCACATTATTTTCCCGACAGACTGATAATGAGCGAAAATTTTAATGAAGCGCCCAAAAAGCTGGCGAAATAAAAAGACAAGCCCCTTTCATCGCCCTTACAAAACAAATGTCCAGCCAAAAAACCGGCAACTATGTTTTACGACGCAGTAATGCGTTGTAAACATGACGTATGTCTGTCCTTTTTATACGACACTCGGGTTATGGGAGCGATTCCGTTGATTCGGCTGCATTTTTCATCGACAAATTCCACGCTCGCCAGAGCGTGGGTTGGAATCCCTCGAAAAGGCGGCGATTCTGGGAAAAGGTAGCAAAAGTTCGATTGGGGGAACTTTGGAATCGAAAACTTTGGACTAGAGACGGTAGAAAAAATTGGGAAAAATCATGAGGAATCTACAGTATTTTTTTACAATAATTCAGTAGGCTCAAAGTCGTTTTTCTCAAAGTGCTAAGAGTTTGAAGCTAGCCGCTCAGGATTTGACGAGACATGAGACAAATTGAAAGGGGAAGTGGTCAAAGTGCGACGCTCAGATTTTGATGAAACTTGCGCATATTTCTGTTAGATTTTTCTAGACATAGCGAGATTCATAGCTCGCGCTTTGCAAAAATGACCGAAAATTCTGGATTTAAAGTCGGCAAAGATGCGTCAAGTTTCCGCGAATTTTGGCATGAAAAGTTTTATGAGTATTTCTACCGTAGAGGGTAATGTTTTCACAAAAAGTAAAAAAAAATAGCATCAAATTTTGTCAGTACGTCGTCTTGAATCCAAAAAAACAAGTCGTTGACTTCTCTACATACTGAAACTAAAATACAAAATTTGTGGTAAAATTACAGTGCGCCTACAGTAAGCCAAACCTCACAAGATTAAATAAATAAATGATTACTTTGTTAGTTTACGGAGTCCGTAGAATTTCAGTCCTGCAGGACCAGCTTAGTAAAAATGTGTCAAGAGATGCTCGAGTATTTCGCGGACCCTGTTTTAATTGTATTTTACAGGAGATTTTTTATTCTGCTCCCTGAAAATCCAAAAAATCTCAGTGAACTCCAAATTCCCCGCCTCCGAAATCGCTGTTTATATTGGACTGTTTAGTCTCAAAAATAAAACATAAGGACGTCAAAAACGTCGAGGACGTGAACCCTCGCTCGCATAGATACCATAGCTAACTTGTAAACAATTAAATGTCTGATAAACAAAACGTTGAATTTGAGAGATTAAGACGGATATGCCGAAAGGGCTCGGAGTTGGGGTCAAATCGTGATTTGTTGGCTCGATAAAAAACATGACAAATTAATAAAAAAATGGGAGAGGAAGTGCAAATAACGGATCTTTGAGCTAGCTTCAAAGATTTACGATTAGCTAGTTTTTTCTTGGCCGTTAAAACATTTCTTTGATAAAGAAACTTTGGGGAATTAGGATAAGATGTGGGTTTATGATTCTAAAGCAAATTTTGGTTTAATTAAATGTAAAATTATTCAAATGAATCTCATTTTGTTCCGAGTTTGATAAGGGTCCCTGTTGCAAAAGGAACGTGCAAAAAAAGCTGCACAAAAATGGGATTGTATAAAAAATATTTGGGTGGCAATTGAGGGCAAATTTTATAGGGGAAATACTCCAAGCGCGACGTTCAAGTTTTGATGAAAATTGGCACAAACTTAGAATAAGCTTTCTAAGACCTATACGAGACTCCTAGCTCGCGCAAAATACGCTCTACCCCATCTCACACCAGTCTACAAAATTCGAACAGGTCCAGCAAAACTATTTTTCCTCGCATCCCCTGCGGCAATAAATCACCAAGTTACAGAAAAGCAATTTTCCAAGTAATCGAGATCGTATGATGATCTTCTTTTACACTTTGTTTTGTTTTTAAAACGCCCTGCGGACGGTTCGAAACCGGCCTCGCCTATTACAGCATGTAAACTAAATGATCGAAAAGGTCAAGGAATACAATGTACACAGTTCTCATATTGTTTAGAATTCAATTCAAAGTTTTTGTTTACAAATTTTTTTATGGACAGACATGGCTTTTGTCATTGAAATTGCGGGCTTTCAAAGGGATCAAAGGGATGGAAAATTTTGTTTCGGAAAATCTCATAGTTATTGTATTTGGAGTTTTGTCAGGTGGTCGGGAAGGTATTAGAACATCCGATATAAAGTTATAATTGAAAAAGTGTGTTGAAAAAAGCAAAACTTTAGAGTAAATTGAATTTGAGGGGTCGTCGAACTTGAACTCAGGTTTGATATCCAGGGCAAAAAACGTACCATTTTGCATCCGGGAAGTATCAAAAATGCAGCAAAATGCCTCCCTATCCAAATAAAAAACTCCCAGTTTGAAGACTTTCGCTTGGAGAGGGAGGCATTTTGCTACATTTTTGAGACTTTCCGGATGCAAAATGGTACGTTTTTTGTCAATGGATCAGGTCCATAAAAAAGTATCAAAAAAAAAAGAAAAAAAATGTGGCAAAATGCCTCCATCTTCAACTAAAAAACTCCGCCGTTTTGAAGGTCCCTCAAAAAAGGGGCTGGAACCCTTTTGAAATCGGAGTTTTTTCACCAGGAGAAGGAGGTATTTTTCCACATTTTTCGATACATCCCGGATGCAAAATGGTATTTTTTTCCACGGTACATTTTTTTGGTCGAAACTGTCGACATCCCGAAAAAATTCAGACGCGAAAGTTTCCGGGCCCGCCGGGCAGGACTTTCGAAGTTTCATAGGCCTGGGCCGGCCGGTTTACGGTCACGCTTACTCTGGGTTTGTCATGCGCAGCCGACATACTCAACAAATTTTACGTGAGGAGGAAGTGAGGGGATCTGATCAAAGAAGGTCGTCTTTCGGAAAAAAAGATTTTACTTTTGAACACTTATCTCCGAAATTTTCCTGGAAGTCCTCAAAAAGTGAACCCGGATTTGAATCTTTTTCAAGCACTTGTCATGTCTGGGTCCAAGCAAAGCTCAAATATTTGATCAGGCTTGTTTGTAGTGCATACATAGGAGGTGATCTATAAGTTTTGTTTTTCAATCCAGCCAAAAAGCGGCTAATTCAGTCCAAAATTGACCTCAGACTGATGTGCCGGTTTTGACTGGATTGAAAAACAAAATTTATAAACCATTTCTCTTATATCAGTCTGTCGGGAAAATATTGGGCACTCTGTCGGATGGAAAATCGCATCGCCGCGGAGGAAATGAACTGTGTCGCGGCAAAATCAAATTACTTTTCGTCTCAGCGACATTGTGCTCATTATTTTCCCGACAGACTGATTTATAGTGTATAAAAAATAAGAAAATGAAGGTTTTAAAAATAGTGGGTAAAATACGACAAGGATGATCTTCCTCTGTAAAAAATATGTACCTCAGTCTTCCCTAGTCGCCTTTATAAGGAATGCGGAAGAATCGCTGTCCCAGATGTTCGTCTTTAGCGAGTTGCAGCCGGAAACGCACCCTACGTGAGCTGAGAACATCAGCAAATCAAAGAAAAGCGAATTTTGTCATATTTTCAATTAACGATCAACAGTCGTCAATTTGAGGAAATCATAAAATAAACTGTGAAAAACATGATCATCATCAATTTACAAAATGATCCATTCTCCATTATATCGTTTGTTTTGAGCCTGCGAAATCCGATAATCCAAAAATCCAAACATCCCTTCAAACAATCAAATTTTTAGAAAGTTCTAAAAAATGCTTCAAAAATTTGGAATCGCAATGAAAAATTGACACTCCGAAATAGATTCAAAAATAAAAAAACCTTTTTTCGACATTCTGACGCAAAAAAATGAGAGAACCGATCCATGTGAGCGTTACATAATTGTTCTCGATTTTGGTGGTTGACAAATTGTCGGATGGGAGATCAGTTCTCCTGTTTTTGCGCAAAAAAGATTATAGAGAAATCAAGAGCCCAAGTTTTTCGTTTCCCCCGCTTGCTTTGTTCAGTCTGTTCTTCTGTTTGCACAAGTAATAAGTGGTTTTTTGAGCGCGATATAGTGATATCAAAAAAATTGTTTGATTAAAAATTTTTTAAGTTTAGTGGAACTTAATTGTTGCCATAAAATGAAAAAAAAATTTGTGCTTCAAAGTAATCGAAATTTTCCTCAAATCGTATAAAATGTCTCCCTCTTCTTTTTCTTTTCGAATGAGGAAGAAACGAAAGAGTTGTCGGGTCTGTGATTATTTAGCGCAGTGGCAGTGTGTTCGCTTTTGAATCCGAAAGTGGCGGGTTCGGCGCCGGTCGGTGACGATAAAACTTTCCAGTTCTGCTACTGAATGGCAGTGATGATACAACCATCAGAGATCGTTTTGGATTTTCTTTTGGAATCCTGAGTGACAGACTGATGGTAAAAAGTCCTGTTTTGACTATAAACGATATTTTTTTCAAATTTCATGGCTAGAAATCGATGTTTATTCAATAAATAACTGAAATATTTAATGTAACCGGTTGTAAAATACGAATAAACATAATTAATTTTTGGCCAAATCATGCTTGACCTGCTCTCGAATATGTTGCCAATCGATTTCGTAATTGGCATAGTGTTTCAGGAACTTTTGATCGTTCTCTTTTCGTCCAGTCTCTTCCAAATACCTTTTTCTGTAGCCGAGAACCGTATCCACATGGATGTTATGCTTCACCGCGAGTTCGAGAGCTCTAAAAAAGGTTTCTTGTAATTTTTTTTAATAAAAATGCGATTTTTTTGAATTTTTTTACCTTTCAAACTTGAACATGCTCAAATTCAACATGATGGCTCTGAAAAACTCTCCGGCTTGAATTAGCGCCGCTTCGGCGTCTCGTAAATTGCCATTGAAGAGTGCCATCGCAGCGTTTCGACGTTCCTTCTTGGTTTCGGCGCTAATCTCGCCCAAATAATAGACTTTTTCCACTTCCAAAAGTTCGCTATAGGCAATCTCGGCGATCCGATAATTCTGATTCATAGCCGCAGCGCCAGCCAGCGTAGCCCATAGGTAGTCTTCCTAAAAAAAATTTGAATATTTTTTCTAAATTTTCACTGCAGAGAATAAAAAAAGTTGCCCTGTAGAACAACTTTTCGTACAATAAAACCTCTCTATAACGACTAATTTCCAATTTTAAGATCTTAAAAATTCATTTCTAATCGTAAGGCTTTTGTATTTACAACGAAACCCTTTTGTTTCCTCCCCGTCTTTTGGTCATATCTCAGGGGGTTCTTTTCCAAATGTCATGAAATTTTACACGAGTATTACACAGCCTTTAGGAATCAACTATGCAAAGTTTCATCGCATTTGGCTTCGATACACGGACGTTACGGTGGTTTTTCTAAATTCCGGGTGTCCCGAATTTTCGGTTCCACTGTACCCATGTGGACGCTCAGATTTTCTCGAAATCCTGCACACGTTTTTGGCATAGCCCACATATCAATTCCTCAAACTTTTAGCTCTCGATTTGCAGTCGCAACCGAGATATTGAACAATCTTTGCGGCCGAGAGAGTACGAGAAACGCGGAGAGCGGTCTGAGAAAACACAATTTTTGGCCGTATCTGCCAGTTTTGTGGGGAAAAAATTGATTTTTTGTAGAAACATCACCCTCTATGGTAGAAATAGGCATGAAACTTTTCATGGCAAAATTCGGAAAAAAATTTTCGCATTTTTTCCAACTTTCGACTTAAAAATTTCGGTTGTTTATGAAAAATGTGAGCTAGAATTCTCGTATATGGTTTAGAAAAAACTATTTTAAATTTGTGCCAAGTTTCATCAAAATCTGAACGTCGCGCTTGGGGCACTTCCTCTGTAAAAATTTACAGTTTTTTTGCTATTTCCCCGCTCACCTTCACCGTTCTGCACATTCGCAGCGCCTTGTCCCACTCATTTTTCGCGAAGCATTTGTAAATTCCACTCAGAAATGGCGGCACATAGGCGATGACGAGGCTCCCGTCCGAGCGTCTTACCGTAACGCCGTTCCCAATGAACCCGACCACAAACGCCGACCGTCCCATGTCCTCGCTCTCCACCGTCACACACGTCCGCGACAACAGCTCTCGGTCGGTGAACACGATGGAAGGGAGGGAGAAACAGATGACGCGGCGGTCGCGGAACGCGGCCAACATGTTGGTGAGGTTGTTGAAGTGGATGTTGGAGATGGCGGTGTCTGGAAAATGGAGGAATTTGGCGAGGCTCGATAATATATTTTGAAGACTCTCCGGTAGTTTCGGCATCATAATAAAGCATTTCAGATTGGTGTGATTACAAAAAAAACGGTCAAAAGTCTCCGCCGAAAACACTATGTTACGCGTCGGCGGAGATGTTGGGTTCTCACCCAAGTTCTCAGGAAATTTGAATGAACCAGGAAGTATAAATACAACAGAAAATCCCAATATCTTTTAATTCTGTCTCCGGATTTTCGGTTGTTTGTATGTGTGACTCATCTCGTCTCAATAAACCCTATACTCTTCTTACTTTGGATTGGTGACCACCTCCCCCCTTCTCCCAGCGCCTCTCGCCGTTATAAAGACTTTTGACCGTTTTTTTGACAATCACACCAATCCTGAACGCTTTTTTCTGATGCTGAAACTACCGGAGAGGCTTCAAATTTCTACACTATGGATCAGAAGGCCGACGACAGCGCTATGCGAGTCGGGGAAAAAATGTGGATTTCTCGCGCCTATGCGAAGCAAAGTGCTCATTATTTCCCCGACAGACTGATGGCGGCCAAATTAGCTATATTATAATTCACTCACCCAACTTTTCGTATCTCCTGAGCGCCCCATACGAATTGATTTTGCCCAAGAAACAGTCCGAATTCACGTCCACGAACGCGATTCGCCGCTCGCTCAGCGGCCCGCACTGATTCAGCGCCACCTCCACAATCTCCACCGAATGCGCGATGCGTCCGTCGCCGGCCGTCTTCCCGGTCTTGGTCTCATACAGATGCAAAACGTTGGGGTTTTGTTTGTCCTTCAGCGCACACACATCGTTGGAGATGGCGGCGGTCCGGTCGGTCAGATGGTCGGCCATGTTGATGCCGTTGTTCTGCCGCAGCGTGCATTGCTGACGCCCTTCGTAGTTGAGGACTTGGGCAAGGCCGCCGTCCACGAGCATGAAAAATCTGGAAGTTTTACATGCATAGAAAAAATGTAAAAATTTTTAAAAAAGTTTGTGTTTTGATGACTATAAGTATGTTGGGAAAATAAAAAAATCAGCAAAAATACTGACTTTTCACACAGCAGAATCAACGTCACATTCCCATCCTTTAGCTCGCTGATTATGGGGGTATTCCAATTTTTGGCACTGAATATGTACAACTGTTTCGTGGTCGACACGACCAGCTGTCCGTAGCCCAGCTGCAGTCGGGTGACGCGATTTTTCACCTCCAATTTTTCCTTAGCCACTTCCGACATGACATCGCGCAGGTCGATGCGACGATTCTCGACTTGAACCGCCTCCAAATTGTGCCACCAAAGGCGTCTGAAAAGGAAAAAATTGGATTTTTTTTAATTTTATGCGATTTTGGGCAAAATTGTTTGATCTTGAGTAAAATTGTTTAAATTTTGGTAGCTTAAAAGCGAGTTCATACCGATCAACCACAGTCCCGACAAGAATTTGCCCTGAGGCACCTGCAGCGGCAAGTTGAGTGCCGTCCAACGACCAGGAAAGCTGATAAATCGAGCCCACTGGGCGACGTTCGACGGAGTGCGACCACTGAAATAAAAAATTGAAGTTGCTAAGTACGTTTAGGCGAGAGGTAGTAAAATTTCGCACTGTGCAAAAATATAGGCTTTTTTAGCCTAGCGAACTGCACTGTGCAAAAATGTAGGCTCTTTTCAACTAAAAAATTGCACTGTGCAAAAATTTAGGCTTATTAAGCCTAATGAATTGAATTGTGCAAAACTATCCAAAAAAGTGTCGAAAATTTATTAAACACTTACTCCAGCGCGCAAATATTTAGGCTTACTTTGTCTGGAAGATTGCACTATGCAAACATATAGGTTTTTTTCTACTAGAAGACTGCACTGTGCAAAAATATAGGCTTTTTTCTACCGAAAAATTGCACAGTGCGATCTAGGCCAATTTCAACTATGAAATTGCACTGCCCAAAACTCGAAAATTTATGCTTATTTAGTCTAGAAAATGCACTGTGCAAAACCGTAGGCTTATTTCAACTAGAAAACTGCACAGTTCAAAAATATAGGCTTTTTTCAAATAGAAAACTGCACAGTGCAAAAATATAGGCTAATTTCAGTTAGAAAACTGCACTATGCAAAAATATAGGTTTTTTTCAACTAGAAAACTGCACTGTGCAGTAATAGTGCCATATTTAGCTTGCTGAATTTCACTGTACAAAAATAATATAGGTTTTTTGCACTATGGAATTGCACTGTGCAAAAAACATAGGCCAATTTCAACTAGAAAACTGCGCTGTGCAAAAGTATAAGTCTAATTTCAACTACAAAACTGCACTGCGCAAAAATATCAAAAAAATGTGTCCAAATAATATTCTACACTTACTCCAGCGCGATCGCACAATCTCAGCACATTGAAACTTCCGACCGCAAACAACTCCCCATCCGAATTCCACGCCAACGCCGTGATCGGGTAGTTATGCGGATTCGAGGTGTACAACGGTCTGCCGAACGAGTCGAACACTCGATAGCGATTGTCCTCGCCGCCGCTCACAATCAGATCGACGGCCTTGGACCACGCCACACACAGCACAATGCCCTCATGGGCCTTCCATTTGGTGGGCTGGGCTTGGTTCTTCAGCGACATGATCACGCAATTGTCACCGAGTGTGTACACGACTCGGCTGCCGTCGCCGTTCCAATCCGCCGCGTAAATGGGGCGTCCGACTTGGGTTAGGACACTGCGGAGCATCCCGCTGCGGCTCCAGGTCTTTAGAGCGCCGTCCTCACCGGCTGTAAAATGAAGATATATCATGAAAAAATATTATTAGGGTGAACCAAAAGTTTTTTCGGATTCTTAGGTATCTTTTTGTCCGATTGTTTTTGTACGAAATAAAGATTTTTCGATGCTAACGTACTCGATAGAAACCCGGTTCCATCGTGGCTCCATTTCACGCACAACGTGGCCCCTTCGTGCGCATCAATTATCTTGTCAATTTTGGAGGTGTTCCCATTCACATGCTGAACTTTTCCATCCGATGTTGCGATCAGAATGAGCTCGGCGGTGTTGGCTTTGGCGCCGGTGTTGACTTGCCGATGCAGAACGTCCATTTGGATGGGATAAGAGGTGCTGAATGTCAATAAAGACAGAGTTCATTATCTTATACGTAGTGTAGATGCAAAACCCCTAGCTCGCAATTTGCAGAAACCACCGAGATTTTTTGGTTGAAATTTGGAAAAAAAACATGAACTTTTTTCCCAATTTTTAACATGAAAAATGGCACGCCTCCTAGTCCGTTCGGAAAGTCGCTGGATCGATTTTTGGTGTTTTCACTGTGCGAAAAAAACCAGGGTCCGAGAGACAGCCCAAAAAAGTCGATTATACGGTGCAAAAAGCCAGAAATTGGACAGTGCAAAGTAATCCTTCGCTTTCGCACAGTGCATGTCTCCGAAGTAATTCCAGCGACTTTCTGGACGAACTACAGGGTCTTACAAAAAACGTGAAGGAAAGTGGAAGGCTGTAACTTCCGACGGAGGCGGCGCAGAGACTTCGTATTTAAAATGTGTATTTTTAAAAGACATAAGTTTTTGTCTACGAAATAACAAGCTTTTAGAGTACAAACTGAGGTCGCTACGACCTCAGTTTGTACTCTCTTTCTGAAGTAGAGGTATCTCTACCCCGAAAACCAGGTTTTTTCGGTTGAAAATGATCGAGAAATTTCGAACTTTTTCGGTTGAAAATCACCAGGAAATGTCGGATTTTTTGGGGTTTCTTGATATAGTCTTTAAGAAAAAGTGCATAATTTGCAAGTGTTGGCACTTTCCTCATATTTTAGACCCTGTAGTTCTCCTAGTATTTTCATAAAGTGCGTAGACTTTTGCACCGTGCATTTTGCTTTTTCACATCCTTTTCGAAATATTTATTTTCACTGTGCAAATGGTATATTTTTGTGCACATGACAAAAATCTACGCACTTTATGAAAATTCTATTAGCATTTTCACAAAATGCCTGGATATTTTTTTCGCTCTCGCACGAAATTTTGTCGCCAACGCGCTGTGGAATTTTCACTTTGCGCACCGTGCAAACCAAAAAAAAGGCCGTTTGCACTGTGCAAATTCTCGCGGCGACGTAGTTGAGAAAAGCTTATGTCGCAGCGATATTTCAAACGCACAGTGCAAAACCAAAAAAAGGTCAATGCACAGTGCAAAATTCTCGTGGCGGCGCAGATGAAAAAAGCTTATCAGTCTGTCGGGAAAATAACGGCGGATCGTCGCAGCAAAATGTCTCGCCTCGCCGCTATCGCGCACCAAATCCCAAGCCGCTGCTTGAAGTCGCAAAGCGATGATGGGCGATTCCGAGGCGCGACGATCCGCCGTTATTTTTCCGACAGACAGATATGTCGCAGCGATATTTCAAACGCACAGTGCAAAACGAAAAAAAGGCCGTTTGCACAGTGCAAATTCTCGCGGCGGCGCACTTGAGAAAAGCTTATGTCGCAGCGATATTTCAAACGCACAGTGCAAAACGAAAAAAAGGTCGTTTGCACAGTGCAAATTCTCGCGGCGGCGCAGATGAAAAAAGCTTATGTCGCAGCGATATTTCAAATGCACAGTGCAACAACAAAAAAAGGTGAATGCACGGTGCAAAAAATTGGGGGCTTTTGAGCATAGTGCGGACCGCGATAGATGTCCAGGCACTCTGTGAAAATGCTAATAGGATTTTTTAGACTGCCGCTGGCATCTTGACTTTTTTTTCACAATGCTGACGTCAAAAATCAGTTTTTTTGAATTCCATATTAGCTGTTTTTCAAAATTTTTCGAATCGAAACCAACTCCCAGTACCGTATTTTACCTGTTATAATTGGCGACCTCCTGTCCTTGACTGTTCTCCGTCGACCATTGCATCAGCCGCTTATCATCTCCAATGTAAAGTGCCGTCTCGTTGTTCAGCCAGCCCACGCCGACCACTGGAGTCGAATCCGTCGCTTCGGCGTCTTCATTCAGAAGTCGGAGCTTCATTTTTAGCAATAATTTAATAATATTTCAGTAATTTATTTTTGATAGTAAAGTTTACTACAGAGTAAAATAAAAATTTTGACGAGGAGAATAGTAAAAAAATTGTGGGTTTTGAAGGCTGTGTGAGCTTGGAGGAGAAATATTTTGCCCAAAAATGGAGGTTGCGTTTCCTTGGCAACAACGGAAGGCCAAGGAAATGGCGGGAATTTTGGCGTTTAAAACTTTTGAAAGGTGTGGATGTAATTTTTTTGTTTTTTGATCTTTTCAAATTTTTCTCGCATTTTAAGACCAAAAAAACTTTTCAGATCGCGTTTTGCAGAAATAACCGAGATTTTTTGCCCGAAATTTGGCAAAAATTCACATGAGAATTTCATAAATTGCAAGATTATGATATATCAGTCTGTCGGTAAAATAATGAGCACTCTGCCCCATAAAATCGTTGTGCTCATTATTTTCCCGACAGACTGAAATAAGCTGTAAAATGTAATAAGTTAAATCTAGCTTACAGGTGAAGTACCCAAGTTCAGGGCTTAGATTTTGATAAAACATAGTAAAAATTTAGACTAATTTTTTTTATTTAATACATATGTGAGGCTCATAGCTTACAATTCACAGAAACGACCGAAATTTTTTTTGGTCCAAAGTTCGAAAAAATTTTTAAAAATTTTTTGCGAATTTTGACATGAAAAGTTTCATGGCTATTTCTACCGTAGAGGGTGATATTTCCACAAAAAATCAATTTTTTCCGCGCGAAATTGGCAAAGATACGGCCAAAAAGTGGGTTTCTCTCTGACCGCTCTCCGCATTTCGCGTACTCTCTCGGCCGTAAACATCATTGAATATCTCGGCTTTCCTTGCAAAGGGAAAGCTAAAATTTTCAGGAATTGACATGTGGTATATGTGCTACAAGTGTTGTAAGTTTCACAACAAAATTTTAATTTTTTTTTAAATATTTTTTTTCGAATTTTATCCGCTATTTTCCCGCCATGTTCCCTACAAAAAGTCCTCGCAAACCCTATAAAAATGTGTTCCGCTCCCGATTCGGGATGTTTATCCCGAAAAACGCTTCGTATTTCAACTCCATTTCTCGTTTTCCGATATCCGGAAAAGTCGAGAGTAGGTTTTTTTTCTTCGTTTTCTTCTCGGCTTCTCGTGGGGAGGATTAATCCCCCACTAGATTACGTAAGATTACCTTAATTTGTGTGGGGGTTTTTGGCTTTTTTTGACTTCAATGCAAGAGGAAATTGGGAAGAATGACGTGAATTGCGGAAAAAAGATAAAAAGAGGAAACAAGGGGGAGATTTAGAGGGCCGAAATGGACGTTTACATGTGTTTTTGAAGGCAATTTGGGAAAAATGTTTTTTGAATTTATATAAATTTTTTTTAAATTTCACTTTTTTTATTTTTATTTATGATTTTTTTAACTTATTTGGAGCCTTAAAAAAGCGTTATTTACCAAAAAAAATTTGGACAAGAAATAGAATTTTATTTTTTTTTTGCACTGTGCACTCCAAATTTTAGTGTCAAATAGCGTCTGCACAGTGAAGTCAACAATTTTTTTTTTTTTCTGAGGCGGATTTTGATGAAACAGGAGACTTTAGAGGGTCGAAAAAAATTTTTAGACGTATTCTTGAAGGCAATTTTGGGAGATAAGTTTAAAAAATAAAAAAAATTTTAATACAATTTTTTCAAATTTTATTTTTTTCTTTATTTGAAACTTTAAAAAACGATTTTTATGTAAAATCAAAGTCTGGTCAAACAAAAATTTGAAATGCTTTTTTTGTGGTGATTCTAAGGCGCCAATTCCACTAGGCCCACAAAGCTGCGCAGCGCGAACCGAACTCTTCGGCCTCGCCATCTCGCGATAATTTTTATTAAAATAGTCTGTTTCGCTTGTGTTTTTATTAAAATAGTCTTTTTCGCTTATGTAAGTAGGGCTCCGGTCGGCTCCAGCCGAAGGCGGACAGAGCAGTAGGCGAGCTGGCGCCAATTCCACATTATTTTCCCGACAGACTGATAAATAGCGTCCACATAATGCGAAAAGATTTTTTGACGCAGATTTTGACGAAATTGGCACATTTGTTAAACACGAAATTTTTTTTAACTTGCGCTTTACAAAAATCTTCGAGATTTTTTCATCAAAAATTGAAAAAAAATCAGTTTTTTCTTCGATTTTTGAGCTGAAAAATATGGAAATCCATTTTAAAACACCGAGTAAATCTTGTTATAAAAAAATGTTTTTTTGCCATAATATTGGCCAAGACAACGCCCATCGTTCGTTTCTAGTGTCTTTCTGTTTTTGGCGGACCAATTTAACGCCTTAGGGGGTCCAAAGTGGTTTTCCATAAATTCTCCTGTCAGTTAAAGTCTGACATCTTGGATATTCAAGGCCATATATATGGCCAGAATCAAGGGAAATTGGAAAAAAATAAAAAAAATTAACTTTTGGCCAAATTAAAAAAATTTTTAATTTCCTCTGGCCTGGAGGTGAAATTCTAATCAAAAATTAAGTTTTTGGGCCTACCGAAAAATTCCTTAATTTGTTTTCAAGTTTTTGGGTCAAAAATAAAAAATTTTTATATTATCCATGGCATGTGAACAGAAAAGCCCAAAAAATTAATGTTCAGCCTTTGTGTTCCATGTTTTTAGGCCATTTAGAGGGAGAAACGGACAAAGTGGGTAGACCATTTGATTTTTAATGCGAAAAATGCCATTTACGACCATCTTGGGAATAAATTATGACTTTTGTCTAAAATAAGGTGAATTTAGTCGAAAATTGGAGCGTTTGACTGGGGGAAAAGGCTTCTTTTAGATGTAAAATTTGATGGAAACTATGATTTGTAGGTTTACTTTGCTTTTTTCAGTTGAAAATTTTTTTGCAAAATTCGAAAAACATGAAAATTTTGAAATTTTTTGTATTTTTTGGCAAAAATATTGGCCAAAAATGTGTCAAAAAATTTTTTCCTACCTATCTACTCTTATTTACACAGTAAACTTCCATTTGCAAAACAATTTTTACAATTTATTTAATTTTAGGTACCTAATTTCCATTTTTTTTCATTACACTCGGCATTCTCCCCGCAAATCCTTCCTCACGTCATGCCGAAGACGGAATTGCAAAGACTTGCTCGAAATTCATCACTCTTGGCTCTTGAGCTGTCGTTCTTTCCTTTCCGCTATTCAAAAACCCCCTCCCCTCCAAAGAGTGTGTTTTTTCGTCGTTTTGCGCCGTTTTTGACCCCATTTTCCAGCAGTTTCAGGGCGTCGGCACGTTACCACTCCCCCCAACGTTCCCTCCCGGCTTTGTTTGCGGGTTCTCGAAGGCTGTTTCCGGCCCTCCGCATTCTCGGCCATAATCGGAGGAAAACCGTGAAAATAATGGGGCAAGGTGGCGGGTTGCGTGAGAATAGGTGTGTGTAATTTGGCTAAGAGTACGCCAGCGAACGTACGATAATGGATGTTGAACCTTGAAGGGGTGTTTCGCGTTGAAATGCGAATTTCTTTATATTACTTTAGGTGAGCCGGGCGAAAAATTGGATTTTCGATATTTTCACGGGAATTATAGGACATGAAACTTTTTTGTAGACAAGAATAAAGTCTGGACTATCTAGTATACACAAAAATTAAACCATTTTGACTTTCGAAACTTCAAAAATCGCCTATATTCACCATGACCTCATGAGATACCTATTGCCTCAAAAAATACTATAAAAACCCGGATTTTTCCCCCAAATACAGCTCATACTCTCTTCTAAACTCCCTAGAGTCTCCATTCTACAACTTTTTTTCCACCTCCACCAACGTTTTCCTCAAAATTCCGAGCAATTTATCTCTTACGTTTTTTCTCCATAATTAATCCCCCAAATGCATAAAATTTGACGTGTTTTTTGCGAAACTCCCGTTTTCTCGCGAAACGATTGATCTTTTTCCAATCAAACGCCCAAAAAAGGACAGCCACCTCCACAAAACCCCTTATTTCATTCGTTTTTGATGATAATCGTGGGATAAATTTAGCTTTTTTATTTTTTATATTGTTTTAGACCTTACACTCGGCTAAAATCTTGAATTTTTGCAGGATAAACCATGGATTTCAATCTGAAAAAGTTTGCCAATGATGCCAGTGGACTCTTCAGCAGGGCCAAACAAGTAAGTTCTTGGATTTTGTAGTTCTTTCAAGGTTTAGAGACAAAATGTTATACTTGACCGGATGGATAAAATAAAGTCAAAATTTTGATGGAGAAAGTCGAGAAGATTGATTCAAATTGTTTTAGTACACCGAAGAGACCTTCTTGAAGGCCGAGAAGACTGAATTGGATCCGCATTTCGAGCAGCTCTTGCAGCGGGCGGATAAAACCGAAGAGCACACCAAGAAATTGCTAAATTCCATTGAAGGATACCTACAGCCTAATCCAAGTGAGTGACTATAGCTTTTAATTGGAAGATAAGGGCAAAATACAGCTTTTTTGACTTGGTGGAACTTCAAATTCCGTCTTTTTTGTGTGAAATTGTCATGAATCGTATAGTTTTAGATACAAATTTTTGTTTGAACAGGGATGAATAAGATGTAACATGCTGATTCATCGTAAAAGATTTAGAAAAGAGCTGGATGGGAATATTCGAAGATAGTGGGATGAAAAATATTGGATTTTTAAACAGTTTTATTTTACCCGGCTACCTAGTACAATATAAGTGAAAAAACGGTATTTAGAGGTTTTTGATGCCAAAAATTTATATCAGAAAATACGTTAGATATCTCAAGAGACTCAACAAACATTTTTTCCTCTAATTATCAGTGTAAAATTACACTTTGGAGACATTTTATACGATGAAACATGTTTCGTGATAACCGAAAAAGCCCTTAGGATGTGGTTTGAAAACCTCAACAGACATAATATGGGCTAATACATTGTCTACACTCTATTTTGCTTCTTTTTTTATTGAAATAATAACTCAATTTCGAATTTTGAACCTTCTTGTCTAGTATAATATAACCTCTCCCCCGAACTTTCAGCTGTTCGTATGGAAGATGTTTTCTACGAAAAATTGGAGCTGAAAAAAGAATCTCATCGACAGAATAACCTGGAAGCCTTGGGAAAGGCGATGCTCGATGCTGGAAACGAATTTGGCCCCACCAGTCCGTACGGCTCGGCCTTGTTGAAGATCGCCAAAACAGAGACCGCAATTGGACAAAGAGAGTCGGAGTTTATAAACACGGCCGCCGCGAATTGTTTGCTACCGATCCGACGCTTCTTGGAGGGGGATATGAGAACAATTCAGGTAAAATAAACGTTTTGATGGCTAGTGTAATATAATTTTTGGAATTTCAGAGAGAACGAAAGGTGCTGCATGGGAAACGATTGGACCTGGATGCTTGCAAATCTAAGCTGAAGAAAGCCAAGACGTTGGAAGCTAGTGCGGTGGTAAGTTGAGGAATTATGAGATAAAATTTGAAGGTATAGTCATCATGGTGAAGATCGGAAGATATCTTGAAAATTATTTGGAATATAGGGCAGTTATAGCTCTTAGAGGGTTTTCAGGGACTCTAGTTGACCTAGTAAATGTTTTAAGTATTTTGCTTCCTTAGTTTTTGAATTATGACATTACTCATCTAGTGTAATATAAAGTATTTTTTGGATATAAAGAAGAATTCCGCGGTGTAATTTAGAGGTTGTCCAGGCCTTGCAGGGTCTATTAAGTCATCAGGCATTGTTACGACCAATTCATCAAGATATTTCGACCAAAAATCGAGGTTTTATTATATTACACTAGGTAGAAGAGTCAAAAAATTTAGAAAAGTCACTTCTAAATACTTCCTTTCAATAGAAAATTATCTAATAATGGCTTTTTAAGCAAAATGCCCCCTCTGGCGACACAATCCAACAGGTGATTTTGTTGTCTCGTGATGTTGTAGAGTTGATATTGTACTTGGTGATTTAGAAGAATTTGGGAAATTTTGTTTGAAAAAATACTTAGTATTGTGTCGTAGATAGTCTGAATGGTCCAGAAATTCAATGCCGAGCTTTAATTTTTTATTTTTTACCTTATTTTAGGCCGAAGCGGACCTCCGAGTAGCCCAATCCGAGTTCGACAAGCAATGTGAAATCACAAAATTGCTACTGGAAGGAATACAAACAGCACATGTAAGAGATTTTTGATGACATTTGGGACTTTTCAGAAGTCTTTCGGACTTGCGAAAAATTTGAATTTTGAATTTCCCGCCAAAATTTTTAGGACGATTTTTTGTTTGTTATGGGGAGATTTTGGTGTATAAAGGTTTACATGATGTTTATTTGTCTTTTAGGACCTGAAAATTTATTTTACAGAGATTTTTGAATTTTGAAAAATCGAGATTTTTTGATTTTTTTCAGAATAATCAACTCAAATGCATCCGAGATTTTGTGGATGCGCAGACCAGCTTCTACGCCCAAGCCCATCAACAAATGGTCGATTTACAGAGAGAGTTATCCAGGTAATCAGATTTTTTTTTTTTTTTTTTGATGTCTAGTGTAATATCGAAAAAAAATTTGGTTGATTTTGGGGGAAAAAGTGGTTGTAGCAGAGTGAATTGTCTTTAGGATGCTATAAAAAAATTTTTTTGCAAATTTTTTATGTATTTACTACTGTATTTTTCAAAAAAATTTGAGAATTTTTGAGATTTTTTAAAAAATTTCCCTCCAAGCCATAAAATTTCTACTTGTTTCAGTGTTGGTAACTCTCCGGATTCCGGCTTGGGTGGCGTGTGATGTGCTGTGAATTGGTCGTTCTGTTGGTCCCATCAATGTGCTTCTAACCGAGATTCTTCACTTATTTTAGCAATTTTTGGCTAACTTTCGCTTGTAACCTAAAATTTTTGTATATTTATTTCGTAAAAATCATTTGATACTAGTCCTCAAATATGTATTTGTCCTAGTTCTGATAGTATTTATTAGAAAATAGCCGATTTTATAGATGAATTTTACAGTCTCTTATTCTTGTGGTATGTGTACAATAAATGATGAATATACAGTGAAATTGAGTGGATTTGAGTTAGTTTTTTGTTTTATTGGCGTTATAAGGAGTCCTAGTTTCAGTTGGACTCGAAATCCGGCGGTTTTGAGGGAAATCAAGTTTTCGTGGTGGGACCAAAATTGAGGTGTAGTGGTGTTTGTAATAGCCGGATTTTAAGGTAAAATTTGATCTACTGAGGTAGAATACATGATTAAAAATATTTTATATTCTATCAAAGTTCTTTGTTTTCGTGTTAAGACCCAAAAAAGTAATTTTTTCTTCAAAAAATCCCAATTTCAGCACCAACTCGGATCCTGAGATTGAACTCCTCCCCAATGGCTCTGAAGACTCTCTTTTGTCCTATAACTCGTCAAGCTCATCAAAAACTCGTCAGGCCAGAGCACTCATGGACTACGCGCCATTAGACGACTCTGAAATCGAACTCCGATTCAATGAAGTGGTAATTATGTACAGTTTGCCCGGAATGGACGCGGAATACGTGATGGTGGAGAAAATGGGACGTCGAGGAAAAGTGCCACTTACATTTTTACAAGAAATTTAAATTTTTTTGAAAAATTTTGATGATTTTTGGAAATTTTTTTCATTGTTTTTTCAGAGATAGAAATGCAAATTGTAACTAGATATGTTCTAAATATTGCAAAAAAAAAGATATTTGAAATTTTTTTTGTGCCATTGTGTGATTTTCAAGAGAATCTAATAAAAATACTGGAGTAGTTGACCATGGTGAATATAGCGTGAGTTTTTGAAGAAATTGGAAGTATGTGAGACCTAAATCTGTCACAGATACAATTTTAAGATCTCCTAGTTTCTGCAAAAGTTAAAGGTTTCAAATTTTTTACTATTTTTCTATGGAAAATTGAAAGAAAACGTCAAAATCATGGATAACATTAGAAAATTGCAAAGAAAATGTCGAAAAAAATAAATCAATTGTTAAATTTGTTATCTAAGATATTCGATCACTATATTCTTTAATTTCCCCTAGTATTTACCCATTTTTATGTAATCCCCTTTCAAATTTCCCGCTTGCAACAGAATGCCAAGAAAATATTATACTTGCTCGCAGTTCACGAAAAAACTAGTTTCCACGTTTTATTCCCGAAGAGACTTGATCGCTACTGGATTGACAAGCTATTCCAAGGACAAATATGGCCGAAACAATCCGGCAATATTGTATACAGCTGGCCGAAGCTGAGGAGGAAGGGGATTTTGATAAAATCCTTGAAATAACCGATACCCGTGGGTTTCTTCTTGAGTTTTTTTGTTGTTTATGATGTTTAGGAAATGTGGAAGGGTTATAGAGAAGTCTTGCCTACGTTTGGAGTTGTTCCACATCGATTCTTACCCATTTCTTTTCAGTATTGGAGTCCGATCTTGAGCAAGCCAAATCTCTTCCTCTTCTTCAATGTAAATTGACAGCTCTGCTCCAGACAGGACAATTGGACGAAGCTCTCAAGTTTATCAACCGTCACGGCGAGGAAAAGTTGGGGTAGGTTGATTTTCTGGCCGATTTTATATTATACTTGCCTAGTATAATATAATTTTGATACTATTCCCGTAGTTTATTTGAGATTTCGCTATTGATTTGGAGTATCTTTTAGAGACACCGTTGCCGCTCGTGCCTACATCTATTATCGTCAAAACAAGAACGATGAAGCCTTCAAAACCTTGGAGGACGCGGATCCGGAAGATCTGGCTGCTCTCGAGTTGAAAGGCCAGTTATATTATCGGGTGGAGAAGTATCCAGAGGCTTATGAGATTTACAAGTGAGTTTTTGTTGTTTTTTTCTTTTCTGCCTTTAGGTTTCGCTGCTTGAAGATTCAATATGGCTAGTATAATATAAATTGACGGCAAGGTCCGATAAATTTGGGTATCTCAACGATTTTTTGCGTTGATTACCTTGGTTTGGATATTATACAGCTGATAGAGCAATAAAATTTGAGAGTTTTAAAGCAGAAATATGGTTTTCGACCTTATATTATCCATCCTCCTTCAGAAAGCTTTGTCGGGAAGTTGGCGATGACTACGACGATCTTCGTCGAGCCAACATGCTTGCTGTCCTAGCCCAAGCCCAATGGAGTGGTCAGAAGAAAACTGAGCCCTCCACGTCGGGCGCCGACACCTACGAACAGCTCTATAATCTGGCCTGTCATCAAGCTGCTTGTGAGAAGTTCGACGATGCTCGAAAGACGTTGGACAAGGCTATAAAACAATGTCGTGAGCAAATGACTGAAGAGGGATCTACTGCGGGCGAGATTGACGATGAAGTGGCGGTGTTTTTGGTTCAAAAAGCCTATATTCTCCATGCCACGGGTAATGTGGCCGAAGCAATCGACTTGTACAAGCAGGTTCAGGACTTGAAGTAAGAGTTTTTGGGGATAATGTGAGAGAATTGGTCCTGTAGTATCTATCCATTACAAATTTGAGGGATTTTTATAAAAAAATTTGTTATTTTTGAGCTTCTTTTTTGCAAGGCGTCAACTTTTTTGATGTTGTCTCTTAAAAACCCCCGTTTTTGTTCGATTCTGGCAGAATTATGAGGTATTTTGCTTTCAGACCATCAGATTCGAATGTCCGCAAGGTTTTGGCCGCAAATTTGGCCCCGTTCAAGAACAAATATTTGCTCAGGAGAGCTCTGAAGAAAGAAGGCATCGATAAGGTCGAACATCAGGTAAGAAACCTCCAAAATTTCCTTTTTTTCTTCGAATCAGGTATTTGAATCAATTTTAAAAGTTGGCCGGGTCTTTTACCTATAATTTGAATCGCAATTCACCCCTCAATTCCAGGAAATTGTCACCGGGAAGCTCCGAAAACGCAAGAGAAAGGTCAAATTGCCCAAAAATTATGATCCCAATGCCACACCGGACCCGGAAAGATGGATCCCGAAGACCGAGAGGTCCACGTTCAAGTCCAAGAAGGTCCACAAAAAGTTCAAGGACCGTGATGTGGGCAGAGGAACTCAGGGAGCCTCGAATGTCAACACCGCCAATATGTAAGATTTTTGATTTTTTTTTTGTTGAATTTTAGGTACAAAAAAGAGGTAGAACTTTGACCCAAAGCTTCCAAAGACTCTATTTCACGTTTTGAGACAAAATTCTGCCATTTTGATACATTTTTTCCCAAGTATAAGATCAAAACTATATTATCCATGAGGACAAAAAATTTGATTCCGTATTTTACCAACATATTTTTAGCGATTACACGACTGGTGGTCCCAAAGAGTCTCCGAAGCCTTCGCCATCACCGGCCCAGCCCGGACCTCGGAAACAACAGAAGGGAAAAAAGAAGAAGCGTTAATTTATTTTCGTTGTTTTTGTTTCGTGATAAATATTTTTAAATACATCGAAAACACTAGAGATATGTACAATGACAAGAATTGGGAACAAAAAAATATCGCTGGAGGTATTCATGACCTAGAACAACATCAGTTATCTAGTGTAATATAAAAATTTTTGCAGAAATGATTGAAACTTTCAGAACTTTGTAAACAATACACATTTGAACAGAAAAAAAAATGTTTTTTACCTATAAATCCATAAAAAAACACTGGGAATTCATCAAAAAATAAACAAAAAAACTAAAAAAGTTTGCAAAATATTTCCTAATTCCTCTCAAAAAACCCAAAAAAATCCTTGATTATCCTTTCCAAATCGTCTATTCCATGTTTAAATCCTGAGATTGGTCAATTCCTTGAGTTTTTCCATGTTCTCCTTGACCGACAGGTCAATCTGGTTCAAACTCAAGCTCATTTGCCCGTGAATGGCGCTGTCCGTGACCGGCAGCACCAGACCTCTTAGTGAGTGCTTTTTGACGCTGGCTTTGTACCAATACTTCTGTTTGGGGCCTTTCGGATGAGTTTTGGTCGCTCTTTCGATGAACTGGCATAGTGGGTGGGATTCATGGACAAAAATCGAAACTTCACCCCTTCTACATCGCCGGATATAACTTTCAGGAAGCAGGTGGTAATTCTGCAACAATATTCTGTCATTTTCAATGCAAAATGACCATTTTACCGGCCAAAACGACCTTATTTTACTGGTAATCCGAAAAAATCGCAAAAATCAGGAAACTTTTGGTTTATAGTTAATATAAATCCTTCTAAATCCAACAAAATGATTTGACAAGCTCTCCAACATTTCTCTAATCCTTCTAAAAGTCAATTCAACAATATTTAAAGACCCACCTCAGTCAAAAACTTTCTCAGACCCTTCAAGTCATCAATTATAACTCCCTGGGCGCCCCAGGACGACGTTTTTTTTAGATCGATCTGTGGAAACAGATGCTCAATTTTTGGATCCAGATCCGTCATCAGTTTGTGCCATTGTTTCGGGAGGAGTTGACTGAAAATAAAAGTTTTAAAGAACTTCTTTTTCATGAACCTAGTCCAATATAAATTAATGTCATTTCTCAAATTTTTTAAATTAATCAAATCAAATAGACCATAAAATCAAGTAAATTATGACCCAGTATTTCTAATAATACAAGAAACACACCAATCTTCCTCTATTAACGGTGATTTATCATCATCATAATCTCTTGACGTAGTCCAATATAAATTAATGTCATTTCTCAAAATTTTTAAATTAATCAAATCAAGTAGACCATAAAATCAAGTAAATTATGACCCAGTATTTCTAATAATACAAGAAACACACCAATCTTCCTCTATTAACGGTGATTTATCATCATCATAATCTTTTGACCTAGTCCAATATAAATTAATGTCATTTCTCAAAATTTTTAGCAAAAAAAGCAAAAATAAATCTTAGAATCAAGTAGATTATGGCCTCATATTCCTAATAATACAATAAACATACCAATCTTCCTCTATTAACGGTGATCTATCATCATCATAATCTTTTGACCTAGTCCAATATAAATTAATGTCATTTCTCAAAGTTTTTAGCTAAAAAAATCAACTAGCCTATAAAATCAAGTAAATTATGACCCACTACTTCTACTAATACAAAAAAGACACTAATCTTCTTCTAATGAAAGTGATTTATCCCCCTCATAATCTCCTTTGACCTAGTCTAATATAAATTGTTCTCATTTTCAAAATTTTTACCAAAACAATCTCAACCCAAAACTACACCACGCCCACTATGGTCTCTTCTATCCATCAACACCAAAAACAACTAATTTTTCATGAAAATTTCCCCTCAAACATCAATCTTCTTACTAGCTTCGTTGAGGAATTGAAGCGAAGAGTTGTTCGAAAATATTGGCTCTAGGCGGGTACTTTTTGAATGTCGGGAGTGTCGTAGGGGCGAATTCTGCGAGGTCCACCAAATGTGGAGGATGTTCATCTGTGTTACAGTATTCCCAATCAACATCTGAGCCCTGAAACGAAAAAAATGAAAATTTCGACTTTAATGTCTAAAACAATATAAAAAATCGGTGCTATACATTTCCAATCTGTCTTAACAGATACGAAAATACATAAGGATTCTATTTCGAGCCATTTTACATCTCTAAACATCAAAAAATCGCCAAATTTGACCTTATCTTACCTTAGTCATGTACTCATGTGTCCAATAAACAGTTTCGAAGAATCGCTCCGTCAACTTCTTTCGAAATTCCATGTCAAATCTTCCATAGAGTCTGTTATAGTATTCTGCAGGACCCTCCTCCATTTGCTGGCACTTTAAGAAGCCGTATCGAAAATTTTGGATTGAATTCATTACTCCAAAGTAATCTTTGACGTTTTTTGGTAATGGGACTCCATCTTTTGTGAGGCGAAGGTTGAATTCAAAGAGAGCTTCGATATGAAGTTTGGCTGCGAAATAAAAAGGGCACGGATATGAGGGTTCGGAGGCATAAAAAGAGGCGAGAAATACCTAAAATTAGACAAAAATTGGCGATTTTTGAGGGAAAATGGCAAAAAATCTTCCTAAAATTTGATATTCCGCCTTAAAAGTTGATTTTTCTAGAAAAAAACAGACAGTTTTCAACATCTTCACCTTATTTTAGACAAATTTTGCAAATTTTTTTTCCGGAATCTAAAAATTTTGCCTAAAAACCACCTCCAAAACCCCTTACATAGTCCGGTATGACTGGCTTTGGATTGTCCAATCCCACAGAATGATCGATCAAAATGCGTTTTTTCAATTCTGCCAAGTCGATAATCGAATAAACATCGACGTGAACAGCCCGTTTAATTCCCAAATTCTTCTTGGCCAGGCCGGCGTTACAGTTCACGGTAGTGTGATCTAGAGATTGGCATACGTCGCAAGGGTCCGTACGAACCTTTCTTCTGATTGCGTAGAATTTTTTCAACTTTAGGCTCAAGATTTCGATCAGCGAAGAGTTCTCGGGCAAAAACGCCGCCGAAGAGACGTCATCCTTATAATTCTGGGACCGAATGTAGTCCATGATCTTGACACTGGCGCTCCCTGGGACAGTGTGGTCCGAAACCAGCACCTAAAAGCCAACAAAACAATGAAAATCTCACTTTATGTTATACTGGACCATCTGATGTCTAAATCAATATAACACCAAGCTCATACCATCAAACTGCTCCACTCCTTGTCCAAACGAAGGCTGATGTGATTGTAGACAGCAGCAGTGATCTTCTCCATGAATTCAGTGCCGAAATGCACCGCATTTGTATCAAATACTTCGACGAGTCGCTGGGGCACGGTGTATCCCTCTTCTTCAAGCATTTCCCGAGCTTTTTTGATCCGATTTATCACGTCTTCTCGTTCAGCGCCACGTACAAGACGCTTGGGACGTCGTCGAACCAAATCCTGCTGCGGGAGAATCCCAGAGAAAGAGAGATAAAGCAATTTCTTTGGCCTCATCTTCTCCACAAACCGATCCAACTCGGTTAAACAGACATTCTAAAACCCGATTCTAATACCAGCTAGATAACAACCTACCAGCATTTTTCTCTCAGGCTTAGCGTTGGAAACGTCCATGGCATGGATAATGTTGAGCATAAACACATTCATGTTCAAGAATAAGTTGTCAATCTCCTAAAAATGCATAAAATAAAAAGAATTGAACTCACCGGGCCATCAGGACCACTTCCAACCTCGACCAAGGTCTGTAGACCGTTGTAGTTTTTGACAAAGCTTTTATACAAGCCTTTAAGACCCATTGCGCCACCGGACAACTAAAGTAATATAATAGACCTTGAGAACACGAGCCTATATGAAAGAAATTAAAGCAAAAGGCGAGGAACAGCTGTAATACATCTACAAGAAGCAAAATCGGGCGCAAAAACACAAGATTTCAGGGATAAATGCAGATTTTCGGTAGTGACATCAAGTGCAATATGCAAAGTCAAAGTTTTGATGAATTTCCAGAAAAGTTGCCCGTCTAAACCTTCAAAAATTCAAAACATACATCCTGAACAACCGAGTCACCATCAACTTCATTCGAATTTTATTTTTCTTGAGTTGCAACTTGCATTAAGAAAAATCAATTTTGACACTTCGTCAAATGCGCAAAAAAATATTTTTCGGATCAAGTTTAGCCAGGTCCGGCAGAACACTGGTTTTAGAAGCCAGACATGACTGCAACAAATGAGAATGACCGCGCTTTTCAAGCAATAAACAATTTGGAACATTACCTTATTGAAGTCAGGAGCACGATCGTCGATTTCATCGCGACGTTGGAGATGCAGGATCGAGTGCCATACCCCGAACTTCTCGATCAGTTCGCTTCTTTGGCCTGTTCGTTCACTACAATCCAAAACGCGATGAAGAAGGGAGCGCTGCCATCAGCGCCGGAGGATGGGGGATTGCTTCTCAAGAACAATGTGCTCGTCCCGACCATGGTTTCTATGGAGGAGGATGCGAATCTAGAGGTAACATTTTTACGAATAAGTATTTTTATTCCGTTTAGACAATCACAGAAGGCCGGATAAGGGCGTGGAGTCACGAGGTTGTCCCGGATTACTTGAGGACCAAGCTTTGTCCTGCAGCTGAAGAAGAGGAAGCCAGACTGGAAAATGAACGACAACAGAAAGCACCGGATACGATTGTCAAGCAGGTAAGTTCTTTGGTCTGCTATTTGATTGATTTTTAGATCCACGCCATGAACAAGCACATTGATTCCATCGTCAGTTTGAAGGGCGATGTTGCGCATAAGGAGGAAGGAAGAAAGGCGGTCGCCTTCAATCCCAACGACACCAAAAGACTTGTTCGCGGTATTATGAGAGGCGAGGGGCTAAGGCCGAAGACTTCGATGCATCCGGGACAAATTCCTGTGATGAAGAAATAAATTTTTTCGTTTCCAATTCTTTCTTTTGTAAATAAATTTCTTGTAAGTTTTATTGTTGCGAGAACAGCCAAGTTCGTGTGGGTCGACGAGTATTTTTCTTCAACGTCTTTGTTGCTTTATTTTGTTTCTTCAGGGATGCATCGTAAAAGGACGTCCTTGACATCTCTTGAAGTTGGTCCAGAGCCGAAGAAGAGTGTTATCCCAACCGTTTTATCCTCGGCTCCTTCGATCAATCGAACCCAACCCTCCAGATTCGTCTCCCAAAGTTACCTGAAGCAGCCGTATAACACTCGGCACACGCTTTTTCAAAAGTGCGTAGAATTTTTCTAGGGTCAAATTGTTGGCCGCACCGTGCAAAAAAACTCTGTTTTGCACTGTGCATTTGAAATTTTGCACCGTGCGACGGAAGTGTCGCTTGGTGAAAGACATTTTGAATTTTGCCGCTGCGACTTTTTGCGCGATGATTGAAAATGCACCGTGCAAAATGATTTGAAAGGGGTTTGCACGGTGCAAAATTACTTGAAAAAGTTTTGCACGGTACAAAGAAGGGTCAAAATGCACTGTGCAAAATGAGTTGAAAAGGGTTTGCACCGTGCAAAATGGCTGGAAAATGGGTTGCACGGTGCAAAACGAGTCAAAATGCACGGTGCAAAATGATTTGAAAAGGTTTTGCACTGTGCGAAATGGCTTGAAAAGGGCTTGCACCGTGCAAAAAGGATCAACATGCACAGTGCAAAATTACTTGTAAAGGGGTTTGCACCGTGCAAAATGGCTGGAAAATCGGTTGCACGGTGCAAAAAAAGGGTCAAAATGCACGGTGCAAAATGATTTGAAAGGGGTCTGCACGGTGCAAAATGACTTGACAAAGGTTTGCACGGTGCAAAAAAGGAATCCTTCGATTGCGACCCCGCTCGATTGCGACCTCGCATCGATTGCGACCCCGCATCGATTGCGACCCAAAATGGGGTAAAGCGACCCCGGGATGAAAATTCTTTCTCTTCGGGAAAAACTTGCTTTAGGGGTTTTCGAGGGTGCTGATTTCGAAAATGATGTTCATTTTTCCTCTAGTACTACATAGTACTGTCTGATACTATATAGTACGGAGTCAAAATATGGCTTTTGACGTTAATGGTGTTGGTTTGATGCTTAGTACTCTTCAAAAACACGTTTTAAAGACTTGGTGCTATATAGTACTATCTGATACTATGTAGTACGAGGTGTAAAGTTGGCCTTTAGGCGTTCGTGGTGTTGTTCTGGTGCTTAGTAAGCCTATTTTTACTTCGTACTATATAGTATCAGACAGTACTATATAGCACCAAGTCTTTAAAACGTGTTTTTGAAGAGTACTAAGCATCAAAACAACACCATTAACGTCAAAAGCGATATTTTGACTTCGTACTATATAGTATCAGACAGTACTATGTAGTACTAGAGGAAAAATGAACATCATTTTCGAAATCAGCACCCTCGAAAACCCCTAAATCGAGTATTTAACGTCAAAAGCGATATTTTCACTTCGTACTATATAGTATCAGACAGCACTATGTAGTACTAGAGTAAAAATGAACATCATTTTCGAAATCAGCACCCTCGAAAACCCCTAAAGCAAGTTTTTCCCGAAGAGAATCAAGGAATTTTCATCCCGGGGTCGCTTTACCCCATTTTGGGTCGCAATCGATGCGGGGTCGCAATCGATGCTGGGTCGCAATCGATGCGGGGTCGCAATCGATGGAATTCTGCAAAAAAGGGTCAAAATGCACAGTGCAACATGACTTGAAAAAGTTTTGCACTGTGCGCCGCAACAAAAACTCTACCCACTTTCTGGAAATTTTAGCAGTAGCAAGACGAGTTCCCTCGCCGTTCCAACAATCTCTTCTGTCAAAACACCAGCCCAACAAGTGAAGCCGGTAAAGCCTTCAGAATCCGTGGAATCGACATCCTCGTTTTCAAAACCAACACTTCCTGAGTGTTCGTTTGCTCAGCCAGCTGATCCTCGACCATCTGGAGATTGTGAAAAAAGTGGGTTGGCATTAAAACCGTGTGCCAAAACAAAAGCTGACTTTGAACTGTGCAATTTCTTGCTTTTTGCACCGTGCAATAGGCTTTTTTTTGGGCTGTCGCTCGCACCTTGACTTTTTGCCCAATGCGAACGTCTAAAATTACTTCAGCGACTTTACGAACGGAGAGGTTCTGAGTAGATTCAAAATTTTTTTTGACAATACGCTCAACCACGAGTCTCGTTTATATCGAATTTTTTGTTTCTGCACCGTGCAATGGCAGAAATTATTTGCAGTTTGCAAATTTTTGGCCTGTAGGGTTGCACAGTGCAGAACGAAAAATTTGATGTAGGTGAAACCCGTGGTTGAGCGTTGTGGTCAAAAAATTTTGAATCTATTCGGAACCTCCCCGTTCGTAAAGTCGCTGGAGTAATTTTGGACGTTTGCACTGTGCAGAAAAAGTCAGGATGCGAGCGACAGCCCAAAAAAAGCCTATTGCACGGTGCAAACAACAAGAAATTGCACAGTGCAAAGTTAGCTTTTGTTTTTGCACAGTGCATGTCGCGAAAATCAGACTGATATTGTTATTTTAAGTTTTGTACACAGGATCATCCAATATCAATCAGGAAGAGATAGCAGCGCAATTCCAAACACTCGACTTTCAAACAGCGGGCCATGCACCGATCAAATTGTTAGCCAGCAAGTTGAATGCGGCCAGATCTTTGCTCAGAGAGGTGGATATTACAGTAAGTAGATTTCGTGGCACGATTTTATTATTTTTTTATTTTTAGGATAGGGAGGAGGTGGAGAACACAAATTTAATACCTAAAGAAATCCGCGACTTCCCAGACTCATTGGAACAGGATCTGGATGTGGATTGGGCTTCCGTCGGCAAGTCAATCGAGGAAAAGTTGAACGAGACGGCGTGACCCGACACATCAAGTTTAAAAAAAATGTCACCTGGTTATGTAGAATATGTTATCGACTTAGTAAAGACTCAATAAAAATTTTCTGTTGTACTTTCGGCCCATCTTTCAAGTAGCAGTTGCAATTTTGAGCAGTTCTTTCCGCTAAAATCCTAAAAAACATTTTTGACACTTCGTCAAATTCAATAATGTCGCGAAATGTCAAAGAATGAAAAAAAATAATTTTAGAAATTTGATGGACGAAAATGACGAAATTCCTTTTGTATTCCCTGTTGTGCGAGCCTATCGTGACTTTTTTCAGGTTATCAACAGCCAAATTTCATCGATATTACGGGTCCCAAGTATAATATCGGCGGTGCATGTTTTTTACCCGGTTGATCAAGCAAATGGCGAACGATAATTACAAGGTGGTGTTGAAGAGTCGGTTCGCTGGCAAGATCCCAGTGACGGTGTACCGGTCCGAGCGCACAGGACTTCATATTGCTCTGGCGCAGACCAAGGGTCCGGCAGTCTCGTGTCAGATCAATTTCGGTGAGTGGCTTTTGGATTTTTTTTGCTCTGAAGTTTAGGTATGATGTCAAAAAGCTCTTGGGGTCTTCCTTTGTTATTTTCGAAGCACACGACACTGTGATTCATTTCTTTTTTGTTATATTAAAGTTGGGGATGAATAATATCCGAAATTGTGGTCATTCTTTCTGATAATGTATTTTTACTGGTCAATTCTGGATGGACGAGTGGTAGTATGAAGTTGTTCAGCTAGAAAGCTTCTTTTTTGGTCTGTAGTTCCTTTATTTTTGAAATTATCACCACTTTATTTTACACTTGATCCATCAAAAAAGTTTAATTCTAGCGACCGAAACCGAGACCGATGATGGGTTGCCGCATACTCTGGAACATTTAGTCTTCATGGGGAGTAAAAGTTTTCCGTTCAAGGGCGGGTTAGATCTTCTATCATTGAATGCGATGGCCGTCGACGGAACCAACGCCTTTACTGCACAAGTAAGCCAAAAATTCAATTTTCCTCTCTAAAACTCCTTAAAATTCCCTGCTATTTTTGTCCCTGTATCTTCAGGACCACACTGGCTACACTGTGAAGACTATGGGAGCACAAGGAATGCAACAATTTGTTCACATTTATTGCGATCATCTCCTCAACCCCTTGCTGACCCCTCAAAACTACAAAACCGAGGTTTATCATATAACCCCGGAGGGTATTGATGCCGGAGTGGTCTATTCGGAGATGCAGGAGCATGAGAACATGCTGGAATGTATTGTTCATCGGCAAAGATTGGCCGCAATTTTTCCGGAGAATCCTTGTTTTAGGGTCGAGACTGGTGGAAGATTGAAGGTAAATTTTGATTTTTTTGATTCTGTTCTCACTTTTAGGCAACGAACTGATGTTTGATGTAAATTACAGGAGATTCGCGAACTTTGTTCGTTGGAAAGAGTCCGAAATTACCATCAACGCTACTACCATCTCAAAAATATGTGGATCTACCTGTGCGGAGCCGTGAATCCGGAAGAAATGTTCAAAACGATCGACAAAATCGATGCGGCACCCGAAAACGCCCCTCCCGCCGAATTCACAAGACCATTCTCGAACTGCAGGATCCCGGACATCAAGCACGATCGGTCCAAGCCGTTCGTTGTGAAGGGTCCGGCCGACCAGGAGGACGAAGGAGTGGTGGAAATCGGATTCCTCGGCCGTTCCGCCAGCGACTCCGAATGGCTGACGGCTGTGGAGATTCTGGGCTCCTACCTAACGAAGACAACTTCCGCTCCGCTGCAAAAGGAGATGGTTTTGGCGGCGGATCCGTACTGCGAATCGGTTTATATGGGCATGGATGTGCTGCCGAGGGTCGAAGTGTCCTTCGATTTTAGTGGTGTTCCGGTCGAAAAATTGGACCAAATCCAGGAAAGGTGGGTGCTTTTGGGAAGCTCAGGGAATGAGAGATGTTTGAAAGGGAAATTTGAGAAATTTGGAAGACCCCCTGAGGGCAAAAAAGCATTTTTTTTCGGGGAAAATCGGGGAAAATTTGATGATTTTTGGGAAATTTTTGGTTTTGATGATTTTAGCCTTTTTATTTATGAACAATTCTTATATAATATTAAGTTATTTTTTACTGTAGAATATATTGCCTTTCATTTCAATATCAATCTTACTGTAATTCATTCGAATTTTACAATTGTTTACTAAATTTTGAAAATTCAAGAAAACTTGTTGATTCTCAGTTTTATCTTTTGGTATTTCAGATTCTTCAAGATCATCAGAGAACACACAACGGCTGATAAGCTCGATCTGGAAAGGTTACGATACATCATTGAGAGGAAGATCAAAAAATTGTACTCTAAAGTAAGATTTTTGATGTTTTCTGCTTGGTTTTTAGGTTTATTGGACATGAAATGGAAGTTAATAAGTGAAAAAAGGTCTGAAGGGCCCTGTTGAGTTTGTTTCGACTTGTAAATTACATGTATTCGCCATGAAATTTTCATTTCCAACATCAGATGACATGGATAATATAATTTGCTTCAATTTTATGCATTTTCAGTTGGAAAGCAGCGTCGCCAGCACTGTCTTTGATCGCCTGGCCCAGTTCCAACTCTACGCCGATTCACACACCAATCAGAAGCACTTTGACAGTGTTATGAATCCAATTCCGACACTGGAAAAGCTCCTCGAAAAGCCGATCGAGTTTTGGGCTGAGATTTGCCAAGAACTTTTCAAAGACAACTGCGCTGTGGTCATTGGAAAGGCGGATCCGAAAATGGCCGAAGATCTGAACAAAGCCGAAGAGAAACGGTTGAAGGAATTGGCCGAAAATTTGGATAAATATGGATGTCATGTTTTGGAAAAAGATGCTGAAGAGGAGGTAAGGTGGGAGTAGAAGAGAAGTTTATTGATACAGAATGATGTCTAAGGGTCTGATATTTGTTTTTAACCTTGTATTGAGGCCATTGGTTGTTTTAGAAAAAAACTGCAGGCATTTTTTTGACCTACACCTTACCTTTAGAAGGTATAAAATAATATGAACATTTGATGGGATAAGAGAGGTGGATAAAGGTGATTGTTTGTCTATAGGTTTTTTGAGGTCTTAATTGTACAGCTTTAAAATTATTTTGGATTTAATTGAAGCACTTGGTCAGGGGAGACCAGCAAAAATTTCGGCATGGATAATATGGTTTTTTAGGAAAATTGTAATTTTAAGGTGTGGGTTAGCCAAAGGATCGCTGAAAATGATTTGTGGTAGCTTATTAGGGCCTGTTCTACCAAAATATTGTCTTATCCCCCGGTTATGTTGTCTTATTTCATCTCTAGACAAGGTCTTCTCAATCTAAACCACCTGTCTCTCCTCATGTCTCCAAGTCCTCGAATCGTCGGCTTAGCCCAGCAGAACGTCAGAAACCACGTCGAAAGTCATTTCAGAACAAAGTACCGATCCTGAGCGCTGTAGAACGATCAAAAACCCTTCAAAAATTCGACTTGTTCAATGTAAACTCGACCGTTTTGCTGCCACGAACGATTGAGAGCAGTAAAGTGGAGAAGGATTGGACTAAACAGGCCAACGAGAAGGTAGCCATCAATGAACTACCCTTCACCGCCGTCATCCATGATGTGGACTCCAATTTTGTCAGGGTGAGTATATTGTAGTAGGTATTTTTGGTTAATCCGAGTCGAAATTGGTGATTTTTGAAAAATTTTTGGGGTTTAAAAGATGGATATTGAATGTAAAAATGATTTGTGATAGTTTTAGACTCTGTTCATGTTCGATTTGAAACACGTTCCACTCAAATTGAGGAAGTATTTGATGGTTTTCACGGACCTGTTATTCAGTTCCCCCGCCATAGTTGATGGACAACAACTAACGGACAAACAAGTAGCCGACTTGTTCACCAAAGAAGTCATGGACAAGAGCTGCGACATGGGCTTCCTCCAGAATTATCTGCATTTCTTCCACCTGTACTTGGAGGTAAAGTAATATAAATTTTTGATGGTTTTAACGGAAAAGAGGGTAAAATACGCTGTGTAAAATTTTACATTTTTCATGTTATGAAGATTGGAACATGAATTTTTTGGAATAATGGGAAAATATGTCATCATGACGGATTTTTTGGAAATTTCGAAATTTGTAAAATACGAATGAATGATGGTATGCGTCTGTGTTTTAGTAAATTTGAGATCATTTTAATGAAGATACGACCCCAATTTTTCCGTATTTTAGATGCCATCCGACGAGTTCCACCTCCTCCCCAAATGGACCGAAATCATCCTGAATAACACGATTTTCGAGCGCAAAAAGGTCCTCTCGATCGTCAAAAACCTGGCCTCGGGCGCCTCCAGCTCCAAACGAGACGGCTTCACCATGTGCCAGAACATTATGCACAGCCTGAACAACGTCAAAGAACACGAAAGCCGCTGGCACGAAGACGTGGTCCTCGAGAAATTTCATCGTGACTTGGCCAAGACATTGGAAAAGAACACCCCAGAAGCACAGTCAGTCATCGACGACCTGAACGAGCTGAGAAGGGAGATCTTGAAGGCTCCGTTGAATGCCCATTTGATCTGTGACCCGCGCAAGTTGGACGCGAAAAAGAAGATCGATTCCAAGAGCTGGGAGTTCTTGGATCCAACTCTGCGAAAAGAAAGCCCAGCAGCGAAAATTCAGGCGAGTTTTGGGGAATTTGGAAGGAAATTGAAGGAGTTAGAGAGGAAAACGTGAAAAATGCATAAAATTTAACGTTTTTTGCTATAAAGGTGGATTTTGCTGGGATTTTGGTCGAAAACGGGAGCTTTCAGAATTCTAGATTGTTGACGGACCAATTCTGTAAGGGTTGGAATTTTTTTAGACCTAATTTGAAGCATTTAGAGACCGAAACGTAAAGAATGCATAAAATTTGACGTTTTTTTCGAAAAATGGGCAATTTTGCACGTGAAATTTTAGAAGTTTGATTCTCAGAAATTCTAGCAAGCCTAATTAAGCCGATTTTGAGCGCAAGGAAGATTAAAAATTTTAATTTTTGCTTAATTTTTGGGTTTCGAGCCCAATATCAGATGTGTAAGATAAAAAATTTTCAGTTCGACCGAGAAGAAGACGTGGCCCGCTTCAAAATCTGGACCCCAGCCCAGCAAGTCATCAAAGTGGACTCGTCGGACTCAAGCTACTTTATGCAACGAGTTCTTTGCGAACATAACTACGGCTCCGCCGAACATGTGGCCCTTGTTCTGTGGTCCAACTACCTCTCCATGATGGAGGGAGTGCTGTGGAAAGAGGTCAGAGGAAACGGATTCGCATACGGCGCCAATCTCTACATCTCCCCCGACCACCAGTCCATGACCCTGAACCTGTATCGCTGCTCCAGAATCGTGGAAGCGTACGAAGCCTCGAAAGCGGCGGTCCTCAAAGTTTTTGACGAAAATCTCATCGACTCCGAGCTCTACGAGAGCGCGAAACGCGGATGTGTATCCAACATCATGTCCAAATACGAGTCCCTAAAGTCGACAGCCACTTTGACCGCCTTTAATGACATGAGAGGACTCAAAATGGAGGACATTGAGTAAGAAGCCGATTTTTTCGAAAGTTTTGATGTGAAAAGTCGAAAATTTCGATTGATCTGAGTGTTGCAGTGACGGACCTGACCCAGTGACAAAAAACGTACCATTTTACATCCGGGAAGTATCAAAAATGTGGCAAAATGCTTCCCTGTCCAAGTGAAAAAAAAAACTTTGTTTTTAAGGGTCCCTCACAAAAAGAGCGGACGCGCTTTTGAAATCGAAGTTTTTTCACTTGGAGAGAGAAGCATTTTGCCACATTTTTGACACTTCTCGGATGCAAAATGGCACGTTTTTTGCCACTGGATCAGGTCCCCCACCGTAACACTCAGATCAATCGAAATTTTCGACTTTTCGCATCAACACTTTCAAAAAACTGTAGAAGGAAGTAAAACACCCCTTATGTTTTCAGATCCCTCACTCACAAGGTCTGGGACGCCGACATGAACGCCTCGTTCGAGCTGGCCAAACCGTTTATCCGCAAACTTTTTGACGACTCCCACTGTCTCCGAGCCATCGCTTGCCCATCCAACAAACTCGAGGAGGTCAAGAATGTCTTCCCCGACATCAAAACGATCACTGTAACCGACTTGCAGTACACTCCAGAATAGATTGCCTTATATTGTTCCACATGCCTTTTAAAATATTAACCTTGAATTTATTCAAATTCCTTGTCAGATTGCCTTATAAAATTATTTTCAAATGTTGTCGGAGTATTTACAGTGGGTCTGCTAGTGTGTTGAGCTGGTTTATCAAGGAAAAAAGTTGGAAAAGAAATTTTTTGGGGAAAATCTACCTAAAACAGGAAAGATTCGGCTAAAAGGAATGATTTATGGAAGAATTTTGATTTCCTACGCAAGATACACCCCAATCTGCCAATCCCCCAATTTTCCCGCCGAAATTCCCATTTCCTCCAAAAAATCGTATAAAATGTCCTCGCAGTCTGCACAATCCCCAGGGCGCAGCCGCAACTATCGAATTTTGGCATTCTTCCTCCAAACATGGCAACGCGCCAGGTCGACCCGAATTTTCTGTGTGGTATGAGCACATAAGACGGAGATTATTCGCGCGTCTCTCCTCGCCACCCCTCGGCAGAAACAAAACTCTATTGTTGGGTGCATAAAATTCGGTGTAATTTATTTGCAATTCCTGTAAAACAACGTTGTTTTCTGTTTTTCCGACGAGAATTGGAAAAAGAAATGTGTTTTCTACTCTTTTTCTCCACTGTTTTGATACTTTTCGCGGGGAGTTCGGGCTTGGAAAAAGTATTTTTTCTTGTTTATTTTGAAGGGGAAGGAGAATATTCTTTATAACTCTTTTTATTTCGCTCCCATCCGCTTGATATTCGGTACAAAATTAATCGAAGACGGGTTCTAAGTTTGTGGAAATTTTCGGATTTTCTACGGGCTTTCGGGGGCCCAAGAAAGTGGGCCTTTCGATATTGTAGTAGGTGGGGGCGAGTATCGTCCCCGTAATAAGGCAGCCATGTCTTTTATTTCGCGTTTCGCTCTTTTCGTGTGTGGAAGGAAGGCGTTCATAAATTTGGGAAAAAGTTTCCGCGTTCCTTTTTCTAATCTGGATAGTTTTTTGCAGACCCATCTTTCGCGCTATGTCTTCACCTCCAGCCAAGCGTGGCCGTGGTCGACCAAAGAAGGACGCCGCTGCAGCCAAGTCGAAGCCCGTCGAGGAGAAGGAGAAGGTGGCGGCTGAGGTGGATTCCGGGGAGGAGGGCGCGGAGAAGTCGGTTCAAAAGTCCGATCAGGAAGGAAGCCCCAAACGTCGTGGCCGTCCACGCAAGGGCGAGGCGCCCGCCGCCAAGAAGGCCAAGACTGCCGCCGGTGGCGCCAAGAAGGGCGGGAAGCGCGGTCGTCCGAAGAAGGACGCCTCTCCCGAAGAGAATGGCGACGCCAAGAGCTCCGACGGTGAGGACGAGAGCCCCGCCGAGGACTAATTTCACAACTTACTAACTTTATTATTGATTCGCGCGAGTTCAGCTGGCTGTAACGAACACGTGATACACACGGTTGAAAGGTTTGACGGTTCACAAGTCGATTTTTTCAGGCAAAATTTTGTGTTATCACCTTCAACAAATTTTTTTGATCTCAATTCTCTGTAACCTCAATGTTTTGGGGGGTTTTTCGATGGAAATCGTTTGTTATGGCCAGTTGTATCTCTGTCGATTTGGTGTTTTTCTTAATTCAACGTTTTGGTGTTCCTGTAATCTTCTCTCACTTTTCGATCTGTGTTCGTTGTTATAAATAAAGTAAGGTAACGACAGCTATAGCATATTTTTTGAATTCTTTCAAGGTCGAGTTGTTAAATTTCGTTGAGATGCACATTTTACATGCAATTGAAGTTGTTTTGAGGCAAATTGGCCATTGTACAGTGGGGGACCTGATTCAGTGGCAAACGACGTACCATTTTGCACACAGGAAGTATCAAAAATGCAGCAAAATACTTCCCTCTCCAAGTGAAAAAACTCCGATTTTAAAAGAGCGCGCCCGCTCTTTTCGTGAGGAAAAGGGCGCGAACTTCAAAACACAGTTTTTTCACTTGGAGAGGGAAGCATTTTGCCACATTTTTGATACTTCCCGGATGCAAAATGGTACGTTTTTTGCCACTGGATCAGGTCCGTCACTGTAGGAATCTGTTGGAATTCCAGGACAATAATTGCTTGATATTCTACGGCGATTTAGGTTATCTCTTGCAGTATTCCACAAAAATTTCCCTGTTCCCTCACCATCCTAATTTGGATGTCTCAACAGCTGTGATAGGCCATATAGGCATGTTTCTTCGTAAAATCAACAAAACTTCTGTGCAAACCCGCGTTAAAAACAAAAATTAAGAAATACGAGTGGTCAAAAACCAATAGGGAACCCCGATAAATTCTCATATGGAACAACAAGTTTTACTCATTAGTAGGGTGGAAAATTAAACGTATAAGATTGAAAAGAGATCGAACATAAATAAAACACTGAGTGCTAGTGGAATGATTGCGTTTCCAGCACTATTTACAAGTTTTTGTTAGAGGTAAGTTGAAGAGATGAGAAGTGGGTGTTGCAATGTTTGCAGGTGGTGGATGTGACATCCGGATGAAGAATTGGGCCAGTTCCGGAGATGACGATTTTCCAACGTCCGTTTTGTTCGGCAAAATCGATCTTCAGATTGGGGATAGCGGAGTGTTGAGCGGCTGAAAAAAATTTAGAAAAAGGACCTCTAAAACATAATAAAAACTAATCAAACACCACTGAAATTGCGGAAACATACCTCCAGGTGGGATCAGTAGGCTCGGATCAATTTTTGGAGACGAATTCAGGCTTGAACTACCTTTTTTGTCAGTGCTTTCCACTTGAACGTCATGTGTAATATCGGAAGTCTTCGGTTTCTGTTTCAACGGGCTTTGCTTCTTCGGTGGACGGCCTCGAACTCTCGCAGAGCCTTCGAGAGCCGATTCAGAGGGCTGGGAAGCAGATTCAACGTTGTTATCTGCAAAAAAATCCATCAACAAGACATCTACTGAATTATCGTAAAAACTGTTGAAAAAACTTTTCAAATCTAGGAACTTACCATCAGATGAGAGTTGAACGCCTGTTAGATCGATTTCCGGTGGAGAATTTCGGCCGGGACGACCTCTTTTATCTATTTTATCCACTTCTTCGACCCTGTTGCCAAGTACAATATTGGAGATCCGCGGCTTCTTCGCTGCTGGGCTTCCATCCTTCCTGGGACGACCTCGACCCCTTGAAGGAAGTGTTGAAGCCGGAGTTGAGGTCTGAACTGGAGTTCCAATGGGGTCTTCACGGTTCGAATCGTGCCTGTTTTTGAGGTTGGCCCTCAATTTTTTGTTTGCAAAACCGATCTTTGGTCTGCCGCGACCTCGTTTTTTAGTGGGCGAAGCCATGAGGTCGATAGATCTGGAAGAAAGAGCTGATTAGACAATGCAATACTCCAAAAATTTATGTAAAAAATCCAAAATCATATTGAGTTTATTAAAAACTTCGAAATTCAGGTCAAACACTCGGTAAATTATGTAAAAGTGATGGAAAAATTATCGAAAATCCGATCAAACAATATCCGAATATGACTTTGTCCAAAATTACCGCCAGAGATCAATGGTTCAGCTGCGCTCATGCTTCCCGCAGGCTGCGGGGGCAATTTTATACGATGGTCGGTTTTTTGAGATTTCGACGGAAATAGCGGACGAATTTTGAATTTTATTGAGAGAATAGGATTTTGGCAACTAGAAATGTGCAAATCTCATCGAAATTTTTGCTGATTTAAGGTAAAATACGAATTTTATTCTACTATAATAAATAAGAACAGTAAAATTAAAATACGAATGTTTATTGCTAAATAATTGGTCGGAAAAGTTAGCTTATAGCGGAAATAGAATTTCTCATCAATGTCGCATCAGTGGTTGATCCAACTCTTTTATTTTTGCCTCTCTTTTGGCAAAAAACGAATCTCCGGAAGCTGGGAATCACGAGGATTACGCAGAGCGGATTCAAAATCGGTATGAAAGCCACAACCGGCGCCATGAAATACGAGATTCCGTTGACATTGAGGTTGAGCAGAGTTAGGACGCAAGCCAGACAAATTGGGAAATTCAGCATGAAAAGCGGATTCGTCGCCTAAAGTAATGTCCGAAGGGTCGGTTTTTCCGTACCTGCACGAACATGATGATGGTCAACTGCTTCTGTGCGGCTAGTGTGCTCTTTGACAAAGACTTGGCGGTGTGTTTCAGATGTCTCAAGGTCTTGACTGCGCAATAAATTACGATCGAATAGGCAGTGATAACAATGACCATGCAGTTCAACATGTGAAGGGCTTGGATTGGAGAGTCCTGAAGAACAAAGGTTGGCCAAAAATTTATTTATATTAGGCCAAATAGTGTCTTTTTCAACCCCATATACAGCAAATACTGATATACCCACAAAAATATTGGTTTTCGAAGCTTTTTGTTGTAGTAAGGAGATCAACTTAACAAGGAAAAATCCTCCAAATTGAATGGCCCAATTTTTCTCAAATTTCTCATGGTTACTCTAAATGGACTATAAATCAGTTCCTAAAAATTTTAGCTCTCCATTTGCAAGCGCAGGCGAGATATTCAACGATCTTTTCATCAAAATCTAATGGCTCCAAACGGTACCACTTTAGTACTCCAAAAATTCTCACCTTGACTCCCAACGTAAAAACGGGCATGCGTTTTTCGAACATTGGATTCCGTCTCATCAAATGTTCGTATTTCCTCAGCACCAATGGATTTGTTTCAAATACCAAATTCCCCGCCGCACAGTGCAACACCAACGCCAAAATAAATCCACCGTAAATGAGGAAGTATTGCTTGGTTGTGATTGGGTTCCGGAGGCATAGCTGACTGTAGCGGTAGAGGAATTGGATGGGCACGGTAACCACGGTGAGCAATAGAGACCATAGCCATGTGAAAGTAATCATTGCCGCGTAGGGTTGAGGAACATCACCGAGAAAACTGGTGCTTAGTAAAAAAAGATTGCCGTCTTGAACTTCTGCGACCTGAAAATGCAGTTTTCAATAAATTGTAGGTTAAAAATGATGTTTGGTTTGAGTTTTGAAACGAAATCCTGACTTTATGGCATTCTGTTGCAACACAATTTTTTGGTGATTTGCGAAGCTATGTGTCATCGGCAAACGTATTTTGTCATTTTAGGAACGTAAAAAGATTTAAAAATTCAAATTTTCAATTTCCCGCCAATTTTTGGCATTCTGTTCTATAGTTCTAAACCGCCTATATTATGGTATGAAAATACTCTAAACACGTGTGAAATATGATTCCATTCAGCTTAACATAACTTACGGTCTCGGTCATCAAGTTAATACTTGAGAAAATCAGATCCACCCCGCAATTGAGTAAGATGATGACTTTGTATTCGGCCGTGCTCTTGCTCATCTGAGTCCTTGCCAAATAGATTACCAAAACGTTTAGAACGTATGAGATCGCCGATGTTGTGCAATCGTAATACGGCAGTATCATGGCTGCAGTCTCTTGCCAAGTCATTTTGGGGCTGCTGGAGTACGGTAGGAAAATTTTAAAATACGTATTCACCTCCTAACCCCGGATTTATATACGCAATCTTCGAGGGCGGTATTTTCTTATAAGGCAACATAGTTAAGCTAGCTAAGAATAACGGATTAGTAAGCGTATTTTGCCCTTCTTTCTGGTCATGTTATGATTAAAAAATGGTGGGTTGGCATAGATATATATATCAATAATCTTGCAAATTAGAGCCAAGTAATCTTGGAAAGAATCTTGCAATCAGGACTTTGTTCTTTCATTTTTGAGATTCAGTCAACCAACAAGAAAAATACTGCAAGTTAGACGTTCAGATTTAATTCAAAATTTGTATATTCGGACATAGGCCACATACCAATTCCTGAGAGTTCTAGCTCGCGCTTTGCAGGCGCAGCCGAGATATTCTACGATCTTCTTGGCCATCTTTGGCAGATTTGTGCGGAAAAATTGATTTTTTTGGAAACATTACCGTACGGTTGAAATAGGCATGAAACTTTTATGACAAGATACGGAAAAATTGGGACTTTTTGCCAACCTTCTATCTAAAAATCTCGGTCGTTTCTGCAAAGTGTGAGCTAGGGTATATATGTGGCATCACACGTGCTTGTGCCCGTTGAATGTTGCCGCAAGAATGGATTTTTGGGCATTTTGGATGACATAATTCTTATGGTAAGCTCAAAATGACATCATTTATTTGTAAACAGTTAATAAGTACATATAATAAATACATAACTACTACTCCGTCCGTAAGTCGCTGGAGTAATTTTTGGCGCACTGTACAATGTAAACTTTTGTTTTCGCACGGCTCGTATCGCGAAAATCACTCCAGCAACTCTGCGAAAAAGGCTAGTAGTAAGACAATTAATGTGGATCAGATGTAGAGTTCCGTATCGAATACACATCTGTGTTCGTCCCAATCTTTCCATCCCTTCCTCCGCGCTGACAAAAGACGAACTTCCGGAAGCTCGGAATCACAATAATTACGCACAGTGGATTCAGAATCGGGATGAAGGCTACAACCGGTGCAATGAAGATCGCGATCCCGGTAACCGTAACGTTGAACAAGGTAAAAATGCAAGTCAGGAAGATCGGGAAATTCAGCATTATAAGTGGGTTTGTCGCCTAAAGTAACATTTGAAGTTTTGAAATTACGAATTTTCCGTACCTGCATGAACATGATGATCGTCAACTGTTTCTGTGCGGCCATTGTGTTCCTTGACAGCGACTTTCTCGTTTCCTTTAGATGTCGTAGTGTTTTGATGGCACAATAAACCACAATCGAATATGCAGTGCCAACAATGAGCATGCAGTTCAACATGTGAAGAGCTTGGATTGGGGAATCCTGAAAAAAGGTTGTTTACTAAATATAGAAACTATAGTCTTGGTTTTCAGTGAGACGCCAACCGACAAACTCCTTTTCGAAACGATAGTCCCTGATTTTCTTGGCATTCCGTTTCATTCCAGAACATTCGATGGCAAAGGTGAAGAAAAAGTTTCTGTTGAATCTTCGATTGATATCGGTTAGATTTTACATAGGGAATCGTTTTATTTTACTTTTTTACTGTGTATTCTCTTAGTAATTGGATTCTACTGCCCTTCTTCACTCTTCACTACCGCGAACTCGTCGCCGGAAACGAAATCGTCCCCAAATCAGCCAAATCTATCGGCAAGGAACAACCGGACCACTGCTTGACTTCTAACTCAAGGTAGCACCAATAAAGGTAACATTTGACACAAAAACAGACCCTTTAAAATTAGAGTAGGTTTTTTAGGTTCTTTTAGGCACCTAATTTTTACATGTAGAGTTGTTTCGAGCGAGGGGTGCTTTCTAATCTCACAACTGAAGAATTTTTACATATAACCAGTTATTTCTCACCTTGAACCCCAATGTGAAAACCGGCATGCGTTTCTGGTACAGTAGGTTCCTCCTCATCAAATATTCGTATTTTCTCAGCACCTCTGGGTTTGTTTCGAACACGAAATTTCCCGCTGCACAATGAATCGCTAGCGCCATAACGAATGCACCATATATAAGGATGTACTGCTTGGTTGTGATCTTCTCCTTTAGGCATAGTTGGCTGTATCGGTAGAGGAACTGGATGGGCACGGTAACCACTGTTAGCAATAGAGACCATAGCCATGTGAAAGTGATCATTGCTGCGTAGGGTTGGGGAACGTCGCCGAGAAAACTGGTGCTGAGCAGAAACAGATTGCCGTCTTGAACTTCGGCCACCTGAAAATGCAGTTTTCAATAAATTTCGGGTTAAAAACCCTATGCTTTGAGTTCCGAAACGAAATCTTGACTTATTGGCATTCTGTTACAATACGATTTTTTGAGATTTACGTAATTAGTGAACGTGTTTTATCCTTTTTGTAAAGTGGAAGGAGTTTTACTGTTTTCAGTCATAAAAAGTTAAAAATAATCATTGTTTTTTGTTCTGAAACGAAATCCTGAATTTGGCATTCTATTACAACACGAGACTTTGACGAATTTCGAGGCCATGTGTAATCCGTAAACGTGTTTTGTGACTGCAAATTTGAAAACAAGGATATTGTCGCATGATATTGTAATGCAAACTCTGCTATTTCTGACTTACCGTAGCCGTCATTACATTACAGGTGATGAAAATGAAATCCACGGCGCAGTTGAGGAAGATGATCGTTTTGTACTCCGCCGTGTTTTTGTTCATTTGTGTTTTGGCCAAGTAAATTACCAGCAGATTAAGGACGTAGGAAATGGCCGCGGCAGTGTAGCTATAGTAAGGCATAAACTCTTCGGCCGTCTCTTGCCAAGTCATTCCTTCGCTGAAAGTGGAATGATGTTGATGTTTGATATTACAATACGCGCAACGGCTTTGTCCGTGAAAAACAACAATGGAAAAACAACCCAAGATCTACTCAAGTCAAGTTAATTAAAATGAAACGTGGGCCGATTAGGGACGTGGGGGATGTTTGTGTTCAAAAACGTATCGTCATCCTTTTTCCGCGTATTGAGTACACTTTATGTCAGTCTGTCGGGAAAATACTGAGCACTCTGTCGCATCCAAAATCGCATACCGCCAAAAAATGAACTGTGTCGCGGAGAAATCAAATTGCTTTTCATTTCAGCGACGCGATTGGCGCGACATAGTGTTCATTATTTTCCCGGCAGACTGATAAGGAATTTATTCCGAGCTGACAGTTTGGTATACTACAAAAATTGTTTTATTAGTCTGTCTGGAAAATAATGTCGATTTGACGCAGCGAAGTGTCTCGTCGTTGTCGCGCACCAAATCTCCAGCCGCGGCTGACTGGTGGACGACCAAAGCGATGATGGACAATCTCAATTCGCGACGAAGCTACATTATTTTCCAGACGGACTGATAAAGACCCTATTAGTACACTGGTCAAAAAAAATTTCTTTCCACCTGCTAAAATCAGCATCTCTTACACGTAAAAATAGTCTAAAAAATTGACCAATTACATGCCCTCAATACGTGACATTCTTTGGGACTGGGAAAACAATTCCGTTCTTTGGAAAGTGAGGGTGCACCTATGCAATTGCACTTTTGAATAAATCTACTAAGCCCCCTGTTCCTAAATAAGTCGTGTTTCCCACTGAATTATTTCTTACGACGCTGTCCTGTAGGCTTCATGTATCACGCGCCATGGTCAATATCATGATGTACATGCATATGCGCATGAAAATTTTTGAGGGTGGCTGCGCAGGTCGCGCCGATAGCGGATAGAAAATAACATAACATTCATGCGTTCTAAATACAGTTCAGATGGATACCTTGTTCACCACTATCCAAAAATTTTGAAAAAAATGAGGTGTGTTTACTCAACACCAAAAAAGTTGGCATGAGTACAAATAACATTGTAGTGCAGTGGGCTCTAAACAATGACATATCTATTTTGTTTTAGTAAGAGGATTCTCGAATATTCACATCAGAAAATTTGGTCTGAAAAACATGAGTGCATCAGTTTTCATGTGTGCTATACCACTACCCCCGCCAGCGTTGCAGCGCTGATTAAAAGAATACCTAGGGCCCTGGTACGTCCAATTTTCACGTTTAGTTATTGTTCACATCTGATTTTCCGAAATATACCCGTTTTAACAACAGCAGATAAACATTTTTAATGTCTGGTACAACATTGGGGTAGTGTAGCCAGCAGGTAGATTTTGTGCAGCGTCGTCATACACGGTTATAAAGCGCAATTTCTGAGCTTCAAAACCGTATGCTCAACACGTACTCGTAACTTGAAACATCACATGAATTTGCACAAATCGACTACCCAAAAATACTGGAGACTTATGAGACACCCTAATAATAACACCACATCACCGTGCTGTTACAAAACATCTTCTCATTTGATGCACTTTTTGTGCACTCTTTTTACAAAAAAGGTGGAAAGAAAATTTTGCCGACCGGTTTTGGTCTTTTGTAGATAGTACTAGTTGCGTCATAAAGTCCGTAGAATTTTGCACAGTTCCCGTTTTCTGCACTACCGACATGCAATTTTACGCCAGCGCACCCGAAAAGTCTTTTTTACGCAAAATGCCGCGTCGTGCAAAAAACCTGTCGCGCGGCCATGAGTAAAATTCACGGTGTATTGAAAAAGTTGTATCTATTATTATAAAAGGGCAATTGAAAGCACAGTACCTTTCTTTCGCGCCCCGCCGAAGTTATATTGCGCGACACCCAACGCCGAATGTATGCGCCCGCAGAGAGCGAAACCATGCCAAGACCTTGGCCCGCCTATTACCAATCCAAAAATTATTTGCATAAAAATTTGCTCGCACGTGGTCCATTAAATGTACAAATCCGCACTTAGCGTTCAAAGCAACACTTTCGTCTTTGAACTCTGTCCAGCCATACACGCAATTAGTCAGAGCCGTACACTCGAAAGAGCAATGCAATGTAGCTTAGGAAGGGGGATTAGCAATTGTTTTTTGTCCTTCCGCTATCTTAGTTCCTCGTGCTTGTGTTAAGAACAGAGGGCGCCAAGATGGAAATAGAAAATATTCGCGGATAATCTTACAAATTTGAGCTGTTTTGGTAGGAAATCAAACATAAGAAAGCATCTTGCACGTGCGACTTTGTGCTAGGCGAACCAAAAAAACTTGACGTGTTTTCGCACTGCGCGGAAACATGTCAAGCGGGTACAAAACGAAGATCCGTAGCTTTTATATGGATATTACAGATGTAGGTACCACAGAATAGGTGATAAGCTATCCCGATCAATCTTACTAATATTTCTATTAACTAAGCTTCCTAGCCTCCCTTATGCACACAACGACGGCCCTAGGGGATCCATAGTATCGTTGACCCGAAAAGTCATAGCGCCAATTTGTAAGATCACAATTTTTACCTCTAAAAACTTCCCACCGAAAAGACTCAAAACATTACTGATTTACAGTACTACAAGGGTCGTAGCTGGCCAAAAATCCTGGGGAGTTAGAGGCCGCCTGGAGAGCCACCATGCAAAGTTTAAAATGACCTTGGTTCCCCTTAGCATTTGTTTTCTTCGACCCGGCCTGGGGGCTTGACCTAGCTACGCCCCTGAGTACTACGCAAAGTGAAGATAAACAAGTCAAAACTACAAAAAACGGTTTGAATCTTTTTGAGTGAGCAATAAGATCCCTGCATCCCTCTAGGCCTCATTGACCTTACAAGGGAAGTACTCCAAGTACGACGCTCAGATTTTGATGAGACTTGGTACAAACTTGGGATAATCTTTTCTGACATATTTGCGGCACTCCTAGCTCGCGCTTTGCAGAAACACGATAGGGACTTTTAGTTTGAAATTTGACAAAAGAATGACATTTTTTTACGAATTTTGGCATGAAAGGTTTCATGTTTGTTTTTACTGTAGAGAGTAATGTTTCCACAAAAAAACAGATCTCTTCCGCACGAACCCGGAGAAAGGTAAAGCCTAAAACTGTGTGAATTTCTAGGAATTGATATGTAGTTTATGCCCGGAACGGATAAACGTTTATCAAATTTCAGGATAAACTAAGTGTTTAGTTTATCCTGAAAAAAATCAGCTTATTGCAAGGTTAAAGACCAATTTTTTTAAAAAATCAATTGTTCCGCTCAAAAATGTATGTCTTCTCTGCAAAGCACAAGCGAAAATTTTTCAGGAATTAATAAATGGCCTAAGAACTTACTGTGTGCAAAAATTAAAGAAAAAAAGAAAATTCGAGCTTCGCAATTCACTTGTGGGCTGATCCTGCAAAGCGTGCGACTAAATTTCGATGGTTTGGCCCTAAAATGTAAAGGAAACCTGAGGGCGGGCAACCACTTTGGGGCCAGCTAGAAGAACCACGGAGATCCTGCGGGCACGAAAGGAAATCAGTCAACAATTGCTTACAACATGAAATGCCAAACCATTTTTCGAAAATCAACTCCCATAACTTTGAAAGCAGAGGATGAGTTCAATATATTCGTAATTCTTCAATATATAGCTCCCTGGTATTCCTGGGTACCAGGGAGCGGTATGTTCAAAATTTCTATCAGGCTAGGTAGATTGCGATAGAAAAATCGTAATTCTAATCGGTAAAAGTCCGCAAAGTGGCTGCCCGCAAGGTGGTTCCCGGAAGTGTCGGGACGCCAAGAAAACATGAGCGCTGGAGCCAAAATTTTAAGAAAAATTCGTCTCAAAGGCAACACAGTAAGCCTTCAACTTCCATAAAAAAGTTTTAACGTCTTAATTTTTTTGCCTGTACCTCCCTATCCTAGCTGCAAACCTGTGAGATGAGGTAACTGCATTTTGCGTACATCCCTCTCAAAATTGAAGGAAAAAACTTCAAAACCATGTGCCCGCAAGGACAAAGTTTATGGTATGGAAAGGCTACAACCAAACTGTGTTTTTTGCAACATCCAATATACGAAGCGGATCCTATCGATGTTTGAATAGTACAATTAACACGCTTCAACGGGCAATTTCCACGTGGTTTTAATTAACTTGAGCGAAAACAGAACTGGGATACAATTTTAGGTCCATTTCTGCAAAGACCACGCGAGGCTCGTGGTTGGGCAAACAAGCAACGATGCATGGTATTAAGGTCTTGACACATTACGAACACCTTCGAGAAACGTGCGTTTTATGTACAAAACACTCGCTGTTTTTCTGGTCGCCCTGGAAGAGCGTTGAGTGAACTTTGTCCACGGATTGGGATTGTACGTAGATACACAAAATGCAATGTTTTGAAAGCTAACGACCGCAAAGACATAAATATAGCATAGCAGGACAAAAAACATATTTTATAACCTGATTTTTGCACGGCGCGAAGAGAGAAAATTGCACTGTGCGTTGTCGACAATCTAGCGAAAAAAATCCAAAGTTCACTGTGCGAAAGCGAAAAAATGCCCATGCAATTTACGAAAATGATAATAGCACTCCACGTAATAAATGTATGTGTTGTGAGCCCCTGCTCTCTCTCAGTCCAACGTGTGCCAATTAGGACCAAACTCGCTATGTTTATAACGGCATAATAACAATAAATAGCATAGCAGAACACGACATACTTTGGTTTGGAAATTTGGGAACATTTTTGGAGAATAAAGTAATTTCCGGTGGATAATAGCCGCGGCAAAAAGTCACTGGAATTTTCTGCGACTGTGCATGAACTTGAAAAGACATTTTGGATCCGGGAAGCATCAAAAATGTGGCAAAATGCTTCCCTTTCTAAGTGAAAAAAATTTGTTTTGAAGGGCTCCCTCGCAAAAAGAGCGGACGCGCTTTTGAAATCGGAGTTTTTTAACTTGGAGAAGGAAGCATTTTACCACATTTTTGATACTTCCCGGATACAAAATGTCTTTTCGAGTTCATGCACAGTCGCAGAAAATTCCAGTGACTTTTTGCCGCGGCCAGTATCCACCGGAAATTACTTAATTATCCAAAAATGTTGCTAAATTTCCAAACCAAAGTATGTCGTGTTCTGCTATGCTATTTATTGTTATTATGCCGTTATAAACATATGCTTCGTTTTTTGCCTCTGGATCAGGTCCCCCATAGTACGTGCAAGTTGCACAGCGCGGGACAGGATTTAATGGCCAAAACCGAAAAAATCTCCTGTTGTGTTAATCAAACTTTCCAAATGCTGCTAAATACCTCCTTTGCTGACCAAAAACAGCATTCTTCTGAGGAGGAAAGTTGCATTTATTTTTATTTTTTTTTGAAAAGAAGAGGCCATTGAACTTCTTCCCACTCTTTCATTTCACAAGGAAAGTACTTTTATGGGGGCTCCTACTTTTTGACGTGACATATCTCAAAAAATCATAAAAAATGTGCTGATCAAGGATATATAAATCTTAGCTGCCCATTTTAGGTTTTTAGGGGTGAAAACTCAATCGGAAGTTGACTTAAAGTCCTATATGAACCCCTTTTCGCCAAATTTTTCACGGGTTTACAATTTTTATTTTGGCTTAAAATGATGTTTATTGAGTTTCTAAGACGTAATAAATCAGTCTTGGCCCAAAAATTTATTTTTCCGACCTTCAGCTTCAAAAAAAGTTGATTCGGCCCAAAAGGGAAATCGAACCCGTGCGGCGTTCCCCCTCTTGATTCCCAGACTACGGCACTAGCCACTCGGCCACACCGCTCTCTTTCGAAGGAAGAGACCGACTGCGCTTTTTATCGTTTCGAATGCATGCGCCTTTTGTAGGGAAATTGAGCCAGTTTTTGGGCATTTTCACCCCTAAAAGCCCAAAATGGGCAGCTAAGATTTATATATCCTTGATCAGCACATTTTTTCTGATTTTTTGAGCTATGTCCCGTCAAAAAGTAGGAGCCCCCATAAAAGTACTTTCCTTGTCAAAAGGTCAAGGGCTTTTAAGTATAGTTTTAACACGAAAAGGCCTGATTTTAGCCGTTTTTGACACGTTTTCCACGTATTTGCACTTTATGGACAAAATGTGAAAACGTTGTTTAATCGTTTGGTTGTTTAGACTAGTGTATGATGCTGTTTCCAAGCGCGTCTTGCAACTATATAACAAACTAACTGTAAGCAAAAAAAATTTCTTACAAAATCCTCCGGCAACGAAAATTAAATTGAATTTTTTTGTTTCAAAAGAATGGGCCGAGTTTTAAAATTTTTACGGGTTATCAAGGCCCATACTTCAAAGCGTAAGGGTTCCTTAAATTTGAGAGATCGTTCAAAGACTCCGGTTTTGACGACATTTTTTGTTCCATTTTTTGTGTGTAGACAAATTGGCGTGTAGACGGCCATACATGTCACGTTGGATTGACGAGACTTCAAGTTTGACGCGCGTAAAATAGCGGAAAAAGGTCGGCATACATTGCTAGTCGCGACATAAAGTCCGTAGAATTACACGGTGTCGGATTTCACCGAATCTGGAGTTCAAATCATATTTATTTCAACTCGATGTAATTTCTGAAGTCAGAGAGGGCGAGAGAGGGAGAGGTGTCCCCGCGTGTCAACTGATTCCCCAGATTTTTCGTACCGACGTTCGAGAATATTCTATGGAGCGGTTCCGAAGCGAAGTCTCTGAATCAAGGAACCGTAATCTTTCTCCATTTCAATTCAATTAGACAGAGATCGGATTCGGCTGTTGGTGGTGTTTTGTTGTTGTAGTTGTTTTTAAAGCGTTGTGGTTGCGTTGTTGTTGTTGTTGTGAGAGTTTCATATTGTTTTGGAGTTTTACTTTATTGTTTCTGCTGCAGTTGATTTCCGTCGTTGATAAAAACATTTATTCGAGCCGAGCTTATCTGTTTCACGCTGCCAATCTTGCGGGAACAATTTCGCGTCGAAGACCCGCATTCCACTTCAGCAACCTTCCACTAGGAAGGCCAAGTATTTTCAGGTAGAAAGTTGCAGAGGGTATTCGGTGCAGATACCAACACAAGACCACAAGCCATTCTCGTTTTTAATTCTTTTCGTCTCTCGGTCAGGGCGGAGGTGGAATCGGACAGAGTGTTTGCTACGGTTTCCGACAAAATTCTTCGGAGTTTATGGCGCGACTTGTATGTCCCGAGGAGTATTCAACTGCTTGAGATTAAAGATTAGAGGATCGAAGCGTTTATTACAGAGTAAACATAGAAATATCTACAGTCATTCGGACGTTAGCCTTTGGTTGAGATGACTTGAGAGGTTGTTGCAATTTTCACATGTTTTCCCTTCTGGCATAGAACGAACCTGCGAAAGCTGGGAATCACAAAAATCACGCATAGCGGATTGACGATTGGGATGACATAGGGGAGTGGCGAAATGATAAACGAAAACCCACTGACCGTCACATTCAGGAGGGTCAACGTAAACGATAGACAAATGGGCATGTTCAGCATGATCAGAGGGTTTATCGCCTAGGCACTTTTTTTAGACCAGTAATTTTGGCTTACCTGTATGAACATGATGACTGTCAACTGTCTCTGCGCGGCTAGTGTTTCTTTGGAAAGGGAATCTTGCGTGTCTTTTAGGCGTTGTAGCGTCTTGACTGCACAATATACGACCACCGAGTAGGCGACGCAAACGATAAGCATAGAGTGCAACATGTGCAGTTGTGTGATTAGGGAGGTCTGAAAAAGGCATTCCAGTATAACTGTGAGAAAAAAGTGACTATTATTAGCCATTGCTTACCGTAATCGCCACAGTGAAGACGGGCATGTGCTCTCTGAACATTGGATTCCTCCGCATCAAAGGCTCATATTCCTTCAAAGCAGCTGGATCCGTCACGTAGACATGAAATCCCACCACGAGGTGCACTACGACCGCCAACATGAATCCACCGTAAATCAGGACATACGTTCTGGTGGTGATTTGATTTTTGAGACAGAGCTGGCTGTAACGGTAGAGGAATTGGATGGGCACGGTAACTACGGTGAGAAACAGGGCCCATGACCAGATGAATGAAATTATTGCAGCATACGGCTGAGGTACCTTGCCCACAGGGCCGGTGCTTAAAATGAAAAAGATGCCGTCTTGAACATCGCAGATCTGAAAATTGTACATGATATACCATGAAGAGTAAGTTTGGGCTACGTTCTGGAACAAAGAAATTTGAAATGCGCAAATTTAAAACCTACAGTTCTTGTGATCGTACTAAAAGTGTTGAAAATCAGATCCACTCCACAATTCAGGTACAAGATTGTCTTGTATTCGGCCGTACCTTTGTTCATCTGCGTTTTGGCCAAGTAAATTACTAGGCAATTCAAAATATAGGAAGTGATACCGACGGTGTAATCGTAATATGGCAGTAGGTCGGCTACTACGTCTTGCCAACTCATTTTTTGCTGAAAAATTTTCTACAAGAACACGAAATTTTACATGGCGCGACCGAGCCGGGCCTTCAAAATTTTTCAGACTCACATTGCAGCCGCGCTTACTGTGAGGTTAATTCGCATGGGCGTCGACTATTATCAGCCTACAAAAGCAGTACAAAATTAGCCACTTCTTTCAACGAGCGCTATCACAGTTTTAGAGCCTCCGTGAAGGCTTTACCGCCAATTTGCAAACGGCGACAAAACAAAAAGTGCGCGCCGACTATGCAGTCCAAAATTAAATTGCTTATTATTTATGGGCCATAATTGCAGCCATGCTTTAACATACTTACGGATCTTTGTTTTTTGGAGGATGTTTTGGTCTTCTCCATGCGACAATAACCCAGGATTATGAAAAACAGTGTTAGCAATGGCTGCGAGAGGGTGGTCATGTTGTAGGTCTCCACCGAGCCTTCGCCGAACGTCCGCCGAGCATTCAACGGCTTTCACAGGCCTCGTTGGCGCCTCGAACCACTTTTTTTATGGCTCTCTACGTTTCCTATATAGGCCTTGCATCGATAGAATTGCGTGTGCTCTCTCGGCCGCAAAGATCGTTCAAAATCTCGACTCTCCCTGCAAAGAGCGAGCTACAACTTTCAGGAATTGATATGTGGCCTATGGTGGCCCCCTGGCCCGTCTGGGCCCGTTTTTTCGAAAAAAAACCCCGCGTTTTTTTTCTCAGTAACCGGATGGCCTTGAAACTTCGGCTAGCCCTAGGTTTAGAGGAGTGCTGACCCTTTAAGATGTTATCAGATTTTTGATATCTCTTCACCAAAACGAGATATCGCAATTTGCGGGAAAAGTAAGACGGGCATAAACGGGCCGGGTGGGCCTAAGCGGGCCACCCCTGCCCATGCCCAAAATCTCTGTAAAATTTAAAGAAAATCGGAGCGTCGCACTTGGGATCACTCCGTTGTGAGTTTATTATCAAAATATGTTCAATATTGCATGTATTATATAGATAATTTGAAATTATTCAGAGGGTGTCATTGTCGTTTTGGTTGAGATGATTTGAGAGGTTGTTGCGATTTGCACATGTTTCCCTTTCCGACAAAAAACGAATCGTCGGAAGTTGGGAATTACAAGAATTACGCAGAGCGGATTGACAATTGGAATAAAAATGGGGAATGGTGCCATCATCAGCGTGAGCCCACTGACCGTCACATTCAGCAGAGTCAACGAATATGCCAGACAAATCGGTATATTCAGCATGACAAGAGGGTTGATCGCCTAAACTCGTTCTTCTAGACGTAACTTTTTGGTTGATTTACCTGCACAAACATGATTATGGTGAACTGCCGCTGTGCGGCCCGTGTGGCTTCCGAAAACGAGTCTTGGCTTTCGTTTAGGCGTTTCAGCGTCTTTACCGCGCAATAGACGGCTACCGCATAGGCAACGCAAACAATGAGCATGGTGTTCAACATGTGGAGTTGTGTGATTAGAGAGGTCTGAAAGAATAGGACATACCAGCATAACTGTGAGACAAAATGCTACCTATCAGTCTGTCTGGAAGATAAGGTGGATTCGCCGCGCCTTGGAACCGTCCTTCATAACGTTGCGGCGGCTGTAAGGGGCTAGGGGTTTGGTACACGGCTACGGCAAAGCGAGAAAATTTTCTCGGGCAAATCCACATTGTTTTCCCGACAGACTGATATTATGTTCGTAGGGCGTGCTACCGCAGCAGTATCAATTCATGACTATTATCAGTCTGTCGGGGGAAATCATGACACTTCAACGACGCGATTGGCGCAGCAACATTGTGCTCATTACTTTCCCGACAAACTGATATTATTCGGGAAAATAATGTGGATTCGACGCGCCTTGTAACCGCCCATCATCGTTTTGCGACGGCCACTGTTTTACAGACAGGCTTATATTAGCCGTGTTTTACCGTAATCGCCACATTGAAGACAGGCATGTTCTCTCTAAACATCGGATTCCGTCGCAACAAATGCTCATACTCCTTCAGTGCTTCTGGATCCGTCACGTAAATATGAAATCCCGCCACGAGGTGCACTGCGACCGCCAAAATAAATCCGCCGTAAATCAGGACATATTGTTTGGTGGTGATCTGATTTTTGAGGCATATTTGGCTGTAGCGATAAAGAAATTGAATAGGTACCGTAACCACGGTAAGCATAAATGCCCACGACCAGATGAACGCTATGATTGCCGCATACGGCTGAGGTACGTCGGCCAGAGGCCCGGTGCTTAGAATGAAAAAAATGCCGTCTTGAACATCGCACATCTGAAAATTGTGCGTAGTATACCATGAAGAGTAGAATTTGGTGACTTTCGGAGCGAAAACATTTGAAATGCAAAGATTAAAAAAACATACAGTTCTTGTAATTATACTGACGGTGGTGAAAATCAGATCCACTCCACAATTCAGATACAAGATTGTCTTGTATTCGGCGGTGCCTTTATGCATCTGCGTTTTGGCCAAGTAAATTACCAGGCAATTCAAAATATAGGAGATGATACCCACGGTATAATCGTAATAGGGCAGTATGTCGGCTGCTATGTGTTGCCAACTCATTTTTTGCTGAAAAATCGAGAATAATAAGATTAATAGAGATGCTGGGATTGCCATACATTTCCCAAGAAATGAGCATAAACGCAGAGCTATAGATACTACCGTTCGATCCTACAAGGTCTCATTCTTTCTGTCTCCCTAATCCAAAAAATGAGCCGTGTCTATTAGCGGGGGTTGTCACACTTTTATTATATTAGAGCTTCCGCGAAAGCTTTACCGCCAATCTTCAAACGGCGACAAAACAAAAGTGCGCGCTGTGCAAAAATAAATAGTAAATTGTCTGAGCAGGAAAGTGCTTTTATGGGGTTCCCTTTTATCCCAAACAACCTGAAAAATTGTCCTGATATGTAAAAAATAGCTGCCCAATTTGAGGCCCAAAAACTGGCTAGGCGCAGGAATTGCGAACGATAAAAAAGCGCGGTCCTCCAGTGGAGGAACTGATGCAGTGGCAAAAAACGTACCATTTTTCATCCGGGAAGTGTCAAAAATGTGGCAAAATGCTTCCCTCTCCAAGTGAAAACATCGATTTCAAAAACGCACCCCACGGCAACCCGAAGTGTTTCCTGGCTCCTTTCGACACTTCGCCCATTTTGTATCGGTTGAAATCAAACAAAATGTCACAAAAGAATTTTTCATGGGATTTTCCGACCGAAAAAATTTTTTCTCGGAATTATTTTATTTCTTTTGCCAATTTTGACACTTCGTTTGGACGAAACTCAAAACTGGGCGGGAAACATTTTTCTTCTATTTCGGGTTGCCGTGCACCCGCTCTTTTTGTCAGTAAAGAGGGCACGCCCTTCAAAACGAAGTGTTTTTCACTTGGAGAGTGAAGCATTTTGCCACATTTTTGACACTTCCCGGATGCAAAATGGTACATTCATTGCCACTGGATCAGGTACCCCACTGCATGGAAGAGAGCCTCCGCTGTGGCCAAGTGGGTAGTGCGGAAGTTTGGGAATCAACCGGCTGGGCGCTGCAGCACCCTCCTTTTGATTTATCTTTTTGCCCGAATCAACATTTTTTGAGGTTGAAAGTCTGGAAAATAAATTTCTATGCCAAGACCTATAAAAAAAGTGCGCAAGGTGCAATAAAATTTCCTGGAAGGGCAATCAACGCAATGCAGTCATGCTTAATATTTATGAGCCCTAATTGCAGCCATGTTTAATGCCTAGAGCTGGTAGCAATAATTAGGTTGTTCATGACCTAGGATAGTTTAACACAGGGTTGTAGGTCTCCGCCGAGCGTTCAAGGGCTTTTCACAGGTGTCGTTGGCGCCTCCTACCACCTTTTGTTGGCTCTCCGCCGCAATATGTCTTTCAATATCTTGGCTGTTCCTGCAAAGCGCGAGCTAAAATTTTCAGTAATTGATATGTGACCTATGCCCAAAGTCTCTGCAAGATTTAAAGAATATCTGAACGTAGCGCTTGGGGTACTTCCTTTGTTAGTTTATTATCAAAATACGGTAAATATTACATGTATAATTTGAAATTATTCAGACGTTGTCATTCTGGTTGAAATGATTTGAGAGGTTGTTGCAATTTGCACATGTTTCCCTTTCCGACAAAGAACGAATCGTCGGAAGTTGGGAATTACAAGAATTACGCATAGCGGATTGACAATTGGAATAAAAATAGGGAATGGTGCCATCATCAGCGAAAGCCCACTGACCGTCACGTTGAGCAGAGTCAACGAATATGCCAGGCAAATCGGTATATTCAGCATGACAAGAGGGTTGATTGCCTAAACTCGTTATTTTAGACATAACTTGTTGGTTGATTTACCTGTACAAACATGATAATAGTGAACTGCCTCTGTGCGGCCCGTGTGGCTTTCGAAAACGAGTCTTGGCTTTCGTTTAGGCGTTTCAGCGTCTTTACTGCACAATAGACGGCAACCGAGTAGGCCACGCAAACAATAAGCATGGTATTCAACATGTGGAGTTGTGTGACTAGGGAGATCTGAAAATATAGAAAGCAAATGCCTAACAAGGTATCAGTGTGCCGGGAAAAGAATGTTGATTCGTCGCGCAATGGAATCGCTCATCATCGCTTTGCGACGGCTAGTCGTAACTGGTGAATTGGTGCGCGACTGCGCCGAGGCGTGACATTTTGCTGCGACAAATCCACATTATCTTCCCGACAGTCTGATATTAAGCTCTTGAGGCCTTTGACCACGGCGTTATCAATTCATGACTATTATTATTTTAGCCATTTCTTACCGTAATGGCCGCAGTGAAGACGGGCACGTGCTCTCTAAACATTGGATTCCTCCGCAACAAATGCTCATATTCCTTCAGTGCTGTTGGATCCGTCACGTAGATATGGAATCCCACCACAAGGTGCACCACCAACGCCGAAATGAATCCGCCGTAAATGAGGACATACTGTCTGGTGGTGATCTGATTTTTGAGGCATAGCTGGCTGTAGCGATAGAGGAATTGAATAGGCACAGTAACCACGGTAAGCATAAATGCCCCTGACCAGACGACCGATATCATTGCCGCATAAGGCTGGGGTATCTCGCCCAGAGGGCCGGTGCTGAGAATGAAGAAAATGCCGTCTTGAACATCACAGACCTGAAAATTGTACGTAGAATACCATAAAGATTCAATTCGGATGACTTTCGGAGCGAAAAGGTAAAATTTATAAACCCTACACTCCTTGTAACCATGCTGACGGTAATGAAAATCAAGTCCACTCCACAATTCAGATAGATGATTATCTTGTACTCCGCTGTGCGTTTGTGCATCTGCGTTCTGGCCAAGTAGATTACCAGGATGTTTAAAATGTAGGAGGTGATACCCACGCTATACTCGTAGTACGGAAATATATTGGCCGCTGTATCTTGCCAACTCATTTTTACGCTAAAATTTCAAAAATAATAGAACAATAAAGCACGATTATCCGAAGATAACGGAATCCAACTAATGGTGGCACGTAAAAAAACGGTTTGAGGTTAGCAATTTAACCCCTAGGGTAAATTAAAACTTGTGACGCGAATCCTACTGGGTGCGATTAGAAACGTATTTGCTAGCTGGTTCCGGCAAAAACTTGGAATTACCGCCGCGTGGGGGACCTGAAAGAACAAAACACGGATACCAACTGTGTTGAGACTCGGGATTCCGCCAATTCACGTGAAATCGAAGAAACCAAGGAGAGGGAACTCTTTGGTTTTTCGGCACAAATAGAGGTCTGTTGGGATTTGTTGGGATCCCAAAAAATCTGCATAAACCAAGAACTATAAATACTACCGTTCGACACCAAAACTCCTCATTCATTCTTTCCCCTGCTCCATTGGTCGAGTTTATCCAATACATCTTGTGGCGACAAGCAACTTCAATAGTTCCCTTCTCGATTTGACGTGAGGTTTGTTCTGTTTCGGTTGCTGTGAGGCGTCACTTCGACAGTAATAACAGGGTCGAAAATTACGTATAGTCCCCGCCAATTAAAAGTGAAGTCTATATGTACTACTACTATATGTATATGTACTACTTACGTTCCCATCTCGAAATTACGTATGTACTAGCTACGTTCCCAGAATATCTATACATAAGACTTAGTGTTCGAAACAAGGAGAATGAGCGACGAAAACGTCCGTTAACTTTTCTGTACGCGGAACGCTACAGGACTGTCCTCCGCCATTAAAAATGCTATTTGGGACGGTGGACGAGTCCTTCCTGCAGCTAATTCAACCTCAAGCGGCGACTCCAACAGAAGCAGTCGATAGTTTATCGATAGGCCGCAAGCACAATAACAGTAGACCGAATATCCTAGCGGGGCAGACGCATGACGCCTGCCCTAACCTTAACATCTCTAATCTTCCAGATCTTCCTTGCTCATGTCCATGTTGCTCTCATACAGTAGGCCTGTTGTGGAGCCTCAAAGGTCTCCGCAATTCCCACGGAAATTAGCATAAATGGGTCATATAAAAGGAACACTTTATCACCAATTACCTCATTATCTTCCTCGGTTGTTCCCTTTGCCGTGAACGATCGGTGGTCTAAACGTCCCCCGACTCCCTTTCAACGTTGAGCTCCACTTCAAGGCCGCTCGTTGTCGTTGCGGGACCGATTGAGGCCTAATGCGCCTACTAATATGTACTAGTTAGCATTGTAAGCTCTTGTAGACGTGCCACTGAGTTTATTGTAAAATGCGTCAAACAAAACAAGTATAATTTAAAATTATTCAGTCGCTGTCATTTTGGTTGAGGCGACTTGAGAGGTTGTTTGCACATGTTTTCCTTTCTGACAAGAACGAACCAGGCCTGTTGTGGAGCCTCAAAGGTCTCCGCAATTCCCACGGAAATTAGCATAAATGGGTCATATAAAAGGAACACTTTATCACCAATTACCTCATTATCTTCCTCGGTTGTTCCCTTTGCCGTGAACAAAGGGAAACTTGTGACTTCGTGTGTGTGCTTGTTCTCCAACGATCGGTGGTCTAAACGTCCCCCGACTCCCTTTCAACGTTGAGCTCCACTTCAAGGCCGCTCGTTGTCGTTGCGGGACCGATTGAGGCCTAATGCGCCTACTAATATGTACTAGTTAGCATTGTAAGCTCTTGTAGACGTGCCACTGAGTTTATTGTAAAATACGTCAAACAAAACAAGTATAATTTAAAATTATTCAGTCGCTGTCATTTTGGTTGAGGCGACTTGAGAGGTTGTTTGCACATGTTTTCCTTTCTGACAAAGAACGAACCGTCGGAAGTTGGGAATCACAAAAATTACGCAAAGCGGATTTATGATTGGGATAAAAGCGGCGACTGGCGCTACGAAGAACACAACCCCATTGACACTGATGTTGAGTAGGGTCATTGAATAAGCCAAGCAGAGCGGTAGATTCAACATTAAAAGCGGATTGATCGCCTAAACTCGTCTTCTGAACATAGCGTGTTTCTTGATTTACCTGCACGAACATTATGATGGTAAACTGCCTCTGGGCGGCCCTTGTGCCCTTCGAAAGCGAGGCCTGAGTTTCCTTCAGACGTTTTAGCGTCTTGACTGCACAATATACGACAACCGAATAGGCGACGCAAACGAGGAGCATGGAGTTCAGCATGTGGAGCTGTGTGATTAGGGAGGTCTGAAAACTTGCAAGCGTGTAGCATGATCTGCGAAATATAATAGCTTTTTATAAGCCCAACACAAAAGATTCTTGGAAAAGAAAATTTCAATCAAGGTATCAGTCTGTCGGGAAAATAATGTGGATTTGTTGCGCCTTGGAATCGCCAATCATTGCTTTGCGATGATTGGCTAGGGATTTGATGCGTGACTGCAACGGGGTGAAACACTTCGTTGCGACAAATCCACATTATTTCGTTGCTGGATCTGGAACCTTCACATGGGCAGCCATTCTGATGAATAGCCGGACACACTCATGCCCTGTTCTTGCCCTGATGAACCCAATCCAAACCCCCAGTGGGCATGTTAGCGACTCCACTGAAACCGCCCATTATTTCCCACGAATTTGCATAGAATCAAAGGACAAGGTCTTCATCAGATCAATTTCTCCTATTCTGAAGTCGGTGTCTCGCGCTCCTCGTGAGCGGTTGTGATTCTCGTGTTTGGTTCAATAAACATATTCTATATCGTGTCTACTTTTGTTATAGCAGGATGGTATCAAGTTCCTGGGGCTTTTAACCACAGCGGTATCAATTCATGACTGTTATTCGTCATTTCTTACCGCAATCACCACGGTGAATACGGGCATGTGCTCTCTAAACATTGGATTCTTCCGCATCAAAGGCTCGTATTCCTTCAATGCGACGGGATCCGTTATGTAGATTTGAAATCCCACCATGAGGTGCAATATAACCGCCAAAATGAATCCGCCGTAAATCAGGACATACTGTCTGGTGGTGATCTGATTTTTGAGGCATAGCTGGCTGTAACGGTAGAGGAATTGGATGGGTACGGTAACCACGGTGAGTAGATATGACCACGAATAGATGAACGATATTATTGCACCATATGGTTGAGGGACGTCGGTCAGAGGGCCGCTACTTAGGATAAAAAACATGCCGTCATGGACGTCTACGAGCTGAAGATTGAAGATGGATTATTTCGGAAAGGCAGGGATTTATTGTTTTTAATAAACCATACCGTTCTTGTAATTATACTGAAGGTGTTGAAAATCAGATCCACTCCACAATTCAGGTACAAGATTGTCTTGTATTCCGCCGTACCCTTATGCATCTGCTTTTTGGCCAAGTAAATTACCAGGCAATTTAAAATGTAGGAGATGATACCCACAGTATAATCGTAATAGGGCAATATGTCGGCTGCTGTGTCTTGCCAGCTCATTTTGATGCTGAAAATGGAATATAAATAATAATATTCATGGATTGATAACTCCATGATAAAACCTCATAGCATATTATCAGTCTGTCGTGAAAATAATGTGGATTTGTCGCAGCAAACCTCTCGCCTCGTCTCAGTCGCTCCCCAAATCTCCCGTCGCGGCTAGCCCTCGCAAAGCCATGATGGACGATTCCAAGCCCATCATGCGCGACGAGTTCACATTATTTTCCCGACAGACAGGTAGTAAAATATAGCCAGTCTTGACGGATGGACGAAAGGCGGAACATGCCAAGCGTCATGTTAGAACACGGGTTCCGCAGGTGCAGTTGTGCGATACTACCCTTGGGATTAAATTAAAAACAGTGAGGACTACTAGTCGAATTTTCGAGTACGGTTACGAGCCTAGACGTACTAATTATTGCATAATAACTCAAAACTAATGAGAAGAATTACTTTGCGCAGTGCACTTTGACCAAGAATAACATACACTGTTTTCGCGGCGCACGGCGCATTTTGCTTATTTTTGCACCGTACTATTGACTGCCGAAAGACCAGTAAGAAGTGTCTAGGGAATTCGCAAAGTGTTTAGGGTCACAAACCAGAACATAATAAAAAATTGCTTATGGGTAAATGAGGAAGAAGCGAGCGACAATTATCACTATGCTTGCAAAAACTTGCTGACAATGCAAAGATTTAGATGAGAGTCGGCTCAAATTTAAAACGTAACTGTCCAAGAAATAAGATTTTTAACTCGCGCTTTGCAAAAACGCCCTTTCCTCACTAAAAGAGCGGGCGCGCTGTTGAAATATAAGTTTTTTTCACTTGTATTTTGCCACATTTTTTGATGCTTCCTGGATGCAAAATGGTAAATTTTTTGCCACTGGATCAGGTCCCCTACTTTACACGACCGGTCTGGCGTAGAAAATCTGAAACGGGTTGGACCGCGGTTTATTAGCCCGCCCGGGAGCCATGATTATATGCGACAAAGGTTTTATCGCTAGCAAGGCGCTGATACGAGGTAATACATGTTTTATTATATTATATTAAAATATAGTTATGACATATTCAAAATATGTTTTTTCTATTCAGGGTTTCCTTGAAGCCACTTCCGGGGTTGCTTTCCCTCTCTTTCACAACAACTAAAATCAATGAGAGGATGGCATTTTGGTCGAGACCACGTCAGAGGTGGTTCCGATTTGGAATTCTTTCCCTTTTCGGCAAAGGACGAACCTTCGGAAGCTGGGGATCACAAAAATCACACAAAGCGGATTGAGAATCGGGATGAACGTGGCGACTGGCGTCATGAAGAACGAGATCCCACTGAGCGTGATGTTGAGCAAGGTCAAGATGCACGCCGCGCAGATGGGCAAGTTGAGCATTATAAGGGGATTTGTCGCCTAAAAATGAGTTATAGCCCTTGTTGACGGTATTTTCCTTATACCTGCATGAACATGATGATGGTCAACTGTTTCTGCGCGGCGAGTGTGGCCTTGGAAAGAGATTTCTTCGTTTCTTTGAGGCGTCGTAGCGTCTTGACTGCGCAATACACAACAATCGAGTATGCAACTCCAACAATAAATATGCAGTCCAAAATATGAAGAGCTGCCTTGGGAGAGTCCTGAAAAAAGACAGATTTTTTTTGGAATACCCTTCTTTTGATATAAAAGTAACGTCCACTTTGCGGTCACCCTTTCCCTTGGCTTTCGTCCGAATAAAGTCAATTGTAATTTCTGTGTCTATAATACTTGTTGCCCTACCCGGTCGTGCCTATTTGGAGCAGACACCTTAGTTACAGTGCTATTGTTGCCCTCAGTGTTTTCAGCCAAGGACCTTTTATCAGTCTGTCGGGAAAAAATGAGCAGAATGTCTTTGCGCGAATCGCGTCGCTGAGGTGAAAAGCAATTGGACTTTGCAGCGACACAATTCATTTTCTCGGCGGCTATGCGATTTTCGATGCGACAATGCGCTGCCACACGTCAAAGAAAAAGTGAAAAAACAAGGAACCTCGGATCATTGATTTTTGACGAAATGTCGCTGAATTATCGAGTCACAAAAGAAAACTTTCCCAGAGAATTTCGAGAAAAATGTTTTTTCGAAGAGGAAAATAATTTTTCAAGCTCGATAATTATGCGGCACTTCGCAAAAAATCCGAGATTCCTTGTTTTTTCAATTTTCTGAAAGAATTTTTTTGACGTGTGTCACGGCTTCACGTGCGGATTTGCATATTCCCACGAAATGACGAACAAATTGGTATAAAAGGAATGGAAATCTTCCAATCAATCGGCGTGAAGGAGTGTGAATTATTCTGCCTGTGTTTTTCCCGCTGCGGTGGTGGTGCTATTGGTCAATAAAGTGTGTTTACTATGCCTGTTGTATCGTATGTTGAAGCTCAGCGCATCCCGTAGCATGCGGGGTCTAACATTGTGGTTTCGATCATGTCACGATTCCGTGAAGAATTCCCAGAAATTGGCATAAACCGACGAATATTTTGATATAAATATAATAGACCGATCGCTTTTCGGTCACTCGTTTTGGAAAACAAACATATTTCTAATTGTTGGAAGTCCCCCTGACACAGTGCAATGGTGGTTCGAGCTATTATAATTGGAGTCAATTCGTGTGATTTCACAGTTTCACTGCTAGAGTTCTCTAGTTGTGTCTCCGGGTTGGTATACTAGGAGTAGAGGGCAAGTTAGGGGCCTCATTAGACCTCGACTATCCAAGTCTTGACATGGCGACCACGGCAGGATTTTTGATATTGTCGTCCTCAGTGCCTTTCAGCTAGAGCCTATTATTCGCTAGTCATTGTGTTTTACAGTCGTATTTGGGCTTGAGATCTTAGACAGAACCTAAAATAGGGACCTTCAATCCACATGTTCTAAAGCAACTGGTGACAGCGCTTATTATTTTCCCGACAGACTGATATTCGGATTTTCATAAAGTGCATAGAGATTTGTCGCAGTCCGGGCCGCACATAAAAAAGCCCCGTTGCAAATGCCCATGCACTTTATGAAAATACCAAAAGAACACTACGGGCCTGAAGAACAGGAGGTTCAGAGTGCAAAATCTAACATTTTTGGGTAACTTTCAACAACAACGTCAGTTACTTGTGGCCACCAAACATTTGTTACCTTAATTCCCAACGTGAAGACGGGCATGTCCTTGAATATGGGGTTCTCGCGTATCAAATGCTCGTATCCCTTCAACACCTCCGGATCCGTTTCGAACACCACCACTCCCGCCGCACAATGCAATGCCAACGCCAAAATGAAACCGCCGTAAATCAGGACGTATTGCCTCGTTGTGATCGGCGTTGTGAGGCATATTTGGCTGTAACGGTAGAGGAATTGAATCGGTACGGTAACCACGGTCAGCAAAAGCGCCCACAACCAGCTGAAAGTGATCATTGCCGCATAAGGCTGAGGTACGTCGCCGAGAGGACCGGTGCTGAGCACGAAGATGTTGCCTTCTTTGATATCACAAGCCTGAAAGTCAAAATAAAATATCATACTTTGCAATGACAATAGTTAATGTTTCAGTCCTTTCAACTTACCGTTCTGGTCAAAAGATTGAAGGTGTTGAAAATGAGATCCACCGCGCAATTGAGCAAAATAATCGTCCTGTATTCCGCTGTTCGCTTGTGCATTTGTGTCTTGGCCAAGTAGATGACCAAAATATTTAGGGCATAGGAGAAAAACCCCATCGTATATTCGTAATAGGGCAACAAATCTGTTGCAGTGTCTTGCCAACTCATGTTTGGGCTGAAAAACCTTGTTATAGTTTTAAAAAAATGGTTGTGATAAAAAAGTGGGCGCGTAGAAATCTTTTCTTTTAACAAGTGAAGTATTTTCAAGTGTGAAGCTCAGATTTTGCACACATCTCGGACACAGGCCACATATCAATGCCTGAAAGTGTTAGCTCGCTCTTTGCAGGGAGAGCCGAGATATTCAACAGTCTTTGCGGGCGAGAGAGTACAAGAAATGCGGAGAACGGTCAAATAAAAATCACTTTTTGGCTATATCCTTGTCAGTTTCGCGCGAAAAAAATTGGTGTTTGTGGAAACATTGCCCTATACGGTGGAAATAGGCATGAAAATTTTGATGCCAAAATTCGCAAAAAAGGGGCAAGGTAAAATAATAATATTTAAAAATGGTGACCCCCGCCCCTTCCCAGAAAAGAATTCAATTTGCGACCTCCGTGATGAATGTTTCGGGACTTTAAGGGGCGACTAGTACTTATGTTTCAGTGTCTTGCCAACTCATCTTTATGCTGACAACCTTATATATAGCTATGTACATATCTATGCTCTAAAGCCTGTGCATAATGGAAAACATGCTCGCAAGAAAATAATGGTGCTTACAAGAAAAATCTTTTCCGTTAATATACACAAGACGAAGCGTGGTTGGGAAAAAGTTCGGAGAAATGTTTGGGAAATCGAATAATTGTAATTGAACAGTACAATGCTCTTCCACTTACAAAGCGAAAACCAAAACTGCATTACGAGAGCAGCTGAATCTTGCTGGAAGCACGTTGTGTTCTTTTTTTGGCCTAATCTATTATTTCGGCCGAAAATTAGCATTTCTGAACATCACCTGCTAATGGTAAGTCATCAATAAGCAAAAGACTGAAGAATGCGAGAGCTTTTATATAAATACTATTTCATAAATCGACGTATCTTTGTGTTTTCCGCGAACGAAAATCGTATTTACCGCATCCGGCTTGGATAGATAGACACTTCCTTCCCTCAATTTTGCAAGAAATGGGATACAAAATATTAGTCGTAGCAATCTCTGGTCTCCCTGTGAAAACCAAGAAAATATTATCAGTCTACCGGGAAAATATTAGGTTGATGCAAAAGGAATTGCGGATTTTTTTATTTATTCGTATTTTTTTATAGGATAGCTCAATTCAAAAATGGAAAAAGGTATATAGTAGTAAATTTTAAGAGGATTTTTTTTGTATATGTGCTATTCTTATAAAAGTTATCAAACGTTACCATAAGTTACCACGAAGGTACCCTAAACATGTTAGTACATTTTAAACCAATTTTTTTACATATTTTTTTGCGGCTTTATCCATTTTTGAAAATATTTTGATAAAATACGTTATATTCTATCAAAAAACAAAACAAACCCCCATTTTTGGCAAAGCGTTAAAACGCTATCCCAAAAATTCAAATTTCAGCAAATTTTACAAATCGTGTCATATCTTTTTTTTAATAAGTCCAAAATAAAAAATTCTTTTTGCTTTCGATTAGTAACAACATTTTTAAGATTTTTGTGACAAAAAACATCAAAATCAAAAAAATTTATTTTTTTGACATTTTTTGACCAAAAAATAAAATTCAAGATTTTGATGTCTTTTTTCACGAAAGCCTTAAAAATGTTGTTACTAATCGAAAGCAAAAAGAATTTTTTATTTTGGACTTATTAAAAAAAAGATATGACACGATTTGTAAAATTTGCTGAAATTTGAATTTTTGGGATAGCGTTTTAACGCTTTGCCAAAAATGGGGGTTTGTTTTGTTTTTTGATAGAATATAACGTATTTTATCAAAATATTTTCAAAAATGGATAAAGCCGCAAAAAAATATGTAAAAAAATTGGTTTAAAATGTACTAACATGTTTAGGGTACCTTCGTGGTAACTTATGGTAACGTTTGATAACTTTTATAAGAATAGCACATATACAGAAAAAATCCTCTTAAAATTTACTACTATATACCTTTTTCCATTTTTGAATTGAGCTATCCTATAAAAAAATACGAATAAATAAAAAAATCCGCAATTCCTTTTGCATCAACCTAATAATGTGGATTCGTAGTGCCTTATAATTGCCTGTCGTCACGTTGCAATGGCTAGCTGGAGATTTGATGCACAACTCCGACGAGACACTGCGACAGATCCCCATTATTTTCCCGACAGACTGATACAAAACGCTGCGACGCTCAGATTTTCTATAAATTTTGGACGCACATCAGGCATAGGAGACGTATCAATTCCTCAAAATGTGAGCTCGCACTTTGCAAGGAGAGCGGAGATATTCAACAGCCTTTGCGGCCGAGAGAGTAAGCGAAACGCGAAGAATGGAGAGAGTAAAAGACACTTTTTGGAGCCATATCTTTGCCAGTTTTCTGCGTGAAAATGGGATTTTTTGTGAAAATATTACCCTCTGTTGTAGAAATAGGTATGAAACATTTCGTGCTAAAATTCGCAAAAACTTGTCGCATTTTTTCTAACTTTCAATCATAAAAATCTCGGTCGGTTTTTGCACAGCGCAGTTACATTCGTATGAGACTATAACAGAATCTTACACCTCATTATTTTCCCGACAGACTCATAGATTTTCTACCATACATAATACGTGGAAAATGCTTTGCTCACCTATTTGGAGGTAGGCCTATGTTTACCTGAGACATATTTCGCGACATTTTTCTGACAGAGACCAGCTTGTTTACATATGAACATGTACACAAACTGTACACGAACACAAATGAGTAATCGTCGAAAATTTTAGTCTCCCAAGATTTGTGAAAACGACTACAAACTGCCGACAACAACAGTTTCGAACGTGACTTGACACACCGGAAACGAGCGGCGTTGAAATTGTACGCGCACGAAAAGGAGCCGGCAAAAACAAGATGTGTAATAATGTAGGGAGTGTAGGCAGTGTAGCCGCTTGAAAGCGGATTTTGAATAGACAAACAACTCCAAATGGCGACATTTATTACTATACGGGAGGGGGAAAAACTACTTTCGTTTGCCATTTTGTAATAACGAGGGAACAAAGCACAAAGAGGCTACAATTTTTAAATTAAAAGGTAATGCTATTATTAGGCATGTAATATCAGTCTGTCGGGAAAATAATGTGGATTTGTGGCTACGCGAGATCGCGTAGGCTGCAACGGCTTCCCGTGGCCGGAGATTTGGTGTGCGACTGCAACGAGGCGAGACATTTTGCCGCGACAAATCCACATTATTTTCCCGACGTACTAATATAACAAGTTTTGTTGCATACTGACTGAATGTTTAGCGGCTGAAACGCCGATTTAACTTTTTTTATGAAACGCCGATGGAATTTCTCGGCTCTCCTTGCAAAGCGTGAGCTAAAACTTTGAGGAATTTATGTGATATCTATGCCTGTGCAGATATTGCTACATTTTCTATGAGTTTGTCGGGAAAATAATGTGGATTTTTCGCAGTAAAATTGCTACCCTCGTCGCAGCTAGACATGGCTGGGGGGCCGGGGGCCGACCGGGGGCCGAACTGTAAATATAAATACTGCATTCATTACGAGATATAACACATTTTTTTGGGGCTTTGGTAGTTCAGCCCCCCACGAAAGGTAGTTCAAACCCCCACTGTTTTGTCCATTTCACACCCCCCACAATGAAAAAATTAGAATAATACAACAAATGCAAATTAGAGTAAAATGACCCCCGGCGTTTTAGCTCAAACCCCCAGTTACCGTCCGAATTCGTTCTTGTGGTTCAGGCAACGCTGATCGTAGCCGAGATAACCCCATCCCGAGTAGGCGCTTCAGATTGGATGAGGGGTTTATAGTGGGTCAAGTGGGGCTGAACTGGGGGGTTGTACTACCTTAGCCCCCATTTTTTTGTTACAACAATCGACAACAAATTTTTGAAACAAAAAATTATCAACCATTGCCTAAAGTACTTCAAAAAACCCAATCGGTTCTTGGCTCTGCGTTTTATTTTTATTGGCAACCCTAATTTTCGCTTTGGGACTGAGAATTTTAGTCATTGGGGGCCTGGCGGGGGCCCCCGGTCGGCCCGGCCCGGCGGCCGGAACAGGTCGGCCCGGCCCCGGGGCCTTTAAAACTCGTTCGGCCCGGCCCACTAGCCATGTCTAGTCGCAGCCGCTTACCAAATCCCCGCTCTCTTCTAGCCGTCGCAAAGCGACGATGTGCGATTCCAAAGCCCGACAAATCCACATTATTTTCCCGACAGATAGGTTCACGTAAAAATAATAGCTCCTGTAAATTGATATATCCCGATTTATAGTCTAAAAGCTGTCATCGAATGTTCTCTTACATGTGAACAATAAAATTTTAATAATACTACAAAAGACAAATGCAAACTCCTCCCATGGGAGTAATTATAGTCCTAGCCGTCGACCTTTTGTGGAACGCTCCGCAAAAGTTCGAACGGAAATGTAAACTAGCGAATTCAACAAGTGCATGCTCGAAGCTGTAAGTTTGAGCTGGACGTGAATTCAAGGACAAGTTCATTGGTTTGGACGGGCGATTTTTGGGTCTCGACACGAAAAATTTTACAAAGAAAATCGAGTTTTTTAGTGTTAGAAAGTTATTTTTTCTGCAGATGATGGATAAATTTGTGAAAAAAGAGATAATTGAGTGCAACGACTCAATTAATTTCTTCAACCCAATATTGACCGAGAGTGGGGCAAATTCCGGAGCTATTTGCATTTTCACAAAGTGCCTAGGCATTTGTCACGGGCCGCATCGTGCGCAAAAATTCGCGAGTTCTTGCAATCTTTTTTTGGTTTTGCACTGTGCATATGAAATATCGCTGCGACCTAAGCTTTTCTCAACTGCGCCGCTGTGGGTTTGTTACGGCGCAGGCTCGTCATAACAGGAGTTTACTATTACAGACCCGGAAAAGAAGAGAGGAGAATCAGTCGTATCGGCCCCCGTTTTTGGGAAGGAGACCGAGTATCATAATTTAATGTACAGTACCCCCTCCGCTACACCAGCCGGGGCTGTAACAGGTTTGCTCAAAAATCTGCACCGTGCAATCGGCCTTTTTGAGGTTTGCACGGTGCGCAAAGGCAAAAAAATGTCCAGGAAATTTGTGAAAATCCCAATACTACAAAGGATCAGGGGAGTACCCCAAATGCGACGCTCAGACTTTGATGAAACTTGACACAAATTTGGAATGGGTTTTATAACAATTTGTAAGCTGGACTGCTGGCTATAGCTTTGCAAAACGACAGAAATTTTTTTGGTCCAAATTGAACGGAATACGACACTTTTCTATAAATTTTTGGATGAAAAATTTCAAACCTATTTCTAACATCGCGCGATTACCCTAGCCCGGTTCCACTGGAGTACGAAAAAAATTCGTGGGCTTCACTTCCGTTCAACTAAAACTTTCTCCTTCTTCTGTTTTGAGCAAATCCAATGGTCTGTGTTCGGGTACTTAGAAAATACATATTAGTGTTTTAGGTATCGTAATTGAACAAAAACAAGAAACAATTATCATAATTTTTCTTGTAGTTATAAGAAAGTTTACTGTGGACTTGAATACGCAGGTAGACGTTTTGCGCATCAAAAATTGAAAAAATGCGGTTCCGGGTGTCGGGTCTGTAGGAAGTAATGTGCTTATACTGTATAAAAGTTTAATTAAATTCTGCCGTATTTTTGTTTGTCGTGACGTATCTTGAACGTCACCTCTATGTCTGCGATATGTTTTGAAATTTTGGGGAAAATTTTTTCTATAGCCAATATCGCGGTTTTTTTGGAAGGACTATCTTTTGACAATACTTATTTATTCTCTTAATGCTGGCTGAAAATGGTAAATAGACATGGCTCCCTGGCCGGGTTTTGAGCATAGGGAAAAAACAGCCCGTCTATCGGGCCGACGTCTCGGCCCGGCCCATTATCGGCCCGGAATAGTTCAATTCGAAATTATGAGTATGTTGTCTTAAGCAGAGATTGCCACGGTCAAAATTTCGGCTCCGGCTCTTAGCTCCCAGAACCGGAGCCGAGACCAAATTTGCAGCTCCGGCTCCCATGAAAAATTTAAAAAGGTCTTCGGCTCCGAATCCCGGCTCCAATCCAAAAAAAATTTAAAAATATTTTTCGAAATAAAAAGTTATTAGTGCCAGAGATCACACATCCAACGCTTTTGCAGTATGCATCACATCTTTACCAGTATTTTTTAAGCAGTTTGGTTTAACAAGATTATGGAATTTTTACTTTTTTGAACGCTGAGAAACCTGGCTCCGACTTTGGGCTCGGGAGCCGGAGCCGTACCCAAAATTCCCGGCTCCGGCTCTGGCTCCCGGCTCGGAGCCGGAGCCGCTCAGAGCCGGAGCCAAGAGCCGGCCTCGGAGCCGTGGCAATCTCTGGTCTTAAGCTAACGTAGGGGTTGTCAATGAAAATAAAACGCAATGCCAGGACACGATTGGTTTTTAAAGATTTTTTTAGATATAATAGCCACGGAATACAGTACATATTGGGTAACTTTCAGCTTGGCTTCCGAGCAGCGCTCGGGCAACACTATTTTCAACAGCCTTCCAAAAGATGTTTCCATGTTATGAACCGACCTGCACCCTTGCTGAGTTTTCGTATCCAATTAAAAATACAACCACGTATATACTTCCGCTGCATCCATAAAGAGAGATGAGCCCGCTACATCGCTCAAAGAGAGCGAGTCAAAATTATCCACAAATTTAGTGATTATCACAGTATTTATTTAAAAAACCGTAATTGTAGTGGAACGTAAGAGCCAAAAAGGCCCGCAAAAAATTTTTTTCTTGTTTTGTTTTTCTTAAATAGTACTGTAAAGGTAGTAATTTTGCCTAAAAAGGAGCTCGGGAAGAACCAAAACATTGGCATGACTAATTAGTCGTCGAATGAAAATGACCACCAAATGAGCAAAAATTCAATGTTCATGCAAAATTTGCACTAATATATGAGAAGATTGGGATGTCAAACTGGTCTCGGACCTTTTTGGATATATCCAAAGACGATTGACAGCGGAAAAATGCAGACAAAGAATGTCTGCATTTTAAAGTGAGTACTCTCCAGAGCACTCACAAAAAATTTGGGTTCAAGGAAGTGAAGTAATGAAAATTAATTACGCGGGCGAAACATCAAAAATAGGGACACGTTCTTGTAAACAAACCCTTTTTCTTTTATTGCGGAATTACCGTATTCCTCCAACTCAAAATTAGACTGTCCTTATGGGATGGGGTTCCGGAGCAAATAAAAAAGCGGACAATAAATTAGTTTTATGTTTATTTGTATTTATGAAAACAATAAAAGTTGCAAATTGGATTCCAAGAATACTACAGCACCCTGGAAGTTTAAATTAGCTTCCAGAAAAAAGACTTTATTTGTAGTTTATACACGTCGAGACAAAAAATCCTGATAAGTTTGCACCGTGCGGAACTGAAATCGGCGAAAACAAAATTTCACTTCGCACTGCGCAATTTTAGGCTTTTTGCACCGTGCAATAGGCTTTTTGGGGCTGTCGCTCGCACCCTGACTTTTTTCGCGCAGTGCAAGCACCAAAAATCAGTCAGGCGACTTTCCGGAAGGACTAGTATGATGAATAAACCATGGTGTACAAATATTTTACATCACGGTAGTTGTCTTCATCTGCGGTAAAAATAAGCCAACAAGGAAATACAAAATTAGCATTGTATTAGTTGAATCTTTGTTTCCTTGCTCGCATGGAATGAATAGGACATGTCAAACGGCACAGACCACAATGATTAATTAGGGTCAATTTCAGCCTAAACTAGACGTCAGAGTTCAAACCTTTTGGAACTTGAACTTAACCGGTTCTCTGGCTTGAACCTACGGTCAGACTTTTGTGGAGCCCCGCTACCGTATGTTATGCGGTTAATAGAGCCACGCCAGGGATCCGAATATAATTCCACATAATCCTTGTACGGGTACTTGGTTCTATGTTTGAAAGTGTGCACATTTTCTCCATCAATATAAACGAAGATACCCTGAGGCATATTTACAAGCCTCATGATGTACTTGGTGTCCAATTCTGTTATGTGTAAAGCGTTTATTTCTTCTCCCCATTCGGTCTTGTTATATGCGTTAAGAGTAATAACGTTGTTTCTTGGTTCTACAAGTATCTGAAGCGGTATTGTATCTCGGCATCGGCCATTTAAGTAAAAGGTCGTAAAATCATAAGCGGTGGTGAAATCGAATTCGATGAAGTCGCCTGAAACGAGCAATATTAACCGTGGGGGCTTCCAAAAACTGGGGGGTCCCGTATCATGACCTCAACTTTATGTATGCTTAGAGCCTATTGAAAGTGTTGTGTCAAAAAGATGTAAAGTGTAAAAAATTCTTTTATGAGCAAATCTGCAGCCGTATATTTTGAGACCTATTGTGAAACGAGCAGGGCTCGTTCGGCTGTGCATGAGGCAAACTGTCGACCCTTTTTACCGTCCTCACCTAATTTGTACCGTGTCCCGTTGACATAAAGGCTCTATTAACGTACATGTGTAAGAGTGTAATAATTTTTTTTCAAATGTTCAAATGTAGTAAAGATAAAAAAGACTCTCCTCAAAAGGCTTTCAGGTCCACATAACTATCTATTTTGTACTTTAGTAGGTCTCAAAGTATGCAAAAGATTGAACGGGGTCGCACGCCAAACTGAGGACTCCTGTGACCCGAATAGACTCTTCGCTATCGGTTTTTTACACTTCGGCTTGATTTTGCATGGAAGACAGGAGAAAAGACACGCAAAATGTACTCTCTCGCCTCAAGAAATCACTAGTTCTTCCTCGACAAAATGTTTTTTCGCGCGAATTGCCAATCCATTTCACCGGACCTTATCTCAGTTTGTCGTGGCTAGTTTCTCTAACTCACCCATTCCAAATTTAACATTTCGCAAAATCGGTAACCGAGCGTTGTGGTCGATCTCGAAGTTTGCAACTTTCAATCCATCTCCTGTTACTTCTACCGCTTGTACAAGTGGCAACGTTTTATTCACGACCTCGAAAATTCCCAACTCTTTCGACGAGACTTCCACAAACTCTACCTCTTTGTACCTTCGGAAACGCACCTCAATTCCAAATGGCATCTTACGTTGTTCTATTTGGCAATCAATAGGTGTTGAATCATCGTGCGGTAGCGAAATGCTACACGATCCTGAACGGAAGTCCACAGTGACAAGGAGAACTTTGGTGTCGCGGTTCAGACCTTTGTAGAAATCAAGGGCATTGTGAAACAGCGCCAGTTCAAAGACTCCGGAGGGATTGATAGAAATATTTTCAGGAGCGGGAGACACCGACTTCTGAAATTAGGGGAAATTGATGAAGGCTTTGTCAGTTGGTTCTATGCAAATTCGTGAGAAAGAATTGGCGGTTTCCAGTGCGCAGTGGACGTTTTTGTCCCCACACCGGTTTTGTCCCCAAGACGGTTTTGTCCCCAGGACGTTTTTGTCCCCCCTTTTTTCGAGCCTTTTTGTCCCCAGATCGGTTTTGTTCCCATGACGGTTTTGTCCCCACTTTTTTTATTTTTTTGTCCCCACACCGGTTTTGTCCCCAGGACGTTTTTGTCCCCAAGCTGGATAGTACGATTAAAAATTATGCATTCAGATGTTAATGCTGTTGGTTTGGTGCACAGTACTGCTCAAACAACATGTTCTTAGCACTTGGTACTATATAGTACAAGGTGGTACTATATAGCACGAGGTAAAAATTAAGCCATAACACGTCAATGCTATGGGTTTGAAGCCCAGTAGTTCTCAAAAATGTGTTTTAGCACTTGGTACTATATAGCACGAATTTGTTTTTGCACAAAATGAACGTCTGATCAGTACTGCATACCAAAACAACATCATTCACGCGTTATAGCTCAATTTTTACCTCGTGCTATATAGTACCACCCTGTACTATACAGTACCAAGCGCTAAGAAAATGTTGTTTGAGCAGTACTGTGCACCAAACCAACAGCATTAACATTTGAATGCATAATTTTTAATCACACTATTCAACTTGGGGACAAAAACGTCCTGGGGACAAAACCGGTGTGGGGACAAAAAAATAAAAAAAGTGGGGACAAAAACGTCTTGGGGACAAAACCGTCCTGGAGACAAAACCGGTCTGGGGACAAAAAGGCTCGAAAAAAGTGGGGACAAAAACGTCCTGGGGACAAAACCGTCTTGGGGACAAAACCGGGGTGGGGACAAAACCGGGCCCAATCGTTTCAGTGAAGTCGCCAACAATTGGAAAGGATTATCAGCGTCGGAAAAAGTGAGTGTTACCCACTTCGCGCGAGGGAAACTTATTAAGGTTTATCAAAACTTTGTAGGAGATAGGGAGATAGTTCCTTATTCTGGCCACAACGAAGGTACTCTGCGAACTGCGGCCAAACTTGGGAACTAAGGTTAGGAAAAAAGGCTTCGACCTAGTTGGCACTGAATTACTATAGTCGCTGTATAGTTTTAACTAAATCCACTGTCCATTGACAACGATGAAACGATGAGTCTGCACGCCAAATTTGGGCTAATTCTGACCAGTTTCCGCAAAGTTATAAGTTGTGGCCAGAACAAGGGACTTTTACCACCTTGTAAAACGTGGCCAAGGGTATAACACTGAAAACAAAAAAGCTCTCATTGATCTGACCTTACGGAAAAACTTTTGCAAACCATACAAGGAAAAAACCTTACGACAAAAGGGTTTCATATGACTTGGCGTTGGAGTATATAAAGGCTTCAGAATTCGGTCATTTCAAGGCTGTCACAAGTCCTTAAGAATTCAAAAATAATGTGTGGGAGCGCTAATTGCAGAAGACCGATAAGAAATTATCAAATTTTACTACCAAAAAAAAACAATTGTATTTATTACAGCATTGATATTGGTCATCTGACATCTTCAATATGTCGTTTGCCAAACACTTGGTCTTTCTTTTCTTGCATGCGGTTTTTGCGGATATGGAAACGCAAATACGAACGGCGTTGGAGACGCTTCAAACCGGCGACAAAGTCATCATCAACGGTGTTGTTGATGACGTTCATCAACCCAAAATACAAGTAAATTTTTTCGATCATGGATTGGATCAAAATACTTCTTATTATGATCATCCAATCGCCTTGTCGATTGTCATGGACGGCAAGGACAACATTTGCTTTATGAGAGAAAAAGACGGCAATTGGACAGTTCTTCAGACCGCAAAAGGCTTTCGTCTAGCTGGCGGAGAGCTGTTTTCCATTACTGTTGGGTTTCGTTTATACGAAGATAAAAAGGGAATTCGGTTCACCTTCAATAAGAAGAAGCCAATTGATGTAATTGTGGACATGAAATCGAGCCAGGTGGTGGAATTCTCAGGAGACATTGAAAGCTTATCGACCTTCAAAATCGACCATTCAGCCAGACTTCCAATTTTGAGGGATGTGAATCTGAGCACAGGTATCTTCTTTTGTCACCTATTTTAGCTAACAAGGGAAGTACTCCAAGTGCGACGCTCCGATTTTCTTTAGATTTTGAACATACTTTGCCCATGTATCAGTTCGAAAAATCTCGGACCATAAAATTTTTTTTCCAATAATTTTGAATTGCAATTTTCCCGCCGTTTTGGCAATATTTTGGCATTGTTCTTTGACTCGTTTTATCGTTGCCAGAAAACATTTTGAGCAGCAAAAAGCCTTTTTGATCCCCATAGAGCCACAATTACATCTTGTTGCATAATGCCAAAATTGACATCCCATTTTTCGTTTCAAGACAAAATTTTTCTTTTCATGGAAAGGATTGGGCCTAAAATCTCTAATATTGAATCCGAAGCCCGGCCCCAGAAAAATTAGGTGAAGCCCAAGCGCGGATCCAGAAAAGGTTGGCCCGGCCCTTTCCGGAATATCCGAAGCCCGGTCCCTGCCCTGTCTGGAAAAAAATAATTCTAAAATTGGGGTAAATTTCATGAAAACCTGATCATAACGCAGTCATTACCCTTATCTTAAAGTAAAGCTTTTTTCAGGCAGGGTTGTGGACATAACGTTTTCAACAAGTTCATCGGGATCGCTAAACATCTACTTCCAGAACCACCAGAACTTCATTTCGCTGTGGATCTTGGTCGACGTTGCGGAGGGCAGCATTTCCTTTGATTCACTTCTTGCGAACACAGAGAGTTCTCCGGAAAAAGTTTCGAAAAAGATTTATCCAAACAACTTGCATGTTCTAAGGGTTGTCAACGAAGTCGCTTGTGTCAAAATCTCTCTCGACGGGGAGGAAATTAAGTGCTACAGACATCGTGTTCAACGCCCCTATCTTGAATACAAACAGCTCTACGTTGATCCGGGAGATACAATAATTGAAAACATTGGTGAAGGAGAAATCTAGAGTCATCGTATTTTGTTGTTGGCGTTGAAAAAGAACAGGCAATTTAGCGTCATTTCTGTGTGTAATTAAAACAAAATGTGATTAGAAACCGGATCTAAACGCTTAAAATGTTTGCATTTGGCGTGACAAATCAAACAGGTGATAAGAGCGAACGTTAAACACAACCTCTTATCTGTCACAAAACATGAGCACATTTGAGCGAGGCATGCTAGCCAACAGCTTGGAATAACTGTGAAAGGCTTGGAATAGCCGCCACATCCTATAAATGGCTATCCAAAAAGCCGGATTGGCCAGTGAAAATATTCACAATCATTGAAAATTTTTACCGCGCAAATTGTGCCGACCGCACCATACAAAAGCAGCTCAAGAATTCCCTTCCCGCCTCGTACCAATAACAACAAAATATGTTATGGCATTCTTACGTGTGCAATAATAATTATTTTACAGTGTTTCTTCGATGTTGTCGGCATAGTTTCCGTAGCAGGAGAGAAAATTTTTTCTGAAATTTGGTTTCTCAATCCGTAAGAAACGCGATTCAAAACAACCTGTCTTCGCCTTTTTAATATTTCTTTTCGTGGACACCAACAAACTAGTAACAACCCAAGACAAGAGCACAAGAGTCAAGTGATTTATACAACGTAGAGAAAGCCCTTTCATAGGTAAACCTTAAATATGTAGAAAGAATAATCAAATTTGAGCAATGAACATAAATTCTCGTTGGGAAATCCTCAAAATTCGGTCCTTCCGCCTCAAACTTTTTAAAGGAGTAGTCGTTCAAAATTGCCTTCCTTCTACAATGTCTTTGACCAGTCCACCTTCTCCAACATCCACATGCAGAAGGGAATAGTCTTTATAAGGGTAAGCCACTCGGTGTTTGTAGCAATACCTCTTGATGTTTGCCTTCCAGATCTCAACACAGTCCAATGTGTTGACCAGTTTTATAATATCCTCGTTCCCTGTTGAACCACCATAGAATCTTTGAGTTTCTCCCCAAACCTCCGACAACAACGAATTCATTTCTACAACGCCATTGGGGTTGATTACAAGTTCCAGAGAGATGAGATGATAAGGTGACTTCAAAAATATCAAGGTTGGTTGATTGCCAGCTTCAAAGCGCATCTCAATGAAGTTGCCTGCAAAGAAAACGATAGTTTTAATGTGTTAAATTACCCATTCCAAAGCTGACTGCCCTCAAGATCGGAAGGCGAGGATTATGGTTGATTTCGAAGCGATTCAGGTTTTTGATATCCCCAGATATTTCCACTGACTGCGTAAAATCGCAATTATTATCAAATCTAGTTTCGAAATTTTCACTCTTCACGGCAATCCGCACTCTATTCTGTTCAATAATTTGAATCGTTATTTGAAAGTAGGAAGGCAAAACAAAACCTTCCCAACAACTGGGCTCGGCGTTATCTTCGTTTCTACGTATGCAGATCGTCTTATTACCATTGTCAATCACAATTGCCAACGTTTTTTTGGTTTCGTTGTACACGACTCCCTGATTCATAGACCCGTAGTAAAAATTAATGGCTATGTTTGGGCGCGTCACGTCCTCCAGTTGGCCTTCGATCTCCACGATGTCTCCATAACCAATTCTTTCAAGCGCATGCCTTGCCTCCTTCAGAGCTGCTAGACATTGAATGACAGTTAGTAAGACTGTAAATATCGCAATGCCTCTAACACACATGCGACAGGGATGACAACAAAGAGGCAAGAAAAGTAAATAGCCTCAAAATTTTTCGAGAATGAAAGACTTTTATTGATAACAGGTTGATAAAAGATCCCGGATGTTCTAATTCTCAGGGTTATTTTTGCTTGTAATAGCGACGAATTCACGAGAAAAGTTTTCAAACAACTCTGTAATGATTGAAATAAGAAATAAATTTCCGTCGCGCACACTAAAGGCTTTGCCTGGGACAGCAACCATTACTCGTAATGGATTTCAAGTCCCTACTGTCAATGCTGGATCAATTCGAAACCAAGGGAAGTTAGCTCGAGAAACTGTTGGGAAAGACGTGGCAATGGAGCGGTGGAGCTGGCCTCGGTGTACGCCCTGTTCAAGGACACTCCTCTACACACGACCGCTTCGATGGAAAGATCCTTCAAAACCTTAAAATTCACTGCATGATTTCCACTGACAATAAATTGAATGAATTTATTTTCTCCAGTTACAGCACGAATGCTAAATGCAATTTTTTCTTTCGTCAACAGAGTGAATAAACGCTTCATCGTTGCTATGTGTGTTTGCGTACAGCGAAACGTATTCCTTACACGGGTACTCGATTTGATGGGTAAATGTTTTGATCTCTTTCCCTCCATCCACATAAATGAGTAACCCTTCAATAGCATTGACCACAGTCACATTTTATAAATGGTTGTTTTGTTTTGCTGTAAAACCCGCGCTGGTCTCGTTTTCCCATGAAATTCCATTGTGAGAACGGAACTCTACTATACCGTTGCCCGAGAATACAGACATCATCATTTGTAGGGCTACGGTATTTTGCGGGTTCATTAAGTAGAAGGAAACGCCATACCACTTCTGTTCCCAAACTCTAATGGCCATTGTAATGGAGTCACCTATGTAGAACACTATTACGAATCATAAATTATTCTTACCCATCCCGAATTTTATTTTGCGAAGGATCGGATGACGTGAAGTCAAACTGTTGCAAACCACGTACATCGCCTGAGATTTCGACCACTTTGACCGTCTCCATAGGATTCTCCAACATTTTGCCATTATCATCAAGTTGTACGCCATTTAGTGTGATGAATAGAGCGTTTGGTTCGAAGGTCTGCACAACAAACTCACACTCCGCTGCTTGGCGAAACGAACCACTATACAACGTCGGGCGGCCGTCTTCTTTTGCCTTGCCAATGACATTAATACAACCTGCTCTTAGTGTTATTGTTAGAACCTTCTCGTAGTCGGCGTAGAATACGCCACTCTTCGGGAGTAAGCGCTCTGAAGACCCGAGAAAGTTGATCTCACCGCTGAACCTGGTCCATTTGGCAACTAGCCGATCGCGACTCCGCATTGATTCCGGAAGGATGATGAGTTTTGATGATACCAGTTGTAACAATGGGAACATAAACGCATAACAGCATAAGTACTTCATTGAGTAGGTAAATGGCTTTCTGTACAGGGTGTCCAGAGAAATTCCCCGGAAAGTTCTTGTTGATTTCTCGGCGCTCAGCCAAGATATCCTAAAAATCTTTTTGCAGCAGGAAGAGGGAGATAGGCGGCTTTTTGCCTAAAAGACTTTTTACGTCCACCAACGCGGAAAATTGTGCATTCGGCGGAGACTTTTGATTGCTTTTTTTTGGACCGATCACCTTGCCGTCACTTTTTTCCTTAATGGACCGATCACCTTGCCGTCACTTTTTTCCTTTGCTCCCCGAATAAAGCCAATTGTAATTCCTTTACCTATTTGTTATCCTACCGGTCGTCTTCAATTTGAAGCAAGACACGTGAGATTACTCTATCTTTATCGCCCTCCATTGTCTTTCAGCTAGTCTTTTTGCTGTTTTATATGTGTTTCTTATTTGGTCTTGGGGGTTTTTCATAGGACCTAGACTAGGGACAAAAATATCTTTTTATTTCGAAGAAGCAATCACAAAATATCGTTAATGTTAAACGAGGCAATTTTTTCTTTCCTCCACAAAGTGAATGAATGTTTCAAAACTTAAAGAATTTGCATACAGCGACACGTATTCCTTATAGGGAAACTTGACGTGATGGGTATAGTTATGGAATGACTTTTCATCAACAAGGATGTGTAAAGCTGGAATCGCGTTTACAATTTTAACCAGATATTGATGGCCACGTTCTTTTCTTTCAATGCTGATATCGGTCGCTGAATCCCATGAAATTCCGTTATGTGAGCGGAATGATATTATATAGAATTTTTCGCCGCGTGGATACAAAAACATTTGAAGAGCTATCTGATTTTGCGGATCCATTAAGTAGAATGTAGAGAATACATTTCCGAAGCTCGTAAGTGGCATTACAATGCAGTCACCTAGAACACATTACGAATCATAAATTATTCTTACCCATCCCGAATTTTATTTTGCGAAGGATCGGATCACGTGCACTGTGATCAAGGTCGAACTTTTGCAAGCCGCGTACATCACCGGAGATTTCGACCACTTTGACCGTCTCCATAGGATTCTCCAACATTTTGCCATTATCATCAAGTTGTACGCCATTTAGTGTGATGAATAGAGCGTTAGGATCGAAGGTCTGCACAACAAACTCACACTCCGCTTTTTCGTCAAACGGACCGCTATACAACGTCGGGCGGCCTCCTCCTTTTGCTTTGCCAATAACGGTAATACGACCTGCTGTTAGTGTAATTGTGAGAACCTTCTCGTAGTCGGCGTAGAATACGCCACTCTTTGGAATTAAGCGCTCTGAAGACCCGAGAAAGTTGATCTCACCGCTGAACTTGGCCCATTTGGCAACTAGCCGATCGCGATTCCCCATTGATTCCGGGAGGATGATGAGTTTAGATGATCCCAGTTGTAACCATGAGAATATAAACGCGTAATGGAAGAAGTACTTCATTGAATAGGTTAACGACTTTTCTGCACAATGTATTTCAATGGCTTGCTGAAAAAAATCAACGCGATCAGCAAGGGACGCATTTTAACCGGAACTTGCCCTAGCCTGATAACGCATTCAATAAGCCTGACTACAGCGTTCTCTAATCGCGAATCACAAGGAAAATTTTTGAGTAATGACAATTTATTGGAAAAAACAGATAAGAAGCCGGATGGACGCAAAACACCAACAAAAATTTGATTAGAATGGGCTGTAAACACTTTTATCGCAAAACCGACCCACAGTTTTGTGAGGGCGGCAACGACTTCAGGTGCAAAGGATGAACGGTTATGTTCTATGTCTGTTATTCTCATTCCTACAACTGCAGGCAGTTGCAGAAATTGTAAAGCCACTACTGCAGGGGCTTGCACCTGGCGATGTCATCTATTTGTCAGGAATCATGACGGCAAGTAAGTTCAAAAGATTTTTTCCGTGCGACTCGCAGATGTTGTTGAAACTTGGCGTATATTTTGATTAGTTTTTGCTAACGCACATGAGCGATTTCCAGCTCGCGCTTTGCTCAAACGACCCAGATTTTTAGGTCGAAATTTGGCAAAAATGTGGCACTTTTTTTGCCAATTTTAGCATCAAAAGATTCATACGTATTTCTACCGTACATTGAAGAACAATTTTGTGTTGCCCATTTCTACTGTAAGGGTTAATGTTTCCGCAAAAAAACATAAATTTTTGCTCACAAAGGTATGATCAGAAACTGGGTTTGAGGCTCTTCCCTTGTAAGTTTTCTTGGTGACTTCATGAACCGTTTTTCAGACGACGAAGTAGAAATTCATTTCCACTATCGTGCTCTCAATGATACTTATGATCACCGGACAACATCTTCTCTGATTTCAATGGAAATCCAGCTTTCTTCGAACAGCCTGTCGGTTATCGGGAGTGACCTTTGTAAGTACTAAACAAACAAGACTTCGTACACTGATTGGTTTACATCTTTCAGTGGGTCCGACGACAAAGCAGAACTTAACAATAAACGATATCTTCACAAATGATTTTGATATTCTACTGAAAGTTACGAATAATCGATACCAAAATTCGCTAGTAGTTGACCGACGGGGAAAGCTCAATGTCCACTCCGTCTTCATCGATGGAATTCAATTGGTGCATATCGTTAAAAAACCGGATAATGTGCAATTTGGAATTGATAGTTGGGCAGCAGCTGGCAGGATTATGCAACCTATAAATTTCACGTACGGTAGGTGCTTTGTAAGGCGCTACAACTCTTTGGGTCGGCGACAGTTCGGGTCAACGATACTATGGATCGCGTCGGTTCGTCGTTGTATGCATGAGGGAAGCTAGGAGAAGGCTTGGTTAGTAAAAATAAATAATAGGATTGCTCGGGCCCTGGGATAGATTATCACCTATTTTGAGGGATTTTACATGTACTCACATCAATAATGTCTAGCTAAAAGTTACGGATCTTCGTTTTTTGCCATAAATTATATTCTTTTATATGTTACAGAAACTCAGGGTAAAAAACAAACGTTAATAATAACTAAAATTTAATTCGAAAAAGCGGGCATATTGCAAGTCTTCGCCAAGTCGCGGTCGAGCCTTTGCCGAGCGTCCGCCGACCATCCAACGGGGTATCCACCCGCCCTGTTCCCCATATTGATCGATTCTGTGTTGACCCAAACTGTCGCCGACCGGAAAAATCGGAACGCGCTGGTTGGAGAACAGGAGCGTAGCTAGGGCTGAATCATCATTTCAAAGGCACGCTGTAAAATACTTTATATTCTTCAGAACGGGGCTTTGAATTTACTTTCACCCCGGGACAACTCCCGATGTCCTTCAACTTCCTCGACGCGGATGACAACATTCTCGCGCAATTTCGCATCACCCCACAACAGCACAACGTTACTATTGCCAGCCATTTTGGATACGCATGGAAGAACAAAATGTCATTTACGCAGTTCCCCGGCGTACAGTGCTATGTTCAGAACAAGTTCAGCGTAGTGAACACATTTCATGGCCTTTTCATGGAGTATGATGTTAAGAAACGGAATTACAAGAGGTGCTTCAAGCACACGACCCCGCGACCATGGCAGGCCTATGCGAAATTGCTGGTCATTCGAGCGGATGGATGGGTGGATAGGATTCGAGAACTCGGCGACTCCACACCAGAATGTGTTAACGCTCTCTAGAGGTGGAAGAAAAGGAATACGGTGGAAGCATAAGAAGGAGATCCTCACAGTTTTTGAACTTCTTTCCCGTTTTTATATAAAATTTAGTTTCTTTCCTTCATTAAAATGTTAAGTATGCTGCAAAAAGAAACGGTACATGTACTCATATGTAGGCATGACTCTAGGCCCGGACTATTGCGCCGCAACTACTTTCGGACCGGAAGAGGTTGGCCCAGCCTTGTCCAGTTTCAAACGCTCCTCGGCCGTTCCGCTGAATGGTTTTCAACCCATCTTTTTTTTCTTTTTTTTTGTCGAAAGGCCCGACAACCCAGTTGTCAGATTCCACGGAACCTGGAGTTATCCACGATGTGTCAACTCGATGGAATTTATGGAGAGAGAGACACGTCCCCTGTGTCAACTGTTTCCCCAGTTGTTTTTCCCCGATGTTCGAGAATGTTCGATGGAGAGATCCCGAAGCGAAGCGCCTGATTCACGACACCGTAACCTTCTCCGAGGTTTTATCCCATCTTGATCAGATATATTTTATGGGTAGTCGAGTTGTTATGTTGTTGTTGTGAAGTGTTGTTGTTAAGTTGTGTTGATTTGAAGTAATTTTATTGTGTTGTTGTTTTGAGTAATTGGTTTTTATTAAGCTTTATTGTATTTGTTATTTCATTGATAAATTCATCGTATTCGAGTTGACTTATCTTTATTCTCGTGTTCATATAACAGGGGAACAATAATCTTCGATTACCCGACTTCCATATACGCAACCTTCCACTTGGAAGGCCAAGTCTTTTCAGGTAGAATCAACAGCGTAAGGTAATCGACAGAGGAGAGCACCGCAAGACCACTGCCAGATCGTCGAATTTCTTTTCTGCCGAAGGTGGAATCGGACACCAGTAACCAGACAAGACGAGAGCTCAAGAGTCAAGTGATTCGTTCATTGGAAAGGAGGCCTTTTATAGGGAAGCCCCACGTAGGAAAGTACAATCAAATTTGAATAAATGCCGATCGTTCCTCGTGGGAACATCCTCGAAGCTTGGTCGTTCCGCCTCGCACTTTACTTTGCACATCATTTGGTAGATTTACAAAAATCTTTCCTTCATTTTTTCAAGTTGTAGCAACAGCTAGAACGCTCAAAAACGCTGGAAAGGTCGATTTCCAGGCAAGGTTTATTCATAATGCGACAGAATTGGGGGCCTTAATATCAGCTTTTGCGCCGAGTAGTACACATACGGTACTAGCCGAACTACTTGCATCGGTATTTGTCCGCAACGACATTGAACCAAGAAAACCGACCGCTCTCCAAAAGATATCTTTTATCAAAATCACCGAGTATTTCAACGCAAAAAAACAAGTTATTATCTCAAGTCTGCCTGGAGCTGACTCTTGTTGACAGTCCTTCTGAAGTGGCTCCGATCCTTTTCCCATGCCTCAACCTGTGGCAAGTTATGAACCGCCGGAAGCTGGGGATCACCATGATCACACACAATGGATTTAGAATCGGAATGCAGGCAATCACGGGGGTCGTGAAGAAGGAAACACCGCTGAAGGTCACGTTGAACAACGCCAGTAGGCAAGCGCCTACGGTGGGTCCGTTCAGCATTATCAGCGGATTTGTCGCTTGAATCGCCATGATGATGGTCATTTGTCGCTGAACGGCGAGTGTCTTCTTCGACAGCGAGTCTCGAGTCTCTTTAAGCCGCTGAAATGTGCGGATGCCACAGAAAACGACCAGCGAGTAGGCGACGCCAGCAATAAGAACCACATCCATCATGTGGAAGGCTTGTTTTGGGGAGTCCTGGAAAAATGTGTGTTTATTGAGCCGTATAAATTAAAATGCATCGACTACGCTGGCCTGTTCTTCTACGCATGGAAAATGTTTTTCCCGCAACTATTTTACGCTTTTGTCAATTGTGACATTTCGCTTCGGCGAAATGCCAAAGTGGGCGGAGCATCCCAAATTGGAAAGCAAGGGAGAAAATTGTTCAAGTTGTGGGTTTTTTTTTGGTATTTTTGGGGCGGGTTTCGGGTTCGAAATTGAAAATTTTGGACCCGGACTATCCAGAAAAACATTTTTTTCTCGTTCGAAACGAAAAATTGGGGTACCCATTTTGTGTTCCTGGCATTACTCAACAAGATTTATTTGTGGCTCTATAAGGATCGAAAACATTTTGTGCTGTTTGAAACGTTGCTGGCAGCAATAAAAGACTAAAACGAGACCAAAAGCACACTGCCAAAATATTGGCAAAAGCGATTTCCATTCAAAATTATTCAAATGAAGAAAAAAGTTCTTCAGGGCCTGGCCTAAAAATCCTTAGGGCCGGGCCGGGTCATGTTTCCCCACGAGTATTGACGTGGGTCGGGACCATCTCTTTATTCTATTTCGAGCGCCGCAAGGCGTACGTAATAACGGGTTCGCAAATTACGTGTAAACGGCCTACGTGACACTTGAGCGTTCTTTGGAACCAAGAATACGGGTGCAAAGATTCCGAATACTTTTTACTAAATACTAGGAATAAATTACCGTATGTATGTATACATGACCCTCAGTTTTTTTTACGAATTTTTCTTTATGAATCCTCACCTTGATGCCCAAAGTGAACACAGGCAAATGCTCCTTGAACATAGGATTCTTCCTCAGCAACGGTTCGTATTCCTTCAACAACTTCGGATCCGTTTCGAACACAAAAACTCCGGCTGCACAGTGCAATGCGGTCGCCAGGATGAAGCCGCCGTAAATCAGGACATAATGCTTTAATGAGAGCGGATTTTTGAGGCAAAGCATACTGTAGCGGTAGAGGAATTGCATGGGAACGGTGACGACCGTAAGCAGAAGTGACCATACCCAGAAGAAGGTGATCATCGCAGCATAAGGTTGAGGTATTTCGCCGAGAGGACCGGTGCTGAGTAGGAAAAGATTGCCATCTTGGACGTCGGCAACCTAAAAAATGTGATTTACAGTGATCTCAGAACAAAACCCTCGTTTTTTGTGTCTCACAACGATTCTCTGATTTTTTGGCATTCCGTTTCAAGAGTTCTTTTCGACGGAGGTCGGGGTAATATAAAATTTATGATTTTTTTCACCGTTTATAATGGTCTCAGATCAAGAGAACGCCATTTTTGAGTACCACAACGATTCCCTGATTTTTTGGCATTCCGTTTCAATAATTATTTTTGACGGATTTCGTGTCAATATTAAATTTATGACCGCTTTTGAGCCTTTTTTGAGCTCTAAATTTGCATAAAAATTTCAAATTTTTGAATTCCCGCCATTTTTGGCATTCTGTTTTAGAGAGTAGAAACTTCTCAAAACTCACGGTTCTAGTCAACACATTGACCGTGTTGAAAATCAAATCCACCACGCAGTTCAGCAAGATGATTGTCTTGTATTCGGCTGTGCTTTTGGTGAATTGCGTTAATGCCAAGTAAATGACGAGTATGTTCAAAATATAGGAGAGCATTCCGATTCCATAGTCATAGAATGGCATCAACTCGGCTGCGACGTCTTGCCAGCCCATAATGTCTAGAACAAATTGTAAATATGCAAAAGAATCAAAAAATCGCGACATAATGGGAAAATAATGTGGATTGGTCGCGACTTGGAATCGCAAATCTTCGCATGGAAAAAATTGGTCCAAATCTAACCCAAGGCCCTTCACAATCTGAGCATCCCACTACGAGTCCTTTCCGCGACCCTTGCAATTATTTCTTGGAACCCATTGGCCTCTAAAATTGTAACTTAATCGCCGCCTTCGTTACTTTTTCATACTTTATTATAAAGAGTTAATTGCCAGTTGTTTAAAAACGAAAGGGTTGGTGGAAAAGTTGGAGCCTAGCGTCATTAGTCGCTCGAAGAATGGTAGGCGGATTGTGAAATAAAATTACGAGATCATTAGTGATATATGTGTGGCTGATAAACGTTGTGCAACAGAAGTGTGGTCTGTGCGGAATGGTCAAAGATTGCAAGGGTCGAATGAAAAGACAAGGAAGTCTTTTAGCAAGGATGCAGGGAGTCTCCGCCCCTTTTTTGGCGATTCGTCAACTTTCTATCGATTGAAATTAGGGTTGTTGATTTAGAATAATTTTTTAAGATGACGTCAATTTGCCGTCATTTTCGTCATTTTGGCTCAATTGAAATGCTGATATACGAAGCTTTCAAAGGCTAGTTTAACATAGACTATGATGAATACCGTTAATATTAGCCGTAAACAGTTTTCCTATATACTTTTTTCGTCGGTTGTTTTGACAATCTGAAGCAATTTAGCTCTTCAAAATTTTTAGGTTCTTGAGATATTGTAGCTACAAAAATTTTTCCAAAAAGTCCAATTTGACAATTAAAATAACAGCAAAACTTGACATGACAAAAATGACGGCAACTTTACAACGCACGGCAACCCAAAATGGAACAAAAATGTCTCCCGCCCACTTTTGAGTTTCGTCCAAACGAAGTGTCAAAATTGGCAAAAGAAATAAAATAATTCCGAGAAAAATGTTTTTTGGTCGGAAACCCGCACGAAAAATTCATTTTTGACATTTCGTTTGAATTCAACCGATACTAGGTGGGCGAAGTGCCGAAACGAGGAGGGAGACTCCCTGGGTTGCCGTGCAACGTGACTGACGAGTCAAATTGACAACTTTACAGCCCGAATTGCAATCAGACGGAATATCAAAAAGATTTTTCTGATCTTTACTTCTTTTGTCAACCGTGACATTTTGTTTGGACGAAACGCCAAGCTATGAAGGCTGCAATCCGGGCAGGTCTGCGTTAACAAATTTGCAAAGCCGGTAGTCCAATCAAAAAATAAAATTTCTTGTCTAATTTATGGATTTTGGAAATTGCTTATTCTGTGAAAAGGTCCTAACCGGATTTTTTTTGATTCCGATAACCCGTTGGCATTAACATAGGGTTTTTTACGAAGAAAGCAAAAGTAAAAACGATAAATGATGATTTGAGCTTGGAAAGATTCGAACTTGCAACCTTTTGCGCAAAAAGGTGAGCGCACTGACCACTCGGCCACTGCTTCACACTTCTTATTGCTGCTTTTCCGGGATCCCTATCTTTTGATTTTCGTCCAACTTTTGAATTACCAAGTGAATAATCGACTACCACACACGTTTCGATCTGACTATGTCCCAAGCCAAAATCGATTTACACATTAAGTAAGTCCATTCCCTTGTTAATAAAATACATGAGCATTAGTCGCGGCCCGCATCGTGCACAAAAACACCCCATTTTTTGCACCGTGCAGTTCACCATTTTTTGGTTTTCGCACGGTGCATTTGAGATCTCGCTGCGACATAAGCTTTTTTCAGCTGCGTCGCTTTTTTCCTCAAAAATCTGCACAGTTCCAACGGTTTTTTTAAAATTTTGCTCCGTGCAAAAAGAGAAAATAGAAACAAACGCGGAAAAAAGTTCAAGAATGGGTGCAATGAGGGCGGGAAAACGTCGTCAAGTCATATGAATGAGACATCTAATTATAACAGCCAGAAGATATCTGAATGAACTATTTCTTTTGTAAGAATCACCCTTTCATTAGTGCAAAGCTTTTGTTTTTATGAATTGCTTATGATTGCAAGGTAAAGGTGTACTTAATGGAACTTGCAACCGTCTAATTAGCAAACTATAGAGAGTTATATTTATATAGGTATTTAAGTTCAAGGGTTCGTTTATAAAAGGTCTCATATTTGAACTATTCCCGAACTCAACCCGAAATTGAAAATGTAAAAAGAAAAAAAAGATAAACGGAAGCGATTTCTGTTAGTCTGTCGGAAAAATAATGAGCACAATGTCATTATTTTCCCGACATGCTGATACAATTTTCAAATTAGGTATTCATAACGAAAATAAAAGTAAAAAGGTAAAAAAAAATAATAATTTTTATTTTCAAAATCATTTCTTTTCAATTTCTCCCGCGAAAGATGTCTATTTTCTCTGTTTTTGTTTGGAATATCGCTGTAATTCTGCTTGGAAAAGCCGATGAGATCAATTCAAAGTACAAGGATAAGAATTTAGATGTAAGTTGTTTTTCTTTTAATATTCCCCAAGAAACGAATAGAAATGTTTGAGCATTTGAAACATGAAGTTTCCCCAGAAAACGAGTTTTTTTTGCAAAAAGGTGAATATTTTTTATTTTTAAATTTTTTATGAATTTTTTATTGTAATTTTATATATTTTTTATTTTTAAGATTTTTTTTATTTTTCGTTTCTTTTTTGATTTTTTTTTATTTTTCAGTTTTTTTTTTATTTTTTGATTTTTTTAAACCTTTGTTTATCTTTTTCAGTTCTTTTCTTAGATTTGTTTTATTTTTTTTTCTTGATTTTAAAAATTTTTTTTTCATTTATTATAATTTTTGACATTTTTTATTTTTAAGGTTTTTTTATTATTCGTTTCTTTTTTGATTTTTTTTTATTTTTCAGTTTTTTTTTTATTTTTTGATTTTTTTAAACCTTTGTTTATCTTTTTCAGTTCTTTTCTTAGATTTTTTTTATTTTTTATTTTTTGATTTTTTTTTTCATTTTTTGTTCATTTTCAGAACGATCACCTCGAATATCCACTATTCGCCCCGTTTGATTCCTCTCCCTTCGTCGACCCAATCCGTGGCCTCTCCCCCACTCAGCACGCCTATTTTCGCAGCAAATTCTCCTCGGCCTACTATGATCCGGTCTGCGCGAAACACGTGTATCATGTTCGTCCTATTTATTTCAACCCCGGCGACACGGTCCGCCTGAAGTGCGTGGTTTGCGTTCGAGCCGAGGTGTTCACGGGCGAAATGAAACACTGGAAAGTGTTGAGGAGAAATGTTTATGACGCGGTGAAGAACCCGAGGAGGGTCAGCGACGATGATTGGGTGGTTTTGAGTGATGGTAAGGAAGTTTCGGACATAAAAAAAAATTGAAAAATAAAAAATTTTCGATATTTTCGATAACTTTTGACGTTTGCACTGTGCAAAAAAAGGTTGCGGAATTAATGAGGTTTAAGTCGAAAAATCGCAAAAATTTGATGATTTTTTTGATTTTTTTTCGAATCGTAAAAATTTTCAAAAAAAAAATGCATCGAAAAAACTTTTCGTTTCTTAAAAAGATTTAAAAAAATTGCAAGCTGCAGAATAAAAACAAAAAACGGTAAAAGTTCCTTATTTTGGCCACAACTTTTAACTTTGCGGAAACTGGTCGGAATTAGCCCAAATTTAGCGTACACGCTCAATTCATCGTTGTCAATGCCCGGACAGTAGATTTAGTTAACGAGGTACCTTCTTTTTTACGTACCACCTTACCCTTCAAAAAACGGCTGCAGTCTGTGATTTTACACTTTATACGATGAAACATGTCCGGCACTAAACTTATTGCCTCCGTATGGAACTAAATGAGTCGTCACAGCCTTCGTAGTTGCCCTTAAAACTATAGAGCTATTATAGTAATTCAGTTCCAGCTAGGTCGAAGTGTTTTTTAATAACTTAGTGCCCAAGCTTGGGCGCAGTTCGCGGAGTACCTTTTTTGGCCAAAATAAGGAACTTTTTCCCAAAAAACATTTTTTTTGTTCAATAAAGGCAGTAAAACTGAAAATTCATGTGGAAATCGGGCGCTTGCAGCTTTTTCAGACCTGATTATGGACACAAAGGTCACAAAAAACCCCGAGGACTCCTCAAAAACAAAATCCAAGCTAATGATCGGGCAGCTCGGAAATTTTTTTACGTAAAAAGGAAGTATTAACAAAAATTTATTAAATTGTTATGTTTGTTATAAAGAGTACACTTTTCTTTCCTTTATGTGACTGACATTAAGAAATCAAGGCACACTTGTAACTATTGAGGCAATAATATTCGCTTAGGGAGTAATTACTCGCAAAATTTTCAATTCCTAAAAACAATTTGTCTTTTATACTTTTATACTCTTGGGTCGAATTTTATGTCGTCTTATTTTTTTAGTTTAATTTAGTACGGTAGAAATGACGCTCTAAAAAAGTAGACACATTATTATGTTTCATATTTTGTGATAAATTATTTTAATTTTTTTTTTGGGAAAAGTTCCTTATTTTGGCCACAACAAAGGAACTCCGCGAACTGCTCCCAAGCTTGGGCACTAAAGTTATTAAAAAACACTTCGACCTAGCTGGCACTGAATTACTATAATAGCTCTATAGTTTTAAGGGCAACTACGAAGGCTGTGACGACTCATTTAGTTCCATACGGAGGCAATAAGTTTAGTTCCGGACATGTTTCATCGTATAAAGTGTAAAATCACAGGCTGCAGCCGTCTTTGAAGGGTAAGGTGGTACGTAAAAAAGAAGGTACCTCACTCACTAAATCCACTGTCCGGGCATTGACAACGATGAATTGAGCGTGCACGCTAAATTTGGGCTCATTCCGACCAGTTTCCGCAAAGTTATAAGTTGTGGCCAAAATAAGGAACTTTTACCTTTTTTTTGAAAATTACTTCAAAATGAGGTCTCTAGTGACGGTGAAATATTGGCTTCATGGTGCGAAAATATTATTATTATTATTATTATTTTTTTTTTTTTTTTGAAATTTGCATACTGCAAAACTTTTGCATGGTGCAATAAAAGAATTGACGCAAAAGTAGTTGGTCTACACAGTGCAAAACCAGCGACCTCCAAAAATCGGCTGCACGGTGCGAGAAAAAACTTTTTAGAAGTTTGCACAGTGCAAAATCTTTTGAAAGGCGCGAAAAAAATCGAAAAGCGACAAGAAAATTCCGCACTGTGCAATCAAAAAAATTGGCGACAGAATTATTCCTTCTGCACAGTGCAAAAGCAGCGACAGCGAAAAATTGGTTGCACGGTGCGAATTTTTTTTGAGAGAGTGCCAAAAATTTATTCTCCCATTTTTTTTATAATTTCTTTTTATTTCAGATACAAAGAAGGAGTTTCTTGGGAATCAAGAGGACTTCAAAACCCCAAAATTTTTTGATGCCGAGGGCAATCAAACAGATGTTCCAAAATCGGAGGTGTATCAGAATCATGGGCATCTCTATATTACTTATGTAAGGAAGTTAAAAATGTTTTTTGCGGTTTTTGAAATTAAAAAAATGATATCCGTCATTTTTATTTACCTTTTTATTTTTTTGGATTTTTAAAAATTTCAAAAAATTAAAATCCATATTTTGATATATTTCCGATTTTTAGATGTATATATTTTAGGCCCGTATTGAGCAATTTGGACTCTACGAATGCTCCGATTTCTCTCATATTCATGCCCATCAGTTCGCTTATTTGCTGATTCCGAGAACCCCATTTTTGCAACCCTACGAAAACATATTTGCAGAAGAATGCAATGCAGAAGAAGGCCAACAGTTATCGGCTGCACGCGGTCGATTTGACTCGTTTGGACTATGGAGAACATTCCCAATGTTCTTGCAGAATAAAGAAGAAGGAATTTGCGCGGGGAACTGTTTGGATACGGTAAGAAAAATTTTGAAAAAATTTGAAAATAAAAAAAAAATTTAAAAATTGTTCCATTTTTGGATATTGAAAAAAATAAAAAAGGCAAAAAAATTTGTTTTGGTTTTTTTGTTGGATTTTTGAACCTCAGAATGATAAAAAAAATAAATAAAAAATAATTAAAATGTTCCATGCTTTCAAGTTTTTGACCCTAAAAAATGAATTTATTATTATTTTGTTAACTTCAAAAAAATAAAAAATCCAAAAAATCTCATTTAGGCACCAGACGAGTCCCAATTCAACTCATCTTGGTCGGTTCCGATCTTCACCGGCGATATTGACGAAGAATTTTTGACGAAAAAACTCAATTTAGAGGTATTTCTGCACTGGTCTCCGTGGTCGGCGTGCTCTCCGGCGCTGAAAATGCAAACTCGAACAGGACACTGCCATATAAGGAAGGTTGAAGAAAGGGATTTTGATTTCGCAAAGGACAGTTCAACAGGAGTTATGAAGTGGATTTACCCAGTCCACAAGCTTTTGGAGACGGTAACGCAATTTCGAAAGGAAGGAATTTTGCTGCAGAGGTGAGAAATGGGATGTTCGAAAAAAATTTATGATTTTTTTATTTTTTTCTCATTTTTTATTTTCAGCGCAATTCTCTCCGATTTGATGCTGGAGTCCTCCTCAATTCCGAACCATTGTTCCACGTATAAAAACAAAATTTTGAACGAATTTGTCGACGGGATTGTGGAGAAAATCCGAGTCAAAGGAGTCCAAACAACGCCGAGGGAATCGTATTTCCTCGATTTGAACCCGTGCTTCAGAAGATTACAGGATGATGATGCGGACCCAACGCGGCTCCTCATAATGGGGCATAGTGTAATTCAGAATCGAAAATGCAATATTTGAGTCTGTTTTTCGTTGAATAAATTTGGGGGGCAAAATTTGCTTTTTGGTGAGATCTTTTTTGATGAAAAAATGTTTTTTATTGATGAATGGGTGCAAAACTCAAGAAGGGGGTTTTGCGTTCTTATCCCTACATCCTTTCAAAAACATTTGGCTAAGTAACTTAATAAGAAGTCTCCCTTTCGGTTATGAGTTCCCGCGGTCTCCTTGAACTGACGCCATAGACTCTCAACTCTCAGCGGTGTTTGTATGGGCACCGGTTTCGGGGTGCTTGAAGTTTATAGAATGGTTAACGGATAAATGGGTAAGACCTTCATCCCATAGGCAGTCGTACGCCTTCCAACAATCCAATACGGCAATAGCTTCAGGCTGAACAAAATGCTGTAGTATCGGTATCAGATAGGCTCGGTTCAGATTTGCCACGGGAATCGTGAACGTATCCCCACTTTCCTCTTCCACCCCTCCAAAAACTCACTTTCCTTCAACTCGGTGCCGTTATATTTTCGCTTGCCGAATTTAGATTTGTCTATCTGTATGGTCATCCCTGAACCGCTCAGGGGTTGTGCATTCAGCACGAAAGCGTCGAAGAGGAAGGACTTCACGGTATCCGCAGTAAGAGCCCCAATCGCTCAGTTTCTCGGGACTTCCAATGTCGGGCAGTTCTTTGATGACTTCCATCTTCTTCAACCACATTTCTAATAGATCCCAATAACTTTCATAAAGGTAACTTGCTCCGCGCAAAAAAACGACTCTTTCCCAAAGAACTGACTTATTGAAAAACCTTCAATTTTAAATGAAAACTTTTATTTCCGTGTTCCTTGAATCTCCTCAAAATTCGCCGAAATCACGTCGATTCCCCTTTAGAATTCCCCGAATGTTCACGCCCTGTGACTGAATTGGGCTCTCCCGGCGACGCCTGTTCATTATCACTTCCATGTTCTCCACGATGAGGTGAATACAACTCGGAATTTGATGGGCGATGCTCGGACATTTGTGATGGGCGGTCCATATCCTGAGTGACGGCTTCCATTTTCTCAAATTCTGGGGCCTTTCTAAAACATTTTTTTAAGTGAAAAAAGTCCAAAAATTATTTTTTTCACAGTGCATTTTTCTAGTTAAAAAAGCCTATATTTTCGCACTGTGCAATTTTTCAGTCGAAAAAAGCCTACAGTTTTGCGCAGCACGATTTTTTGGCTAAAAAAGGTCTATATTTTCCCCTAAAAACTCACGCTGCCTTTTTTCTCTCTTCCTTGGCCTTCTTCAGTCTCCTCAACTTCAACAACAAGTCTTCCAAGATGATCAAAAATGACATAAACAACATCAAAATCCCGGCAATGTATAAAGCAACAGCCAAACCCGCAAACCCATAAACTTCAGCGTCTTCCCAGTACAACTTGGAGGTTCTGCAAGTCTCGCGATACATGCCTATTTCATCAACAGTTTTCCAATTTTTTGGCCGCGCATGGTAACGGACGGCCAGAGTGTACTGAATTCCTAGTGCGTCGTGTTGTTTGAGGGTCGCATTCACGTCTTCACCGAGGATGTTGAGCATCTCGACCTAAAACAATGATAAAAAAGATAATTTTTTCAGAAAATCGAACAAATTTAGACAAAAAATATTAGGTTGTCCCACAAATAATGTCGTTCTTCAAAAGATTTTTTGTACAAAAAAATTTACCGTAATAACGAAAATATTTTTGATCAAAATAATCACCATGTGTTATACCACGCTATTGCAACGCGTTGAAAGCATTTTTTTGCCAGCGGCTTTGAAACCCCGGCTTCTGGAGCCGATGAAACTTTTGAAGGCCCATTCAACATGATCCTGATTGATAAATTCCCTACCAGAAACCCATTAGATTCTTGGAAAGGTAGCAATCTGTTTGAGACATGCCTAGCGAGTACTCCGGACGAAGGAAAGTCCCGTATCTTCATTAACTCAACTTCTGGAGCGTCGTCTTTACAACGTGGGGTTGCGCATCGTCGTCTTGAACTTTTGGAATTCCGCGGCGTGTTTTTAAAGGCATATTCTGCCGTAAGCTGTCTATCTGAATACAGCAGGACCCAGCATTTACATTTTGGCCAACTTTCAACGAGCTGTATTGTGAGATACCCATGCTGCACCATCCAGCAGTGCCCATCACCTTGTTTATGGGGGGTCGCTTTGCCAAGTGCCGTGTTGGTACCCTCGGGGGACTCCATTGGGCACATCTGGTTGTCGTACAGGATCTGCTCTTCATCACGGGTCACGATCCGATCTAGAAAACCCGGCTCTTCGGATTGTAAAAGCAAAAAACGTGACACCTCCATTCTGTGGTTCGGTCCATTAATATGGGAAAAAACTGCCGAGCATTTTGTTGAATTCCATCGACTTCCAACGGTTAGCCGACGATTATTTTAACACCCAGACGATGTCAGAGACGCGTTGGATGTTGATTCTAGGATATCTGACAACTAATGGCCCCAGGGTAAATTCATAAAGTTCGGGTGCCGGACTTTATCTTTGAGTCCCTCACCGTCAGATCGAAATTTTTTGAACCATCGTGTTCAGACTCATATCAGACTCGCCGAACACGCCGTTGATATTTTGTGTAACTCCTGTAACTTTCATACCCTATTTTTGCAGGTACAACGTGGCGACACGAATCGACTTTTTTTTCATAATTTTAGATTAGGGCTAAAATACTTTAATTTGATCCAAATTTGACAAATGATATATCGAACGAAAGCTTGAGTTCTCGACTACAAAACGATGCAATATTGCGAAGTTTTATTGCCGTTTACCTTTTTTATAGACTTCGGAAACTGCCCCTCTCGAAAACGACATTATTTGTGGGACAACCTAATAACTTTGGTCTCAACTAAAATTTTTTTTTGTCAATTCAAAAACTCCTTACCAAATCGAAAACCTGGCTGTACATGTATCCATTTGACGACTTGAAACACATTTCGAGTCGACTTGTATCGGAAATCATTTGATTTTTCATCTCGTAGACGTTGATATAGTCCTAAAATAATATTTTTTACAAATCAAAAAAAAAAAAAAAATAAAACAGTAAAAATAGTAAAAAAAACTCACAATTGGGAATTTGTAATACATCCGTTGACTGCATTGATCGAGTAATACGATATTGCTTCTGAAAAACGCCTTTCCCCAAGCCGTCGTATCCTCTGACGGCGAATTTCCGTATTTTATGGATTTGGAGCGCGGAAATGTCATCAACAACTGATTCCCATCGAATGCGATCCGGTCCCGCTCCATTCTAAAATACAAACACAGATACGAGAAAACACATTTCACTTGGGTTGCCAATAAAAAAATCAATAATTTCTGTGCAATAGTCACCATAAAAAATCCAATCAATTTCGTGACATTTTGTCCAAAGATTAAAAAAGCCTAAGTTAGTCAATTCCGACGAAAGCGCCCGCCAAAATAAATAAATTGCCGTTTTAACCTACAAAATGGTACCCAATAAATTTTGTGACATTCCGTCGAAAACTACCATTGACCAGTATTTTACAAAATTTAGGTCAAAAACTGACTTGTGACACAGTCATCATTGTCCTAGTACACTAAAACCCTCAAATAAACTGTCATAGCCAACAAAAAAAATCAATAAATTTTGTGACATTCCGTCCAAGAACTGGGACTTTCAGAATTCTGCCAAAATGTCCAAAAATACCCTTTCCAATTCTAAAATACAAAAAGAGCATCCAAGTTCTGTCCAATAAATTTTGTGACATTTCGTCACAACGTCTGAAATTGCGAGTTTGCCATTTTTTCGACCAAAATCTCGTCAAAAATCAAACTTACACATCATGGCCCTGGCTCATCACCACCGGCGGACTGTCATCCTGGATTGGCCATGGGAATTTGAAGGTGATCTGTTGAGGTTCCGCAACCTCTTCGCAATATCCCCTACAAATTCGAAAATGTCAATGTCTATTTCTAATCTTTCCATTAAGTGCGTAGACTGTTCGTCGCCAAGCTTTTTGCATTGTGGATTACGAAATCGCCCGCACGTTGCAAGAACGTCATTTTGCACTGTGCATTCGACATTTAGCACTGTGCACTTCGGAAATCGCCGGCACTGTGCAAAAACCCTAATTTTGCACTGTGGATTTCACCTTTTGCACTGTGCACTTCGAAAATCTCCCTCACCGTGCAAAAACCCCTCATTTTGCACCGTGCATTCGACATTTTGCACTGTGCGACTCAAAAATGGCCTGCACCGTGCAAGAACGTCATTTTGCACTGTGCGTTTTACCTTTTGCTGTGCATTTTTGAAAATAGCTCGAAAATCGCCCGCATGGTGCAAAAACACCCATTTTGCACTGTGCATTTCACCTTTTGCACTGTGCACTTCGAAAATCGCCCGCACCGTGCAAAAACCCCCATTTTGCACCGTGCATTCGACATTTTGCACTGTGCAACTCAAAAATGGCCTGCACAGTGCAAGATCGTCGTTTCGCACTGTGCATTTCGCCTTTTGCACTGTGCAACTCGAAAATCGCCCGCACCGTGCAAAAACCCCCATTTTGCACCGTGCATTCGACATTTTGCACTGTGCGACTCAAAAATGGCCTGCACCGTGCAAGAACGTCATTCTGCACTGTGCATTTCACCTTTTGCTGTGCATTTTTGAAAATAGCTCGAAAATCGCCCGCACGGTGCAAAAACACCCATTTTGCACTGTGCATTTCACCTTTTGCACTGTGCACTTCGAAAATCGCCCGCACCGTGCAAAAACACCCATTTTGCACTGTGCATTTCACCTTTTGCACTGTGCACTTCGAAAATCGCCCGCACCGTGCAAAAACCCCCATTTTGCACCGTGCATTCGACATTTTGCACTGTGCAACTCAAAAATGGCCTGCACCGTGCAAGAACGTCATTTTGCACTGTGCATTCGACATTTTGCACTGTGCAACTCGAAAATCGCCCGCACCGTGCAAAAACCCCAATTTTGCAATGTGCGATATCGCCGCGACGGAAGCTTTTTTCAACTGCATCGCCACAAATTTTGAGAGCGCGACAGACAATTGCACAGTGCAAAATCGTTCAAAGTGGCTCGCACCGTGCAAAAAATGCGAAATGCACTGTGCGAAAAAAGTCTACGCACTTTATGGAAAAAACTTCCACAAAAACAGCCTTACAGCGTTTCCAACATGACGTCCAACGTTCCGTAGTCGTGATAGGAGTTGACTCGCATCCGCGACCCCGGCAACGAGATGCTGCAGCGGCGTTTCCGCGCGTTCAATGGGATTTCCTTGGTCCGATTCCAGACCAGGCCATGTGACAGATTTGGGGTGAAATAGTCGCTGAAACGGAGGTTCCCTTCGATCCCTTTTTGCTCTAGAAAGAGGGAAAATATAAAAAACAGGGGTTGAAAATAGAGGATGTCCAAATAAGTCATCTTGAGAGGGCATGAGTAACAACCAGAAAACTTACCAAACAAGGTGACGTAGGCGCCGCAAATTCCATCGCAATTAATGTTCTCGTTGAACAATCGAACCACCAGCGACAGCAAGTTGTTTACCAAGTAGTCCGGGAACAGGGGCTTCATTTCGACCGGTCGCTACAAAGGGTTTACGGAGAGAATGAAGGGTTTTGAGAGAGAGGAAAAAATGATGTCTTTATCTTGCAAAAAATGTAAAATTTTTGCCATTTTTTGAAGTAAAAAGATTAAAAAACTGCTGTTGAAGGGAGTCTCTCTAAAAGAGTGGTGTTTTCGGTCAGAGAAAGGAGTATTTTACGGCATCGGGAATGCCTCTTTAAGGTAATGGGAGGCTTTTTTGGCCACTAAATCTTGTCTCCCACTGTACGCCTGAAAAAATTATATTTTTTTATTTATATACAAACGGAGTACAACAAGTGCGACATACAGCGGGCTTTTGAAATCGGAGTTTTTTTAACTTGTAAAGGGAGGTATTTTGCCATGTTTTTTGATATTTCCCGGATGCGAAATGGTAGGTTTTTTGCCACTAGACGAGGTCCCCCACTGTACCATGCAAGCCAAGGAGACCTCAGAATTTATGCAGTGTCGCAAAAATTAGGAAAATGTAGGTTGTGATGATTTATAGGGTGCATACAGTGGCGGACCTGATCCAGTCGCAAAGAACGTACTATTTTGCATCCGGAAAGTGTCAAAAATGTGGCAAAATGTTTCCATTTCCAAGCGAAAAAGTTTCCGATATCAAAAGCGCACCCGCTCTTTTTGTGAGGGAAAGGGCGCGCCCTTCAAACCAAAGTTTTATCACTTGGAGAGGGAATCATTTTGCCACATTTTTTATCTTCCTGGATGCAAAATGGTACGTGTTTTGCCACTGGATCAGGCCAATCACTGTAGGTCACATAACAATTCCTCAAATCTTTATCTTGCGTTTTGTAGGCACAGCCGAGATATTCAACGACCTTTAGAGCCGAGAGAGTACCCGAAAGGAGAGAGTGGTCAGTGGTTATAGAGGAAAACACTTTTGGCCATATCTTTGCCAGTTTCGCTAGAAAAAAGCTGATTTTTTGTGGAAACATTGCTCTCCACAGTAGAAATAGCCATGAAAATTTTTACTCCAAAAACCGCAAAAAAATATTTTTTTATTTTTTTCATTTTTTCAAATTTTGACCTAAAAATCTCTTTTTTTGCGTAATAAATTAAAACTTTTTTTTTATTTTTTAAATTTTAATTTTTTTCCTTATCCATAACAGTTTTTTTTTTGTAATTTTGAACACTTATCAATCATCAAATTATCACTTTTTTTACAAACCACAAACAAATCAGTCACGGGCTGACCTTTTTTTCATTACATTACAAGTCCATTCCGCTCGCTGCAGTGATTTTTACGACATGCACTGTGAGAAAACAAAAGTTCACCTTGCACGGTGCAATTTGTTGCTTTCTGCACCGTGCAATCGGCTTTTGTGTCGCTCGCACTCTGAGTTTTTCCGCACAGTGCATGTCGCTGAAATCACTCCAGCGACTTTGGGAACGGACTCGAGGCCCCGCCCACGTCTTTCTTTGCCCATCAATCGTTACAAAAATTGGAAATAAGAATGTTTTTTTGGGAATCTCAAGGAAGAGAAGGAAGGAAGAAGAGTTTGGGTTTGTTATAACTGTTTTTTGGGGGTTATTTTTTGGTAGTTATTAAATATATTTACAACAATTTCATTTTTTATTTTTTTGGATTTTTGTTTTTTTTGATCAAATTTACTGTTGAGAAAATAATGTGGATTTACCGGTCTGTCGGAAAAATAATGTGGATTTATCAGTCTGTCGGGAAAATAATATGGATTCATCAGTCTGTCGGGAAAATAATGTGGATCCATGAGTCTGTCGGGAAAATAATGTGGATTCGTCGCGCCTCGGAATCTCCCTCGCGACGGCTAGCGAAGATTTTGTGCGACCGGAAAATCCACATTATTTTCCCGACAGATTGATAGTTCAAGTGCGACACTGAGATTTTGAAGAAACTTGGCACCAATTTAGATAATTTTTAGTAAGCATATGCCAGACTCGCAGTTTGCAAAAGAAATCGAGATTTTTAGGTCGAAAGTTAGAAAAAATGCGTACATTTTTTTGCGAATTTTGGCATTAAAAGTTCCTTATTTATTTCTAGAGGATAATGTTTTCGCAAAAAATCAATTTTCCTGCAGGAAGCTGGCAATTTTATGGGCTAAAAATGATTTTCTCTACGGTTCTCCGCGTTTCGAGTACTCTCTCGGCCGCTAAGATTGTTGAATATGTTGGATGCTCTTGCAAAGCGCGAGCTAAAATTTTCAGAAATTGATATGCGGCCTATGTCCGAAGTGTGTGCAAAATTAAGGGCGTTTCACGCCAAGACTGGCACAAAAATGTCAAGTTTTAAAAGGTGGAGCCAGAAGCTCCTACATATATAGGTTTTAGAAAGAATTTCTTACATTTTATGCCCATTTCCGTTGAATTTACGCCCATTTTCGTTGAAATCCCCTGTAAAACACTTTTTTCTAGCCAAAAAATATTATTTATTATAGTCTACATGTGGATCAAAAATACAAAAACAAGCTCGTATTTCACGCCACCTCATAGCCTTCCATCCTCGCCATCTCTTTACAGTAGCAGTAATCTCGGTATATTCGCGTCGATAGGCATTGCGATTGCCAGAAATATTCGTTCATTCGGTTGAAAAATTCGGTTTGAATTTGGAAATTGCCGTTTTGAACCTGAAAAAATGCATAAAAATGTGAAAACTCTCCATTTTTGTTGGAAAAAATCTCAAAAAATGTTGTTTTGATTTTGGACGAAATGTCAAAAAATTATTGGATTCTTTTGAAGGACATTTTTTAACAAAAAAAACATTTTTTTTTTCATATCAGTCTGTCGGGAAAATAATGAGCACAATATCGCTGTGCCGATTACGTTGCTGAAGTGAAAAGCAATTTGATTTTATCGCTAGACAACTAATTTTCTCGGCGTCGATGCGATTTTCGAGGCGTCATTATGCTCATTATTTTCCCGACAGACTGATATTTCAGCCAAAAATAATTTTTTGGACGAAATGTCAAAAAAAATATTGATTTTTATTATAATTTTTTTGTTGAATTTGGCTAAAAAAATCAGTTAAAGACAATTAAAAAATTTGGACGAAGTGTCAAAAAAAATTATTGATTTTTATCATAATTTTTTTTTATAAAACTGGCTAAAAAATCAGTAAATACAGTTAAAGAAAATTTGGACGAAATGTCAAAAAAATATTGATTTTTGAAAATCGTATTTTTGTGAATTTTTTCCTCGAAAATGTCAAAAATAACCCAAAAATTTTTTTGCTGTTTTTTGACGAAATGTCAAAAATAATATTGGTTTTTGTCTTGGACGAAATGTCAAAAAAAAATCCGTTCTTACCAAAGCATGCGCTCCATATCTCGCATTTGCCGGGTACGTCATAAACAGCACCAACACCACCTTTTCCCCATTAATTCCTCGGTTATCATACTCAATTAGTTGAGTTTCCGTCTGATTATTCAAGTAATGCCTCACACAAATGTCCGTAAAATTGTTGTCGATCAATTCGTTGTTGATCATTTCAATCGACTTTTCCGCAATCTTAATCCCCATTTCCGAGTTGATCTCAACTCTTGCGATCTTCTGACACATACAGTAATTCTGGGGGATCTTCAGCGTGAAGCAGTTGCGAGGCTGCGGAAGCGGGCGGAAAAATGAGGAGCCAATCATTTGGCGGGTGACGTTTTCCCTGTAGATCTCGGTGGATGGGTCGGAAAGTTGGCCATTGCTCTAAAAATTACTTGAATTATTGAAAATCGCGAAATTCAAGGTTTTGATTTTTCAAAAAAAAAATTTTTTTTTTGATTTTTATTTTTCAAAAATTTTTGAGCGTTTCAAAATAAGCAGCAATTTTGTGGAAAAAATATCTTTCAGTAGAAATCAGAGATTGCCACGGCTCCGGAGCCGGCTCTTGGCTCCGGCTCTTGGCTCCGGCTCTTGGCTCCGGCTCTTGGCTCCGGCTCTTGGCTCCGGCTCTTGGCTCCGGCTCTTGGCTCCGGCTCTGAGCTTCTCCGGCTCCGAGCCGGGAGCCAGAGCCGGAGCCGGAAATTTTGGGGTCGGCTCCGGCTCCCGAGCTCAAAGTCGGAGCCAGGCTTCCCAGCGGTCAGAAAAGTAAAAATTTCGTGATCTTGTTCACCCAAATTGCTTGAAAAACACTGCGGAGGATGTGACTTGACTGCAAAAACGTTGGCTGTATGATTTCTGGCACTAATAACTTTTATTTTTGGAAAAATATTTTTTAAAAACCATTTTGCATAGGAGCCGGGATTCGGAGCCGGAGGCCTTTCTAAATTTTGCACGGAGCCAAGAGCCGGAGCCGGAGCTGCAAATTTGGCCTCGGCTCCGGCTCTGGGAGCTAAGAGCCGAAGCCGGAGCCAAAATTTTGACCGTGGCAATCTCTGGTAGAAATCCGATGCTTTTCATGGCAAAAACCTACAAAAAATTTCGGCCTTTCGCCAAATTTCCACCAAAAATTTTCGGTCGTTTCAGCAAAGCGCGAGCTAGAAATCTTGCATAGAAAAATTTAGTCTAGATTTCTCGCAAATTTCATCAAAATTTGAGCGTCGCACTATGAGAAACTTCCTAGGAATAATTTTTATTTCTTTTGTGAAATGTGACATTTCGATTGGACGAAATGTCAAGGCGTGCGACGAAATGTCAAAGTGTTTCAAAATGCCTACATTTTCCCGATTTTTTTGATATTTTCAAAATTAGATGACGTTTTTGGGAATTCGGCGGCGGATTTTCGAATCCGCCAAACCCGACGAGTAATCTCAAATTTCGACAATCTGGAACGAATTTTTCAAAGCACTCGCTAGTCTTGTTATCTCGGTTCAGATCTCCGTCGCAGACGAAGCTCATTTAAACTAAGATTGCGTGTTAATTTTAAATCAGCGATCTTTTTTATGATTAGTTTGTCGGGAAAATAATGAGCACTCTGTTGAAAGGAAAATCGCATCGCCGCTGGGAAAATGAATTGTGTCGCGGTGAAAATCAAATTTTTTTCACTTCAACGACGCGATCGGTGCAGCGCTGCAGCGGCATTATGCTCATAATTTTCCCGGAAAAAGTTCCTTATTTTGGCCACAACAAAGGCACTCCGCGAACTGCGCCCAAGCTTGGACACTAAAGTTAGGAAAAAACGCTTCCACATAGCTGGCACTGAATTACTATATAGCTCTATAGTTCTAAGGGTTACTACGAAGGCTGTGACGACTCATTTAGTTCCATACGGAGGCAATAAGTTTAGTTCCGGACATGTTTCATCGTATAAAGTGTAAAATCACAGGCTGCAGCCGTTTATGAGTGGTTAGGTGGTACGTAAAAAAGAAGGTACCTCACTAACTAAATCCACTTTTCGGGCATTGACAACGATGAATTGAGCGTGCACGCTAAATTTGGGCTAATTCCGACCAGTTTCCGCAAAGTTATAAGTTGTGGCCAAAATAAGGAACTTTTACCATTTTCCCGACACGTAAGACAACAATGAATTTCTAATGCTTCCATAAATTACGGTACGGGTTTGTACCGTGACGGACCTGATCCAGTGGCAAAAACTCGCCATTTTGCATCCGAGAGGTATCGAAAAATGTGGCAAAATGTCTCCCTCGCCAAGTGAAAAAACGTCGTTTCGAAGGGCGCGCGCCTTTTCCTTTACGGAAAAAGCGGGAGCGCTTTTGAAAAAAGAGTTTTTTCACTTGGAGAGGGAGGTATTTTGCCACATTTTTGATACTTCCCGGCACGGTTTTTGCTGCCGGATCAGGCCCGCCACTGTAAGCACCCTATAAATCGTCACAACCTACATTTTCCTAATTTTTGCGACACTGCATATATTCTGAGGTCTCCTTGGCTTGCATAGTACAGTGTGGGACCTCATCTAGTGGCAAAAAACGCATCATTTCGCACCCGGGAAATATCAAAAAATATGGCAAAATACCTCCCTTTTCAAGTGAAAAAAACTCCGATTTCAAAAACCCGTCGCTCTTTTTTTGACATTATTTTCCCGACAGAGTGATATCAGCAAAAAGTTTGTTTTCTTACCCAAACAATGTCCTGCAGACTCGCGTAAACGTCATGATGAGAAATCAATTCTTTGGCATTTTCCCGCAGAACTTCTCGGAATTTCTCGTCTTTTCGAAGGCTCTCAGGTAGGGTAACCATCAGAGTGGGGTTGAAGTCCTCGTATTTGGCCAAAGGCTCTTCAGTGACGGCGCCATATCGCGTTCCATGATCGGCCATGAGGAAAACAAACGAGTTTTTGAGCTGAAAATAGGGGAATTTGCGGTTTTTAGTCAAAATTCAATACTTCGCTATGCAATAAGCTCTCATATAGTCATCCCTATTTGTAGCCGAACATGTTTTAGATCTCAAAAAATCTTTTTGAGAGCTATGGTGAACCTTCAAAAACAAGAAAAACCCTCTATAACGGACAATTTTTTTCTCCCTGTAGATCGATTTGTTATTCAGAGAAGGTTACGTTTTTTCCCCATAAAAATCTACGGTGATCCTCCACAAAGTCACCCTCACGTTTTCCATCCATAAAATTTACGTTTTTCTTCCATAAAAATGAAAAAAACGAGAAAATGATGCTTTACATTTTTTCTCCCTAACAAAATTTACGTTTTTCTTCCCTAAACTTGCAAAAAAAGAGAAAATATTGATTTACGTTTTTCTTCCTAAAAAAATTTACGTTTTACTTACCTAAAAGTTCAACAAAAGAGGAAATGTTGTCTTACGTTTTTCCCCCTAATAAAATTTACGTTTTTTCTGCATAATCTGGCAACAAGTACGTTTTTCCTCCCTAAAAAATTTACGTTTTTCTTCCATAAAAATGGAAAAAAAGAGAAAATCTTGCCGCACGTTTTCCATCCCTAAAATTTACGTTTTTCTTCCCTAAACTTGCAACAAATCAGAAAATGATGCTTTACGTTTTTTCTCCCTAGCCAAATTTACGTTTTTCTTCCCTGAACCTGCAAGAAAAGCAAATGTCGTTTTACGTCTTTTCTCCCTAACAAAATTTACGTTTTTCTTCCCTAAACCTGCAAAAAAAGAAAATGTTGATTTACGTTTTTTCTCCCTAATAAATTTTACGTTTTCTCACCTAAACAAAGAAAAGAAAATGTTGCCTTACGCTTTCCATCCCTAGAATTTACGTTTTTTCTGCATAAGCTGGCAACAAACACGTTTTTTCTCCATAACAAAATTTACGTTTTTCTCCCCTAAACCCGCAAAAAAAAAAGAAAATGATGTCTTACGTTTTTCTTCCCTAATAAAATTTACGTTTTCTCTGCATAATCTGGCAACAAGCAGGAAAGGTTCGTAAAAAGCGGCACCTTTCCCCGTACTGCGGTAGCGCAGTGGCGTCTGGCAGCGCGAATCGCTCCCCTACCGGATCGAGGACCTGCTCGCGCTGGGTCGTTGGAACTGGTGGTTGGAAGAGGTGATGCCGGACGCGTGAGGATCCGAACGGGTCCTCACAGATTTTGAAATTTTTTATGGAAGAAAGTGGAACTTTTGACAATTTTTTTTGTTCAAACTTCCTTGAGGAAGGTATAATTATAAGCAGATTTTTTTTCATTTTCGGACAAGACCGGATTTTATAGCTTACGTCTTGAAGAAAAAATCACGATTTTTAGGAATTTTTGTCGAAAATAAAGATATTTTTTAATTTTTCTAAATTTTTTTACAACGGAAGTACTACACAAGTGATACGCACAGATTTTCTGAAATTTTGCGCACATTTCGGACAAGGCCACATATAAATTCCTAAAAATTTTAGCTCGCGCTTTTATGGCTGGCCGAGACATTGAACGATCTTTGCGACCGAGAGAGTACGCGAAACGCGCAGGGCAATAGAAAAAACACGTTTTTACCGTATAAAAGTGTTTTAAAAGTGTTTCACTACAACTTGCATTTTCCACATTTTTTTCGAAAAACTCTGCAAAATCATTGTCCACATGATACAACAAGTTTATGTCATCATGCGCCATTTTTGTCATCCAAGTCATCGAAAATTGCGCTTCATGGTTGTACGTGTTGATAAACTGATCCAAAGTGTTCAATAAAGTCGTATACGTCTCCACACAAGACTCTTCGTAGCGGCGGCGAAACTCGATCGTCTCATTGAAATTCAACAGATCTGTATTATTAGGGTTGTCATAGTTGACTCGCTTGTTGTAGGCGCTGAAACATGATATACAGTGCGTCCCAAATTTTTGGTTCCACCCCATTTTTTGATCGTATCTCGGGGGGTTTCTTCTCAAATGCCTTGAAATTTTACGCAAGTGTTAATCAACCTTTGAGAATAAGCTGTGCAAAGTTTCATCCCATTTGGCTTCAGTAATCTGACGTTATGGCGATTTTTTTAAAATTTTGGGTGTCCCAGGTTTTTGGTTCCACTTGGAAATTTGCGAGTTTTTAGTCCGGTTTTGAACCAACCTGCTCTTAATACCTTATTCTTAAAGGTTGATTAACACTTGTGTAGAATTTCATGGCATTTGAGAAAAAAACCCCCGAAATATGATCAAAAAATGGGGTAGAACCAAAAACCTGGGGCGCACTGTATTACTACAGTAAAAAGAATTAGATCTATTGCTTACGCCATCCAATGATCCGCCGGATTCACCAACCCCTTGCAACCCTGGTAACAAGTGATCGGAGCCACGTCGTCCTCGCTGAGCAGTGTGCGGTATTGCTTGCGCTGGAAGGCGGTTCCAATGTAGAAAGGGTTCAAAAACTTTTTCCGAGTTGGAGGCATCCCTCGTAGCCCAGGACCCCAAATTGTTTCGGAGCCGTTTTCCGGGGAATGCCCTGGAAAATAAAAAAAATATACATATAAATGCCAAATACAGCGGAGTTTCTCGGTAACCCCCTAAATAGGCAATGTCATTAGAAATAGGGCAAAAATTGTACCAACAGAATGTAATTTCTCCATTGTATTCACAATTTACGACAATAAGGTCGAGTCAGTTTTTGCCAGGTTGATCCCAACTAAACAGGGGAATTACTACAAGTGCGACGCTCAGATTTTGATGAAACTTGGCCCAAATTTAGAATAATTTTTTCTAAGATATATGCGAATCCTAGCTCGCGCTTTGCAGAAACAACCGAGATTTTTAGATTGAAAGTCAGCCAAAATTTAGGACTTTTTGCCGTTTTCCGAGTTTCGGCACGAAAATTTTCATGCCTGTTTCTACCGTAAAGAATAATGTTTCTAAAAAAAATCAAATTTTTCCGCACGAAACTGCCAAAGTTATGGCCAAAAAGCGGGTTTCTCTCTGACTGCTCTCCACGTTTAGCGTGCTCTCTCGGCGGCAAAAATCGTTCGATATTTCGGCGGTGCCCGCAAAGCGCGAGCTAAAACTTTCAGGAATTGATATTTAGTCCATAACCGACGGATGTGCAAAATTTAAAGAAAATCTGAGCGTCGCACTTGGAGAACTTCCTCTGTAAAATGAGTTTTTTTTTATAATTTTTCGGTTGAAAATTAAGAAAACTTGATTTTTTTATTATTTTTTTTAAAAGCACTTGCTTAGTTTTGACAATTATTCATTACTAAAGAGCCTCGTTGTAGAGAGGTTCATTCTTGGCCAAAAGCTGACGGACCTCTGCAATTTTTCGTTGTGGACACGTTTCGTTGTTTCCCCATAATCGGAAGTTGAGTTTAAAATACGTCGTGACATGTAGAGGAATAACATAGTTTTTATGCAAAAATTTTATTTCGAGGTTTTCCTGTCGGGACCCGAGATTTTAAATTTATAACTCACAATTCTTTTATTAAACTTTGTACAAATTAAAAGCCTAACCTTCTAAGATATGTAAATTGCGGCATATTTTTTTCTTATTTTCAGAATCGATTTTTGCTTCTTATGGCCATAATTCAAAATTTCTTCGCAAAAAACGTCTCGCTCCGGTTGCGTCTAACTTAAAAATACGTATCTCTACGTTATTTAAATCCCGTAATTACTACATCATCGCGTTCTCAGCGTCTTAATTTCACCGCGCCTTATCTTGATTTATTTTGATCTTATCGTAGCGCTTTTTTTCGACGAATTTTCACTCATTGAAAAATGTCTATTGCATTTAAAATTAGATTTCCCTCCTCAAACCTACCGAATAAAAAGCTCCACGCGTTGACAATACTTCCATGGCCGACCTTGTTGAGGTAGGGCAAATGAATCCCGCCCAACTTTTCCTCCAAAACCCTCTTGGTCTTTTTCATTGACCGCACAAAATTGGGGGAGGAGACAGTGTCCATGACTATGATATGAACACTTGGGGCTTCTTCAGATGACAATCGAATGTCGTACCTGAAAAATAGATGTAGCTTTGTAAATTCAGTCAAATTGACGTCGTTTTTGTCACGTCATATTGACAGGGGGGTACACTTAAATCTTGCGTGCGCTATCACAGTTAGTAGAAGTTTATAAAAACACTACGGAGAAAAATTTTTTTTGATTCACCCTAACAAACTGAAAGTCGGCAAAAATGCGATTTTTTTTGCGAATTTCGACACGTTATACTGTAAGCTACAAAGAAAGACTAGCGGGAAAGTTTCTTATAATATCCTGTAAAACCACTTCTATGAATTTTATCCCATTTGAAGCACCTTTATTTTTTCCGTCTTCAGCCGCTAACATTATATTAGACCGGGTTTACTCGAAAACAGAGGTGTCATAATTATTTAAAATTGTTTTGTGTTCTTCGCACATCCCTTATTTTTACATCAAAATTAATTTGCGATTTTTTTGACATTTCCACCCAGCCGGCATCGAACCCGGGACGCTGGAATGGTAGTCCCGCCCGCTAACCACTACACCACGAAATTTGCCGCCCCACTTTTTGCACTTTTTTAATTGGGTCTAGAGCAGAATTTTACGCTGATTAACATATCAAAAAATCAGCGGGGGGTTTTTAGAAACAAAGATTTAACGGCCGTTTTTAGCGGCCGGTACGGTATTACGGTACGTTACAGTAGGAAACCGGGAAAAATAATCACTCCATCGTGTTCGCAAGGGTGAAAAACTGCAGTAGCCGTCACATGACTGCACTGTAATGCACGATGCTATAGCTAGAGGCGATTACTTCTAAAACAGTAAATTGTCAAAAAATATACCTTTACGAAGGATTTGGGTAAAAATATTGTTCGCTTTGGCTTAGACCCTTCCAACAGTCATTTTAATGCAAAAAACTCAAAGTCGATTTTTTTCCTATGTCCACGGCTCACGTCAAGAAATTTCGGGCATTGCAAAGGTTCTCACAGCGAAAAAAAATTCATAAAATCTGTCATCCAAATTGCACATAACAGCAATTTTTAACCTAATTTTTTTTACGGGAACTATAGAGAGTACTACTACTGGTACATTCTAAATTGGTGTCATCGTGACGCATTTTCTGAACATGGTTCGAGCTAGGCTAAAAATAGTGCAAATTTCAAGGCCGAATATCAAAAAAACTGTCCCATCAAGCGGGACGAGACCGGTGTAGATACTCGAAGAACAGTTTAATGATTTTTTTGACGCGGAGCGTATACCTCCTTCCAGTGCTCTCTGACTCGGTATCGTCGATACAAACTTTTATTTAGACGTTGTATTATACGCCTTGGAAGACTGTCAAAACACTATGATTATGGGTATATTTTGGTTCTGTTAGCTTAAGCAGCTCTTGAGCTTTCTATTGGTATCAATATCTTGTGATTTACTATTAATCTTTACGTCAAAATATTGCAAACCATTTGGACAAAAACGAATTTGCACAGGGCAGAATGCCAAAAAAAATTCTAGGCTTTTTCATTGGGCGCCCGTTTTTCTTTTATTTTTTCTTGACGTGCGGCGCACTGACTCAGAAATCATCTTTTAAAAAACTTTTCAGCGATTGATGTGCGGCCTGTGCCCGAATAGTATACAAAATTTAAAGAAATTTTGGTATGAAAACTTACTGTTTGTAAATTTGAACATGGACAAATTGATAAAAACGTTGACCATCTTTCTCCGCCTTCACCTCAACCACATCGCAGTGGGGCTCGGCGCTGTCCGGTCTTTCGATTTCAACCCAAGCTTCAACCGTAAAGTTGGCATGCCCAACGGTTTTAAGGCATCTAAAGACATACATTTAAGTTTAAAATAAGAAACACTGTGATTACCGGTAGCTCCAATGTCCAAATTCGGAAAATTCTTTCTTTCGAATCATTAATGTTCCATTGATGATCGAGGTAACCACTTCGTATTGTGGTGTGCATTTTGGAATATACTTTTCGTCCACAAACTTCATAATTCTCGGATGATAAGGGTCGGGTTTGTAGAAGTCGCAGGACTCGTTGAGATATGGCTTCGGCTTGAGTTGGAGATCATATTTTCTAGGAGCGACTGAAAATGGGCATATAGCACGATTTTTTAAAAAGTGCGTAGACCTTTTGTCCCAACGCTTTTTGCACTATGCAGTTCGAAAATCACTGCGACCAAAGCTTGAGACATAATCAAATTTCGCAGAGAGGACCTTTTCCCATATATATATATATATGGGAAAAGGTTCAAAAAAGCAAAAAAATATCCATGCACTTTATGAAAACACGAATATCATGTACACGTCAAACTGACGAGTCCGTTGACCGTAATAGACTCTTCGCTATCGGTTTTTTACACTTCGTCTTGACTTCACAGAGAACTCAGAGAAAAGACGTGCAAAAGCGTACTCTCTCGCCCCAAAAATTCCCCACTTCTTCCCCGACAAAAAGTTTTTTTGGCGAATTTCCAATCAATTCACCGGACCATTTTAGTTTATCTCAGTTTGAGGCGTGGTACCACTGTGTCGGGGAAATAATGTGGATTTGTCGCAGAAAAAAATCTGCGTGGCAGTCGCCAAACCTCCTGCCGCGACGTCGCAAATCGATGGAGAGCGATGTCAAGTCCACATCGACAAATCCATATTATTTTCCCTACAAACTGGCATAGAAAATCTCGAGAAAATCTACGTCGTACTGTAGGTACTTCCCTTGCAAGCGGCGTTTCTTTAATGTAAAGTATGCGCCATTTCGATAAACTTTTTAATACATGAGAAATTTGAATTTTTGAAATTACAAACCAGAAAACTAAATGAGATACGATTCATTAAGTCTTACCTTTAATTTCCTCTATTTTTACGGCAGGTACAGAACGCAAATTTTTGATAGCCGCTAGCCAGGTTACTGTGCACAAAACAACAAACCCAACGAATGTGCGATGGTGTGCCAACTGGCTCTTTATTATCGGAAAGAAATTCAGCAAAAAAATAATATGTCTATCCGCACGCATATTCAAAATAAAACTAGATTTGAAATAAAAAAGTTTCAACACTTCTTTCAAATATAAACTTAAATCTTATTCCGGATCTCTTGCAGATAAGAAATGTCTGCGCCGGGTGGTCGTAGTAGCTAAGAGAAGGGGAAGCAATCCCGGTCCGAAGAAAAAAAATAGGGGGGACCAAGATAAAATTAACATTTACTAGACCGTTCGCAGAGTCGCTGGAGTGATCTTACAGGGGAAGTACTCCAAGTGCGACGCTCAGATTTTCTTTAAATTTTGCACACACGTCGGGTATGGACTAAATATCAATTCCTGAAAGTTTTAGCTCGCGCTTTGCGGGCGCCGCCGAGATATCGAACGATTCTTGCCGCCGAGAGAGCACGTTAAACGTGGAGTGCGGTCAGAGAGAAAAGCGCTTTTTGGCCATAACTTTGGCAGTTTCGTGCGAAAAAATTTGATTTTTTGTAGAAACATTAACCTTTACGGTTGAAATAGGCGTGAAACTTTTCGTGCCAAAATTCGGCAAAAAGTCCTAAATTTTGGCCGACTTTCGATCTAAAAATCTCGGTTGTTTCTGCAAAGCGCGAGCTAGAATTTTCGTATATATCTTAGAAAAAATTACTCTAAATTTGTGCCAACTTTCATCAATAACCGGGTACCCGCACTTTGGGTACCCTGTTAGCTCAAAAACAAGCCTCTGATTTGGTAGGCATTTTTCGTGGTGTTGCGAGAAAAGCTCTGAGGATTTTTTCACCATTCAACTCAATTTATTTCCGCTGATCATCTATCAAAAGTAGAGAAACGGGCCATGATTCGGGGCCAAGATGGGGATGTCACGTCGGTTCTCCAGTGTGCCAATCCTCAAGAAGGTCCTGCCACGGGTTGAGCTTCTGCCATCCTCCGGAGGGGTTGTTGCCAGCAACGGCATCGTCGGCAGGAAACCCAACCGCTCACCGCGGTGCGAACGGAAGGAATCAGCCAAAATTTGGCAGCTAACTTTTACATATTCTGAATCAGAAAAATTTTGTAACTCCATACCCCACAGAAGTGCTTTCTTTGTTAGAGAAAATTACTCTAAAATTTGTGCCAAGTTTCACAAAAATCTGAGCGTTGCAATTGGGGTACTTCTCCTGTTAATTTATTGCAATTTCTTTCTACACTATCACAGTCCTCAAATTACCATGTCCAATTTTTATTTTCCTCTCCGGAAACCTGCGTTCAGATCAATTTGCATGTCATTTTCTCCAATCCAGGGCGTATTTGAAATGCAGTTTCAGGGTGAAAACAAAAAAAGACGAAGAGCAAAATGGTTGTGTCCTCTCCGTTTTTTGGGGGCGCTCAAATTACGGAATTCGTGACATCCCAGGGAAAAATAAAATTTTCGGCCGAAATGGCCTTTTACGCAGTGCCCAAAATCATCAAAGAATCTTCTCTTTGTCTTTGCGGCGGCTTTAAATTGGCTTCATTTTTTCGCACAGTGCGAACTTTTTCGAACCAATTTGCACTGTGCAATTGTTTGGCGCACAGTGAAAAAATTAATGCACTGTGCGGGAAAGATTGCGATTTTTTGATTGCACGGTGCAAACAAAAACCAAATGCACCGTGCGATTTGTCGCGCCGCACAGTGCATTTTGCATGTTTTTGCACGGTGCGGACCTTTTTGAAACACATTGCACTGTGCGATTGTTTGTCGCACCGTGCCAAAACTTGCACTGTGCGGAAATTTTGTCGATCATTCCGCGACGATGCAGGTGAAACGGGCGTGCGACTTTTTGATGGCACGGTGCAAATGATCAAATGCAGGGTGCAGAATTTCCCCGCGACAAGAAGCCCGCTTCTCTGCTTCGCTGGCCTTTTGTCGCCTCATCCGCACTGTGCATTTTGCGATTTTTCGCACAGTGCGGATGAGCATTTGTCGCAAGGCTCTTTCGCACTGTGCATTTTGCGATTTTTGGCACAGTGCGGATTAGCATTTGTCGCAAGGCTCTTTCGCACTGTGCATTTTGCGATTTTTTGCACTGTGCGGATTAGCATTTGTCGCAAGGCTCTTTCGCACTGTGCATTTTGCGATTTTTTGCACAGTGCGGATGAGCATGTGTCGCAAGGCTCATTCGCACTGTGCATTTTGCGATTTTTCGCACAGTGCGGATGAGCATTTGTCGCACGGCTCTTTCGCACTGTGCATTTCACCTTTTGCACTGTGCAATCGAAAAACGCACAGTGCAATCCTTTTTGACTGCGTCGCCGTAATCTTTGCTGGTTCAACAAATGGCAAACACTTGCACAGTGCAAAATGGTTCGAGAAGGTCTGCACTGTGCGAAAACTGCAAAATGCACTGTGCGGAGCGACTTAAGATCGCCCATCATCGCGTTGCGACGGCTAGCCGCGACTGGAGATTTGGTGAGCGGCTGCCACGAGACGAGACGTTTTTCTGCGACAAATCCACATTATTTTCCCGACAGACTTTATCAAAACGACTTTATTTTTTTAGTTTTCACCGATAAGGCAAAATTAGCAAAATTGCACTGTGCAAATGCACTTTTCGGGTCCATGCACAGTGCAGAGTCGCAGAAAATCCCCAGGACTTTTTTCCGAGATTTGTATGGATTTGTTTGAAGATTCCACTACCGCCAAAAATCTCTGTTTATAAGTGTTCTCGGCATTTTTTAATTAAAAAATGGCCCTTCATTACTCGCAAACAGATTTATTGTTTTCCCTCCGAAATTATTTTTTCTCATGGGCTTTTTTCGAGAAATTTCGAAGCTATGTGTAGTATTACTGTTTGGATTTGCAGAATTTTTTTTTTGGATTTTTTTGAAATGTGCGTAGATTTTTTTTTCGCAAAATTTTTTGCACTGTGCAATTGTAATATTTTTTTTAAAATGAATTTTTTTTACCTTTTGTACTGTGCAATATCTATTACGCTATATTAAATGAAATTCAGCATTCTAGAGATGATCGAATGATGAGAGACGGCCAGGAAAAACTTTTCGGCTACATCTTGGTGGATAATTTGCGATAAATCGCTTTTTTATTAGAAATATTGTAGATGAGGGTTCTCTAAACCATTGAAATTTTTGAAATATAAAGAAAATCAAAAAAAAATCAAGTTTTCTTAATTTTCAACCTAAAAATTATAATAAAACTTCTTTCATTTTACAGGGGAAGTACTCCAAGTGCGACGCTCAGATTTTCTTTGAATTTTGCACACACATCGGGTATGGACTAAATATCAATTCCTGAAAGTTTTAGCTCGCGCTTTGCGGGCGCCGCCGAGATATCGAACGATTTTTGCCGCCGAGAGAGCACGCTAAACGTGGAGAGCAGAGAGAAAAGTGCTTTTTGGCCATAACTTTGGCAGTTTCGTGCGGAAAAATTTGATTTTTTGTAGAAACATTATACTTTACGGTTGAAATAGGCATGAAACTTTTCGTGCCGAAATTCGGCAAAAAGTCCTAAATTTTCGCCGACTTTCGATCTAAAAATCTCGGTTGTTTCTGCAAAGCGCGAGCTAGGATTCTCACATATATCTTAGAAAAAATTATTCTAAATTTGTGCCAAGTTTCATCAAAATCTGTAAATTTTTTTTTTATTTTCGAAAATTTTAGGAAAATATTTTTGCTTTTTGTATAGACTTCCAAAAATATATCCCAAATTTTTTTGCAAATTCCGAGTTTCATGGCCCAATCCCCTCGGGTGCGCTTTTCGAATTTTTTTATGGGATATAACGTTGATAAATTGAATTACGGCTGCGTCGAGATATTTTACCCGCCTTGGAATTCGGGGAAGAAAAGGAGAACAGAGAGGTTTTGACATCTAGTTGGGATATTTGGGCCAAAAAATTATTTTTTGTTTTCTGCACAGTGCAAAAATTTTTTTTTAATTTTTTTGATTTTTTTTAGTAATTTTGATTTTTTTGAATTTTTGTGAAATTTGGTCCAAATTGACACTAACATGGAAGTACTCCAAGTGCGACGCTCAGATTTTGATGAAACTTGGCACAAATTTAGAATAATTTTTTCTAAGGTATATGCGAGAATCCTAGCTCGCGCTTTGCAGAAACAACCGAGATTTTTAGATCGAAAGTCGGCCAAAATTTGAGACTTTTTGCCGAATTTTGGCACGAAAAGTTTCATGCCTATTTCTACCGTAAAGGATAATGTTTCTACAAAAAATCAAATTTTTCCGCACG